TGTGTTTGGAATTTGTGACAATTGGGTGTTGTTTCAGCGCTGGAGTGGCATGTAGTATGTCATAGTATAATGTACCGACAGAAGAGACATGAAAATATAAGGACAGATCCACAGGTTCTGAAGACATGGCTGATAGGGAAGGGAGTAGGGAGGCAGATGCACTGGTGGTTGTTGGTAATGAGCAGGGACTAGTGCTTTTACATCAAAAAAAATTAAAGTCCCTCACGGTCCTCGCCCTGGCTCCAAACACAACCAACATGTTTTTGAATGGCAATACCAGACTCACTCCTAATATCCAGCTGAGCGTTTGCACAGCCACGTCAAATTTTCTTCTCTCAACGTCCAACACACCAACAAGGCCAACGCCTATGGTGTTCAGCAATCCCTAGCTTACAGCCTCTAATCATACCTTATTTGCACCCTCCTGCCCAGCCCCAATTTCGCCTTCTCTCAGTTTCCGCCTTATTAGTTTGCTTGGTTCATGTTGTACTTCTTGGTTTGCATCGGTTCCGCTTTCTCTTGGCTTGTGCCTTAATTAGTTTGCTTGGTTTGTACATGGAATGATCATTATCTCTGCTCCTCGTACACGGTGTGATGAATTCACAGTGTGTGATCCCGTGCACCCAGCGGCTTCCACACTTGTGTCCCTCCTATAGTTAACACTCTAGGCACAGCGCAACCTCTCTAGTCGCACCACACGAAGAACAGAGCACCAGATGAAGCTGGATGCCTTATTCCCGTCCATGGCGCTCAATTTGTTTCCCCCAACCTCCGGCACTATTAAATCTGTGATTCCTTCCACAAGTTCTACATCAGCAAATACACTGATGATCATGCCTTTGAAATCACGTCCTAAAATCTTGATTGTACTTACATCTGTCCTACTTATTACCCTTAATTTGATTTTCCTTCCAATTTCACTTGTTTGCCTCAATTTTCTTTGGCAGTAAGGAAATAAAGTACAAAAAGCAAGAAGTAAGCTGGTCTGGATATGTCATGACAAATTTTAAAGGTACATTAAGGAACATAAGGATTAAAAAGGAATTGGTGGTTTTACTGATGTATTTTGTTCCGCCCATCTGATCCCTGTCTATGGCACTGAACCGCTGTCCCACTGGTTAAATCTCACCATGTCCTCAATATATTCACACTCTTCTATGTAAACAAGTATGCTGACCATCACACCTTTGAAATAGCTACATAGTGCTTGTAGTACGTCTTGCTAACTTTTGTTCAAACTCTTTATTTTTTCAAAACTCGTTACTTTCATTACTTTTTTCAAACTTTTTACTTATTATGTCCTTATTACTTTTCCAATCGCACGAACTTATCATGTACCGAAAATAAGTGAGAAAAGTGTGGATTAGTGATGGGTCTTGTTAGTGTAGGGGGCAGAAGTATTTTGGGGCGAGTTCTGCCAAAAAAAATGGCAGAACGGCAATTGGAAGAATGGCAAAAGTCGGCAGAATTGTTTTGAGGGTTTCTGTGTGTTCTAAGATAATGGCAAAAAATTATCTAAGCTATTGGATGGATGCTACACCCTCTGATGTCAACAGCGCATTAATGTTCCAGGCTGCCTCCGTGCCTTGTGACCCATGGCCAACCACATCAATCTCTTCGACAAACCCTGCAGGTGTAATTCCTTTATCGACTTTCTCCAGCTCATCCCAATCAATAATATCTCCCCCGAAAATATCTGGGACTTCGCCAGTACCTTCTTGCAAGCCTCGTGACTCCAGCATCTTGTTTTCAAATCTGTCAAATTCTTCAAGCAGCTCCTCATCTGTAATTGACTTGGGACCTGCAAGAAATTTGTCGTCTGAGTTGCGAGAGGCACCAGCGAGTGGTGGCACCCATGAAAACGACCTTTGAAGTTCGTCTGCCAAGGCTGTGTCGAGTCCGTGCTCTGGCTGAGTGTGCATATGGGCATGTTTGCGACGTGCTGGCTTGCCAGCTTCATGATCCACTTTGTGCAAGAAATTTGCATAGCTTGCCCAGAGTTTGCTCAGAGACTCGAAAGTCTGAACTGATAGGTTGCAGCACTTCACAGATTGTACCCCACCCAGACCTGAGAAATAACGCTCAACATCAGCAGCATGAGGTACGATTGAGTGGATTATGATCATGAATGCCTTCAATGGACAGCGCTCGGCACTGACGGGGAGGGTTTCCCACCAATCGAGTGCGTCAGCCTGCCCTCCTGAAAATACTCCAGAGCATTTGTGATAATCCTTTAAGTCAGCAACGAGCATTTTTGCAAGCTGTTCACTCCATCACCACTGTTTAGCAATGTCAAGAGCTACCTCCACCATAAATTTGAACGAACATCTGTTTACGGCTTGCGAAATCACAAGTTTTTGGCACATTGGGTGTAAGAATAGCGTGAGACTGTGAGTTTTTGTGTTCATTGCGAAAAAATGCCGGTTGAAGACAGCCTTTGCATGTTGCCAGAAGTGAACATTATCTCCTTCTTTGATTGGCAACTGAGAGATTGTCTTCGCAAGCCGAATTAGCCCAAGCATGCAGGAAGCAAGTGATGAATCGCGGGACTCCTCATCTCCGATAAGGTCAACAATTGGCTTCATAACCTTGATCCCTTGTTCAATGGCAGGCCAAAACTCTGCATCGCAGAGGACAATGGTGACAATATCTGGGGCAACAGGTGAGAGGCCTCCGATCTTCTTCTGTGTGTCTTCCCGCAGACATAAATGGGAAAGTGATTGTCTATAGTTCATTTAATTCTTTGCTCAAACTGATAGTAGTCATATTTTTTCACACCTATGATCACGGACACTCATTGACTGGAGAACAAGTGCATACCAACGAGACTTGCAGTTTTTCTTCAATCCACGGTTGATGCCATCCTTTTTCACCTGTTCTTTCAACTGACCACCCCAGTAGTGGGACCCATTGAAGAATGTCACTACCCGAGCAGCTTTTGTCACATGCTGCTTCATAAACCTAGACTCATCATTTCATTGGAATACTTTGACTAAAGGGGGGAAAGATCTTACGAGAACCCAGTAAATTTTCTCTAGGAACTTCCGTCGGAATGCTTTCATCACGGTGGGATTGTCAGTTGTTGCCGCGATTATGTTATGTCCATCTCCGATCTCCATTCTTTCCAAAGCTTTCACTGAGACATCAAGGAGTTTGTCTGCAGAACCTCAGTGCCCCGTCATATCCTCAAGGTTCAACACGACTGGAGGCTGATTGACTTCAGCAGCCAACGACCCATACAAGCTTCATCTTATTTTATCCTCCCACCCATCAAGCAAATATGTAAGCTTTTTACGTTCCTTGAGACGTGCAATCAGTGTTCTGCCGGTCAGTGAACCAAGGTCACGGTCACTGACCGGATTTCGTGGGAAAGCTGGTGAAGTTTATCGATGTTCATCTGAACACGACTTTGAGGAGTTTCCTGGTCCTACTATAATGAACTATGCTATATCTGGTCAATGCTAGAATCTTTGATTAGACGTTATCTTTGTGCCGCTTCACATATCATTACTCACATAAACGCATGGTTTTCGTGTGTTCGGTTCAAGGGCACGCTTCAAGACTTATAACTCGAAGATGGACTCCCCACTTTCGACACGCTAACTCGATGGCGAAGATCAGCAAGAGATCAAAGTCAAACCGAGGATGGTGGTGGGATCATTTCGTGGAGCACCCAGGTTATGCTGTCAAAGACCCAGCTTTGATGGTCAGCGGAAAGGCAAAGGTGGTGTGTGCAAGGTTCTATGAGCAACGCGTTGCACATGAGCGGGCAATAGACGAGCAGCAGGTTCACGCAGGCCAGCGAGATGCACCGAGGGATGAAGTGGCGATCGCAGGCACTCGTACGCAAGCCTGTTTTATAGCTTTCTTTTACTAACTTGAAGTACTAGTTTGGGCCAGTGGCCAGAATGATCCCCAACGCACCTGGTTAATCAGTCGGCCGACGACACTATTATGTCACTTGCGTGATTGCACATTGCACTCTGAGGATATCCGTTCGCAAGCACGGCTTGAATACCACCAATCATATTCACCGCGAAAAGGTGCCACTCAGGTCCTAACTCCAGCACATCTCAGTGCTATACCTCCAATCATTCTCGCCGCCAGCCCACCAGATCTCAATACATCATCGACTATGCAGTCTGCACGTCCGAGTTTTCCCGCATTGCTAATTCCTGAGGCTGACACAGCCTTGAGTTCTTCCAGTAGCCTTTACCGCGACTCTCTGTCGGTCAGTCCAAGTCCTGCCCTCTTGGAAGTCTCATTACCATCCCATCCAAAGCGCCAACGTCTAATCCAATCCGGTCAATACCACTCTGCTTCTGGCTCACTTCCGCCTCTCTCCCCCATAGCACTGGGCAACCAACTTAACGGCTTTGGCGACCAAGCTTGGATGACTTCAGATCAAGCTGATTGGGAAATCGGGCTTGCAAGACTCACCGCAAGCGCTGGTTTACCACTGCGGTGGGTTGAGAACCACGAATGGAAAGTATTATGCGACTGTTTTCTCCCAAGAGCGAAAATTCCCTCTGCAAAAGTCTTGACGCAGCGTGTCCTACCCCATGCCCTTAATATACTCAAAGGTACCGCTAAAGAAGAATGTCAAGGCGCTAACGCAACATTGCAATGTGATGGTTGGACTGGTGAAAATCACCATCACCTCCTGGGGTTTATGATGACTGCTCGCCGAAAGGTAAATCTAACTGCGGAGACCATCAATCATTTTACTAATTGTCTATTTAGCTGCACACGATTAAAGTTCACGATGCTTCAATGGACCCTCACACCGCCGAAGAACTTCTCAAGCAAATGTTAGATGCAATCAGCAGGATCGAGTCCGAGTGGGGGGCAAGTGTTATCGCTTGCACCACGGACACGTCCGGTGAATCACGAAAAGCTCGGCATCTGCTTCAAGAGCAGCTACCCCACATTGTTGTTCCTAATTGCTTGGCTCATCAGGTATGGCGATTTTTGTGATTCGTCACACTCGCTGATTATGAATGACACAACAACAGTGGAATCTCATCGTCGGTGACCTTTTCAAGGTCAAAGATGACTACGGGATCTATGGAGACATGGCGCAAGAACTAATTACGTGGCTACGCAGCAAGACACGTGTGCTCGCCATTCTCCGCAAAATACAGATGGCGACAATTGGAAAGACGCTCGCAGTTCTCAGGGCAGTGCTGACGCGTTGGATGTCTCATTATCTTGCCTATCGCCGCCTCCTTGAGCTTCATCCTGCACTCGAATTGCTTGTAACGAAGCACGAAGCTCATTTGATATCAGGTGGAGATGCACACTCACGCAGAAAGACTCAAACAGCCATTGCAACAATCAAAAACGCAACATTTTGGCATGCATTGGCACGGTACGGTTCAAAAATAAATGTAAAAATTGGAACTAATGCTCTCTGTAGATGGAAAACGTTGCTGGAGCCAATTTCCCTCATGACGAATGTTCATCAAGCAGCCCAGGCAAGACCCGAAAATGTTGCAATATCATTTGGTTTTCTGCACTTTCGCTACTCCAAGATCGACAACAGCACTGATCTGGCAGCTCGTACAGCTGTTCTTGCAAGCGTCGAGCACCGCTGGGAACAGTGCGACCAGGAAGTCTTTATTGCTGCCATCATTGTGAATCCTTTCTATAAGGTTTCTCCATTCCGGAATGTACCCCTCACAATGCGTGCGGGGCTTGCGACACTTTTTGCACGTCTTTGGCGCCATTTTTACAACACTAATGATATACCACTTGATCTTTATATGGACTTGGACGACTATTTGAATAGCTCCCATGACTTCGCATACATGGACAACTACAAGCTTTCACTGTTATATCGCACAGAAAAGGAGGTATGCTTCATCAAACTGATTGTTTCAAGTTCAGAAGACATTGCTAACAGTCCTCAGGGTGTTTCGGTCGATCCAATCGATATATGGACAGGACTGTCACATCCCGGTTCAGCACGTCGACCACTTCATACTATCGCTCAACGTCTTCTCTCGATTTGCCCGAATTCCTGCCTCTTGCGAACGCCTATTTAGCATGTTTGGCGCGATTCTCACGAAATGGCGCAATCGGCTCTCAACTGAGACGCTCACCCTTCTGGCAGAACTCAAGATGTATGTTCATGAGGAGCATGTACGCAATGACGTGGTCAAGAAGCGGCTTCAGCGCCGGTACTGTGACACCGAGGACACTGACAAAGCAGAGCCTACTCAAGTAGTTCATGCAGTTGGTGATGATCTATCAGGAGAAAGCAGTGAACGGGAGCCACGCAGCCTTGCTTTCGAGAGGCGAGGGATAAGCGATGTTGCCGCAGACCTTATCCGAGCTGTTCAGGAGGAGGAGGAGATTTCCGCCACAGAATCAATGCACTCAGTCCCCGTCGGTGCTGTCGGTGGTTCATTCTCCCGCATTGCTATCAATGACTTACTTGACTATTCTCGTGCGGAGGAATGGCTAGGGATCTTTTTATAAAGTCGCCATTCGAGGTTTAGACGCTGAGCTTGAGTTGTATGAGCTTCTTGACTTAGATGCAGAGGGAATCGACGATCCAGACTTTCCTCAAGCTGACGATGTTCTTGACGAGTAGATTCAGAAAATTAGTGCTACCTTAGTAGTAGTAGTAGTAGTTGAGTACTATCCATTCTGCGATCGTTGACGCACCGTGTACTGCACTTTGAACATTCACTCCTGCTTCATCGTCCAATCAGACATGATTATCTAATATCCAAGCAGGACATCTGGCACTGCACGGGTTCAGTTCACTTGCATCCATGGGAAAGTTCGCAGCTGAACGTACATTAACTTTGATGAACGTACACTGACCGGCAGAACACTGCGTGCAATGTCCTCGATTTGGACGCGCGCAACTTCGCTATCCATAATTGAATGTGACAGCACATAACGTGATGGTGCTTGATACGAGGGCCGAATTTCATCAAGGAAGTTACGGAAAAACCAGTTCTCCGCAACCAAGAAAGGTATATTAGCGTGAACGATGAATCTGTGGGTTTAATATTCACACAGTCAGTACACAGTCAATGATTTGTGACACTTGAACTCACCGAAACAATTTGAAATTTGCACGTGTTGCTTGCTCTGGAGTGACTGGAAGATCCACGAATCCAAAGAGGTTCTTCTGTTTCTGTGGAGCTTTAGCTGTGTCTCCTGAAGTTGATGGGGATGAAGAATCTGCATCCACGATAGGTGGGAGTAGTAGTGCTTGATTTCCGTTCTTTGTAGCGAGATAGTTACGGACTTCTGTGCGAGCGTGATCTGGAGCCGTAGGGCAAATATTCCGGTCAAGAATATGCTTGAGATGTTTGTCGTCGCCGCTCGCGACCTTCTATAGACGTCGAACAGTAGTTGCATTTGTAAAAATAACGGTTGGATGAATTTTGGGCTTTTCGATCCTGGATAAAGTGGTTGGTGATGATTTTTCGAGTAGGGCGGCCCGTAGACTTTTTCGAGGACATATTGGCATGCACGGAGGCTCAGATACACTTATTCGAAGTCAAACATATTCTATTTGATGATAATACAAATAAGATTCACGTTGACTTCTGCCGACTTCTGCCCAACGCCCTCGACCTACTGCCGGCAATTGCCGTTTGGCAATTGCCATTGGCAGAATGGCGGACTTCTGCCAACAACACTAGGTCTTGTGGATAAGTACAAAAAAAGTGGGAAAAGTAAACGCGTGATTTCCTGATGTACATTGTCGCCCTCTTATTAGGATCTGGCTAAAAACTCGTTTCCGCAGTGAGTACTGTATCTACTTGCGCCGTAATGTTAATGTGTCACAGTACTCCAAAGATGCTGCTCAAATTCTTATCAGGTGGTCTTTGCAACGAGGGTGAGTATGACACGATTTGCATTAGCTTATCTTTTTACCTGACTCTACCTAGATTTGTGCCTTTACCCAAATCCTCGCAGCCCCATCGTATCATATCCAACAGCCAAGTGTTCGACTGGAACATCGAACTGACAGACATGGCCAAACTTGACGCGCTGGATCGGGGGAAGGAGGGCGCAGTTACATGGAATCCAGTCGACGTCGATTCAGGAGCAGTGGATGGCCAGGGTCAGCCGCATCCTCTCGTCTCAAGTTTTAGACAGCAATGTGTCTACAACGAGCAAAGAATCAGATTCCTTCGTTCCCGAGTTTGAAATACAACAAAGTTTCGATCATAGCAGGATAATACAGCAAGCACTAATCAATCAATCAACTGCGGTTTCCCAAAGGTCAACAAGAGGCCAACAAACTATCTATATGAGCATGTGACCGTAGAAAGCCCAGCGCCAACAGCAAACGAACATACACCGTAACCCCTTACAGCAATCAAGTACCATTGCTGAAGGTCATGAGTCTTCGGCGAATGTCTAATAGGCGTTGTTTTCTTGTCGCGAGCATTGTGCGTCTCTGAGTGATGGAAGCATCTTCGCTGACCAACTCAGCGAAGTCGGGCCCAGATGCAACATCAGTTAGCAAACTCGTAAGAAGGCTCTGCGAAAGTTGGTTCGCCAGGGCATGATGGAGAGCATGCTCGATCGTCAGAGGAATATGGTCAATGACGCGCTACTCGGGGTCGTAAACAAGCTGAAACAGAGATTATGAGCGATACTCACTTTGTAGGCAACGTGATAATAGGCTCGAACATCAGCCATCACAATCAGCTCTTCCTCGAACGAGTCGGGAGGCAACAGACGCGCAAGATCTGGTACCGTAAGATTTGTGTACCCCGCTTCCGCAAGAGCCCTCAAAGCTTTGGCCTCGAGTGGCTCTGAATCGCAGCATCGCCAACCAGGACTGGGCCTTGGTGTTCCCCAAGGAACAGGCGGCGGCAAACTGGTGAGGTCAGGTTCCGCCGATATAGAGTTTCGCGACTCAGATCGTTGAACGGGAGCCTTGTACCGAGAAGGGTTACTGCGAACTGTCTTATAATGGGCTAGCCATTTTTCGCGGAGTGTTTGAAGATAATGCGTGTTCTGAGTATAGTGTGGAGTAGTTTCCAGATCCAAGGCCGTATTGACAGCTGCTCGGGCGCGCGCCTTGCAGATATCAACCTCAATTCTAATCAGATTGCTATTGTCACAGACAACTTGAGCGAATGGAATAGTCATGAGGGGTCAACACTCACCCAACATAATCCTCGAGAACTTTGAAGCGACCAAAATGGATGCCTATGAGTGCGCTGACGACTTGATCAACCACAACATTGACACCAGCGAGACAGCGCTCAGACGGAGCAACCCAGAGTTTGGTGAATTGAGCGATGAGGTTCGCCTTCGCCTGATATGGCACATTTTTCGGAAGTTCCCATCCAATTGCCCTTGATGAATGGTTGAGCTGCCGTCCAACTGCCACAACAAAATATGAAAACATACTCGTGGATGACCCTGCGGATGTCATATATGCCCATCGCTTTCACGCCAGGATCTCGCTCAAGAAGAGTCATCTTCCCCTCAGTATCGTCCAGTGGAACATAGTCTTCCGGTTCATTGAAAGGCCTGAAGTCAGGAGCGGTACCGCGTATATCCCTCTTGAAAATGGCATAGAGAGCGCGATTCCGCTGCGCAAGACGTTTGTCTTCGTGACTGCCATTCACAAAGCTCTTGAAGACATCGCAGAACGCATTGACTCGTTCCAAAACCTCAATCTGTGGGTCATTTGCAAGTGGCAGAGGTAGTGCGTCGATGTCCTTTATACATTTGACAAGGAGCTTGTCGATATCTTCTCTGAGGCGCGGTAAACTATAAACGATGTAAGCGCTGTTATAACGAGTGAGCTAGAAGGTCCACGCACGCTTCCTCGATCAACTGGATGAGCAGTCGGCTTACATCGGAGACAAAGCCCGGAATTCCAAACCGACGACGGTCGATCATGTCGCTCCAGGGTGACGTCGTGTCAAAATACTCTGCAGCTCGCCTTTGTGATTCAGCACGAGACAAGCGTTGTGCGCGTTCGGCGTCATCAGGAAGACGGACGCAGTAAAAACCATGCCTCAGCGTATGCTCCTCCGAACGGCCCTCGATAATTTCTACCCATTTACGACGCTGACTGATAGCTCCAACACCGAGCGTGTCAGGCTTCGTAAGCACACCTGAACAATTTTGAGTCATTCAATTATACTGCAGTATGGGCGACTCACCAATTGTTCGCTTTCCACTGGGGTCTGCGGCCCTGGCGAGACTCATTGATTGCTGATTTTCCATATCATCTGGCACAGAACTCATGAACTCGATGAAAAAGAATTTCGCAGCTCATACACATACCGCTCATGGGAATTGTGGTCAATATGATAGTGTTCTCTGTCTCGGTGTAATGTTCCGCCATACTTTTCACCAAGGCGACGGTTTCGGCTTCTTCATTCTGTATCAAGCCTTCAACACCCATCAGATATGTCGTCTCGATCCAGATCAGCATATGCTTACCCGGCAGATCATAGAATGACAAGTCAGTGGCATCGGGGTCTTCAATCGAGACGCACACCACGTTGCGGGAGAACTTCAGTGTATTTCTTGCGCTCCTGAGTTCCTCGATGGTCTTTATGTGGAAACTCGAAGAAGGAATGTTCGGGTTCAAAATGGCTGCTTGGGCACGACGCAGCCAAACTTCGACCTCACTTCTGTCGGTGATCACTGGGCCGAAGGACACAGTAATAGGCTTTTGCAGGTCTCGGCCACTATCAGGGTAAATTCGCAAGGTGATAGTGCAGGACCATGACGTGGCATGACTGGACATCGAACATTCCATAGGGCATCTGCGTATGGTAGTGTGAGCACGCCTTGCAGTGACTGATGACAGCAGGGTCACCTGGTACACGTTCCGCTATCTCTTGGGACATTGATCTTTAACAGAATAAAAAAAAATAGACAGAACGACAAATTATCTGCTGACGTACCCCACTAACGGCCTCTACGAGTGAGCTTTTGCCCGCTGAAATATGAGGTTGAACACAACTGCAGTTGCAAAGGGAGGCGACCACAAACCGGATTGACCACCAATCACGACTACGGATGGTATGTCGATCAGCGCGTCGGCACTGTAAGAGATAGCATGAGCAGTCTCGTAATCGGATTCACAAGCACCCACCCCATGCATCGGAGGTCGGCCATCATCTCCATAAGCTCTCTCCGCCTGCGGGCATAGTCACTGGACGATATGTCTACTTCAACCCATGCCATGTCTGGAGGGCTAACGGAACCAGAACTTGGAACGGAAGGAAGAGACATTTCATCAAGAGACGGAACGATCGAAGGTACTTCAAGTTGTTCATCAATAGACGGAATGATCGAAGGTGCTGGAGCGTTAAGAGACTGCTCGGTTGCAGGTGCTTGTCTGCGTCTATTGCGAAGTAAATCCATGGTAGACGAGATGTCAAAAGCGAATTGCACACAATATCCGGATGACCTCTGTTTTTATGCGCCAGCGTTCGATCTAGAGGCTTCTTTGTCACTGTAAGTGCGCATCACGGCCATCCAGGGGAAACTACTGGCGTGCCGAGTAGAAGAAGATAAAGCGCCTTCAGATGAGTCGCGCAGCAACCATCAGCACATGGACACGGATATTGGCGACACGTTGTTGTGTATTAAGGGTGATCCCTATACAACCAATTGTAGGAGATCTGCGATGACCTTGTTCGGGCATTTTTTGATAAACATCGATAGATTATCATTACGAGCCCGTGCACGCACGCTAAATGTATGCCAGAAGATTAGCACACACGTACAGGAGATAAGGCTATTATCACATATGTACGCGTATGAACTCTCCATAGGACCACCTAGTAGAGGTGAAGGTGCAGACAGGCGCGCGCTTCAGTTTCAGGGAGGGTGATTCTGTGAATTTCAGAGCACGTGCAAGATGGATGCCAAAGACTGACCACAAGTCCTAGTAATCACTAGCGACTGAGTACAATACTTTCAATGATCCTGATACAGCTCTTTATACCCTTTGCAAACCTGTCCACGATGTTAGCGACACCCCAAACACCAGGATCAGGAGGAACGCCAACCCCTCCTTCCCCACCCCTGCCATCATCGCAATGCCTGCCCTAATCGTGTCGTCATCCGCTAGGTTTTTTCCGCACCTTCGTTCGCATAACAGCATCTTCCAGTGGAGCACGCATCAGACGAAAGCCTAGCACGGAATGGAGTTAGGGCGTCGATGATGGTTCTATCTCCCAGACGGGCAGGGAAGAAAAGGCGTGTGCTCCTAACTAGGCACTGGACTGTGTACCTTCAAACTTCAAATGTTAACCTTCATGACTGCTGCTTTACGTGGTCTTTGCTTTGTACGGTTCCAGAAGGACGTAACGACCGTCCTACGTACTTATATATGTTCCCAACGCAGTTAGAGCTGCGCTTACTGAGTGGGTCGCTTAATGAAAGCAGGGCGTTGGACCATGCTGCGGATAAGAAAGTATTATCAAAGTACAGACGAGTCATTTATGTTATTCATATCCCAGAATAGACAACTCACGAGCAGTACCACCCCTCCCTTCCAATACCAACATAATGCGGCAGGAGCTACTTATTTTTCCTGGATTAAAGGTGTCAGAGTCGATGACCGCAAGGACAGCTGTATTCGAATCAGGATCACAGGCAAGCGAACGGTATGTACTAACAAACCTTTGGCACCACCAGCGACTGACCAGCGAACGTATCTCCGCAGGCTACCATCGCCCACAATCGTGTCAATCCAGTGTCATCTTGCCAAGTTGAATCCACGCCAGATGAAGTCCCAGAAGGAGAAGAGGAGAAGTGAATGTTCGTAGCAGTACTTGCCTCCGCCACACAGGCTGTCTTAGTCGCTGCGTGTTTAAAGAATGTTAAAGGACTGAGTATGATGTGCACTTACAGACGAAGCAGGGTTCAGTGCAACTGCATTGTACAGCGATAAGCCTTCGAGAGAGATGTAAATGTGTTTGTGAGACACTGCAAGATGTCACATAAGCTTCATGAACTAAGGGGTCGTTGTTTAAACCTGATAAATGTGACTACGGGGCAGCAAAGACGAAAGATCGTGGGCACCTTGTTTGATGAGCATGGGTCATGAATAGTTCAGCCAGGAGGCCACTTGACTCACTTGAGAAGCGATATAGTGACGGAAGCTAATAGACTAGCGTGCTCAGCGAACTACTTCTAACCTCCAAGTACTTCGCATGCCGAAATAGTTGGACTCTCGGATATATTCTACTACCTCATCTCTAAACTAGCAAGGAGCTTGAAATTCCTTAGAAAAGCTAGAAGGTAAAACAGATATCAGCCAACTCTTGTTCCAACTGAAGAAGAGAATTCAGGACACTTATGGTCCATATGAGTGGCGCCCCCCCCCCCCATTCGAACCATAAGTACACCCACACAGTCTCCATGTAAACCTTACGAAGGAAGATGCAGCCAATCAAAATCGGTGAATACCGATGAGCCGGATCACCGACTCTGTGTGCTAGTATACGGGCCTTCTCTGTAGACTCGTAACCAGTATGACTACGTCCTTGAATGAGAAGAGTCTTGACGTGTGGCACTCGACTTGTCCGTCTCTCCCTGAGCTACCGTGACCATATGGTGGTAGTCTTCAAGATTTTTCACTTCCCTCCGGGCCGCATCCCCACAGCGCCGCGAGGCCTCGAAACCTTCCCGAGTCGTATCTAAGTTCAAGACTCCAACCAGTCGCAGGCACACCTCGCAAGTCACACGCTGCTCTTCTAATTGAACAATATCCGACCTGGCATATCGCCCCGACTTTTCCAGCACCTCGTTTCGTTCCCAGTGTCCGGTTCAATCTACGCAGTTTCCTTCCTCTGAAACTTAACCGCCGTCGATTTGTACTCGCTCATTGAATGGCTGCCCGCAAATACTACAATTGAAGGGCACGCAGAAGCCGGGCTAAATGATTTTCGTAGAGAACCGCCCGGCACACTGCGGCTACAACAAGGCTGGATCCATATACACGTTACGGTAATTCGACTAGAACCAAGCACGACGACGCCCAGACAACCACAATATTCCAGCGCTAAGCAGGATACTTAGGCGACCTGGGCGATATCATCACTATGACTGCAAGGTGAGCTTTTAAACGTGCTTTATACTGAGTACTTCTCGTCCTATCGCTGGGAAGATCCTTCCCGAGACGTGCCAGTCCATAGCATCCTATCATGTTTTCTGATGACCCACTATTTCTTACAGATACTGCCACCAATGAACCAACGACTCTGCGTCAGTTCACCGAAAATAAGGCAAGCTCGTGACTACATATCGCCTTGCCACTTCAGAATCTGGACGGTGAAGCACAAGTATGTACTACAGTATTCTAAAGGACAACTTGAGCTCAGACTCTTCAAATAGCGGGCCGAAACATGCTGTGTACCCTGGAGCAACCTCCGCCATGCTCAGCAACTTTTTATCGCAATAGTACGCGCTGTCGATTCAATCAATGGCCTAAAGATCAAGTCGGCGTTCAAACCTACACAACAAAGGTCCTTGCAGCTTGACGGATGTGTGCCGCACCGTAGCACCCGGAATGCGGCTCACGGGGCGACAGTCGCATGACAGGCTCAAGAATCACCAGCCTCTTTCAGCTTTACGATGGTGTTTCTACACCTACCCGAAGGATTTTCGCGAGGCTGGTCTAGAGATGCCTGTTGTGAACCAAATCGAGGTGAGCATCTCTATGATTGGCTCATACGACCATGACGAGGAAGCTGAAACTATTATCAGTTACATCCATTCTGCCAGCAAAAACCCATTATTGAATATTGTCGCAAGAACAAGATTATTGTCCAGGCACACTCCCCTCCTGTGCCGTAGTGCTCTGGACATCCCAGTCATCCAAGAGCTTGCCGTAAAGGTGACTATATACTGTATCTGCTTGCGTCATAATATTAATCTGTCGCAGTACTCTAAAGATGCTGCTCAAATTATTATCAAGTGGTCTTTGCAACGAGGGTGAGTATGACACGATTTGCATTGACTCATCTTGTTACCTGACTCTACACAGATTTGTGCCTACCCAAATCCTCGCAGTCCCACTGTATCATATCCAACGGCTGAGTATTCGACTAGAACATCGACCCTACGGACGTGGCAAAGCTTGACGCGCTGGACCGCGGGAAGGAGGGGGCAGTTACCTGGAAACCAGTTGACATCGATCAAGGAGTAGTGAATAATCGGGGTCAGCCCTCAGAGACACCTCCTTGTCGCCACAGGTTTTATACCGATACTACAAGCAAACGATGATATCCCTTTATTCACGAGTTTGAAATGTGAGTATAACAAAATACATAACACGGGAACCGCTGCATAAATAGCCAATCATGATTTGTCAGACAAGGTCAAGAAGAGGCCAAGAAGACGGAAGAACTATCGATGTAGCCCAGCAACAAACAAACATACGTTGTGACACCCCAAGGCCTCACAGTGATCCAGCACCATTGCTGAAGGTCATGAGTCTCCGGCGAATGTCTGATAGGCGTTGTTTTCTTGTCGAGAGCGTTGCGCGTTTCTGAGCTATGGAAGCATCTTCGCTGACCAACTCGCTCATACGCTCAGAGAAGTTGGGCCCAGACGCAACATCAATCAACAAGCTCGTAAGAAGGCTCTGCGAAAGATGGTTCGCCAGGGCATGATGGAGAGCATGCTCGATCGTCAGAGGAAGATGGTCAATGATGCGCTGCTCGGGGCGATAAACACATTAAAACGAAGATGATGAGTGAGACCTACCTTGTAGGCAACGTGATAATATGCCCGAACATCCGCCATCACAATTAGTTCTTCCTCGAATGAGTCAGGAGGTAACAAACGCGCAAGATCTGGTACCCTAAGATTCGGATACCCCGCGTCTGCAAGAGCCCTCAAAGCTATGGATTGGGGCGTATCTGTCATCGAGTGAACGCGTGATGGAGCATATGCCCGGGTCGGCTCGATACTCTCATAAGAAAACACCTCAGCCTCCCCACCCTCCTCCATAGACTCCGCATATTCACTCATTTATACTGATAAGGCTTGGTCCGAACTGTCTTATAGTGAGCCAGCCATTTTTCGCGGAGGGTCTGAAGATAATGCGTGTTCTGAGTATAGTATGGAGTGGTTTCCAAATCCAAAGCTGTTTTGACAGCTTCTTGAGCGCGCGCCTTGCAGACATCCACCTGAATTCTAATCAAATTGCTAATGTCAAAGACAACTTGAGCAAAGGGAACGTTCGTGAGGTGTCAACGCTTACCCGACATAACCCTCGAGAACTTTGAAGCGTCCGAAATGGATACCTATAAGTGTGGTGATGACCTCATCAAGCACATCGTTGATAGTAGCGAGACAGCGCTCAGATGGAGCAATCCAGAGTTTAGTGAATTGAGCGATGAGATTCGCCTTCGCCTGGTACGGCACGTTGTTAGGAAGCTCCCATCCAATTGCACTTAATGAATTGGTGAGCTGCCGTCTAACTGTCACAACAAAACACGAAAACATACTCCTCAATGACCCTAGAGACGTCATATATGCCCATCACTTTCACGCCAGGGTCTCGCTCAGTAAGGGTCATCTTCCCTTCAGTATCGTCCAGTGGAACGTAGTCTTCCGGTTTATCAAATGGCCTAAAATCGGGAGCAGTGCCGCGTATATCCCTCTTGAAAATGGCATAGAGAGCGCGATTCCGCTGCGCAAGACGTTTGTCTTCATGGCTGCCATTCACAAAGCTCTTGAAGACATCGCAGAACGCATTAACTCGTCCCAAAACTTCAATTTGTGGGTCATCTGCAAGTGGTGGAGGCAGTGCATCAATGTCCTTGATACATTTGGCAAGGAGCTTCTCGATGTCTTCTATGAGACGCGGTAAACTATAAACAATGTGTGTTCGGTTAGCGAGCTAGCTAGCTAGAAGAGGGTCCACGCACACTTCCTCGATCAACTGGATGAGCAGTCGGCTTACATCAGAGACGAAGCCCGGAATTCCGAACCGATGACGGTCGGCTACGTCGTTCCAGGGTGACGTCGTGTCAAAATACTCTGCAGCACGCCTTTGCGATTCAGCACGAGACAGGCGTTGAGTGCGTTCGGCATCATCAGGAAGACGGACGCAGTAAAAACCGTGTCTCAGTTTGTGATCCTCCGAACGGCCCTCGATAATTTCTACCCATTTGCGGCGTTGGTTGATAGCTCCAGCACCAAGCGTGTCAGGCTTCGTAAGTACACCTGGTCAACTTTGAGTCTTTAGTCATACTGCAGTATGGTCGACTTACCAATCGTTCGCTTTCCATCGGGGTCCGCAGTCCTGGCGAGACTCATCGATTGTTGATTTTCCATGTCGTCTGACACCGCACACATGAACTCGATTAAAAATTATTTCGTAGTTCGTGCACGTACCGCTCATGGGAATTGTGGTCAATATGATAGTGTTATCTTTCTTTGGTGTAATGTTCCGCCATACTTTTCACCAAGGCAACAGTTTCGGGTTCTTCGTTCTGTATCAAGCCTTCATCCCCCATCAGATATGTCGTCTCAATCCAGATGATCAGCATATACTTACCCGGTAGATCGTAGAACGACAAATCAGTCGCATCGGGGTCTTCAATCGAGACGCACACCACGTTGCGGGAGAACTTCAGTGTATTTTTTGTGTTCCTGAGTTCCTCGATGGTCTTTGTGTGGAAGCTCGAAGAAGGAAGGCTCGGGTTCAAAATTGCTGCCTGGGCACGACGCAGCCAGACTTCAACTTCACTTCTGTCGGTGATCGTTCGGCCGAAGGGCACAATAGTAGGCCTTTGCAAGTCTCGGCCGTTGTTATCGGGGTAAATTCGTAAGGTGATAGTGCAGGACCATGATGTGGCATGACTGGACATTGAACATTCCATAGGGCATCTGCATATGGTAGCGTGAGCATGACTTGCAGTGACTGACGACAGCAGAGTCACCGTGTACATGTTCCACTATCTCTTGGGACGTTGATCTATATCATAATTTTTTTAAAATGGGCAGAACGACAAATTATCTGCTGACGTACCCCACTAACGGCCTCTACGAGCGAGCTTTTTCCCGCTGAAAAAATACCTGATTGAGCACAGCTGTGGTTGCGATGGGAGGTGACCACAAACCGGATTGGCCACCAATCACGACTACGGATGGTATGTCGATCAGCGAGTCGGCACTGTCAAAGGTAATGTGAGTAGTCTCGCAATCAGAACCATAAACACCCACCCCATGGATCGGAGGTCAGCCATCATCTCCATAAGCTCTCTACGCCTGCGAGCATAGTCACTGGACGATATGTCCGCTTCAACCCATGGCTCTGGAGGGCTGGCGGAACCAGAAAGTGAAGAAAGAGATGGAGACGGGTTAATTGAAGTTGCCTTTCTGCGTCTGCTGGGAAGTAAATTCATGGTGGACTAGATGTCAGAAGCGTGTTGCACACAATACCCAGACGACCTCTGTTTTTATACGCCGGCGCTCGATCCAGAGGCTTATTGGTCATACATGTCAATGTACAGTGTGTATCACGATCCAAGGGAAGAGAAAGCACCTTCATATATCGTACACACAGCATCCATCAGCGCATGGACACAGCTGTTGGCGACACAGTGTTGTGTATTGAGGGCGATCCTATGTCATAACCAATCGTACGAGATCTGCGATGACCTTTCCGGTAAATCATGCGTTCTGGCATTGTTTCTGATAAGTATCACCGACTCAGAGCCTGTCCACGCACATCAAGTATACAGGAAGACGCACACACGTACAGGAGAAAGTTGTTATCACATACAGGAAGCGGGCCCCACATGAGATCTTCATAGCCATAGAGGTGAAATGTGCAGACGGGCGCGCTTCAAGAAGCAGTGAGGTCAAAGGTGTGAATTCAGAATACAACGCACCATGTCATGTGGCACCAAGAGATCAAAGAAGGTCTAATTCTAGTCATTAGGGGGGACCAAGTATACAGCGACCATACTTCCAACGATCCTAGTACAGCTATACCCTCTGCAAACCTGTCCACAATGTCAGCGATTCCAAAGCACCAGGATCAGGAGAAACGTCAACCCCGCTTTGCCCCACCCCCATATACAATACCCACCCTAATCGTGCCGTCATTCCGAGTTTCTTTCGGCACCTTCTTCCGCAGCTATAACAGCATCTTCCAGTGAAGCATTATCAGACGAAAGCACAGCACAGAATGGGGTTAGGGCATCGACTACGATTCTATCTCCCAGACCGTGACAGCGGTGCCCCTAACGCGGTTAGAGCTGCGCTTAGTGAAGGTGAGCCATCGTGCTGTGAAGAATATTGCGAAAACTATAACTATCAAAGCACAGTGATCATTTATGTTATTCATATCCCAGAATAGATCACTCACGAGCCTTCAGCAGTACTGCTGCTCCCTTCGAATTCCAGTATGTCACCTACCTTACCACCAAATGCGGCAGGAGCTATCTTTGCTAGATCAAGGGTGTTGGAGCCGAGGGCCGCAAGGACAGCTATATTCGAATCAGGATCACAGGCAAGCGAACAGCAGGTACTCTCAAACAAACCCAAGCTTTGACCCACTAGCGATTGTCTCTCCGCAGTCATCATCGCCCACAATCGTGTCATATCTAGCTCAGGTTCCGGCCAGCACAGCTTGACGTGTTCCCCTGATGTCCTTGATCACGTTCTCTCCTAACATACCCAAATCCTGCCAAGTTGAACCCACGCCTAGATGAACATTGAGAAGTCCAGAAGGATTCAAGGAAAAGAAGTGGGAGTTCGTAGCAGTGCCTCTGCCACACAAGCTGTCTTAGTGGCTGCATGTCTAAAGAATGTCCATGGATCGAGTATGATGTGCACCTACTACAGACGAAGCGCATGGTTCAGTGCGACTGCGATTTGAGAACGAGGCCTTCCGAAGAGATGTAAATGTGTTTGGGAGACATGGCAAGATATCACACCATAAACTTCATGAACTAATAAAGCCGATGAATGTGACTACGGGGCAGCAAAAGAAAAACTGTGGACGCCTTGGTTGATGAGCATTTAGCATGGAGCCATGAATCGTTCAGTCAGGTCACTCAGGCTTGAATCGCTTGAGAAGCGATGGCCTAGTGACGGAAGCTACATCGACACTAGCAGAGAACTATAGGCTAAGTCCCCTAGCCAGACCTTGTAAAAGAAGGAAGACGGTCGTTCCTTCTTTTTCAAGGCGAGTTACTTAGCTCAGAGTCAATTTGAAAGCGGTCAATCAAAATCGGCGATTACCGATGAGCCGGATTCTGCTCTCGGAGGATACTTACCACCAGACACCAAGAGTTTTGACGCCACTCGACTTCTTGAAGTTGTATACAAGCACGATGACGCCCAGACAGCTACACCATTCCGGCGTTTGGCAGAATAAGTGACCTAGGCGATATCATCTTCGTGCTGGAACGCAAAGTGAGCTTTTGTAACGTGCGCTCTACTGAGTGTGCTCATCACTGGGTCCTGTCGATGGGAAGATCCTTCCTGCGACGTACCAGCCCCATGATGGTATCCTACATATCGTATTTTCTGATGGCCCGACATTTCTTACAGATACCGGTACCAATGAACCAGCGACTCTTCATCAGTTCCCCGAAGATAAGACAAGCTCGTGATCGTCGCCTTGCGACTTCGGAATCCGGACGGTGAAGCACAAGGTATGTACTGGAATAGTTCTACAGGACAACTTCAGCTCATATCCTTTAAATAGCGGGTCAAGACATGCTGTGTACCCTGCTTCACCGCGGAGCCGACTCCAGTAACCGAACCGGTCTGAGCACCTTCTGCTATGGTCGGCAACTTTTCATCATGATAATACACGCTGTCGATTCAATCAGTCGCTTAAAATCAAGTCGGCATTCAATCAATTGCAGCTTGACGGATGTGTCCCGCACCGCGGTACGTGGAATTCGGCTCACGGGACAACAGTCACATGACAGGCTCAAGAATAACCAGCATCCTCCAGCATCACGGTGGTGTTCCTACACCTATCGGTCAAATGCATTGACGGATGTCATGCATGACATCGGCGAAATATCACCGTATGTACCACGTCAGCGCCACTCAACCTCAAAGCACCTCATGGACAGTACATGATCATGCTTCGGCGACTTTCCTTGTTCCTTGCTCACATCTGCCAAGGGCTCGAGCGCTCAAGAGTCGAGAGTTCAAGTGGTGTTGGCTGCGCCTACTCACAGGCAGATATAGAAGTTTGGTTGTGATCTCCTCACTGCCACGAGATCGTTGTCGAGTGTTGGTTTGGGCCGTTACGCTTCCAACTTGGTCTCCCGTCTCCAGCTTCCGATGTGGGCAAAATTCGAAACCTTTACAACCCATGCGATCGTATTGGTCCGCCCCAAAGGTATCTTAAACGCCATATCATTTGTGTCTTTAGCTCATAGCCTGTAGGTGTTCCTATCATCTGCCTTTACCTCCGGATCGTCCCTTACTATTCTTGGGTAACAGACTCAAGCTGGATATTAAGTAACCATCGTCGGTCCGCCGTCGGCATATTCTGCGTGAGGAATGCGATAGTGCGGTCAGTCTGCTTATTCTTTCTGTCCTCAAATCGAGACTCACTTTCATAGCTATAGAAAACATCGATGCGCACCCACCGGGTCTGTACATCGATCGGAAATTTATCTCAATATCTTAGCTCGCTGACGGAGAACAGTTTTACATCCAAGTACTTACCTCTTCGACGATGGTTGTGACCCCGAAGGGCACAGAAACGGGATCCGACCCATCCGTATCATGGGATGTTTTTAGATTTCAGCTACCGTGTATATAACTTAGTTGAATCCACATCCCATGACGTTTGAAAGGGCTTGCGTTACTGACGGATTCTATGTTAGCCTGGAGATATCGCCATGTTTTCGCGGAGATGGAATTGACTTATGGGTCCTTCAGGTGATTTGGCAACAACAACAACATCCCACCCCTGGCGCTCGGCCCCTATGAGTCCTTCGAGAAATATTGAGATTCAAAGTCCCCCTGGTGACGTGGTCGGGTCGGCATCTTAAATTCATCTCCATTGTGAACAATAAGTACTTCCTTGCGGTTTGGACTTTCTGGCAGGCGCGTCGACGTTCCTCCGTGACCCTCTTTTCGTTGATTGAGTTTGAATACTTAAATTTGGCGATCTACAGGCTATAAATATGGGAAACACGTGATTTACGACATGGTATTTTTAGGTAGAGGGAGGGTGAACGGCATGGTGCGGCACATGGCTATATATACCGATTATGCGTGTCTTTTACATTTGGGTGTTCTGTTTCTCCTCCCACCACCGTTTCCAAATTTCAATCGCTGTGAAAAGGAACGTACGTACCGTGCATCCTTTTCCCAACCGGGTCAGACACAAAGAATATCCTCGCTAGGCCAATTTTAAACTCCCGCCTATTTGTGGCTCGACACCTCTTTTAATCATCTGCATCTTTTCCCCTTCCTCTAAACATTTCCAACCATACAAGCTTAACATCAAGCTAATCAACATGCGTTTGTCGTCGCTCTTTACCTCACAGACCACAGTCTCTTCTGCTCTCATTGCAATTGCACTCTTTACTTCGACCGCCAGCGCTCAGGACCGTACCAGTGAACAAGGCGAGGCACAGATCACTGGTGAGCACTAAATTCTCATTCCTGTACGCGAGTTATGGGCATGCGCGCGCACGGGGCGAAAATTGAGATATGTGTATATGTTGGCGCGGGGTACAGCCTCACCCTTTGCAATTGTCACATTGACGCAAGGCGGCGCACGCCCCTTCAGCTATCGTGCTTCAGTGGGTTGTTCAATTTGGACGCGCCCAAAATTTTCGCTTGAAACTTCTGCCCGACCACTTATCTCCGAATACCGGGGAGCCGAGGAGCGCTTCGGGCACTTCCATGCGGATATTATGACGATGGTGATGCTGCGCAAAAGGAGTTGCGCTCATTGCCGCTCATTGCGCGCGTACTTTGAACATTTATCTCAGGAAGGGCAATAATAGAACCTCATTTCCGCCCACTTTTGGCGTAGGATCTTCGAATTACGTACTTCATATTTTGTCACTTTTTCAGCATGGTTAACAATCACTGATCACCATTCGACTCAGACGCAACTGAAGAGTGTACAGCATATTACTACGCTCCTGTTGGCACTGCTGTGGCAGCGGGCGAGTTCCCGACTATTTGGGTACCGGCGACCATTGTCGGCAATGACACCAATGCTCAAGCCAAGTACCAATCCATCCAAAGTCAAATCCCAAATATCCAACCCAAGGGCACGCAGCCTGCCTCCCTTACGGGTGACTTCAGCAACTTTACCCCGACGTACCCTTCGTCTGACCCAGATTGCTGGTGGACATACGACCAATGCACTACTCCGAAATTGGCCGGATTGCCTCCAGATCTGGCTGCCGTCCCAGAGGTATGTTTTTTTATCTCATCATAATTCAGTAATTGATGTTGTCTAGCCGGACACTCTCGGTTATGGATTCGACGATGGGCCTAATTGCTCCCACAATGCGTTCTACGACTTTTTGCTAGAAAATAACCAGAAAGCCAGTGCGTCTTTTTTGATCATTTTAGCTTCATTGCATCCTTAATGGAATATAGCCATGTTCTACATCGGCAGTAATGTCATGGACTGGCCTCTTGAGGCGCAGCGTGGCATAGCCGATGGCCATGAAGTTTGTGTTCGTGAGTCTTGGCATGCTCGCCGATGTGATGGTCCATTGATGTCATACTGGCGCAGATACTTGGTCCCACAGATATAGTAAGTGCTATGTTGAACGCCTTTCATACCCAGGTGGTGATCATGCTATCCGTAGTGACTTCTTTGACCAACGAGGAGGTCTTTGCAGAGTTTTACTACAGTACGTCGTCTAACGTTGTCTCCTTACCTTCCACTCTAATGACCCCTTCATAGCCGTGAGAATTCTGACCAAACACAGTCAAAAAATTGTTGAATTTAGCTTCTAGATGCAAGCGATCAAGTTGGTCGCCGGCGTAACACCTACTTGCTGGAGGGTAAGCATAATTGTTTACCAGATGTGCAACCGTCTAATAGATACATAGCCTCCCTTCGGCGATGTTGATGATCGGGTTCGGGCCATTGCCAACGCCCTGGGCTTGCGCACAATCATTTGGAAGTACGACTCCAACGATTGGCGTGCGGGCACCGGTAACATCACTACTGCTGATGTTGACCAGAACTACGAGAACCTCATTGCTCGTGCACAGAACGGCACCTTCTCCAGTGTAATTAAAACTTACCCACTCCAATCGCAAATTATGAATAACTGACACTGCTTGCAGGCGGGTACTATCATGCTCACACATGAGCTGAACAACTTCACCATGGCCGAGGCTGTGAAGTTCTACAGCCAGCTGAAAGCTGCATTCAAGTACCTCGTCCCCATGGGTGTTGCTACAAATCAAACTCAGCCATACGTCGAGACCAACTACTCTCTACCATCATTTAATCAATGTACGACATATGTTACTTTGCTCACATGCATGCATGTATTGACACTTGTCCAGACATCAGCGGTACAACGACCATCAGTGGTAGCGTTGCATTCCCCACAGATGGATCTAGCAGTTCAACAGGGTCTGGATCATCTTCTGGATCCCCTTCTGGATCATCTTCTGGGGGAACCACAGGTTCCACAGGTGCTGCGAACAGACCGTTATTTGAAGGTTTGGGAATGCTTGCTGCAGGTGCAACGTTCGTTGGCTTTGCTGTAAAACTTTTGGCGTAGGATCCCTCGTCCAGTTGTTGGGATGGCCATCAGCCTCTTCTGTTTTGTCTCTTTCTTCCTTGTCTTTGGTTCATTCCCGGCACACTCGATGATGTTTTTATTTCCAGTCGCGCATGCGCTATATTTCCAAACATCAGAACTTTCTCTACGCATAGCATACCTCGACATTTCTGTCGCTCATCATCACTAGACTCTCGCACCTGTCGATAAAGATAGCACCAAGCTCACACACCGATACGCTGGTGTTAGTTCTTACATCCTGTGCACGTCATCTAATATACCGGACCTCATTGATATCAATTCCTTGTTTGTTGTTCTTTTACTATGCTACCGGACTTGGTTTCTCACATTTTTCTTGCTTCAATGTTCCATTTGTTGGGCTCCAGACGATATTTCTTACAGTGTAATTACGATCCACGATGAACATAGATGATACGATGTGCGGGTTGCCTGTGAACGCTAGCGTTAGAGTGGTGATAGTAGGTAGTGATTAGAGTGTAGTGTTTACCACTGGGTAGTTCTTATTTTAGTTACATGTATTATAATATAATTAGGATACGATAAACATAGCCCTGCGACAAATTTATTTTGTCGCTGAAGTGCGGTGACGTCCGAAGGGGGCCAAAATTAAGTACACATGTAGATGTTGTATCGTATGGGCTTGGGTGTCCGTCAACCTTCATCAAGTTGACAGGCTAGATTGGTCGCATAGCCTGCAGCGCATGACTCACTCGATAAATTGAACGGAGATGTGATGAGCAGTGGGCGGTCTGAGCGTGGATTCGACAGCGCAGCTCCGTCGGTTGATGGCTGAGATGCGTCGGCAAGGGGGAAGTTAACTTTGTTTTTCCAGGTGGACCAACAGGAAAGAAGACGTTGTTCCTTCATGTGCCAATGAGAAACTACACGTAACTAGGTAATGTCCGGTTGCCTATATCGAACCAGCCCCAGATTGTACGATTATCGGTGCGCGATGTTGGATTTTGGTTACATAATATTCGTGGCAATCTCCGAGCGCTAATCGTTGTCTTCTGGTTGTATACAATTGAGTCGTCGTTCACCCTGTGGTTCGTTGATGTGGATGTTAGAGACAGGAATTAAACAGGAAACGAGGGTTTTCTTACGTGCTTGCAGGCTATTGGCCGAGGGTTTTGATATTTCTCTTAGCAAAAACAGTATATGTGCTTACCATGGCTAAACATCGGCAATAAGTCCCTGCGACCCATGATACGGGGTACTCAGATACAATACTTACGTGACATATGTGCCGCAGCGCAGCTTGACGTGAGTTTTTGAGACCCTGACAGGTCACGGTAGCCATAGGGAGGCGCTTCCGGTACCAAATGGTTATCGGGGACTGCGCTGCGGAATGTGCTATTAATAACGCTTGAATATTTCCGACTATATAGGGGACCTACGTAAGTTACAGTTCAACCGCAGCTGGTCATCAAGGTGTTGTCACTTCCGCCATGTTGTGGTTCACAGAGACATGGTGGAAGGCGGTAGCAAAGGGGTGTGCTACAAAGTATATACACGTATAAGTCAGGGAGTGAGGGACCGAGTTGTCTACTAAGATTTTCGGTCTGCGACGAATGCCTCAATTGAGGGCTTGCCAAGAACATGCAAGAAGATTGTTTGCTGGTGTTTATCTGGAGCTTTAGAATTCAGCATGTACAAACAACAGCATGAGGTGTCCAACTGTCCACCAGCCGACGACGAGCATTCAACAATCATTCAACAACACGTGCCAAATGCGTGAATACAAGCTTTGATTTTCTTCAACACCGAGCATGAATTCCGATTCTCATTTGTACTTCGATGCTCGCTATAAGTACTACCAGGGATGTAGTGTTCCGCTGGTGCGAATCACTCTGACAGATGTTAAGGACCGACTGTCATCTTCCTTCGTATTTGATATGTCTAGGGGAGAGTGGACATATCCGTCGCTTGCTGGGGTCCAAGCTATATAACATCATTTCATTTTGAGGTGCACGACTTACAGTCGTATGATACGGTGGCCAGTTGGTCCCGGTCCTCCGTCGATGGATGCGCGAAATTCGTTGCTACACCCAAAAGCAACAAAGGACGAGACTTCCAAGATTCAAGAACATACTTTGGCACGGGGCTGGGAGTTTTTCAGATGCTATGGTAATGGATCAGTGGTGAGTGACTCCGGAGGGTACATGTTTGCAACGTGAACACCAAGCAACTCGGATGTCCAGGGCCTTGGAATGTAACGAACATGCCCATCCAGGTTCATTTCGCTTTGGACCAATCCAACATTCGCCCACCGGGCATTCGGACATAGGAGGTGTATGCCCAGGTATTTGAGCTGCCTTTACAGCTGAAACTGATCTCATTCAATATTTTATAAGGTCGGTGGCTCGCGGAGCACTCTCTGTGGGCTGAATATTTTATCAATGGCTGACATCACGAACGCGAGGGACTCCGAAGGAAACTCGATTGAAGTCAAAGCAGACTTTGCCAAATGTTCGTTGCCGTTATAACATTTAAAGTGATGCTGACGATGATAGGATGACAGGCAACTAGAAGCTATTCGCTGTCTAATAAAGAATGAGGCTCGCGAGTAGCCAATTCTCTTGCTACTGAAATCAGACCGTGTTTGATGAGCCATTCCGGTATAAGTAAGACACAATAGGTGTGCTTCTACTAATGCGCCAATGCGTGTTGGCCGCCTTCAAGCTCCGTGGAACGTTTTGAAGAACCGAAGCGAGCGCTCTGTTTGGTAGAAATGATTATAAACGGCATGACCCTTGGACTATCCAAAAACAGAGAGCTCAGGTATCACCGCGTCTTTCAAATTTCAGATATGAGCTCTGAAACCTGAGACACGTCACAGGTTTAATGAGAATCAAATAATCCTATCCTTACGACATGTCCGTTCCCATTCTCTGCGTTGCGTCGTGACTTTTGATCGCTCCTTGATGTTCAAAGGCATATGTCTCCAGACATAAACCATGACTCCATCCTGAAAGGTCCTGAAGCGTCGGGACACACTAATCCCGACTTTCAGCCTCGTAGTTATGCTAGTGTTTTTGGTATGCACTGGACCGGATCATCATGTGTGAGTGGCGAAGCAGACTTTGATCTCGTAATTCAAACTATGTGACATTTGACATAGTATTTTCAGGCTGCACTACGAGATGGGCAAGAATGGAAAGCAAAGACTCCCCTTTTGAGCTGTTGCGCTGATTTGTATAGCTCTAGCGCGGAGTGAGAGCTTGCCTCTTCTATTGGCTGATAAGACACACGAACTTGAGTTTGTCAATCCTCTAGTACATTGACGGCAAGTGGCTTATGTATTTCATGCGCAATCTAAAGTGCGTCTGTTTGACATCCTGAACTTTGATGAATGGATAACACTGATAACGACTTGTCCAATCAGGACAAAACCACTGAGGTAAAGTCGAGCAACGTCGATATCCAATGCGTTGCCCACAGTGGAAGCAGTCAGAACCAGGCGGTAATGGCATACCATTGGTAGTTCTCTTCACGGAGTTAAGTCCCAGGATGATCGCTATGGTACTGATGGTAGAAGGTAGTCTGCCGAGTAATGAACATTACGGGGAGTGATAAGTAGGTCTCCAACAGGCATGCGTGTTTTCATTTTGCTTCGCCAAAACTAGAACTGAGTGGGGGCGGAAGTATGGTCAGTAGTGCACTGAGTTTCGTTCCCTCGAAGCTCAGTATTCTAGGAGATCTTCTTTACTCTCGCCTTCTCGGTCGAGGTTTGACCATTGTCAATTCTGAGGAGGTTGTCAGGGCGCTTCTTGACAGATGTTCGGCGTTTATTCGGACCGCAGATTATATCATCAACTGCGGGCAGAAGCTCAGCATCTTATCGAGGGCTGCACCTTCATGACTCTCCACTTGCGAAGAGCATCCCAAAACTTTACGCCGGCGCCAGATACTCGTCATCAGGTGCAAAATGTGGCTGTACGGTAGGTGCGCCATGGTGACGTCATGGATGTACCCAGTCTCCATTTAAACCCTTTAAATATCCAGTGATTCGCAATGATCCTGAGCACTCCCATAGCCTCCACTTCTCTCTCGAGCTCCGCTAATTCTGGTAGGCAAGAAGGTCTTGATTTCATACCATCGTGTTAATCTCGGGGTTTTCAGAATAAATACCTCTCACATCTCTCCTTAAGCGTGTATATCCCTGCGAACCGCAGTATCGCGATGTCCACCAGAAAACGATCAAAACGAGACCGCACCACTTCCAAGTCATCACACGAAGCGCCGTCCACCTCTCCGGCTAAAGAGAAAGAACAGCCAGGCGCTTTGTCCGACAGTCCTGGCCATGTCATTCAGTCAGACTTACCGCCTTCACGCCCACGCAAGGAGATTTTGAGGTCTGTCTCTCCACCAGGACTTATGGTACCATTGCGTTACTTCATATACACCCTTGTGACAATCGCCCTTCTCTCCGCGGGGTGGTATACTTACATCACGGCGGTGGGGCTCAAGCACTGGAAAGAGGAAGTTGGGTGGTGGGGAGTAACTGTTGGGCGGATTGGGAGGAAACAGGACAAAATCCAGTGGAGAGGTCAGGAAGTGAAAGGGGAACTTGAATGGCATCTCAGTCAGCTTGCATCCGCACTCGGAATCCCCGCAACGGACGTAGCTTCGGCTCTCAACCCATTTGTGCCACCTGCAACACTGTCTAGTCTTGCGCCTCAGGCTACGGGCGAGGCGATGAAGGTTCTTTTTGAGGAGTCGCATCAAAAAGTTGGCGGTGGAGGTACTATGGGCAACGTTGCTGAAGGCCTTGGGACGGTAGTTGGGTTCGACGATCCTCTAGAAGGGGGGTCATGATCTGAAATGTCGCAAGAATTCATTTCACCATATTTCCATTATGTACATCGGGGACAATCTTGTAATTTCAGGGATACACGATACTAGTACTTCCTGTATCATAGGACTTGTATTATCAGACGCTCCTAGGACCTAGACTTCGACATGAATGAACTCGACGATGGCAATAATACGTTTTGACATAGATCTTTTATAGTTAATGATTCGGACAACTTTCGCTTGACAATACTACACACAGGGTCCAAAGGCTTATGCTTCCAGTGCGACAACACCCCTAAGACTTGAGGATACGTTCAATTACATCTTGTGCCGCCAGCACCAAGCCGTCGTTGAATCTGCGGCTCACGGTCTGCAGCGACACCGGGGCCCCTTTGAATATCGCTGCATCATCTGTGGGGAATGATCAGTTCGTGCCATCCAATACTTAAGAGCGCGGCTAACAAATGGAGATGTTGTACTCATCTGCCGCACTCATCGGGATGGGTGGCTCCTGATACATGTCAACGGCTGGGTCAGCGACAAGACCTGTCGGGAAGACTGCCCCTGGGTAGTCCAGCAAATTCCAGATAGCTGTGTAACTAACATATGAGCTGTGAGATTGTCTGGTGTCCTGCGAGATACTATTACGCACCCCCAGTACTTCGCGGTGTCGTGGCGGCTGGCCGTACCTTGGAAGGGTGGGCATACGACAACATCGACGTTTTGGGACCACCAGTGATCAGAATACTCCCGCCGGAAGACATCACGTTGATCACGTAGCTGGTCAAGGTCAGTGGGAATACTAATAGACAACAGAACGCCTTACCTTCCAAACTTGCGCGGCATCATGATCCTTCACGTGCGGCGGACTGATTACCCATTCTGTCAGCGGATGCATATCTTCTCCACCCTCCTGTAGAAGACGTCGGACTGTGGCACCCCCATCCTCGTAGTAGAGCTCGCGCTGGACACTGCGTGAGTGGCATTATTATATAGACTCCAAAGACCACCAGACTCACAACTATGCTGTATCCGCGATCGTGGTCGTATGGGATGTAGTCCACCACCTCGACCTCTGATGACGCCTGAAGCTTTGCCTTCACCAATTTCAGTGCTCGGATAGTTGGAGGATGGGGCATCACAACCCCGTCGTGCATCATAATTCCTACACGCAGTTTCTTCTGGGTTAAGTCTGGTACTTTCAGGTGGAACGGGCAATACGTCTGGGTCTCGGAGTGCAGGATTGGCGCCAAGGACAGCTTCGAGGAAGAGCCGCATGTCTCGTGCTGAGCGACATATTGGGCCTGTGGAAGCATGGACTCCGTCCTGGCCATGATGACTGAACTGGTTATCGACAGGACTCCACGACAGAGCTTGGTACACTCACTAGAACAGAAGCCCGTGGGTGGGCGTTGTCCGAGAGGACGGAAGGATCCCGTATATGCCACAATGAGCAGATGGTCCTCGAATGGATCCCCCACCGTCGCTTAGTTTGCAATGTGTCAACTTCCATGCAATGTGTAAGACACAGACTTACGTGCCAAGACCCATGCAAGAGCCCTTCATGGCAACAAGGGCTGATTCCCCGCCAGAAGATCCTCCTGGAGTAAGATTCGTATTGTGGGGATTCAACTGATAGACTTCAGTCATTGAAACATGTCTTTTCCTGGAGACGACCTACCACTCGACCGTACGTAGACTGAGACTCGAGGTGCATCAGAGACTGCGGCTGATTAGTCTTGACATAAAAGACTACGAACATGCTCAACCGACAGCATATTTCAGGGGTTAATTACATACCTGCGCCTAATGAACGCAGAATACTTGTCATATCGCAGTCTTCCGTCGAAGTCTCGATATTTACAAGAAAGCCTCCACACCCAAGTGTTCCCTTGATAGGGCAATGGCTCTGACGACGACAGAAATCTAAGATAGCTGATTGGAAGTTGGCAATAGTGCACTTACTTTGACTGAAATTGGCAATCCATGCAGAGGCCCGATGACCTTGCCTTCTTTACGGAAATAGTCGTCCAGCTGCTGCGCCTGTTTTATGCCGTCATCGAGGAAGAAATCCATAAGACAAGCTGTGAGCTGATGAGCGATAGCTGCACGCTTTCCAAAGGCAGTCACAGCCTCGACTGCTGTCAGCTCGCCTGCAGCAATCTTTTGGCACACGGCGGTTGCATCTAGCTCAGTGATTGCCAACTCTTGGGGAGTGAGCAAACCACATGTCTCAGGGATGCGAGTGACATCAAGAGGTGGGTCCTCAAGAATGGCTGGCGGGAGTCTGAGACTCGCTGGAATCTTGGCTTCAAGCTGTTCACGTAGGACATGAGCCTTTGCCTCGTACGAGGCGTCGCCCCCTACGCCTTTGATTTTCTCTTTAAAGGACACTAGTGTAGCCATTATTGTGACTGAGGGAGAGGGAGATAGCACAGATAAACCACTGGGTGGCGACATATGTACGATCCTCGTAGGTAGGTCCTCAGATAAGCTGTTCACCAAAAATACGCGTGTCTTCTTTGTGAGCACATGATATGTCCCATAGCAGAAATGCCAGCAGGGAGCGACAAGTCACAAGGTTGATGTTTCATAGAATTGGTTGCGTACCCTCAAAGGGCAATACAAAATCGGGACCTGCGTGTCAGATAACATAGGAGAGGGAAGCTGAACTCGCAGATAATTACTACTGTTTAGTGAGGTGCTCCAAGCACTGATACAGTACCTGCTGTGGACATCAGTGCGAGACCTGGCACAGCGGGGAAACCGACATTTTACCACCTTTTGCCGCCAGTGAAATTACATTCGAAAGGTAATCTAGAGTGTTCTGGAACGCTCAAGGCTAGGTCTGGAATGCTCTAGCCAGGTCTAGATCTGCTTGATTGAAATCTTGCAAGAGGTAAAATGTTGAAACCCCCTATGTGTGGGGCGTCTACGCGTGTCTTCTTGTGAGCACATTACATGTCTCATGGCAGAAATGCCAGCAGAGAGCGACAAGGCACGAGGTTAGTGTTTCATTGAGTTATATAGTTGCGTACCATCAAGGGGCATTACAGGATGGGAACTGGGATGGCGTGGGAGAGGGAAGTTTGACTCCCAGATAATCACTCAGACTCCTGCTGTGTAATGAGGTGCTCGGTCTGCAGTCCACTGATGCAATGCTTGCTGTGGACTGTCATCGCGGACAGGTGAAGCGTGTGGCGAGGGGACACAAAGGTCCACCCAGCAGCACTGCAGGAGGGAAATTTCACAACGGAGGGAGGTCGGGCGCAAAGTCTGAGCTAGAACAGACACTTCTTCACGAAGCTAGAGAATATTGATGTCAGTACTGCCATGGCGGTTTGGGTCGAGAGCCTTACGGCAGATGCCGAACACCGCTCCTTACCGCACGCCGCCGTGCACTGACGAGACTAGTCCTGCGCATTAATTATGTGCTACTGCACCAATCCGAGTCGTTTACCTGTACGCTAAGCAGACTTGAGGTCAATGATGGAGGGACGTGAAGTCCCCCCCCTCCCTCCCCGACTTCACTTATCATCCAGCGGAATCCTTCGAATTTCAAGCTGAGGGATTTCGGGCCAATGAAAACGTAGTCTAAGCAACACGCACTACTTATATTATCCGTGGGTCTAACATTATACTGAGAAATTTCCGCGGTTATTAATTTGAGGAGCAAGAAGGGGAATAAGCGAAGATTGTATTATGACAGGGGCGATACGATGATCTTTGTGGTCTCTTATCAATCTCTTATAGCAGGTATCTATTGAGGCTGGTTCGAGACTGCTATCACATAACGATCTGAACAAACGCTAATTTAAAGTTATATGAGTACATACTAGGCGGTGGGGATTTCCCTCTCGAGTTGCGACTTTCCCGTAAAAATAGGTGGTTGGTGGCAACCCAGCTAAGTGCAAAAGCTTTTGGGTTGAGCTGATTATTGAAATTGGAGACAGTAAAAGTCTACTGACGCGCCTATAGGTTCGTAGATGAACTATGTATGTTGTGAATAAATAGCTGGTAGCACTAAGTACACCTAGGCCTCTGACAACCATTAGCACTCGCACTCTCTACCAATTACCAGTGTCCAAGGGAAGCGTGAACAGGGTCGAATCCCACTTCGAGCCAAGGCTCAATACCATCCGGAGGTGGGGTTTGGTCGGTACCGAGACCATAAAAACCGATACGGTGGTACACATTCATCGCACCATTATCCTTCCCAACATAGAGTACCACACGTTCGTTGTTCACAAGCAGCCTGCATTTAAATTTAGGCTTTGGGGATTGACCAAATCGGTGTTACGCACTCTTCACAGACATGGCGCACTAGCATTAACCCAAACCCCTCCAGGCTGGTTTCGAGAAAACCTTTGTTATGGCAACAATGAGTTTCGACTTCCTAGTAACTGCCACAATGGAGGCAATATCGGGTTCTCCCTCTTCTACTGTGATCTCGAGGACCCAGATGTTCCTCTCTTTCGTAAGCATTATTGCTTCTTGCCACGCTCTGGAGGGAGAAAGGATGAAAGGATACTATTTTCTGATCAGTATATGCGGTAGATAAAATTGCGAAAATATATACACACAGAGGTCGCCGAAAAGTCTCGACATAAAATAGCTACTCGATCTATATCCTTCAGTGAGGCGCGACGAAGATCCACTGCAGTGTTTTGACTTGTCCTGGAGGACTCGTGCAGTGTCACATGCTGGGCTTGCAAAAACCCTTTTGCAATGCATGAGCCTCTTGCTGGTGCAAAAGTAAAAATGGCGTCATAATATGGCTGTGCGACCGATTAAGTTAGCCAGCGACGCCCACTGTCGGACGAAGGCTTCTGTGACCGATCGCACAGCAAAAAAAAAGAGAAGACTCGTTGCCGCCCAACGACAGGAAGAAGTGCATGGCATAGAATCGACAGAGAAGTATCAAGATCTTTTCCGACCAGTTCATTGAATGGAATGGGGGTGAATATGAATATAGGGTAAGCGCCGAGCGGGCCTTCAGTGCAGGAGAGAATGGACCCGATGCGGGGACTGAAGCAGACTAGCCAGAGTTGAGACCCAACTGTCTGTGACTGCTTCTCAGCCTTGAGAACTTTCTCGGCATGAGGAAGGATGATGTTTGCTGCTGCTGTGTGGGAGTAGAGGGTTTTCCAAACAGCCTCAAGTAGGTTAGACGCTGAAAAATACTCTCTGACAAGGTGAGCTGCAAGACCAGACATATCGAATCACAGTTCAGAGTGGATGCAACTACAGATAACAGAATATTTGTGCTGCATCGTAAGCCGCAGAGCCGCGTACTACACTTCAACTACCGCGTCAACATTGCGATTAGTACTCCGGCAATAAAGTTTGGAGCTGCATGTGATAACGCACCATTTTTGAACTGCTAAGCCGAATACACCAAAAGTTGGTGTATTGTACTCTTCCATACCACTATTCGCATGAGATAACCCGTTCTTGAACCATGCTAAACCGAGCACACCAAAAGTTGGTGCATTGTATTCTTCCATGCCACTTCACGTAACGTTTGCAATATCAGGTTGGATCCCCGGAAAGAATCTGCAACATACCAAGCAATCGAAAAGCAGGTATGAGAGCCATCATACGAGGACAAGTGCTAGAGGCAGCAGCATTTGTTCTGTGCTTTGGGAAGACTAGTTTTCAACTGTCACGTCAAATCGAGCAGATAGAGAATGAAGCTCCCGGATGAAATTATCGTCTTCCTTCGTTCAAGTGTGGCCTGCCTAGGGGAGATCCTTCAAGAGAGAGGCATGCGGTTTTGGGCGTAGGCCGCACCGGTATTGATCTGTCTACAGGAAACAACGTGTGTACTTTTGAAAGTCAAATGTCAAGCCCCTTCGAGACGTGGGTTTGAACTGGTCCCGAATAATTAATAATCTCCCGTAGTCAGAGTCTGTCAGACCCAATAGGTAGAATGAAGAGAGTCGTTCCTTCTGTATTGATCCCGAAGCGCTTCTCGACTTAAACCGTCTGTGTCTATAACGCAAATCAAGAGGATTAAATATGAATGAGCTACCACAAGCGAATTTGTCGGTGCCTCAGGGTTCCCTAGGACTCTTGCACCGAGCTCTGATTTGAAGAAGGGAATTCCTTGCAAGATAAAAAAGTATTTAATGTGAATAGATGGAGTTCAGCGAAGTTGAATCTCGACGTTACCGTTTCTGAAGAGGTCAAGTGACAAGTCACCTGCATTGCGTGATCCCACGATCTGTTGCGATCGTGGCGACATGGTATGTTGCACCATGCTAGCAAGCACCTGAGCATTCATTTCAGAAACACCACAAGGCGTCTATTCTCAATGTCTCTTGTATCACACGAAGCATTTTCGGTCGAGAAACGCGTTGCGATCGCAGCGGTACGGAGAGCATGTGTGGTGACTTCCACCGTGTTCAATCAATTAGTCCGAGATAGAACGGATACCCTTAGGAAGGAAGATGAATCACCAGTGACAGGTATCAATATCCGTTCTTCAGGCTTGAGGGTCAGCGCTGATCAATTTGGCAAAGTCGGAGATTATGCCGCACAAGCGGTCGTTAACACTGTCTTAAGGAACGCATTCCCCAAAGATCCTATCATCGGCGAGGAGGGTGCAGACGCCCTCCGACAAGAATCAAATGCTAGACTGCGGGAACGAGTGGTTGCCCTGGCTACCAACGCATTAAAGGGAGATCTCATCGACGGGGAGGAGGCGCAATGGGGCTTAGGTTCTCAACACGAGCTCAGTTCAGAGGCCCTGTTGCAGGCAATAGACGAAGGAAATGACACAGGCGGTCCGAATAAACGTGAGCCTATGTTGGACGTCATTAATGCAATATTCTGACCTGCAATCAGGCATGTGGACCGTTGACCCTATTGATGGAACGAAAGGCTTCTTACGCGGCGGTCAATATGCCGTTTGTTTGTCTCTCATTGTGAATAGTCAGGTTGTATTGGGCGTCATCGGATGTCCGAATCTACCAATACACCCTGCAGACCCTGACGGAGGCAAGGGCTGCATTTTTGTAACGGTCCGAGGACAAGGCGCTTTCCAGGTAATCTCCAATTCTGCATGTGTAATTCCCCTAATTCCCCTGCGCAGATAACCTTGTCTGGTACCGGTGCGATTAAACTCCCTTACTTTCGTTCAGAAAGGTCATACGTTCTACAATCGGAGGAGCCGAAGCACACAAATATTCCGTTGATAAGACGGGTGTCCGATGAACTCCACCTCACTGAATGGGGAATGGACAGCCAGGCCAAATATTGTTCTCTTGCTAGAGGAGAAGGTGCTGTGTATCTTCGCATGCCAGCGCCTACCATTGGTGATAAAAAGCCTTACGAGGAGCGAATTTGGGTAAGCCGTTGGTCATAAAAATTATTCGGCAGTGCTAAGAATCCCGTTACCCTGATTTGCAGGATCATGCGCCTGGAAGCATCCTCGTTGAGGAGGCAGGGGGAAAAATTACAAACTCTGAAGGCGCCCAGCTCCAATTTGGACTTGGAAGGGGAATGGGGGAGAATCGTGGTTTTGTAGCTACAGTCGATGAAGAACTCCACGAGAGGGTAGTATTAGCTATCAAGCAAGCTCAACTCGCAGAGGATGCTGAGACTGCAGCTTAAGGAAATCATAAGCAGTGCTAGACTCTCCCTATCTCATCTATCAGACGCCAGTATAACATCAGGTTTCTTTTAGGAAGAACAAACATGTAGGCCCAGCAGCGTAAGGCCTTAAAACGGTCAACAAACACCGACAGTTACGAGTCTATGGCAACTAGCGCCTTCTCTACACTGCCGGATACCACAAATGAATTAAACGCTCCAAGGAACATCGTGGGGCGATGTCATGAATCAGAGTTTAGCACTTGTCGAGACATTTGTCCGAGCCTTGCAATCTAGTGCTAATAGTAATATACCTTAATTCTTAAGGTGTTCACGATTGATGCCAGTATATCAGAACCAGTTGGCAATTTGTAGTCGGACACTTGGACATTTGATCTCCTCGGCCGAGCCAAAGCCGCAGTCGTCAATGCCGAGAACAAGCGGAAGCGCTCTAAGAATGCGCATTTGAAATTACGCCATTTGCTCTGACCCATGAATGCATGAGCGCGTGTGAGATTAAGTAAATGCGTGAAGAACGGCATTCTGCCTTACCAGTTGGCATCAACTTCTCACCGTCGCTAGCACTGGTTTCCTTCAGTCATTCTCGAAGTTCTTCCTGCTTTGTTTCGTCACTTCCCTGCTCACGAAGGGTGCCAGGTTCATGCGAGTTTCTGAAACCTGGGCGCTCAGAACCATGGACGAGAATGTTTTTTTTTGGCCTCATGGCTTATGGGCGCTACACAGCGCTTATATACACACTGCATTGGATAGTACCCAACCCACCCTCCCATGGAAGCGGTCGACAGCTCTATCAAATCACCGCGTATCTTACGCTGCCCGGTAAAAATGATTGACAAGGCAACTCTTCAGACTGCCACATATAACATCAAGCATATTGCTACCGGGCAATACGTTACTCTCAAGGACACTATGAGAAAGTCAACTTTGATTGCCCTCCACGATAGCCATTTCGAACGTCTTGCAGTAAGCTTCTGCTAAGCTCGTGGCCTCTATATACTCACTTCGCCTCGGCAGTGGGTTCTAGACAAGCTGGCTGGACTAAAAGACACGTATCATGTTAGGAGTTTCCTTCAGAACACTTTTGCTCGGACGGGACAATTTCCCACAGCGGGAGCAGAAATTGTTTCCGGGACGGAATCATATCCGTGGTTGATTCGTCCTGCTGCAAGTGATTTTGGTGACATCTACCTGTGCGTAATGTGATTATTGTTGATGTATTTCTTGAATATGGATTGGTATTTAGCATTTCTCCATACTCAGATCCCTCACTCTATTGGACCATTGTGAAGACAAGGGATGGCACCAATGTAAGTCTATCTAAGTTTGACTTGTCTCATGCTAATCAGCTATGGCAGGCTACACTGACCAACAATCCAAAACATCATGTATACTGGCAATTTGTTAAAATGTCTGCCTGAGTGCAAGCTGGGAGTTGGGTGGATTGTGACCGCGGGTCTGGGGTGGTGAATGTAGGATGGGGTCTGAGTGTGAGGGGTCCGAGTCGGGGTCACGTCCAGCCAGCTTTCAGCGGAATTTCATGTACATATTTTTATTTATGCATTCCAAATTTTGATTCAAATGCTGATCAATCAAGGCTGTCAGATCCAGGCTAAGTAGTCCCGTTGCTTCCATTTGTTGTGTGGTTTTGGACAATCTTATCGCATTTCATGGTGCCCACTTTACATGCTCGGCTTTTGAAAAGCCTTTTCACATCCGGTATGTACCATTGGGTCAGAATTGAACCACACACCCCTAGGCTGTGTTCATGTATATGGCAACCATTCACGTGGCATCTAGAACCTGAGCCTATTCTAGCTGGCGACAACTTGGCGCCGCCCCAATTCTGCATTTTCGCGATCGCCGATGTCAATGATATAGCGTGCCTCGAGGTCACCTAACTTTACGACTTGATTCGGAACATACATGTGGAGTTCATGCGAGCCCGTTGGACTCGAGATATCCGTGTACGAAATGGTCCCTTGACACCGTTTCATATACTGTCTCGATAGTCGGCGGTGAACTCGGACCAAATGTGTCTTGACTCCGCTCTGACTATAAGAATGGCCTGGTAAACGCAAGACGCTCTACCCCTTTCTCACTTCAAGATCTAAAACTCGTTCATTTGCTGCGTATTCACCTTCGTCACGATGACAGTTCTGGGCAACCTTCGAACTGGGACTTATACCATTAGGAATGCTACTACAAGCGAATTTGTCGCTGTACAAGGCCCAGCAAAAGCTGCTACCCTGGTGGTGAGCAAAGATGGCCGAGCAGAGAATGCTGCAGTACGTCCAGCCTACAGTTCATGTGGAGGGACAGAAAATAAAATTCATTTTGTAGTGGATCCTCGAAACACTCAGCGGGCACCACGACAAGTACAACATCAGAAATTTCGCGCAAAACTCGTACGCAACTGTCAATTCTGTGCAAAAAAGAAATACTGCACTCACCTGCGGGCGCGAGGCGTGTCCCTGGAGCATTAGACCAACTGGATACGGAACTTATGTGTTGGTCTTCCATCAGGGCTCATTCATCTTATCTGACAGACGCGCGTCCAGGATATCACCACACTCAGACGCTTCACTATTCTGGAGCATAATAGCATCCGGGGATCACTCACAGGTACCAATACTCTCATATAATTGTAGGTTGCACTTACATAGCAGTATGTCATAGGCACTGTTGACGGATGATCGGACTCACACCGTCCATTGGTACTTGCATCGCGTTTCGGCCTGAGGACATGTTGCATCAGTATCATGGACAAAGGGCTACGATGTAGTTGGATGTTGAACTCATCATCACATAATAATACATATAAAGCCTTATTCCATATCTTGTTCGACGTGGAGAGATTCTTTGGTGGAGGCAAGCCAAGTGGCGCTCGTACCATCAGTATACTAGTATGCGCGTTTAACGTTACCTATGTTTTCGAACTCAGACAGGGTCTTCCATTGAGCTACACCAAATTTATAGTCAGTCGTAATTAGTCTGTAATAATACAGATCTGTATACTGAGCAACGATGCCTTCCACCACTAAAAGGAATCAGGTCCAGCTGAAACCGCTCATGGGAAGATGATCGTGTGCAGCACGTAATATCGCCGTTTGAACGCAACCCCAGCATGATGCTCAACCTGACTACGTTTAGCGACATACTCTTCAGTAAGAACTGTGAAGGTCTTTGATGTTTCGACAAGGAACCATCAAAATCCAGTGCGTGCGTGCTGATAGAACACCTTCGTAGTTCTCCGTCCTTTTTATTAGGCACGCGGGTCCTGTGGCAGGTCACCTGGGCACACCCGACATTTGGATACATACATGCTTCTCATTCATACGACAGCAAGATTTTAATGTGCTGACATCTTCAACGGCCACGTCATGGTTGTTTCTTTGGCGCCCATGACACAGACTGATCGCTTATTAATCCGCAACATGGTACACGGCCTGCTGCGTCCTTAAAACGTTTTTCCAGCGCGGGTTGCACAATCTTGGGGCTATACCTTGAAGACACGAAGTCGTGTATGGAAGTAGACGCTCGAAAGGTACCCTGATTAATGGGTCTATGTCTGCCTGGTAACTATGAATATTGCAACAGCATCACGAGTCGTTGATAAAACAAGTTACAAGTCGTGCTGGATTGTCCGTCTGAATATATTTGATTTCGCGGACAAGAGAATGTTAATTTGATTGAAAAGACTTGCCGAACATCTCCATGGGTAAAGATCACCCTTCGGCCTCTGGGGGCACCTAGTGCAGCACAGGCAAGTTCACTGACACTGCGGCACGTATCATGGAGTCTCGGTGGAGATAACCTTGCAGCTAGCTGTGGCGACGGGGAAGTCACGTTCTAGAAGGAGAATTCGCGAAGCGGCGTCTATCATAGGAGTATGTTGGTGACTCATGGCATGTCGAGTTAGGTATTTGCGTTTCGATCGAATGGTGGTTCTTCTGAAGTATGTGTAATGAACGTTACAATCAGACATGCGTCAGAAGAGCTCGTCTGCGTAAGTGTCACCTTGATGCGATAAACTACAACTGCCGACCTAGTCTCCCGTAGGCAGCCGAAGATTGTTGTAACTAGTCTGACTACACGTCAGCCATCGATGGTAGATGGTTGGGTATGCCACTCAACTTGTCCGTAGTCTAGAATACGTCAGGCTGGTCACAAGCCTACGTTCCTTCGCCCTAGTGGTGGTTACACCTATTCTGATTCTGCCGGCGAGTCGAGGATCGAAGTATGATTTTGGATGCTTGCTGTACATCATTTTTTAGACTGAAAATCATCTTATGCATATAAAGACTGGGAATGAAAGAGATGATGCATATGTTACATATTGTCAAGAGATGATAGACTTGCACATACTTATTACCACGGAGCTTGAAAGTTGATTCACTCGAAAATTATCTGCAAATTACACCAAGCGACTCATTCGCAACGATCATGGGCAGGAACAGTACGCAGAATACTCCGTGTTCATACTTTTCTCATCTGATGGCCCACAGAGTCCCACAAATCATCAGTACCGCAAAAATCCAGTCAGTCTTTATTCTCCATTCTCTAACACCTATATGTAGCATAAAGAACAACATTGATCGAGCCCTAAATTTTTCGCACCAGAGCTCAAGAAAGACCCTGGAATACCAAGGCTTCCTCAACTAAAAGTTCGGAATGCGGAGAAGCAGAAATCTAGCTCCGTACGTTGTATTGGAGTCTGAATTGCCACCACTCTATCTTGAGTTGCTGCCCCTCACAGCCTGCGATTCCCCAGCGTGATGACCCAGATGCATATATGGCAGCTGAACCCACCCTATCTTCACTAGCAGCACTTGCTTCAGAGACCCAGGGCATTGTAGACCAGCATGCCACGTCTTATGCTGCCTCCTTACAGAAGACGAAGGAGCAAATTCGCCGCCACTACGTCCGTACACTGCACAAAGTAATCGATCAGAGTGACATTGTCATTCTCGTGCTCGACGCCCGCGATCCGGAGGGATGCAGGAGTCGACTTGTTGAAGAAGAGGTAAGACGGAGAGAAAGTGAAGGGAAGAAACTTGTTTTTGTGCTGAATAAAATCGGTATGCATGTCGGTTTCATTTGGTGTTTACACCTTTCCTCACCATCCACCGGGCGAAGATCTTGTCTCAAAAGAAAATGCTCAGCAGTGGCTCCGGTACTTGCGACATTCCACCCCGACACTCCCATTCCGTTCTGCCGCCTCTAATCAACGTTCTAATCTCAGCTCCACGACTGCGCCCGGACTTATGCGCTTACTTAAAGCATTCAAGGCCCAGTGCACAGAGTATCACAGTCGGCGTCGTCGGTTTTCCAAATGTCGGCAAAAGCAGTCTCATCAACTCTTTGAAGCGATCAAAGGTCTTGATCTGCTTGCTACTACGCGTATCGAATGTCTCATGTGTTATGTGAGTTCAGGCTTGTGCGGTGGCTGCACAGCCAGGTCACACAAAAGACCTCCAATCTGTGCAGCTAGAGCGCGGAATCAAGATCGTCGATTCACCTGGTGTAGTTTTCGACGAAGATGATCCAAGTGACACTAGTCAGAAGGGCAGCGTTCTCCTGCGAAATGTAGTCAAAGTCGAGGATATAGAAGATCCAATTGCTGTCGGTGCGTTTCTTGGCACAATTACAGTTCCTGAGGGACGTATTGTTAATCTCACTATTGCAGTGGAAGAAATCCTCGCGCGGACGGAGCATGAGACACTGCAAAGGCTATATAACCTCCCTCAATTTTCAAGTACGCTGGAGTTTCTAACCATGCTTGCGCTCAACAGCGGACGCCTCCTCAAGGTAAGCCTTTCTCTTTGTAAATTTTGACACTTCACACAACTATTACATCTCCAGGGAGGTACCCCCGACCTACTTTCAGCCGCACGTCACGTTCTCATGGACTGGAATCACCAAAAAATTCCCTACTTCTCCGTCCCACCTATCGTTCATCCCTCGTCAATACCATCTGCCACAACGGGCGCAGAAACCGTGGGGCAAGCACAAATCCTGAATTCATTGTCCAAACCGTTTGAGCTCGCAGGTTTGTTTGGGGCAGCGGATGCCGGTGCATTCAGTGAAAATGCACAGATGCAGGAGGTAGCTATGGATGATGGTGAAGTCAACAATGACATTGCTGCTCAGGAATCTGGCATGATAGTCGATGATGGCATGACTGCATCCGCACTTTCACTCCCGTCCTTCCGCAAGCGTGCCCGTTCGCCCTCACTGGTCACGCAGGTAGGGACCACCGACTCCTCAGCACAATTGCGCATGCCAAAGCGGTTCCGTCGCGCGAAGGATCTTTCTGCGTACGAAGAAGCCGCTGCGCAGAGTCAGAGTCGCGCGTTGAATAAGCGGTCACAGAAGCAGGACCGCAAGCGCGCACGGAGGGCTGCTAGCAGGTTGATGAAGGCTGGGCCGGGGATGGATGTTGATGAGCTGCAGGAGACATTTATTGCTAGTGTGCAGGAGTAAATCGCGGCCCTTTTCTATCTGCATATCATGGCTTTCCTTTCATGCAATACCAACTCAGGCTGGAACATGCGCCCCCAGAGTTCCAGTGTAATCAGTCGTAGAATGAACTTGCGCAGATCTGACCCCATTTTGTCACATAATGTACGGGAAATCAGTCATCAACCTGCTGGCCTATCAGTGCTTACTACTTACATTAGACGTTAACCACAGGAAACGAGGGATCGCGTGATGACGATCGTCGATCGAGGGCAAGGTGGTCGGGAAGCCTGAAGGTAGTGGCCATTTCATGATGTTCAATTGCTGTCCATTGTGCCGTCATTACCTCTGCAGCAGCTCGAAAGCTAAGGGTTTGCGGCTGAAAAAAAAAATCCGCTACGCAGAGCAAAAAATTATACTCTGCTACGAGGTAACCAAAATTTTCGCGTCGAAATCGGTGCGGAGGACGCGTCTCTGTGCCCCTATGCGCGTTGTTGCAGATGTCGTCATTTTCAGGGTCCTTGCGCGCCACATGATACAGCCCCTATGTGTTCAGCACGATTTAAGGTTGCTGACACTGTTTATCCTTCTGACAAGGACTTCATCGTATCATCGTGGGCACTTACTGAATGCTCTTGTCCACCTTTGGACTTACTTTTGTTCTTCGAAGGTGCGTAGAAGCCCTTGGGCTCAGAAGTTGAGTCATGAACCACAGGCATGACAGGTCGAGGATTTCACAATCGAGGACTAGAAGTGATTCAGTAACGAACTGGCGTATTAATGTCTCAGGTAATGGTTTTGCGCATCATTCCTCAGGTAATGACTAACGCATAATTCCTCGCCCATCTGCATCATATAAAGATCAGGACGTCTGGTCTCCAGATCCCTACAACCATGACTGATTCTGCAACTTCAGCACAGACCAACCAGCCCCATGTCGCACTCATCACTGGCGCAGCCCAGGGCATCGGACGTGCCATTGCTCTACGGCTCGCAGAGGACGGACTCGACATTGCCATCGCAGACTTGGGATCACAACGCGCGAACCTTGACGGCGTTGCTGAGGAGGTGAGGGTGAAGGGGAGGCGCTGTATTGTTGTGGAATGCGATGTGTCACGAGAGGAGGAGGTCCAACACATGGTGCAGGCTACGGAGAAAGAGTTTGATGCTTTGGACGTCGTGAGTGTCTCATCCGGCTGTAAACTGCCATATAGTCTGACAGATGGAATAGATGGTAGCGAATGCCGGACGAATTCTCGTGAAGCCTATGGTAGACTGTGAGTCCGTCCCGTCTTTGATCTGCTTCGACGGTGACATCGTACCCCACAGCCACCCTCACCGATTTCGACAGGATCTTCGACACCAATGTGCGCGGAACGTTCCTCTGCTTGCGTGCTGCCGCGCAAGCCATGATAAAGCGAGGGCGTGGTGGGAGGATCATCAGTATGCATGCCCATTATTTCTCTTATATTTGAATGATAATATTCTCATCACAGGTGCGTCGTCGGTATCTGGAAAGAAAGGGATGCCACTCAACAGCATTTACTGTGCATCGAAATCTGCCATTCGATCATTCACACAAGCACTCGGTGAGTATTCGAGAGGTCATATCTTTTCATCTCATCTTAGTGTTCTTGCGTTCTAGCGAGTGAGGTCGGGTCACACGGCATCACCGTGAACGCGTACGCGCCTGGACCAGTTGATACACTTTTCAGTATGTTCTCTTCTCTGCTACCCTCGTCACCCTACCTCCCGTCCACCTCACTTTACCTTCCATATGCCACCCATTTTCTTGTTAGTACATGCGCCCCGATGCTGAAATGCACGTGTCCAGTGCATGACTCCCTCGAAGAATTCGCAAAACAAACAGGGCTTCCTGATGGCAAGACATTTATCCAAAATGTATGTATCAGTCTCTCTCCAGGCGAGGTCCTCTAATGACTTCAATCGCGTTACAGTACCAAGCGCACGCGGCGTTGACTCGGATTGGAACGCCGGAAGACATTGCAAACATGGTGTCGTTCCTAGCGGGCGAGGACTCCTCCTACATCACTGGCCAGACAATCACAATTGATGGGGGATCATGGATGGACTGATCATCCGCTTATGGCTGAGAGAACCACACTTAATTTGTATGCACACTTCGAGTTCTTTAGGGAAATAAAACTCGTATGACGGTACCTTCACTTACATTTTGCGTAAGGTGTCACAATGTCCGTATTGGTTTATATATATATTGGCTCATGCAGTTGGTAATGGTAGTCTCCCGTAGTCAGACCATATTGAGAGTGGTGGTGGCGGCCTAGTTGTTTGGTGCAAGAGATGGTGCAAGAGATGGTGAGACAATTGACTGGGTATGTGCAGTAGGATGGGGCGGTACTAAAGCTCGGCATCCGCCGCAAGCCTGTTGACTCAAACCGCCATGACAAATACGTGCCAAGGGAAGTGTATTCTGTTCACAAAGTTTGCATCCGCCCTACCGCAGCTCGGTTGTGATTTTTCTTCTTGCAGTGCTGCCGGGTGGACTCCATGCCCCCTCACCGCACGCCCCAGGTTTTGGTCCTCCCTGCACTGACAGTCCACAGCAAGTACTGTATCAGTATTTGGAGCGCCTCACTAAACAGTAGTAATTATCTGTGAGGTCAGCTTCCCTCTCACATGCCATCTGAATCACAGGTTCCGATCGTGTATTGCCCTTTGATGGTACGCAACCAATCTTATAAAACATCAGCCTTGTGACTTGTCGCTCCCTGCTGGCATTTCTGCTATGGGACATATCATGTGCTCACAAAGAAGACACGCGTATTTTTGGTGAACAGCTTATCTGAGGACCTACCTACGAGGATCGTACATATATCACAACCCAAGTGGTTTATCTGTGCTATCTCCCTCCCCCTCAGTCACAATAATGGCTACACTGGTGTCCTTTAAAGAGAAAATCAAAGGCGTAGGGGGCGACGCCTCGTACGAGGCAAAGGCTCATGTCCTACGTGAACAGCTTGAAGCCAAGATTCCAGCGAGTCTCAGACTCCCGCCAGCTATTCTTGAGGACCCACCTCTTGATGTCACTCGCATCCCTGAGACATGTGGTTTGCTCACTCCCCAAGAGTTGGCAATCACTGAGCTAGATGCAACCGCCGTGTGCCAAAAGATTGCTGCAGGCGAGCTGACAGCAGTCGAGGCTGTGACTGCCTTTGGAAAGCGTGCAGCTATCGCTCATCAGCTCACAGCTTGTCTTATGGATTTCTTCCTCGATGACGGCATAAAACAGGCGCAGCAGCTGGACGACTATTTCCGTAAAGAAGGCAAGGTCATTGGGCCTCTGCATGGATTGCCAATTTCAGTCAAAGTAAGTACGCCGTTGCCAACTTCCAATCAGCTATCTTAGATTGCTATCGTCGTCAGAGCCAGTGCCGCCTCAAGGGGACAATTGGGTGCGGGGGCTTCTTCGTGAATATTGAGACTTCGACGGAAGACTGCGATATGACAAGCATTCTGCGTTCATTAGGCGCAGGTATGTAATTAACGCCTGAAATATGCTGTCGGTTGAGCATGTTCGTAGTCTTTTATGTCAAGACTAATCAGCCGCAGTCTCTGATGCACCTCGAGTCTCAGTCTACGTACGGTCGAGTGGTAGGCCTTCTCGAGTCAATGACGTGTCTCATTGACTAAAACTAAAGCCTATTAGTTGAATCCCCACAATACGAGCCTTACTCCGGGAGGATCTTCTGGTGGTGAATCAGCCCTTGTCGCCATGAAGGGCTCTTGCATGGGTCTCGGCACGTAAGTCTTGGTCTTACACATCGCATGGAAGTTGATACATTGCAAACTAAGTGATGGTGGGGGATCCATTCGAGCACCAGCTGCCCATTGTGGTATATATGGGATCCGTCCGTCCTCTCGGACAACGCCCACCCATGGAATTCTGCGACCGTGAGTGCACCAAGCTCTGTCGTGGAGTCCTGTCGATAACCAGTTCAGTCATCATGGCCAGGACGGGGTCCATGCTTCCACAGGCCCAATATGTCGCTCAGCACGAGACATGCGGCTCTTCCTCGAAGCTGTTCTTAGCGCCAATCCTGCACTCCGAGACCCAGACGTATTGCCCGTTCCACTGAAAGTACCAGACTTAACTCAGAAGAAACTGCGCGTAGGAATTATGATGCACGACGGGGTTGTGATGCCCCATCCTCCAACTATCCGAGCACTGAAATTGGTGAAGGCAAAGCTTCAGGCGTCCATCAGAGGTCGAGGTGGTGGACTACATCCCATACGACCACGACCGCGGATACAACATAGTTGTGAGTCTGTTGGTCTGTGGAGTCTATATAATAATGTCACTCACGCGTGTCCAGCGCGAGCTCTACTACGAGGATGGGGGTGCCACAGTCCGACGTCTTCCTACAGGAGGGTGGAGAAGATATGCATCCGCTGACAGAATGGGTAATCGGTCCGCCGCACGTGAAGGATCATGATGCCGCGCAAGTTTGGAAGGTAAGACGTTCTGCTGTCTATTGACACTCCCTCTGAACTTGACCAGCTACGCGATCAACGTGATATCTTCCGGCGGGAGTATTCTGATCACTGGTGGTCCCAAAACGTCGATGTTGTCATATGCCCACCCTTCCAAGGTACGGCCAGCTGCCACGACACCGCGAAGTACTGGGGGTGCGTAATAGTATCTCGCAGGACATCAGACAATCTCACAGCTCATATGTCAGCTACACGGCCATCTGGAATTTGCTGGACTATCCAGGGGCAGTCTTCCCGACAGGTCTCATCGCTGACCCAGGCGTTGACATGTATCAGGAGCCACCCATCCCGATGAGTGCGGCAGATGAGTACAACATCTCCCTTTGTTAGTCGCGCTCTCAAGTATTGGATGACATGAACTGATCGTTGCGTACAGATGATGCAGCGATATTCAAAGGGGCCCCGGTGTCGCTACAGACCGTCAGCCGCAGATTTAACGACGGTTTGGTGCTTGCGGCACAGGATGTAATTGAACGCATCCTCAAGTCTTAGGGGCGTCGCTCTTATTGCACTGGAAGCACAAACCTTTGGACCCTTGTATGTATTAGTATAGTCCCACTACAGGTTGTCCGAATCATTAACTATAAATAATTTGTGTCAAAACGTATTATTGGACACCCAACAGAGTCTCGAAATTTCACTCCAAGCTGTTGTGGCACATACGTCACGCATTATATCTGAGCCCCTTGTATCATACATAGGTCACAAAGACTTATTGCCGAAGATGTTTCGCCGTGGTATGCTGTTTTTGCGAAGTAAGCCCTCGGCAAATAGCCTGTGAGAAAATACTCGTTTCCTGCTCAATTCCTGTCTCTAACATCCTGGCACGTCAACGAACATCCACGTCAACGAAACATAGCGTGAACGACGACTCAATTGCACGCAACAAAAAGACAACGGCTTGCGGATTGCCACGAGTATTCATGTAGTCAAGGTACCTAGCACTTGGCTGAGTCGTCGTCGATTCCCCCGGTAATCAGGGTAGGGGAGAAGGGTAAGGAGACAACGAACGATCACAGAAAGCGAAAATACCTTGCAGATCCAACATCGAGTGCGCATCGACAACCCTATAGTTTGAGGTAGGCAACCCGAAATTACATCATTTCTCATCCGCATAGGAAGGAATGGCTGTCTTCCTTCCTATTAGTTCAGAGACAAATTCCTTAGGGCCGACACATCTCAGCCACCAACCTAAGGAGCTGCGCTGTCGAATCAAACCACCCACTGCTTATCGTATCTTCATCTAATTTATTTATCAAGCGAGTAATGCGCTCTAGGCTTCGAGACCACCTGTTAAATTGGCGGCCACCCAACATCTATGGCAATATTGTAGTGACAGCTACGCGTATACATGACTCCATGAGCTTAGAGAGCTGAAACCTGTCCTTTTCTGCGCAATCCTTGCGTGACTCTTGATCCAGCTTTTCGGCATGATCATCGCTTTAGATTTGCTCCTCGAGTTCGCGGATACGTTGTGCTGTTCGGATGCAAACCTCACATCCTCCAGGGAAAGCTGCAGTTCTGACACTGTGAACCACCACATACCGGGTCTTCAAGAAAGATAGCCGCATCATCGATTTCACAAGTCAAGAAGGGGATAATTCCTTGTCTATAAGACCAGGAAGTCCGGACTCGATATCCCTGACTACAGAGTCCACGATATTCACTTGCATGACTAATTCTGCTCTTCCAGCACTGACCAACCAGCCCCACGTTGCACTCATCACCAGTGCAGCCCAGGGAATCGGGCGCGCCATTGTTCTGCGGTTCGCAGAGGACGGACTAGACATTGCCGTCGCAGACTTGAAATCACAGCGGGTGAAGCTCGACGGCATCGCAGATGAGGTGGGGGCAAAGGGGTGACGGTGTATTGTCTTGGAATGTGACGTGTCGCAAGAGGAGGAATGGTGCGGGCTACGGAAAACGAATTTGATGCTTTGAACGTCGTAAGTGTCTCATAGGGCTGCAAACTTACCATTGTTATATACAGTCTGACGACTGGGTAGATGGTAGCAAATGCCGCAAAATCGTCGTGAAGCTCGTGGTTGATTGTGAGCCAGCCCTCTCTTCAGTCGCTGCTTCGCGGCTTTGATGCCAGTGGTGGCATCGAGCCCACATAGGGCACCCTCACTGATTTTGGCAAGATCTTCGATACCAATGTCCGCGGAACGTTCCTCTGCTTGCACGCTGCAGAGCAGGTTATGATCAAACACGAGCGTGGCGGGAGGATCATCAGGTACGTCATTTATTCTCCAGTGCACCTGGGTGGTGATATCTGCCGTCATATGTGCATCTTCAGTGACAGGGAGCAAAGGCAGAATATTGAACAGCGTTTATGGTGCGTCGAAAGCTGCGATTCGATGGTTCACACAGGCGCTCGGTATGTATCCCAGAGGTTCTGCTACTTCATCCCATCTCACTGTTATGTATTCAGCGAGCGAACTTGGGCACACCAGGCCTGGACCAATTAATACACGCCTGTATGCTTTCCCCCTTAGTATATGCACTCTGGCGATGAAATGAAAGGGCAAAACAGCTAGACATAAGTACACCTTGGATAAAAGTTTTCTCATCAGGAAGCCTATCAGCATTCTCTCTCGGTGAGACTCCCGCCTCCTAATCGTTTAAATTGCATTGCAGTACCAAGCACACATCCCGCTGGCGCAGATAGCAATACCAGAAGATATCGTTCCTCTTAGGCAAGGACGCCGCCTATATCACTCGCCGGCCAGTCACAATCGATGGAGGAGTATAACATTAAGGAATCTTTAACGTCATGCTCGAGAATAGATGACGGAGATTACTGTGAAAACTAAGTTTGAAAAATATACATGTTAAATACTATTCAGGCTATCTGCTGCCCATCCGTATATAATTACAGACTGATCAACAACACCAAGTTGTAATGTAAGCACGAGCGCACCCACTAATTTGAGTCTTGTGTGCAGAATAATTCCCTAGGTAGTCATACCTCCGTACCGAAGTCGGCTATTACAAGTTCTCACTTATTCGCTCCGCTGTGCGTTCGACGTATTCCAAACTTAGTTTCGTCGTGGGCAGCACCATCTGTCGATAACAGGTTGCTGCTCGATTGAGATTTGATGTTGTGCTGAGAGCCATCCATGCTACCGGGGTGGAAGTTGGATGCATCCAAAACTTTGATTACGCCGCTGTGAAAACGATGTTAAATATAAAAGTGACGCAGAAACGGGGGCAAGCAGTCGCAAAAGATGTCCACGTGAGCAAGGAACAAAGAACGGCGTAACTGTGCTGACCGTTGTGTCGCATCCACGTAATTCTCTCTGTCAAACCTCTTCGACGTCTTTATGGACACACCCTTGTCCGAGATAGAAATTCCCTTGTTCTGAAGACTAGGAAAATCTAGTCAAGTTCTTAAACTCAATAGAGCGCTCAGTTCAACGTACGATTCTTTCGTATTCTGAGCAGCCGCTGAAAGGCGTTTCGCTATGAGGACGACGCCGAGGATGGTCCCCACAAAAAGGGACGTTATCTGCAGGTTGGAGATTTCGATTAGGAGTGAGTGGGATAATTAGGAAATTGCTCACGGTTAGAAAGGAGAATATGTCAATCCTGATTGCATGTATATACAGACTTGAGCCAATGATTGGAAGGAGGAAAACTGGGAACACACCAAGATGCCATTGTGTAAAACTTTTCGGACTAAGCCACAGCACGACACAAATCACGTAGACAACACAGAATATGATGATAACCGAGAAGCAAGTGTGGAATCGAGTGCCTTTGGATAGTAACTTGAACGACAAGATGAACACAGAGAGAACCGAAGAGGATGTCACACTCTGGGTGGGCCCCGGTGGTAACGGAATAAATTCTGGATTTGTGATCAAGCGCCAAGGCGCCGATCGGCTGCGCAACATTTGAATTGGATGACGTTCGTAAGTAAGTACGTAAGGTTAGGGTTTCACAGGCGTATAAATTATCGTTCACCTCCGCTGCACAGTCCATACTTATATACAACAAGTAGATGATCGACAAGAATGTATGCAGCAAATAATACATGGGTGTGCGGACGTGCACGATATGAGGATGATTCTATTAGTCCCTGGAAAGACAGTAACGAGTGCATACGTTTACCGAAATTCCACAAGAAGACCAACTCGTGTAAAGTGTATGTGCAGTATCAGGTACTGCCTCTAGTATGAGAATATCATCAACCAAGGGTTGAGGACAATCTGCAGGTGAGCCAGATTCCCGTCAGTGAGGAAGTGAAGTTGAGGCTGAAATAACCATGACTTACAGGGAAGAGAATGTGGCTTCCGATAACGATGCTGCTCGATCAAACAATCGTAAGTTTACATTTGCTACAGCGCAGATACACGACTTACGCAAGTGGCAGGATAACTGCCCAGTCCGTTGAGTCCACTTGCCACCCAACGGGCACTAGTGACGTGCTAAGGATAATCATCCCCGCCGCGACGATTATGCATAGTATCAACGTAATGTGAAAGCGCTTTATGATCCTCGGGACTTCAATGAAGAAGTTCGATCGCTCGACCTCCTTCTTTGTAGCACCCCACGTGATGTTGTAAGAGAATAGATGGGACAGCAGCGCCTGAGAAAGGTGAATGCTCAGTCCACCAAAGAAAAAGAAACTGTATTAAATACGAGATATATGTCTGAGTATTTTTTTGTCTGAAGGTAGAGAAATATGGCACTTACAAGAAAGGTATCCAGGTCACGTTCTCAAGTAACGAAGCTAGAAGGCTGCGCTGACCCAGACGGTACTCGAGAAGTGTATACCCGAGGTTGCCAACCCCCGGGAAGACGACAGTGCATGCCAGCCAGACCTCGAAGCTGTGTAAGAAGAACCCGTCGACCTCAATTTGGAAGCCTAGCAGGAGGTAGTTGAGTAGAGAGAGAATCGCCGATGCCGCAATGCCATCTTCCACATCATAGCGTGTGAGTGTCCACACAACGTAACATAGAAGAACCCCACATACAATACGAGAACATGTCTGCATGGATTTCAATGGATGCATTTTATGTGTGATGAAGAGCACTTACAAGCCATCATACTAAGTTTATAATGCACTGGGGCTCCGGACCAAATGAAAATGCGGAGCTGCTTCGCAATGGGTCCCATCTTCCACCAATGGATTAGCGGATTGAATATAAGCTCATTGCATCCTGCTCCTATTAGATTAAGGTCCTCTCGATAGTGAGAAATGCTTACCGTACGAGTACTTCTGCCACCGATTCAACTCATCATCGACGGTTAGGGATACGCCTTCCTTGAATCCACCCTTGGAGTATGACGCCCATCGGATACTGTAGTGCTTCAGCTGCAGCCGCAAAGCCATGTCAAAGTCTTCAGAGACATTCGATTCAGACCAGATCTTCTTTTTCCCATCCTCGGTATCGATGAACGCTGCGTCCTGGAGAGCCGACCACCGCAGAAAGGCGTTATGCCCCACGAAGGGAGCTACTTCCCCGTTCGCGCATCCGATAGAGATGCACTTGTTAATCCGCCGCGTGAAGTGTGCAATACCGTTCTCGAAGTAGTGGTGCGCAACTTGCATTACATCTGATAAGAGTGGGTCAGAGCATTTCTCATGCGCTGATGAGTGAGACATACCCGATTCGTGTTGGATAATACCGACTTCGGGACTCTCGGCCAGCTCTCGCGCGGCGTCGCGGAAACAATCCTGCAAAAAAAAAGTAAGCACCCATCACTTTGTCAGATTGATTGTCTCAGTCTGTTACCTCAGGTACGATGGTGTCTGCATCGACAATCAAGATGATTTCTCCCATGCGTAGAGACTTCCCATTGCTTGCCCAGGGCCGCCATTTTCCACCACTCTCATTGTACACCTCCTCTGTGGCCAATGCCAACGCCTTATCTTCGAGACACCCGTACTCGTCGTTATCCAGCTGCCCCATCCGCGCCGCTTCTTCGAGCACTTTCAAGTGCTTCTCAAGCTTCAAGCTTAACGCGAGCCCGTAGTTCATGTTCGATGCCTTTTTGAACCGGCCAGCACGCTTAAAACCGCCAGGTGCGCCATCATGCTTCGGGCGCGCGACAAACCCGATGTTGTGGTCCGCATAGAACGCAAGACGCGCTTCCCGCTCCTTGGAACTGATGAGCTGCAGTCCGTCGTCATGCACAAAAATGGCAGAAGTGCCACCCTGCCTAGCATATGTCTGCATCGCCTTCTTGATAGAGAACACCGAGGGTGAACTGATGGATATATGTCAGCGTGTTCTATTCTTCTGCCGAAAGAGTGAATGGAGAATAATCTGACATTGTGTGCTCTAGACTCTCCTTGAACACCGGAAGTTCGACAGTAATGTGGGGTAAGGCGGCATCGACTTCTTTGTTCGCAGATGGGGGCACTGCGGAGTAGTACCTCGAATTTTCATGGTACTGAGCAACCGGACCAAGCCTAGACAGTTTAATGAATGATGACGTGAGCTCATATGACGGTGATAAAATGACCTACGCCAAGGTCAAATTCCCTACAAGCTGTAAACAGAAGAACTATGATTGATAATTAACATAAGTGTCCGTAGCAAAGATGATCAGTCTCACCAGTGATATGCAAAACAAGAAGGGGGATGTGACAAGCAGGATGAAGCGATTGTAATTACTATCGAGCAGCCATTCAGACAGCAGGATGCTGACACCACTGCCAATGAAAACTTGGACCGATTAGACGACGCAGTCATAGGAATAGGAAGTAAACATTCATCTTACATATTGATAACGCCGTCGCAAGGCCACAATAAAATGGAGCGTAGAGACGAATGGGACGGAGACCCTGACTTCCCGAAGAACCTTTCTTCTCTAGGTCAGATTCATCACCATACGCGCCACCCTTCTCTTTCTCCTGTGACACGCGCCAACTCCAACCCCATCTCGATTTCTTGGGCGACGATTTCAAATGTACGTTATTTCGTTCTTTTTCTGTGACAGGGATGGCCTCTGTAAGGACTGCATCCTTTTCTACCAAATTAGCGTCAGAAGCCACAGACGATGCAGGGTTGGTGGACGGCGGAGTGCTGGGTAAAGATATCAAATGGCGAGAGCGCCAGACCAACTTGATGAGTTTTTCCTCCAAGTCGCGGCACAAAGGTATGATACCGTCAAAATTGTCTGACCATACCACAATGACTCGTTCATCGCGCTGTAGTACCGAGTGTGTTAGTACTATACATGCCGATAAAAAGGGGTAACTAACAATGAAAGCTCCGCACTGCTCCTTCTCGGCCCGAGGAAGACAGCTCATGGAATCGAGCACCTGAAGTTTGGTGTCTGAATCAATATAGATCGAAGCGTCTTCATCAGTCCTGTGGAACTCGTGGTTATAGGGTCAACAGTTCTGCAATGACAAGAAGTTCTTACATTGTACGGAATGCGGCGTGAACGGCGGCACTGCGGATTTTAACAGCAACGACTGGATTCAGCAGTCTGACTGCAGCCTCGAACGGAGCTAGCAGCATCTGGTTATACGGGAAGACGCGGTAGTGTCCTGCCTCCACCCGGAGACAGACACCTGTAGCGATGGTTTCTTCCGTAGGCCGGAACCATGCCTCGCCTTGAGTCTATTGAGATGCAAAGATATCAATAAAGACTGCATTTGCACGCGTTAAATCACCTGACCTCTTGGTAGACGTGATGAAGAAGGGCATCATACGGGTCATAATCCATATCGTTTGGCTTGCTGAATGATAGACGCTACCATGGAACACTGTTATATAAGTGCGAGGAACTTCCAAGCTTACAATGACCCGGTACCGCGGCTGTGAAATCTGACGTTACAGGAGAAAAAATGTCGCCGATTATCAGAGAAAAGCACACGCGGTGTTTAAGATACGCCCATCACAAAAGTCTACCCCTTGGCTAGGCCTAGACAGAAACAGAAAGATCTGACGTGAGCTCAGAATCATTATTAGGATCAGCCTGAAGGGAAAGAACGTGGCTGTGACGCTTGGGCAGGGTTTACTTACTAATTTACGATACCAGGAACGTAGGGAAGACCAAAAAACGTGATAGTGGAGAAAACGAGCCTGCACACTGCAAAAATCACGCAATCCAAGCAAAGACGGATGCCATCCATGGCCGCACAGTCAGGAGAAAGCATGCAAGCCTGAGCAATCAGTTCCTGAGCTGAAAACGTGTCCCGCATTGTCACCCAGGGCCTTCAAGGGATGTATTTTGGCCTGCCCAGCAGACGTCGGAATGTACCACAGCCCGGCTTGGCGGCAACGTGTTTCACAAAATGGCTCACAGTGCAACGAGGTGAACGGCTGTCGATATCTAGACATTATTCCTAGATCCGAAGTCTTGTGGACGATTGAAGTGCCACTGCACCCGACTTTCCAAACACAACCTCGATCGAGTTCCGCAATCTTATCGGGTCCCAAGTAAGTAACAATAGCTAACGATAGCCGATCGGCGATTATCCTTTGACAGACAGCGCCTCGAGCTCCTTGAGATTCGGAAGACAGATGTGGAACTTCGAGATCGACCGAAAGCCAATCATGATATACACCCAGTCTCCCTAGGCCGCCGACCATAAACGGGTCGTTTGTATACATCCTCTCGGAAAATCGTGTCCTCGCGTTCACCGACATCTGAGTCATGAACGTCGGAAGCGCTCACTAGTCACGTGGCAGCAAAGACGGAACAAAAGAAGCGAGGATTCTGAGTGGCGGTGCAGTGCGGATATAATTTTAAAATCTTAGCGCTACAGACAAAGGCGGCGGCCAGCTGCAGAACTTAATGCCACACCTGCCTGTCGCCATGGATAACCACCAGATTGATACAATACTTTCCGATACCATGATGATTAAGTTATGCTTTGCGTTCGGCTCAAGTTTCCCATGAATACCTGATGATTACAAGTGAACAAGTGCTCGCCAGCCTGAGTCTAGAACAATACGCAAAAAACAAGGAATTAAATAGTAAACATGTAGGTACTGATGTACTGTGTGCGAAGGTGCTATGTATAACTGGTATGTTTACATGATCGAATAATTACCCCTTTTATGATACCTCTATCATAGAGCTGTAAAATGTACAGAAAAATAGAATGTTGACAGTATAGTCCATTCAAATCCCAACACAAACAACGGCCGACCAGTAGCGTTCTAGCCGCTCAATACGAGAAAATCATCAACCACGGATTGAGCACGATCTGCAACAGAAGTGACTCGATGATTAGTTACCCAGAAACGACATCTTCATGATGAATACGCACAGGGAAAAGAATGTGACTTCCAGCAACGAGCCTATATGAAATTTGAGTATGACGTGGCTAGTACTGACAAAGCACTTACGCAAGAGGGAGAATAACTGCCCAATAGGTACCTGGAATCTGCCAATCCAGGCCGACGATAGGAAGACTGAAAATGACGATCATAGCGAATGTGCCGAAAGAGAGTACGAAGGCGAGCCAGAAGCGCTTGAAAATTCGGGGGACTTCGATAAAGAAATTCGAACGTTCGACTTCCTTTTTCGTTGCTCCCCAAGTGATGTTGTATGAGAACATGTGGGCCAAAAGAGCGGTGGAGAGGTGGACACTAAGACCGCCAAAGAAGAAAAAGCTGCGAGAGTTGGCATGAGCTCGGGCCTGACATCAACGACGGACACGTACAAGAAAGGGACCCAGGTGCAGGTCTCGACAAGCGAGGCCCACATGTTACGGTGCCCAAGTCTGTATTCAAGAAGAACGTAGCCAACGTTGCCCGATCCAGGAAACACGGCGAGAATGGCGAGAAAGACTTCAAAACTATGAAGATAGTAGCCGTCCGTTTCGAATCCCAGTCCAAGAAGGATATAGTTGAGGACCGACAAAATTGCCGAGGCTGCGATACCATCTGTACAATCTGTGAGCTTAGCAGGGATACAACAAAAGACCTTGTCCTACAATAGGAAAACATGTCTTTTGAAACCGAAGTCAGCATATTGGCCATAATTCTTATCAACCTTACTCACATGCCATCATACTAATTTTGTAATGGACCGGCGCATTTGACCATACGAAGATACGCAGCTGTTTGTTGATTGGACCCTTCCTCCACCAGTCAATAAGGGGGTTGAAAATCAACTCGCTACAACCTTCCCAAGACCCTAATCGTCAGCACAGATCCCGTTGACGGAACGGCTCATCCGTACCGTATGAGTATTTTTGCCATCGATTCAATTCATCATCGACCGTCAACGATACACCTTCCTTGAAGCCGCCCTCGGAGTATGTCGCCCACCGTATGATGTACTTCTTTAGCTGTACACAAATGAGGAAATGATAAGGTTTAACAATGCAGGAACCATACCTGAAGTCGCAAAGCCATATCGAAATCCTCAGATACATTTGATTCCGACCAGATCTTCGTCTTCCCGTCCTCCGGGTCTACAAACGCGGCGTCCTGAAGCGCAGACCACCGAAGGAAAGCATTGTGTCCCACGAAAGGAGCTATTTCACCATTCGCGCAACCAAGGGATATACACTTGTTGATCCGCCTAGTGAAGTGGGCAATACCATTTTCAAAGTAGTGGTGGGCGACTTGCATGACATCTTTAATGCGACGTTGAGTTATCGCTAAAACAGGAGCACGAAGTCTGACTAACCTGATTCATGCTGAATGATCGCAACCTCGGGGCTCTCTGCTAGTTCACGAGCAGCATCACGAAGACAATCCTAGAATGGCGTCAGTTTTGTAAACACAGGAGGTGATATGTCGTTCACCTCGGGTACGATGGTATCGGAGTCGACAAGCAAAATGATCTCTCCCATTCGAATGGATTTGCCGTTGCAAGCCCACGGTTTCCATTTCTCTCCACTTTCCATGAAAAGTTCTTCACAAGCCAAATCCATAGCGCGATCCTCCAGTGGTTGGTCGTCGTCATCCAGCTCTTCTCGTTCTTCTGCTTCAAGGAGCACCTTGAGATGTTTCTCGAGTTTCAAGCTAAGCGTGAGCCCGTAATTCATATTCGACGCCTTCTTAAAGCGGCCGGCACGTTTGAATCCACCCGGAGAGGAATCATGAGGGGGACGTGCGACCCAGCCAATGTTGTGATCGGCGTAGAAAGCAATGCGTTCCGCGCGTTCCTTCTCCGAAATGAGCTGCAGACCATCGTCATGCACAAATATCGAAGATGTTCCACCCTGGCGTGCATATGTTTGCATAGCCTTTTTGAGGGAGTACACGGACGGTGAGCTAACAAGATGTGAATATGGGAAAGCAAAATTCGACTTTGAGCTTACATTGTATGTTCAAGACTTTCTTTGTAGACAGGAAGCTCGATAGTGACATGAGGAAGAGCCGAATCGACAGCCTTATCCTCGTCGGGCTTGATAGCAGAATAGTAACGCGAGTTTTCATAGTACTGAGAGACGGGACCGATACTACAAAAATGAATGCAAGTCAAGATGAATCAGAACGGGCACTTACATCATGCCGACATTGCCGATAATTTGCAAGGAGAAGAACTGAAATTACAAGGTAAATTCGATTACGAAACGTCTTTTGTGATGCATGACATACCAAAGAAACACAGAATGACAGTGGGGCTGTGACGAGCAGACAAAACCGAATCCATTGACCATCGAGCATGGACTCCTGCAGAAGCATGCTGATACCAGTACCGATGAAAACTGTCAAACGAGGTAAGTCTAACTTGAATAAAACCTGAGTCCACAGTTGCTTACAGATAGATAAGCCGCAGCCCAAACCATTGTAGCAGGGCGCGATGAGCTTGGTTCGGCGGGCTTTCTTCACACCCTTCTCGGGGTCACCTTCGTGCTCCTCACGAGTGGTACTCCAGCTGAAAATCTTCCAAAATGGTGATGAGGACTTAGGCTTTGGCTTCCGATTTGTGAGTTCTTTCTCAGTGACAGGAATCTCCTTCATAATATCATCCTGTATTGCTGGCAGACTGTCGTCTGACAGCGGAGTAGATGGCAAGATCTCAGAGGGAGCGGCGGAGATAGCGGTGCGTTGTCTCCAGACAAGCTTGATCAGCTTTTCCTCGAAGTCGCGGCATAGGGGTATAATGTTATCCAAGTTATCGGACCAAAGAATGAGAACACATTCGTCTCGCTAAGGTTTCGTCAGAAAGGCATGGTAACGTGATGAGAATTATCAATTACAATGAAGGCTCCACACTGTTCCTTCTCAGCTCTCGGCAGCATAGCCATGGAAGCTACTATCTGAATGCGTGTGTTATGATCGACATAGATAGCAGATGCATCTTCGGGACTATTATTACGGAATGCGGACCGTTAGAAAATGACCGAATACCCGACGAGAAGCAACATACACAGTTGTTAATGCAGCATGGACTGCAGCACTCCTCACTTTGACCGCAACCACGGGATTTAAGAGGCGTACTGCTGCCTCAAAAGGTGCAAGGTAGGCGTTCTCGTACGGAAAGACGCGGAAGTGACCAGGTTCGACACGAAGACAGACCCCAGCAGAGATATTCTCCTCGGATGGCTTGAACCAAGCATCACCCTGAGTCTGTGGGGGACAAAGATATAAGCAGAAGACGAGATCAAAAGAAATACACGTACTTGCTTGAATATGTGATGGAGGAGTGCATCATATGCGTCGTAGTCCATTGCCATTGTGGAAGCCCAAAGTAGGAGGTAGGAGAAAATAACAAGCGGTGTCCGAACAAAGATCGTTCCTAGCTCGGAGGGGGGATATGGGAATTTTTTGGGCTTGAGACTTGTTCAAATTTGGAGAGGAATATAAGAGTCCTCAGATGATTGACATCCGATTTGGAAGTGGTAAGCAGTGTCATTTGAACCTAGGGGGATAATGATACAAAGGCGATAACAGGCCAAGGAACAAGTAAGGGATCAGTGCCGTCCAAAGACCTGTATCCCTGGATGGGTATGATAATGCCGTAGTGCAAAGGAACCATCGGGCTCCATCGGGCTCGTATCTTCCTTGGATATGCATGGAGACTTCACAATAATTTGAGAACAAGTCAACGGGCTTGAGAAGCATCCGGTATCTGGAAGGTCGCCTTAGGACAGACCATAGGCACAGTGATATGTACCTGAAAAGGATTTTTTTGGTCTGCGAATAGCCTTGGACTTAGATGTGGGAGAGATCAATACACGAGTGACTTGGAATTTGAAAAGACCCACCCCTGCGCGCTTAGAGACGTACAATCTAGCTGATCTAAGACTCTGTTTGAATATTCCCTGTCAGATGAATTCCTGGTCATACATACCATTCACTGAGCTGTGCGAAAGACCCTAGGCAGGATCAATTAATCCGCTGTCACTTTTGGGCTCGGTCGGCGCTTCCGTGTCGCTGGGTCACGTTGAATTATATAATCAAATTTCAACCCCGCGACCAGTAATAACAGTCCTCGACACGGAAATAGTAGAGCTGGTGTTTGTAGCAATCATCCAAAGCTACTACGACTTGTTTCAAGCAGCTCGAAACATAACCAGAACGTTCAGAATTTAACTTTGGTATTGAATGATATCCTTACTGAACGTCATCAACCACTTCAAGTTATTCCTCCATATGGCGTCATGCAAATTGCGGTAACCCGGGGCCCGAGTTACTTGTTGTTATCTGCCGAGATGATGATCTCTGAGTGTTGATCTGCCAGGATCATCCAGGCAAATCAGTGCCGGTATATCCACAACAGCCCGTTTGATGTTCAAATATTGACGTTTGACGCTTTCTTGAACACTTGGGCGCTCCGATTGGTTCAAAGGACTATAACTCGGCTACGGTACATGTTCCGGGAAGGCTCGTGAAGTAATCCACTTCTCAACTCTCAACTCTCAAAAGGCAGCCTTGTAGTAGTTTATCTATTTTACATTTGTGAACGGAATTATTCTCGTGGACTCTAATTTCGTATGACATGTTCGTGCCTTCCTTCCTGCCAAACACACTTACGCATGCCAACAGCGAGGGTCCGATGACATTGTCCATGTTCCGAGCTCTCCTGACCCTGGATGCATGGCGCTGTCCGCGCATCGCAGGGACAAGCGCTCATGATCTGATTATCCGGAACGTGTTTTACACGTAATTTGCTCTGACAGCCTGTGGCCTCAACTTGGTGTTATCGCTCGCGAGTCAGGAGGAACTTGATCAGAAATTCATTGGATCATTGGATCAACCTTGCCATTTTGACATGTGCGCTTGCTCGAAGCTTATCCCCCCTACTGCGATAAGCAGAATTTGAAGGTACATTTGCCACATCACGCTTCGCTTCCTTGATTTGCTGGCGCGAAGTCGAAGCCGATCTGAATTAAGGCGTATACTACAACGTGTAAGTTGTCTGAGCCGCAGAAGTTCTCGTTTGGCGGTCCCGGAACAGAAAGGGAATTGTGCCATTCGCTATGATTCCCTGAATGAAGCTCGAAACGGTTTATCAAATGGTCGTCAATGCAACATTTAATACAGGAATGACGACTTTTTCGTTACATGGAGGATTGGAAACTCGAATGTTGATAACATCGATTCGACGTACCGGGTTCCTCAAAATTCTGCTTGGATAAGATCAGCAGGGAAGGCATGAGCGCTGAATGACGATATGCACAGGAATGGATGATGATTGAGGTTACACTACTCATCGCCGGCATCAGCTAGGGGTGGCATAATTCCCTTAGACGGGTCGGTTTTTCTTTGCAACTCTTACTTGTGGTTATCGACCTGCATCCAAGGCACCTAGCGTAATACGCTCCTGAAGATCAACACCCTGCAGGTCGGGATTGATTGACATAATGCCTGTTTACGTCACTTGTCCATCATGCATCTATATGCCGAGGGACTCCATCGAGCAAGTGACACCTTGGGAAAGGGTTCGAGTTCAAAACTCTGCGTCCTAGAGCAACCTGGGCCGGAGGAATAACAACAGCTATAACATGTATAAGTAACTTGCACAAATGCCATTTTAGTCCAAGTTGGTTGATGATCATGCTGGTTGAGCTGATCACGTTTGTTCTTGCATAGCCGGCCGCCGAGTCCAGGCAGTCAGAGGCAGTCCTGTCCTAATCCTGTCAGTTATATTATCTCCGAATCTCCGATGATGAAGGAGCCAAGAAAGGAAACCCGATCAATCTCCCTCGGGGAGAACGATCGAGATTCATCAAGTTTGAACGCTGGACTCGGAGGTGCCTCTAGGTGCCTTCGCACAAGTTCGCACAGCGACTGTCCAACATAACAGATAACGCAATCTAGAGCGCTCCCTGACATGGCGGTGAATTCAGGGATCATTTGGACGCGTTTGTACTTGGCTTTACAGGCCTTATATCTGCAATAAAAGTTCTCCATAGAGTCCAGTTGTCTGTGAGACTTGCCAGCACTCCAATCTATTGAATCCACCATGTCAACATCAGCGGACAAGGATGGCATCAAGCCGCCATCCCCATTCTATCTCGGCGACAACTCCAGACAAACGAAGGATAAGCACCATCACTCCACACCTTCGATTTCCAATTACTCTCGCCCATCTACTGCAGGAACTGCCGCAAGTTCTGTCGTCAACCCTTTTTCTCCACCTGCTAGCGTCGTTAGCTTCAGCGTTGATCCCATAAGCAGCGGACCTATGTCTGCTGTCACAGCAGGCGTTGCACAGTACGAGGTCCAAGAAGCCGTACCCCGTCATGGTGTGATGGCGCGTCCTCGCACTATCTCATACTATGGCAGCAGCCGCCCCAACACTGGAGATAACCCCAGTCGCACGAACTCCGGCGTTCGTCTTCGTGAAACGTTCGCTGCACCACCAGCTCGCCCCATGACGGCAGTCTCGACCTCTACGAGTCTCCCTCCACCAGGCAAGACAACCCGGATGCGTTCTACCATGCTTGAAGATCCAAGCACCTTAGAAAAGCCTTGGGTGACGACAAAAGACCCATATGCACGGATTGCATATTTCTTGACTTATTCGGTGGCGTTCCTTGGAATAGCAGCGTCTGCTGTGCGCTGTTACTATGGTTATAAGAGTGTGCCGTTGATCACTAGTAACTTGTGCATGGTGTTGGATGAAGATTTCAATTCTGACACCGATACTACTTTCGGACCCAGCGGAAACTGGTTCCGCGAAGTGCAGTTGGGTGGATTTGGGTCAGCGAATTTGTACTTTTGATGAATCAAAACACTTACATCAATGTTCTTTCAGAAACGGCGAGTTCGAGATGACAACATCCTCATCAAATAATTCATACACGTCCAACGGATACCTTTACATGACCCCTACCTTGACGTCGGACATGATCGGCTCGGACGCTGTGTATAACGGTTACACATACAACCTTACCGATTGCACGTACAACTCGACGAACCCGCAAGCACTTCCGGGCTCATTAAACGATACGGGTTTTGACGCAACTGCCTACTACCAATCCTGTGGTGCCGTAAGCAACAGTTCGACGGGTACAATAATCAACCCCATACAAAGCGCGAGGATCACCACACGCAACAGCGCCAGTATCAAATATGGACGCGTAGAGGTACGGGCGAAGCTTCCGCGGGGGTACGTGTTATACTTTTTTGACATGTCATGTAAACTAACTGACCGTCGGCTCCCTGTAGTGACTGGGTGAGAATTTTACCGCCAGGTCCTGAACCATATGACTTACTGATGGGCCCTGCAGCTCTGGCCTGCTATCTGGATGCTTCCTGTAGACAACACCTACGGACCGTGGCCAATGAGCGGCGAAATCGACATCATGGAATCACGCGGGAACGGTCGTACTTACCCCGACCAGTGAGGCACCTAATCATTCGCAGAACCGTAATCTGCTGACCATGATCTGTTTTGCTGATCTCCTTGACAGGGGTATCGATTATGTCCGCGGATCACTCAACTGGGGGCCCTTAACTTTCTTGAATGCTGTATCCAAGACTTTCGGCTGGTGGACGCAGCGACGCACCGACTATGGGGAGGACTTCCATGTCTATTCACTGGAGTGGACACAGGATTTCCTGTGAGTTCTATGTCACTTCCGAAGTTGGGCGATCCTCTGACTCGACCAAGTCGCATTTACGTTGACACTCGCTTGCACTATATGCTTGAGCTTTCATTTAACGAACCCTTCTTTACACGGGGAGACTTCCCCTCCGTGGTCCAAAACGGATCCGAGCCTATTGTTCTGCAGAACCCTTGGATCAACGGGACCAATGCGACACCTTTCGACCAACGTGAGCTCTTATGAACATTTACGGAATTGCAGTATGCTGAACTCACCGATCGATGTACAGGATTTTATCTCATCCTCAATCTCGCTGTTGGCGGGACTAACGGATGGTTCCCCGATAACGCAGGTAACAAGCCATGGCTGGACAACTCGAAAACAGCCATGCGGGACTTTGCAAATGCGCAGGATACGTGGTACCCCACATGGGGCTCAGATGGGGAGAGTGGTTCTTTCATTGTGTAAGTCGCTTGGTCGCTCAACGTGTTGTTCGTATTCTGACATCAAGATATGTTGCAGGGATTATGTCAAAATGTGGGAGGTCTGTTAGTCGAGCCGTCGACGATCTTAGAGAACTCGAGATAAACATACCTCTTAACATGATAGACTTACCTCGATCACACTATTGTGGACACTGTGGCATACCTTATATATCGTTGTACTCGCTCTTCCATAGTTCTTGTCTAAATATGCATTATAAGTTAGCGTCTGCGTGGGCTTGCGACAGTGCGAACTGATATTTTCAACTTGCGTCACGGGTAAAAGACAGGCGGTGGACAGGGGACCCAGGCGTCTTCGAGATAGACTTGTAGGTGAGCTCAACGTGCGTGTTAGCGTTCGTCAGTAGTTACGTCTGTTTGGCAGAAACACAGCCACCTAAACAGGCTCGAACGTTCACTAGACCAAGTAAAAACGGATATCGATCTATGTCAACTAGAGAGTCTTCCTTCTATAAGTTTGACTAGGGGCAACTAGGAGAGAGCTCTAATGTTTTAACAGCTCAAGGAACGCTCACTCACCCGATCATTATATTCTAGCAACCAATATGCACCGGCGATGCACGAGTCCTTCAAGTAGTACTCTGGGCAGACTTATTCAAACAAGTATCAACGAAGTCACAGTGTCCATGACCGGAAGCTTCAAGCTGCAAGCGCAGAGTATTGTTCTGAAAGCTGCGCATTCTTATTTTCTCGTTGCAAAGCTCAGATCTCAGCTTTGAATGTAGGTTTGTGATCATAACCGCCTACACGCTTTGTCTTTATCTAGAACGCAGCATTGCTCAGTGCATGCTCAGACATACCATTTCGCACCAGGGACAAAACGCCGTGATGCTATACAATGAAAGTGTATAGTAAGTACGTGCATCAGCGCTCCCGTGGACCGCACAAAACGTCATCAGCCAAGGGCCATAAGCTGCTCTTGAGTAAACTTACTGGTGGATCGGGCACAAACTCGGAGTCGGATGCAAGGGAAACCCTAGGCTAAACCTGTAGCATCAGAGAACCGGTGAGCCGTAGATGTTGTCATATATAATTTCGCGTTTCGTCACATTGGAATATAAAGCAATATATATAATCATGTAAACCCATCGCAATCTACATAATTGCTAGCAAGAACTCACCAGTTCACTGATAGGCTAAGGCAGGAGGCGGCTGTTGCTCAGGGATGGACTCAGTCATCTGCAAGCCGGGACTCCAGCCATTGCACCAGGACCTCCGGCACTCCCACCAAGGTGGTTTGCCCAATTTGTCATTGTCAATTTGTTGACAGCCCATACTTGTACGGAAACAGATCGGGTGCTGCAGGGTACTGCTTATTATATTTTGCCAGATCATCGAATGAAATTCAAAGAGGTTGAAATGTCCAAAAGAACGGATTTTGAAGGATTCTGACCGCTGGCAAGTACCGCGGACTCTACATACCAATCGATCAATTGCAAATTTATGTACCATCTGTGCATGACGAGATGTGAATGGTTCTCGGTACCCCGTTCGGGGAAGCGCATCTAGATGTCGTCACGCCGGCTCATGTCGGTCGACGCTCCACAATATACACGGCCTCGATTCATGAACACCCGAGGCGCTACACGGACATGATATATCATATGATAGTAGTACAGCGTCCGAGGTGTTTTACCCATTACACGTGTCTGCGGATGTCGATGAGGAGATCGCACTCGAGTTTTTGGAAATTCTATCGACATTTAGCACCATAGTATGTCTGATTTAGAGGGCTCACGCGGCGCTACCGGGGTATTGAGTGTTAATATAGCCTGAGCAACCGCAGGCCTTAAGCTTATGGAGGTGAAGAAGGATGAGGATTGATTCTAAAATTCGCAAGTATCCATGACCTGCATTCGCACTATGTAATACTAACGTTTCGTAGGATCTTGATTTAAACAAGGCCTTCGATATCGGATTAGCATCCTTCAGCGAATCACTATACGCGCGCCTACATAGTGACTTAGTCTTCCTTCTTCAAGGCAGACGAACTTTTGTAGACGCGATGAACGGCTTACATAATAGAGGCTAGTTTTATTTCTCACAACCGTTGACGGCGCAAGGCAATCTTTCATCATTCTATGTACTTAGCCACGCACGGCGATTAACATCTTGCATATCACCTAGATTCGCACTCTGGTAAGGATCAGCCCGTGATTATCACACTACTTATTACTCACGATTTGCGAGATACTTAGGGCGCAAAACATGAGGAATACCACAATAAACACGTCATCTATAGTAGTTATTATAGTAACAAGGATGGTGACCGAATTAGCATTGGATGGAAGTGTATGCTCAGATGGCAAGGGACGCGAGATTAAAGTAATGATCCACCATCAATCCTGCGCAGACCATCGCTGCGCCGTGGCGACCTGCCTGGAGAACAACGCGATATCAGAATCAGAGCATGTGGTTATAAGAGTTCAACATACGGTGAATTTCTTCCAGCTGTCTCGGGGATCATTGTGATCAAATGACCAGATATGCCAGAGACAAAGGAGGAACGGCGCAATGACACTTAGCACGTAGAACGGGAGGTGCTGGCCGTTCAAGTACCCAGCCCACAAAAGGCACGCAAAGAAGGTCACATCAAATATACTCAATGCAGGACGAATGCCGTCGCCCAGACGGACCGCCATGGACTTGACTCCGGCCTTCTCATCGTCCTTCTTGTCCTGAGATGATATAATCAGCACATGCCTTCAAAAAACCTTCCAGGTGAGTTACCTGGCATGCGTAAATTGTGTCGTAAAGACATGTCCAACTACAGAAGCATCGTCAGCACCTCGAAGAAAAACGCCGTTTGGCACGTGCACACTTACCAGCACGACGCAATTGCGACGTTCAGGATCATGCCCCAATTAAACTCGCCCGTCGTTGCTACCCAAGTGAATGGGACTGCCCAGCTAGCAGCAAAACCTTCGAACCAGATAAGATGGTATACTTCAAACTTTTTAAAGCCATACCGAGGAACAAAGAAGGCCAGTACATCCAGCGCTTCATAAGCGGATACGTCCCACCACAAGCAGGGAGTCCAACAATTCCGAGTGCAAGACTAAAAAAAACAGTTTGTTCGGAAAAGTCTTAATGTTTCTTGAAAGATATGCTCACGCTGTAGTGCCAGCAGTCGAAAACATGTAGAAGATGGCAGCGACGAGAACGGCTAGAAGAATTGAAGCCTCTGTCATAGTGACGGCTCCAGATGCGATCGGTCGGCCTTTTGAACGTTCTAATTGAACAGCGTCAAGAGACCAGTGACAAAGTTCAGGACATAGATGAGACGGACCAACTTTGCGATCGAAGTCGCGGTCAAGCATATCATTGATGACACAGCCTGCGCTGTGTACCAGTGTGCCCAACAATGCATAGAATAAAGTATTTTTCACGACTTCGTTCATGGGCAATGCCATATGATAGGACGCAGACAGGGAGCCCCAAGCTATGCATGATGAGTTAATATTAACCGACAGGTATGCCACATCTTCCGTCTTACCGAAGGGCCAAAACATGAAGTCGCACCCCACAGGGAACCAGTGGAGCCTTGTGAGCTCAAGCAATGCTCTTGCTTTGGAGGGCATCGTGACAAGTTTACAAGGAGGGGGAAAACTGGAGTGGAGAACCAGAAACACTAGCTATGTTCAATTTATACCTCTGCTTGGGTGCTCGGAATGACCTCTTTGACATCGGTAGGCTGCCAAGGCAAGTTGTAATGTCAACGCTTGCCAATTGGCGGTCAGGATATTCGCATCGGCTGGCTTTGTTCTGAGTCGATCACGGTGAGCGAATCTCAATTGCAATGCACTGCCGGTGTACAACCCCTGGTCTCTCCTGGGCAGACCACGGGAGGAGACAGCGTACCTTCTATACATGACAACTTCAGAAATTAAACTACGTAATTTTAAAGATAAAAGTAACTTTTGAGTACCTGTGAGTCTGTGATTACCACGGTATCCAATAGCACCATGTACAGTACTCGCTGTCTTCTTCCTGGTCGCGACCAACTCGTGAAGGTCAATGATTTGACCCGGAGCATATATATCCACATATGAGAGTAATATGTACCACCTACTTACTATGGGTCAACAGCTATGTCCACCAATTCAGCCTCCACATGTCCAGACCCTACTACCAGTCGGCCAGGAACCCTGGTCATAGATATTCTAGGGGGTCCTGTTCGAGTTGGGTATTCCACGGCCTGCCGTGTCTGATCTAGAGCAAGGACCACGCCTATACCTATGACCCCGTTCCGGAGGGAAGCATGTTGTACGTCGCATGGTACAATATTATAAGGTTCATTCATCAAAACGAACGGTCGACGGATCATTTTTGCGACCCTAGCCTAAAAACTCGTGAATGTCATTTTCTTGATCGCACTCACTAGACAATCCGTGCAGACTCCCATGTTCATCTTCGAACTTCATTATGATGGGAGTCTCATCAATCGGTGCCTCTCAGGTATATTTGCTTAATATGCACTAAATCACCAGTTCACATTAACGCAGACAATGAGCTTCATCTGCGTCATCTACAAAATGAACGGATCAGTCGGTTCCGTGGGATCAGGCCCTACCTCGTAAGCATGAGAATAAGTACTATGTAGTCTTGGCCCCTGCCGGAAAGTCTCACAAGTGACAAGTGTGAGCGTGTAGTTGCAATGTCGTTCTAACCGATAATGCCATAGGTCTCTTCATCTACACTCCCGGACTATCTGAAGTAATTCCAAGTGCCCGCTTCTGCTGCAGATATTCCTGACTGTATGACACCTTTTCCTTGCACAAGTCATACATTAATCACATACAAGAGTCCATACGACGCCCAGCTGCTCGACCTTGTAAATTTAAACAGGTATGCCCTTGAACAACCTTTAACTATGCTTCTGTTCCACAAAGTTCAATGATTTTAGTGAAGCCATGTGTGTTGCCGGTCATGGCTTGGCAGTTGATCCGCGGTTTGAAAGTGGCAGGAGATATATCGTATTTGCAATGTGTATACATTGCATGAGACAAAGAGAAGTACTAGCGACTGTCAGTACTCACCTTATCCGCTCGGAGATTACAGTAATCCCCATGTCACTGAAAGATAACATAAGAAATTGACATACAGTGAGAGCAACAAACCACGCGCTCACCTGGGCACCCAAATATACCGTTCAAATCGATGGAAGTATCTATGTGGTGGCATTGACGGTTTCGACTCTCGGGAATATCACTACCCCCATAAGGGGTGCGTTTCGCTATGCTGGTACGAACGCCTCTTGCATTTGAAAAGGTCAGTAAAAACCAACCGTATGGCGCAGAACAGAACAGTACGGAAAAACCATAGGTGCGATAGACAATTTGGACAAATAAGGCTGTTCAATAGGGTCGGTGACCCTACCGGATGATCATTAAATAAAAGACAGAAAGAAAAAACGCAGCCGATTGGATCATTTATCTTGCCTTCCCTCGCGAATCGGAACCATCTGATCCTATTAGTATTAGGGCTCAAGATTATATTACAAGGCACATCAAAATAGAGTACATATACAATTTTAACGCACTGGGGTCATCACTGCGACCAGCTAGGTAGGGACACGCAGTCAGTGGTTGAATGTGGATGTAGGGAGCTACTGGATGTAATTATGCCGGCGGACCGCCGCGTATGATACGGTCTGCTTGGTTGATTAGAGATTCGGACTTACGTGGTTTCATGTGCGGGATTCCAGGAGCAACGGCTTTGATCCTGCGAGGCGGATTTGCTTTCCGGCTTAGAGATAATGGACATGAGGCGTGCGGGATTCCAGGAGCAACAGCTTTGATCCTGCGAGGCGGTTTTTTTTTCGGCATAGAGATAACGGACGTGAGGCTGCATAATCTGTCTAACAGCGCTGTTCGGAGCTGCCCAAACATGGTATGATTGATACTCTGGCGCCAAAGGAAGAATTTCGAATATGAATCGAGTGCTGCACTGCGGAGCATCAGTACACATTGATGAGGCGTATCACATCTCCCAAACGTGTAGCCCATTGGAAAGCCGTTCGTAATAACCTGTGCTCTATATTGGCACCATGAGAACAGAAGAGAAGGGGAGGGAACGTGATGAGGATGGAATGTGATCCACTGATTATGATCAAAAGATGTGACTGATGGTGATCCGGATTCTGGACGTAACACGCTGCAGTTTGGCCCATGGGGGAAGTTGCGGGGAAGCTCTTTACATGCGCTCTCGTTGGTGCGAGGTCATTGTAAAAAGTACATACTGGGCTGCCAGTACCTGGTCAGGTGGCATCATTGATGGCAGTACTTTGGTCTGTGGGATATGATGACAACTTGAACTTCCATGGTGCCTGGGTACGTACATACACAAAGTGAAAACTTCAAACTTCAAAGGGCCGCCGCATCAAGGAAGCTTTGTCTGTCAAAAGTTGTCAAACGTTTTGAACAACGAGCAAGACTTATTTTTCAGGCTTTGAGCAATGAGCACTGAAGAAGATGAATGAAGATGTCAACGAGCACCCTGAGAAACTACTAGTTTGAAACTGGGCGGTTGCTTGTTTTCCGTTAACGACGTTAACGTGACTTTTCTTATTTCTCCTCGTCGTCAAGCGCTACGAGCTCGCAAAATTTCGATTGTGTACCGTTATCCACCTCACAACGACGACGACGACGCTTGGACGACCTCCAGATAATTCGGCTGGATACAACTCTCATTTTTAACGCTTCCCAAGTTTCAACTGAGCAACGCAGCACATTACCATTACCAACATCCTGCGAAACCTGGAATCGTCGGCTTTCGATGCCCAGTATATTTTCTAGAGCCCGCACTACTTCGACACCAGGCAAGAAGCAACCGAGTGGCAACCAAGACCCACCCTACGACGAGTTCGGGCGCGTAAACAGTAGAGGTTCTGCAAAAGATGTCGGTGGTGGTAGAGGCACCCCTACTCCTGTGAAACAGAAATCACGAAATCGAACCCTCAGCACTCCAGAGACAGACCCATTCGCTCACATTCCTGATGGGTCTTTTCTCCCTTTGAATTTGGAACCTAAAGTGTACGAGCACGAGCAGCAAGAGCATGACTACGGATATCTATCCTATCAGCGGCACGTTGTTCTTGGTCTTGATGAAATTGCACGCCTCGTGGACGTCGTGGCCAGCGAACTAGGCACCAGAGCGCTGACTACCCCGTTTATTTTTTCGACTCTGGCTCTCGATGTCTCAGCCAGCTCCGTCAAGAGGCTTATCAAAGCGTTTTTGGAAACATGCACCGGTGGAATCGACGCAGAACGACGTTGGAGAGAGGAGGCCAGGCTTGCAGGTCCCCACGAGCTCGGCATGTGCATCCGTTGGGGACTTGCTAGAGTCGTTAGAGTCGTTGGTGGACAGGCAGTGAGAGGCCTCATTACTTGGGACCATTATACAGAGTTCCGAGACTCTGAAGCAGGTGGGTGTTTTCTCTCTTCTGTTCCATTTCACTCTCACTCTTCACGTTCTCTGCATTGCATTGCAATCGCTCCTTCACATCAGACGCTCATTTTGCTTCATATCTTAAATGACTTTACTAACTTTACTGTAGCAGATAACTATCCCCCGAAACACTTTTCCACCTTCCTTCCACGTCTCCCCTCAACTCTGCGCTCGATATTACTCACTCTGTTGAGCCTGCTCATTCGGTTCACAGCACACAGTGCCAGCTCCGGACACACACCTCCAACCCTCTCCCCCCTATTCGGCCCCTTGTTATTTGGCCTAGGTCCCGCCACTCTCGCATTCCACCACACCTATATCCACTACCTCCGCGCAGTCAACGCCACCGAGCATCTCCTTCTTTCCTTCATCCGTTGGCAATCTACATCCGACCTTGGCGTCCCCACCCGGCTCAAAGAGTGGATCCGCTCCTACCCAGCGACACTCCCAGCTTTGCACCACCCAGGCAAGCATGAGCGCCCACAACCGCGCAGGGGTGCACGCACGGTGCGTGTCGTAAGCGTAAGGCGTAACGTACGAATGTATAGCCAGGACCTAGTACAAACTGCTGCGAGCTGGGCACATCGGTCGCATGGGCATGGCCTGGCGGGGTCGAAAGAATGGGAAAGGATTGCCCCACCTTCACTCAAACTGCCGCCGAGATACTCAGAAGCATACAAGAAGCGTATGGACCTTGCGTCCCATGTGCACCCGTACACCGGACCCGGAGTCGCTCCGGCAACTGCGACTAACAGCACGTCATCTTCGCTGTCTGATGACAATGAGGCTGTGGTGGGCCTGGGACTGCGGGAGGGCGAGGACCGGTTTAGGAGCCTTACAGATTTGAAGTGGGGTGAGTTTGAGACGATGGGATTCGGCACGGTCGCTGCGCATGAGGAGAAGTTGCAGTTTGATCTGACGGAAAGCGCACGGACGGTACGTGTGGCATGCATGCTAGGATTTCAACCATGTTTAACCCTTTCTTCATCGACATATAGGCCCGTGCTGCAAAACGCACCACTCTAACATGGACCGACTTCTCTACGACTGGTTTCACACGAACCGACGCACCTCTGAGCGCAACACTCCAATTTAGCACGCCTCTCACACACACGATCTCCGCGTGGCCCTCACACAATGCCGACATTACGAAGAAGCTGAAGAAAACCGCAAGGACCTTGCCTGCGTTTGGCTGGGACACAGAGCCAGTTCTCGGCACAGAAGAGATGGTGGAAGAAGCGTTTGTAGACGTGTTTTGTGATTTGGTTTGGGGAGGGGGTTGGAGGGAGGAAATTGGCGTGATCTTGGATGCGGAAGGGCCTGCAGCAGAGGTCGAGAGGGAGTGTAACTGGGCTTTGGTGGGTGCTTTTGTTCTTCATCTTCTCCTTCCCTTATTCTGTGCTGACCCAGGCTGCGCTTAGATCGAATTCAAGTCTCTTCCAATATCTTCACCAATATCATCACCCTTGCCCAAGGCTGGCAGTGGCTCAGATCCAAGAACAAGCACGACCCTTGTTTTGTTCGAGGAGTATGTGCCTTTGGAGTATCGCCAGCAGCTTGCCAAGGACAGCGGTGGGAAGCGAAAGCTGCCGTTCCCGTTTATGTCCCCTATTAGTAGTGAGTGGTCGTTTCCTTTAGTAGTTCCATCTTCTTTTTGATGCTTCCTGATAGCGTATTTTTGCCGATTGTACCTTCCCCCCTCTTTCGTTCCCATCCCTAATCACAACTAATTTCCCTCTATTAGCAGGCAAATCTCGCCCATGGAAACAAGCTGCAACACTCAATGGCCGTCCCTACGTTGTTGGGCACGTTCCTAAGAGTCCGTCATATCGCGAAGTTGAATTCGAGGGGCTGCTAAGATCGAATGGGAGCAAGGTTCTTTCGCTAAACAAACCCAGCACTTCGGGTGGCGGGGGTACGACGTCACCCACTACAACGGGGGTTCTTTCTCCAACAGCTACAGATGAACAGCCCGTCACCCCACGCTCAACTCCTTCCACACGACCGACAGGTGACTATCTCCGCACCACTCTACACCCGGCCAAAAGACAACGACAAACTTCCAGCTGCCGCCCGTGAAGGACAAAGAACCAAAGCTCGAACGGAGCGCTTCTGACTCACCCCTCTCCCCGACGTCTGCACGCAAACTCGCCTCACGTTTTCGTGTCCACCCCAGTTTTCGCCGCTCAGGGATTGTCCCTGCTGAATACACAGAGGCGATAGTGGATTTTGAAACGAGGCTAGCGAGCTACTCAGACGATGAGCTTAATAATTCGTCATCTGCAGGAGAGTCTAGGAGAGACAGAGATGAGAGAAGGCGCTCGAAGGACGATGCGTGGGTGGATATTTTGGTCGCGACGCATAACCGGCGGTTGAGTGGGCAGGAGGCGGATATTCGTCCGTTCGGCGCGCGCAGGAAAGGCATGCAAGACCCGGAGATGGCGAGCAAGGAGGTAGCACAGGTGCTTGCAGGCGTGGCGCGTTTACAATCGCCGCCGAGCGACCATGAGCCTGAGCCGATACCTGAACCCGCGGCGGCGCCGAGCGTGAAAAGCGAGGATGTGGATGTGGACAGTGTGATGTCGTATCCAAGGACAATAACCTCCAGCGTGCCGAAGCGCCTGGGATACTTTGATCTGCATCCAGAACGCAGACCCGTGCCCTCGCCGCAGCCGATGAGCGTGGGTGAGGACTCAGATGTAGATGAGGAGGCGCGCTATGGAAGCCCCGAGAGACCGTCGCCGTCGAAGTTTACCGTGCCCGCAAACACCGATACAAGTGCTTACCCCCAGGCCCTGCGAAGCTCGATGGACACCGTAGAAAGTGACTATGCCCCAACTTCCACACACTCCGACCAGGTTGATGCGCTGGAGTTAGTGTACGAAGACCACCGTGTAGCAAAGGAGACAGAAGACGCGTACTCGGGGATGGGGAATGTGACTCAGCTTATAGGCGTGCCGCCCGTGACGCCGGAGAAGGGAGAGAAGGAAAAGAGTCGGACGGCTGCACTGATTGAGATGTACCGCGAGCGCGAGAAGAAGTCGTCTACGACCACTGCCGTGCCGATATCGAGGCTCCCCGTGCGTTCGACGTCGCTGCATACTCCTCCCACGAAGGAGTCGGAGCTGCCGCCCGTGCCTGTGGTAGAGCTAGAGCCTGTTGTGGTCACCCCCGCGGGTGATATTATTGAGCAGCCTGCAGGCACAAAAGGCCTGCAGGGTGAGGAGTTTCTGCAACCCGTGAGTTTGTTGTATGACGGGAACGGGCGGGATAGTCCCGGGAGGTATGTGCACGGGGCACCGTTGCATAATGTGTTGGAAGAGGAAGAGGAGGAGTGAGTTGTTATGGCCTTCTTGATCACTATGCAGGCCTTTCTTCATTTTGCCATTAACTCACGCAACCCCGAGGTCCTTCCGCCATCGCTGATCCAGAAGCGGGTCCACCGAGGAACACGCCGTTAAACCCATCTTTTCACCTGTATTTGAACACCTATGCGTATATGAGTCCATATCACATCACCCCAACAACACCGACATCCTATCCTAAATACCACTACCGTCCCGATTTCCTTTGATACCAACTCTCCTCCGAGGCGTTGCAACGAATGCACGTTTCGTCAAGTCAGGTCGATACCGTATTTCGAAACTGGTCGATTGGATACTGGATTATTTTCTTTATTGAACAACATACATACACCATTCTTTTAAGATTTTTTCACATTCCTGACTTTCCTTGCTACTAGCGCATGCTAATTTCCCCGAGTTTGTTTCCATACATAGTCGTAGCCCTGACCCTCTCTATGTTGTCCCCCCTTTACTGTTTTACAGTGGATTTTATTTTATTTATGGTGCTTGTTCAATGGATGGAGTGGCAGCGGACCAGCGGCCCTCCTGATCCGCGAAGAGGCAATTCAGCTGACTTGGTCCAGGGTCACTGGATTAGACTATAATGCGTCAAGGGATCAATATTCCTCTCACTAGTTGTATTTCCTCTTGCTTTCTGCGAGCATGATCGAGGTTCCAGATAGATCCATTCGCATCTGTGCAGACAGAGGAGGGACGTTTTGTGATGTTCATGCGTAAGGCCAAGTCCAAGCTTTCGAGCGTCTTCCACGAAGCTGAGATAGAGCAGATCATATCCTGATCCAGACGATCCAAACGAGCGGAAAGATATCATCGTCAAGCTTCGTGCGTGTATTCGAGTGCATGTTATATAGTTGCTTAACTGCCCTGCAGTGTCGCAGGACACAGCCAACTACGGCGATGCACCAACGGAGGGCATCCGCAGGGTACTAGAGATCGTGACAGGAGAGAAGATCCCCCGTGGGTCCGTGCTCGATACTAGCAAGATTGGTTTGTACTACTCCTCCCGACACGTTCACCTATCCTGATAATGTCCTGCGTACAGATTATATTCGCCTGTCGACAACCGTGGCGACAAACGCGCTGCTGGAGCGCAAGGGGCATCGTCATGCGTTGCTGATTACAAAGGGATTCAAGGACCTCTTGCTCATCGGGAACCAGTCACGCCCACGCATCTTCGACTTGAACATTCGCCGTCCGAGCCCTCTGTACTCTGAGGTCGTTGAGGTGGACGAGCGTGTAACTCTTGTGGGGTACACATCGGATCCTAAGGCAGAGGAGAACGCTATTCAGTGGAATGAAGATGGGATCATTCAAAGAGGCTATAGGGGTCCGGGCTGGGATGGGGAGGGTGATGCTGAAGGTCCGGGAGACATTGTTCGAGGGATCTCGGGAGAAGCAGTGAGGATCTTGAAGAGACCAGGTGCGTAATCTACAGCATTCACAGTATTGTTCGTTGATAAAGATTTCTTAGATCTGGACCTTGTGAGGCATGATCTACAGCGACTGTACGACGCTGGATATCGCTCCCTTGCAATCGTCCTTGTTCATTCTTACACCTTCCCTGAGCACGAAATACAACTCGGCAGGCTTGCACGGGAAGTTGGATTCACCCAAGTCTCGGAATCCTCACAGTTGCTGCCCATGATTAAGATGGTTCCTCGCGGTGTATCGTCCACCGCGGATGCATATCTCACCCCCATCTTGCGGGAGTATCTAGACGGATTCTTTCACGGTTTTGACGCGAAGTTGAAGGATGGTCGGATACAGAGCCCCCGTGTAGAATTCATGGGTAGCGATGGGGGACTTTTAGACCTTAACAACTTCTCGGGCTTGAAGAGCATACTAAGTGGCCCTGCAGGAGGCGTCGTTGGATATGCGTTGACGAGCTGGGACGTAAAAAGGAAATACCCCATCATTGGGTATATGCTATGCTCCGTTCAGTTTTCTCGACTTGACTGACGCTCTTGCTCCGCAGCCTTGATGTGGGCGGGACATCGACTGATGTATCTCGCTTTGATGGTCGCTACGAAGTAGTTTACGAGACCACAACCGCTGGAGTCACTATCCAGTCTCCACAACTGGACATCAACACTGTTGCAGCTGGTGGAGGTTCTTGTCTGACCTTCCGAAATGGCCTGTTCCTTGCAGGACCCGAAAGTGCTGGTGCGCAACCAGGTCCTGCCTGCTACAGGTATGTGCATACCAACTGAATGAGATAGCGAAATTTAATAGAATCCGTACCCAGGAAAGGCGGTCCGCTAGCGGTTACAGACGCCAATTTGCTCCTAGGTCGCCTCATCCCGGACTACTTCCCAAAAATATTCGGGAAGTCAGAAAAGGAGCCTCTAGACTCAGAAGCATCTCACGTAGCCTTTGAGAAGGTCGCGAAAGAGATCAACGAAAGTCACGAAATGAACCTTGACTTGGATGACATTGTATATGGGTTAGTGCGCTATAGTCATTGATGATGGTATGCACTCATATTCGAGGTCAGGTTCATTAAAGTTGCCAATGAAACTATGTGTAGACCCATCCGCGCACTAACGGAGGCGCGCGGGTATTCAACAGGCAAGCATGTGTGCGTCCGATGTCTCTCTTTGCGTCTCCATTTGAACGTATTCCCTGTCACAGACTCGCAAGCTTCGGTGGTGCAGGCGGTCAGCATGCCTGCGAGATTGCAAGTCTGCTCGGCATAAAGACCATCCTCATCCATCGATACAGCTCCATTTTGTCTGCATACGGACTGGCATTAGCAGATCGGCAAGTGTCTATGCGCCGTGCTATTGATTTGGTCTCTGAACGGATGTCAACAGCGCATACGAACTCCAAGAGCCCTCGTCAGCGTTCTACTCTGCGCAGACACGCCAGTACCTCATCGCCCGCCTCGACAAACTTACCGGCGATGTCAAGGCCGAACTCAAACGCCAGGGATTTGAGGGCGACCGCGTGAGCGTCGAGCGGATGTTGAACATGCGCTTCGAGGGCACCGACACTGCACTCATGATACTTCCTAATAAGAATGACGGCGACAGTATCGAGGACTTTGAGGCTGCATTCAAGCGCGTGTACAAGGCAGAGTTCGGCTTCCTGCTCGATACCAAGAGTATCATCGTGGACGACGTGAAGGTAAGTGATATCTATGACCTCAAAGCACCAGGTAACCATGCCCCCAGGTTCGTGGCATCGGAAAGACCTTTGACGACCTCGGGGAGTCTGTCTACTCAGAAGTAGATCGGCTTGAGAAGAAGCCCGTCGCACGCGATCGAGCGGATTCAACTTATAGCGTGTACTTCGATAAAGTCGGCCGTGTGGGCGACACGCCCGTGTTCCTCCTGGATAACCTGGGCGTGGGCGATGAAGTCACGGGCCCTGCGATGATCATTGATAACACGCAGACTATAGTCGTCGTGCCGGGTGCGCGCGCTGTGCTCACTAGCAAACATTTGTATATCACACTCGGAGGATAAGTAACGAATAAGCCACGACATGGTAGATTATTGCAATTGATCAGCACTGGATAGTGATTCCAATTGAAAAAGTGCTGAAGCTGAAAGTTCCACTAGAACTTGTACTGAAATTGCATATAGTTAATCTAGCACGATGAACGATTTCCTGACTACGTTACAAAGATACGCTAGCTCCTTGGACAGAGGAATCTACAAAATTTCATGATGAAGATTAGGAAATTCATGCGACAGGCTAAGGGCTAGGTATGCCTCGTCAACCAGACAACGAACAAGGAGTGTGAATGAGAGCTCGGCAAAAAGGCTGGCAAGTCTTTACCCAGGATCCACACCAGAGCTGCGGCGTACAGGCAACTCCCCATAAGGTATGTATTGTCGAAGAAAGTCGGTATAACAAGGATGTAACATGACCTTCATCTTGCGGAAGGATCCGAGAAGTACAGGTAGGGTAGAAACGCCAGCCTTCAGGTCATCTTCGAAATCACGGTCATCAGTCATGATCTAGACAGAGTTCAAGGTCAAATGATGTCACCATAACTACTGCCGACTTACTGCATGGCATGCGACCAGGCTATCATTAAGTAGTACTCCATGGAGACGGTAGCGTGTCAGTCAAACTTCCTGATCCTGAAAACGCAGAAGAAGACACGCTATAAGCCGCATCTGAAAAGCAATGCGGTGTGAGTACAACAGGTATAGATGTAGAAGGCTTCTCTTCTCTACCACATTTCCCAGGAGGCGCTTTAAAACTAGCCCAAATCTATTGAAGTTGATCTGAGTAGTCCGGAGAAAGGCGGGAGCCACGACCACTGTCGTGGTGAAGACAGTTGAAATCGGACATAGGAGCACTGCGTTGGCGATGAGAAAGATTCGTGCATAGGTAAACCAAGAGGCGAGGTTTTCGCCGCTTGCGTTATGGTCGTCAGATATGAATTCACTCGCCTGGTCCTTAGGATGGTCAGAACCAATGGCAAGGATATCCGACGTCACACATATGGTTATCTTTGAATACGATGGAGTTAGTGATATTCTTCAGTGTTCAGTCTGCGAGCATACCCGGGGTCTTCCAATAGAGTTGTCCATTGTCGGACATGACATAGGACATAAGAGATGATAAGGCCAAGCTGTTCGTCGATATCACGAGGGCCGCAAGAAGAGCTCATCTGCAAGCTTCGAGATTGAACAGGTGAGTGTGTACATACCAGAGTCTTTGCTAAGTTTCTACTCGCGATATTATGTAATAGAGTTATTCCTTGTCTGGGTTCGAGCACTGAACTGAACACATCCAGTTTCGGCCATTTCGTAGAACTCGGGACCGAACTTATCTGACAGAACGGTTTATTTTGTGTCGGGACCCAATACCGATCCATAAAAAAACATAAGAAGTCGGACGACGCGTCTGAATAAGTGCATACACTAGTACTTGAAGATGTCAATGGTAAGTTCAGTAATAAGTTTTGACGTAAGGTTTGCCGCAGGCGCTGCGGAAACAAGCGCTTAAGCAGCCGACTGACTTATAAGTACAGGCGGGAGATTGACCGAGTCACTTCATGCTCGATGCTGGTTGGATGCTGGTAAGTATGCTTTTGCTTACTAGCAGCCTTGCAATCACTGCTAGCACTTGAGTCGGCGGCTCGGCACCATGATGATCAGACAGCTTACTCAAAACTGCAGCTCAATAACGCTGTCAGTTTACTTATTCTTTACATGTTGTTCGAACAGCAAATGAACTGACGAAATGATTATCGAGTAGGGATAATATTTGTTAATCCGGATGACGGAGCATCTATAATAGCTGACCTGGATTTGGAGGGTACTTAGCCGTCAGTGCCTGTCGAGCGGTTACTCTTTCTTCCTCAGATGTTCCAAACCCTCGCACGACTTTCGGGACAGGAAATACGAAGCGCAGACGAGGTCGGACGATGAGCGAGGTATAAATAGTAAGCCGATCCGATCAGTAAAGTCAGCCTCATAATCACTGACGTTCAATATTCAATGTTCAAATGTTCAGTGTATGCTTCTCTTCATCAAAACACAGACCCTTCAGTGGGTGTCGGGCCGTGGACTTAGCTGCACTTAGTGGCGTCAGGTTCTACCGAGTTCAACCGAGCAATTTCACCAATAAATTCCTGTAGGTTGCATGCGTTTCACTCCCTGCGTTCATTGTAGTCCCATTCTTAAAGTTTTTATGGCACCCAATCATGCACGACAACACGTCTTTCATAATACACCAACAGACTCCCCAGATAGGGCTCAACCCGCCATTCCAGTTCACAACCTACTAGATTCGGACACATCAGCTCTCTCACTCTCTAATAGATCGTCAGACAAATCAACCCCCGTAAACTATGAGCAATCTTTTGAATTTGAGCAGCTGCTCAGAGACCTCATGAAACGGCAAGTGTTTCATGGTGAATAACATAGATCGTCTGATTCACCATTTTGTTATCTCGCCCTCAGCCGTCAAGATGAAGGAATCAAGGACCGCCAACTTGGTGTCATGTTTAAAGATTTGCGCGTCATTGGTGGAGGTTCTCGTACCTCCCCCCAGCCAACCGTGGGCTCACTTTTCCATCCTTCAACGTGTATGCGCAAGATGAGGGGAAATCGTCATCCCTCAACTAAAGACATTTTGTCCGGATTCGAGGGTGTTGTCACTCCTGGAGAAATGCTGTGTAAGCACATGTCCTTCTTCGACCTCCAGTCTTGACATTCCATAAAGTGGTCCTTGGTCGTCCCGGCTCCGGGTGTTCGACCTTCCTCAAGACACTTGCCAACCGACGTGGGGAGTATCATGCCGTCGAGGGACAAGTTTTCTATGATTCATTCACCCCGACGGAGATCCATGACTCCTTCCGTGGCGATGTCACTTACTGCCCGGAGGATGACATCCACTTCCCGACTCTGACCGTCGACCAGACGCTCTCTTTCGCCGTCAGAAATCGTACTCCCACAACACGTCTTCTCGGCCAGACTCGCGAGGACTATGTCAAGGATACCACTACGATGCTAATGGAAGTCCTTGGCCTCTACCGTTCAAAAAATACACTGGTTGGTAATGCTCAAATTCAAGGTGTGTCAGGTGGCGAGAGAAAGCGAGTCTCTATCGCGGAAAATTTAGGCTCTGCAGGCACACTTGGCGCATGGGATAAGTAAGGTGTCGTCATTTAAGGTGGTAATCCTCTGACTTGTTTCTCATTCAGTCCCACTCGCGGACTAGATTCCTCGAGCGCAGTCGAGTTTGTCCGCACATTGCGTGCTATCACAGATGTTAAACGCACGACAATGATCGTCTCCCTCTACCAGGCGGGCGACCAATTGTACGATTTGTTCGACAAGGTCTGTGTCATCGATGAGGGGAAGATGTCTTACTTTGGTTCGGCAAACTCAGCGAAAGATTATTTCATGGATATGGGCTTCGAACCGCAAAACAGGCAGACCATCCCTGATTTCCTGGTTGCAGGTAAGGCATTCCGGTTTTCTTATATTGTCATATAATCATCATTGTCAGTTACGGACCCGAACGGGAGGAAAATCCGCCCTGGATATGAGAGCTTTGTCCCGCGGACGTCGGAGGAATTTGCTAGTCGTTTCATGGCTTCTGACCTCGGCGGTCAGAATCAGAAAGCGATGGAACAGTATCACGAGCACTACGTTGGCAACGACGAACGCAAGCAGGCATACATGTCCAGCGTGACCTCTGAACGTGCCAGTAGATCCACTGTTTACATGACTTCTATCCCCCAGCAAGTCAAAGTAGTCATGAAGCGCGGCCTGCAAGTGATTCTTGGTAATAAGTTTGAGCTCTGTGTACAACTGGCGTAGGTGACATTATCTTTTTGTCCAACCCTCAATGACACTGGATAATAGTGCTCAGGTCTTCCAAGCGATAATTATCGGCACCGTCTTTCTGAACGCTCCAAATGACACTTCGGCCTATTTCTCTCGCGGAAGTGTTCTGTTCTTGTAAGTATCTTCCTTGTCTTGATCTAAGTTGTGCCTCACGACTCTTTCAGCTCTTTGTTCTTCAATGCTCTTACATCTGTTGCAGAAATTCCTGCGCTCTTCGTCCAGCGTCCAATCGTACTTCGTCACCAGGAAGCCGCGTTACATTATCCTTTCATCCAGAGCATCGCGCATATCGCCATCGATATTCCGATCACGTTGATCGTTCAACTGGTTTTCGCTGTGATACTTTACCTGCTAGTTGGGTTGCAACGTTCCGCCGCACAGTTCTCGTGAGTTGTTCAAGTAGTACGGTCTTGGATTTCATACTTACGCTGCTGCACAACAGCACATTTTACCTTTTTATCTTCTTAATGTCGCAAACCATGAAGTCATTCTTCAGAGCAGTTGCCGCAAGCTTTAAAACTCGTGCCAGCGCATTGGCTGCTAGCGGTATCTTCGTTCTGTTAATGTTGCTCTATAGTGGATACACAGTTCCTTGGCCGACCGCTCCGACGGGCTTGCGGTGGATCATGTGGTTGAACGTACGTCATCCCTTGTTGACTTCTTTTGCTTAGTGACAATATCGCTGTCTTAGCCTTTGTGGTGGGGGCTCGGTGGACTTGTAGTGAACGAGTTCCATACGCTTGACGGAGTCTGCTCTACTCTTGTTCCTCAAGGTCCTGGCTACGCAAATGTCTCGCTTGCAAACCAGGTGTGCACAACAGTCGGGTCGCAACCCGGGCAGCTACTTGTGGATGGCAACATCTATGTTGAATTGACGTTCGACTTTTGGTATGGTCATCTTTGGAGGGTAGGCCGGTCGCAATACTTTGTGAATAGCTCATGATACCCCCCCCCCCCCCCCCCCAGAACTTTGCCGTCATGTGTGGCTTCTACCTTGGGTTCTTGGCCGTTCTCCTAGTTGCCACAGAATGCAATACCTCGTTTGCTTTCGACAGCGCCGTCGTTCTATTCAAGCATGGCTCCAGTGCTATCAACGAGAATGCTAAGGCCCTTGACGAGGAGACGGTAGATGCAGAGATTCATTCTGGATGCCGATCCAAGGCAGGCGATTCCTCGACTTTCGACAATGTCGAGAAGGAAACCACGGTTACGGACCTCTTCACTTGGCAGCACCTGCAGTATGAAGTCCCCATTGGTGGAGGGATGAAACGCCTTCTTGAAGACATCACGGGCTTTGTCGCCCCTGGGAAGCTCACTGCGTTGATGGGTGAATCTGGCGCTGGAAAGGTATAACTTCCTATGATACCAGTAGAGCATGCCGTTGAATTCAATGCTTGCAGACCACACTTTTGAATGTTCTTGCACAACGCGTCGGTGCTGGTGTGGTGACTGGTGACTGCTTCGTTAACGGACGGCCGCTGTCTGTAGACTTCCAGGCTCAAATGCGAGTACCGTCCCAATCTGTGCCGACCTTACCTGACTGTCATGCTTAGTGGTTATTGCCAACAACTCGACACTCACCTTCTCGAGGCGACTGTTCGTGAAGCGCTCCTTTTCTCTGCCAATCTTCGCCAGCCCCAGTCAGTTCCTCTCGCTGAAAAGGAAGCATTGTGCGTATGACTTATGTCCATGATCAACCGCTGCTTGACTTGCCAGTGCAGCGTTGACAAGTGCCTTGCAATGTGTGGTCTAGAGGAGTACGCTGATGCTATCGTTGGCTCTCTCGGTGTCGAGCACCGTAGACGCACCACCATCGCGGTGGAGCTTGCTGCCAAGGTTCGAACTACAATCCCTTCTGTGGAAGTTGTGCTCAGGCACATAACAGCCGAAACTTCTACTCTTCTTGGACGAACCTACGTCTGGTCTCGACTCGCAATCTGCCTGGGCTATCGTGCAGTTCCTTCGTGAGCTTGCTGACCATGGTCAGGCCATTCTCTGCACGTGCGTGCCGTTTCTACAATTGGGTTTCCCACTGCTTATGAACTTCACAGAATACATCAACCTTCAGCGGAGCTCTTCCAGGTCTTTGACAGATTGCTGCTCCTTGGCAAGGGTGGACGGACCGACTATTTTGGCGACATCGGCAAGAACTCGTCGACCATGTTGGACTACTTTGAGCGCAATGGTGCTCCACGCTGCGGCCCCGACGCCAACCCGTGAGTAAGGGCAGTCATACCGGGTCTTGCGCTAACCGGGGCATTCAAGAGCGGAATACATGCTCGACGTAATAGGCGCGGGAGCAACGGCAATCTCGACTACTGATTGGTACGAGGTCTGGATGTGTTCCTCAGAAGCGGCGCAGCTTCAAGTTCAGATCGAGAAGATGCAATAACATGGTCGTACTCGCCCACAACAGCTTAGCGTCCAGTTGTCTGCCTTTGCCACTTCATGGTCTTACCAGTTCGTTGCCCTCGCCCATCGGAACTTCCAAGCATACTGGCGCAATCCCATATACATCTGCTCCAAGTTTGTGCTTAACATCGCCGGCGGTCTCCTCGTGGGCTTTACATTCTTCCAGGCAAATAACTCTTTGCAGGGTACCCAAGACAAGCTGTTTGTAAATATATCCATCAAGGTTCTTCGTTTAATAACACTCTCACACCTCTTTAGTCAGTCTTCCTCGCCCTTGTGCTTTGTGTTCCCCTCGTCCATCAGCTGATGGCCGTCTACATCGATATTCGGACGGTCTACGAAATCCGTGAACGTTCTAGCAGAATGTATCACTGGACCGCTCTCGTCATGTCACAGCTAGCTGTTGAACTTCCTTGGAACATGACGAGTTCGGCAATGTTCTTTTTCTCCTGGTACTGGACCGTTGGATACCCGACAGACCGGGCAGGCTACACATTCCTCATCTTCTCCATCGCCTTCCCATTGTATTATACCACGCTTGGACATGGCATCGCGTCCATGGCGCCAACCGCTCCAGTTGCATCACTGTACTATACAACTCTCATTGTCTTTATCATGGTCTTGTGAAATGCACCTTTTGACCCACGGTACCCATGCTAATGATCCACCAGTGATGGCGTCATCCAGCCGTTCATCGAGCTTAATTGGTGGAAATGGATGTACAGGGCCTCTCCTTTCACATACATCATCCAGGGCCTCCTTGGTCAAGGTTCGTGAATGATTTTTTGCTAAACAATTTTATTCATTGTAGCCCTCGTAGCTATCGGTGGGACAGCTATAATCTGCTCGCTCACGGAACTAGTCTCCGTCAACCCGCCGGAGGGTTTGACGTGTGCCAACTACATGACTCCCTTCGTAGAATTCGCCGGCGGCTACCTCACGAACCCCGAAGCCGCAGAGAGTTGCCAGTACTGCCCTTACACGACTGCTGACCAGTACATGTTCTCGAGGTTCAACATTAAATTCAGCGATCATTGGCGTGACCTAGGCATCGTCTTCGGATTCGTCGCGTTCAACGTGAGTCACTGCTGGCTGTTGCTTGGAACTCGTGCTCATGTAAGATCTATAGATCATCGCTATTTTCTGGTTCACATATTTCATGCGCAATCGCACCGTCAGCGTGTTTTCTTCTCTCAAGCAGAAGTTGACTCGTGGCAAATAGATCGCGACTAATGCATACTGCGTAAGGTAGTTCTCGGGCACGTTCATCGAACCTCACGTGATGGACAGGGCTGTGACACTATGCAGGATAAGTTTAGGATAAGTAACAAACAAGCTAAAATGTAGTATCTGTATGTCTGTCTCAGGTCGAAAGTGCGAGAGTGCAACAGGACAACAAAAAGAATGTATTATACCTAACAGAATCTGTGTACTATAGATGTTATTAGATTCAAATCTCTTGTAAAGTATTATATGGATACCAGTATTAGTCTGAGTGTTGTGGATCAAGATTCGGGAAGCTTGAATCACTGAGACCAAAGGTTTAGAATATTTGGGTGCACATATTAGCTGTCAATTAGCTATCGATTGTTACCCAGGAATTGAATTTACGCTTGGTCTCTCTTCCTTCTAGTTGATCTGTCTAATAGGGGAAACTAGACAACAGTGAAGATAATAACATGCCAAACTCGTTCCTCATCTTTTCGAAAATCGGAAAGTGCTCGCAAGTTTCTATCATATCCCTGCGTTTTTGTGTGCTCCCATGTTTACTATATGTCTCGTAGTCGAATTGTTATGTCGGGATATCTGGAGAAATTTACGATCAGCTAATGTAAATTCTGTAAAGTTCTCGACATAAGTATGTTTTTCCATTGATCACGTGAGGTTCGATGAACGCGCTTCAGAACTACCTTATCAATTGAGTTTATCCGTTCGCTTATGTCGCCATCAACGAATCGTAGCAAGTACTTACATATGCGTGGCGAGGTCTCAACGTTGCAACGCGCGTATATACATTGCGTGTAAGGAAGAAGCATTTCAATTATGTAGTCTGCGCAAAACAGTACGAATCACCATAAGTAGTTCGTACTGTCAAATAAGTATTGAGTTGCGGAACAAAGAATTTGGGCGCAAGAAACGGTAACGCAGTCTGCTGCTATACAGTCGCGAGTGACTTTGATATACGCGAGCTAAGTGAGACAAGCTTCTACAGAGAAGCATATATACACGATAAGTCAACGATAAGTTATATACTTGCAAGTAATTTGAATCGTTGGGACAAGGGTGACATACTGAAACAAAGTCTGCCTGCCGATGGTACAACAGTCCGAAGGATACACATTTGAAAAATATTGCAAAGCGACCAGAACAACTCTTGTTGTCTGGTATAAATATTAGATGTAGAATGTCTCCTCTGGGTATTGCTTATAAGTTCCGCATCAGTCGCAAGACGGGTCATTTGCACTCACTCGGCTTGCGGCAAGAAAAATGGGAACAGTAGTCTTCGACCTGTAATTGCATTTCACGCAGGCGTGGATTGCCTAACATCCTGAGGAACTGTTCAAGAGGGCCAGTTACAGGGTCCATGACGCGTTTGTTCTGAGAACCTAGGGTATCTTCGAGATAGTAAGTGAAAAGTGAGCGCGTTAGCCATGACCCAAGCGATATTTCGAGAAGTTGCTTACCACGGGTTATAACAAGAGCATAATCGGAATCTGGTAGTGATAAAGGGAGACAGACCGTCATCCCAATAACGAAGAAGAAACTGAAAAAGAGTGCAAGGAGAGCTGAAGTGCGCATTCTGCTCTTAGACGATCTGGAAGAATTGAATGGTGGGGGAACGTTGGAATCGCGCCCGCGGAGTTGGTCACTTATATACTAAATTTTCCGTCAATAGCGCCATGCTTGCCCGTGCCCGACTGGCTTCCATTGACGCTAGTGTACTGAGTGTAGTATGACGTCTAGCATCGGAGTTTAAGAAGATGTTCTAACTTCTGATGCTGACAAAATGGAACGAAATGGAGAATGGAGAATGAATACCCAGTACTAGTACTATCACCTGATCCGGAATGCACAATCGATGGGTAATGCACAATGCACTCCAGAGCTCGTGAAAATTGTGCATTTCCCGTCGAATGATAGTATACTGCCAGCCTCAGCCCCATGGTACCTACGATCGCTGCTGGCAAGAAACAAAAGTTGAAGGAAGTTGATTTAGTTGAAGCGAGCTGTTAACCTTCTAAGCCACGTGACATTTATAATCACCCGAGGGTCCAGGGGGAAGCTGCAGAACTTGCTTCTTCGAAGCTTCACTGACTCGAAAACTTGGTCGAGTGTGTCCTTATGCTTGAAAGCTTGACCAGCAAGTCACCCTAAATTTGTCTTCGAAACATATTGTATTCAACAGTTATCGACAGCTTGTCGCGCCTCTGCTCCCAACACATCCAACATCTTGTTCTTGGACCGTAATACTGCCCTTATTTTTCTTCTCCTCTCCATTGGCTGCTCGTCGGCTTCGTCCTGTGCAATCAAAAAATCGAGGTAAGCCCGTTCCGTCGGATGAAGCATGTCGTCGAACGAGTCATCAGAGGAGAGCGCCAGACTTTTTTCTTCTTCGGAAGATGTCCAAAAATTAGTTGTGTAGCAGAGAGATGCATCCGGCGCAGCATCCAATGGTCCAATCATTTCGCTAAGTCGCATTGCTTCGAAATATCGCTGAAGGTTGCCACTCGGGGGTTTGGCAAACGGATTTTCGACGTCCCAAACAAAGCCCCTTGGGAAATTGCCGAATAGATCATCTTCCCCCTCTTCATCATCTCCCACCAGAAACTTGCCTGCAAGAGGCGTGTTGGTATCCTCACTCTCGTCTAGCCTCAAGAACGAGCATGCACTATCGTCCCTAACGGCAGTCGACAATTCTTCCTTGTCTTCCTGGTCGCGTGACTCGTTGGAGTACAAGGGCCCGAAGACCACGCGTTGCGTATACTCCCCAGCAACTCTTCGCTTCTTGTTCCGCTTCTCTACCAAGTCCATTCCCACACCTGAAGCGAGCCCGCGGCCAAGGTTCTTGAGCGGCCTAATGATCGTGACGGCGCTTGTACTGCGGTTACGTGAACGCTTTGCACCTATGAGAGCCATCATCTCTCCCAGGGTATTGCCGCCTTGGGTATCTTGTTGATCTGGACATGGAACTGAAGCAAGTCTCCTATCCTGGTTCGCCTGCTCCACGTGATTGCGTGTGAGTGTAACACCAAGAACCTTGCCAGCCTTGTAATCTGATTTACCGAAGGCCTTTCTCTCGGCGGGGGTGAGTCTGTCGGTGGTGGAGAGTGACAGAGCGTTGGTGATGCTCATTGAAGTAACGCTACCGGAGCGTGTCGTGACTGTTGTGATGGACATATCTTCCATGATAATGTGGAGTATGACTAGAGTCAATGAAAGAACACGCAGGGCACAACGAACAATTTTTGGTGATCTCCATAGACGCTCTGAGGTATGTTTTTTATATCCCGAGCCTTGTGGACGGCTTTGACGGGTTCGTTGTGCTGCGTCCACGGTGCCTAAAATGATCAGTGTGCCAGCCCAGTGGCATGCGTCTTTGTTCATCACGCTTTGATTGCTACTCTTGACAGGTGGTCCACAACTGGTCTTCAGTTGCGTGAGGACGCGCGTTGTCTTGCGTGACAATAGCGCGCGCAAAAGCCTAGAGAGTTGGTACCTGATACATTGGTAAGCAACACGGCCGAATGTGGGTCGAGCGTGATACTAGTACTGATCATCTACTCACGATAGTAGCTAGAAGATTGATACCTGCACATATGACGCATCAGCGCTGCCAGATCAGCTTCCTCCACAACCCAAGTATGCACTAACCTCTCGGTGCGTCTCAATGTTTGGATCCATTTTACTACGCACCGACACTATTTGGGTTCTGCGGATACACTAAGCTTTTTCGAACCTTTATGTGCCGTATTTCGTTATGTACGATGATTTGATAACGGTGTCAAGGTGTTCAGACGCGCACTTTACCACTGTGGTATCTTCAAAGACTAAGGCAATACAGTCTGTGGCGTCGTATATGTCTCACAATTCGATGCCCTAATTTGAAGGTATTCGATGCGGTGGCATTTCCTGTTTAACTCAGTGTCTGATTGCTTAGTCTCGAATCAAACGTTCTGAGACCTCCCTGGGGTTCTTGAAGCGCCAGCGGTGTCAACTCCGCTTCCCAGAACGTTTGGGTCGAGACTACTTATTGCTGTAGATCATGGCTTCTGTATTAGGGTCCGTGGCTTGGCGCGAGCAGATATAATTATTCGAGAGATACTGGAGACACCGAAGCGACAAGGCTGTGTTTCACCACTGAGACAAAGTATATTGTCGAAAGCTCCAGATCGGTAGCCCTATCTGGCAAGGCAAGTAAGCTAGTTTCACAGGTGAGCAACTCGAACCTTTCGCTCCATTTTTGAGCGAATATTAAAGATTTCCAACAACGGATGAGTACAAATATCGCCTAGCCTCTTCCCCGTTCCAGAATATCTCTCCATTCGCGTTCACCTCCAAGTTACCATTTTCGGCTATCAAAGACCCCTTTTCCCTTTATAAGGTGAACGAACATGTCTTAGTTTCGACTAATCCCTTCCCATGCTCTCCGCTCGTATTCTCGCTGTAGGGATTTCATGTATTATTTCTCTGGTCGCCGCTTTGCGTCTGGCTCGCAGGCGTGCCTACCCTTTGCCTCTGCCACCTGGCCCTCGTGGCTTACCATTCTTGGGCAACGCACTCCAAATGAACGCTAAACGACCTTGGCTCACATACACTGCGTGGGGAAAGACATTTGGTTGGTAGTCCAGTGGCCTCTTCGTCGAATGCTTCGATTTGATTCATAACTGATCACAGGAAAAATTATTCACTCTCGCGTCCTTGGGATCGACATGATCATCATAAGCTCCGAAACGATCGCGCGGGAGTTGGTGGACGGGCGTTCTGCAATTTACTCGGATCGTCCCGTTATTCCTACCAATGCAATGTATGTTTCCCTGGTTATCGTTCAGCCAGTTCTTGATCAACTGTCGAGGCAGGGCAGGACTGACTTTCAACACTGTGCTCCTTCCGTATGGCGAGACTTGGCGACAACATCGCAAGATCTTCCATCAAGTGCTTCGGCCTGAAGCCTCTGCCTCATACCGGGAGTTGTTCTCTCGCCACGCGAATGAACTAGTCTTCAACCTTTTGAATGCAACCAGTGACATGCACAAACCCACTCAGGCGTTCGTACCTAATTCAGTGATGACGTCTGGTCCAGCTGACGATCAAACACAGATACACGGCATCCCTGATCATGGCCTTGACATACGGACACGCTACTTACGGACTTCAAGACCCATTCCTTGCCCGCGCGAATGAACTCCTTGGTATTGCCACACATCTTCTGTCGCCCGAGAGGGCTGCCATATTCACAGCCCTTCCTTTCCGTGAGTGCTTCCATGCTGTCGACGAAGTAGATTTAAAGATTCAGCATGTTGGTTGCAGTCAAAAAGTTGCCAACTTGGTGCTTTGGTGGAGACTATGCCCTTCTGGGACGCTGTAGAGAATTAGGTCAGCAGCTTTTGAACGAGCCCTTTAACGAAGTGAAGACACAGATGGTATGTTTTCGCATTGTGGATGAATGTTTTGCCTGATCTGCTTGCCTGTAGGCAAATGGTACTGCTTCACAGTCATTAGTCGCTGACTTCCTCAGTCAATCTGACGACAACGCTGATGAAGACACGATGAAGGCTGTCGCGTTGATGGGGTACATAGGTAAGGGTCTTTTAAGACGATAAAATTCATTATTTGACGGGGATACGACATCCTAGGCGGCATAGATACGGTAAGTCATTAATCCTGATCGCTTCCTCGCTTACCTTGATGTTCCGCAGACTACATCCGCCTTGCAAACATTCCTGATGGCTATGGTGCTCTATCCTGACATCCAAGCCCGGGCTCGTGAAGAACTCAATCAAGTTGTGAGCCATGATAAAATACCATGCATTGATGATAAAGCATCACTACCCTACCTTGACGCCATTCTGCGCGAGGTTCTGAGATGGTTTCCTCCCGTACCCCTAGGTTGATCTGTAGTAATATAATATTGTGCTTGCATCGCTGACCTCTTTCACAGGAATGGCACATGCGACAACGAGTGATGATATTTACGGCGGATACTTTATACCCAAAGGTACGAAGTCCTATAAGTCGAGGTTACCATGACTCACCTGTAGTTCGATTAGGTGCGGTGGTAATGGTTAATCAGTGGTATGCTACGATGCAGCGTATCCGATTGCTTGAGCTGAGCATGACCCAGGGCACTGTCTCGGGACGAAAACACGTTTCCCGACGCATCACGCTTCGATCCTAATCGGCATCTCACAGCTGATGGGCAGTTGAAGGACCATTTCGTCAATCATTTTGCCTTTGGTAATGGCAGGTAATTACTTCACCCTTGCTGTCATTTTCAAGTTGCTCACTGACTCGTGCAGGCGCGTGTGTCCTGGTAGGTTGATGAATAGTTCATCTGGCGATGTCGGGGCTGACATATGCCCTTGGCAGGTCGTTGGTTCGCAGAGAACAGTCTGTGGACTGCATGCGCTACCATACTCTCCGTCTTGCGCGTCGATTATGCCAAGGACTCAAATGGAGAAAAGATTGACATAAAGCCGGAAACCACCACCGGCATGCAGGTGTAAGTGATCTAGATGTATGCGTGAGAAACGGCTAACTTTGAGTCCGAAGCCGCCCGAAGCCTTTCCGGTGCTCATTCGAAATCGTCAATACAACGAGAGAAAGGCAGCTTCGAGACATGATGGATTTAAAGTAGACGGTTGTACGCTTAGCATTGGTTAGGTTCTCTGTATGTACGATCACAAATGATTGAACAGCGGCACAGTGTCAGCTGAGCGCTGAGGGTCTCCTCTGTAAATAGTGTCGATGACCTTTGAAATATGTCTCATCTCACCATTAAATTTATCTAATTAAAAGATGGCACGTACGTTTTTCATGCGTTCTGAATAGGTCGACGTGGTCTCAGACTGAGTGCGAGACACAACTCAACTTCAGTCTTCTTTCAATTTATGACACAATTCGAATGCATAGAAGACTATAGAAGATTACTCATGGGCACATCGCAGTGCACATCGTGGCAAACGTCGGGTTGGTCACTTGGTGTCGTTTCAAGTTATATCAATAGTTCAGCCTCACTACGTATCGACCGTTCTTTCATGACAAGGAAACTACTTGAGTAAAAAAAAGTACGTACTGCAGGTCGAGGACTCACAAGGCTTTCCGGCTGACGTATGATAAGTATCATGATGCGGCTCTCCGAGTCGTGTCTCATTTGTCACAAGGTGCGATTTCCCTGCATTAACATTTGCCCTCGATGTGTTCACTTCACCATCAGGATCCGAGACACGAGGAAGATGACATGAGATCACGAAATCATGAAATCCGAGTCAGGTCAGATTACTGCACGCGCATGACGTCGAGTCAGCTCACAGGTCGTTGAGATCACCGACATCGTCGCGCTCGCCATGCTTGACACGGGGTGCATCGATATCCGCGGGATCCGGGCGGTCAAGGAATTTTATAATGTATGCCGCAGGTTACCAAGTGCTTGACCCGAAAAAAGCTTAGTGAACGGAACAGAATTCCAGACATTCTCGGTTACTGCCCCGAAAGGGCCCGAATCAATCATTCATGCCAAACACGATGGCGAAACATAATGTAAGTCATCGCTCTACGTATACGAGAAGGAATAGAAAGAAAGGTCGTGATAAGTGAGGATCGACTCATGCTCTGCTACTTTCAACTGATCCATTGACAGACACAGTCACTAAAGTACAAACCCTCGAGAGCCTCGAACTTCACTGAAAAAACACGTATGTCAGACCGGCGACGGCCTCGAATATAATTACGCGATTTATCTTTTCGGTTTAAATTTTAGGATCTTACGACTTGTCATACGTAAGTACGCAATTTTTCGTGCAACTTGAAGCACGCACGAACACCGATCAAGCCAATCTCTCCTGAGTTTACGTAGAATCACGTTCACCCTTGAGGGCATCCCAGGGTTGAAGGGACATCTCATTAGCGGAGTTGTCACCAAACACGGCAACTGTCCCTCCGGACTATCCAAAACGAGCCCTCAATACGAAAACTAGAACTCCTTTAGGTGTGTCTTCGGCCCTTCTGTGATTTCCTGACAATTCGCCGCGTCCTTCAATTACATGTACTAGTACTTGCCTGCATGCCAGATCAAATCGAATCAAACAGAGGTTAGACTAGGGACCCATACCTGGGAGCATTCTCGGCAAGCCCTTCTTGCAGTATAAAATGCGAGCGCGAGCGCCACAGAACACCAGCCTGCTAGTCTTAGCTTTTTGTCCCCTGCTTTCCTTCGCGCACGTTCTCCCTACTCCCTCCAACCGCCCCCCACTGTGACCATGCTGTCCAAGTCCTTCGCTCTTTTTGCTGCCTTCACGGCTTTTGTTCCTGCATTTGCAGCCCCCATCGCTGCTAACGGCGTCACCGCTGATGCCAGTAAGTTCCCTCCCCTTGATGTCTTCTGTGTTTTCATTATGCTTTCATTTTAGCTGTCACCAATGTCGGCAATAACCCCAACGCCAATGTACTGACTCAACGTGGTGATGTTGATTATGGGTGCACCCTTGTTGAAGTCATTGCAAGTAAGTGTACCTCTCTTAGAGGTCGAGACATGCAACCTGACCTGGATTTAACAGTCGTGGACAACGTGCTTAACAATGGTCAAATTAACATCTTGACTCAGTCCAAGCGCGGCGGTTGCGATGTTGCTGCGGTCACCCTTGGTAGATATCTTCTGTCACTTGTTGATGCAATTGTTGATCGCCTTCTCAGAGGTCCAGAAGGTCTTGGACAATCTTACCATCAACATTCTCACTCAGTCCAAGCGTGGCGATTCAGATGACCTTGACGGCTGTACACTTGCTGATATTGAAGCAAGTATGTCATCTTCCCAATTGCATATATATCCTCTGTCTGATTATCATTGTTATTCAGCTGTCACTGATGTTGCCAACAACTTGAACATTTCCATATTGAAGCAGACGAAGCGTCATGAGTGCGATCTTGTCAAGCTTACCGCGTTGGTGACCGATGTTCTCAAAAACCTCAACGTCAATGTCTTGACGCAGTCGAAGCGTGGCTCGGACCCCCTTGCCGATGTTTTTGTCGGTATGTCGCGTACTTTTTCTGTCGCTGAGTGATTCTGATTGACCGTGTAGATGTTGAGGACGTTGCTAACAACCCTGACGTTGACGTGCTAGACCAGCACAAGCGCGGTGATATCATGACGGTCGCTGAGGTCCTAGTATATCTCCAGGATCTCATCAACAACCCCAGTGTCAACGTGCTCGATCAACACAAGCGCGGTGATACCAAGTCGGTCGCTGAGGTTGTTGCATATATCCAGAATCTCCTCAACAACGCTGATGTCGACGCGCTCAATCAACACAAGCGTGATGTAGTGGACGTTACAGCTGGTAAGTATCCATCCCACTCACAATCTCAGCGCTTTACAAATGTTTTTAGTCGTCATCAATGCTGTCAACAACCTCAAGCTCAATGCCGCCTCCCAATGAATGAGTGAAGTACTCTAAAAGCAACATCTCATACCCGCGTCGTGCACATACCCTGCCAATCGTTTATAACTGTCACTCGTTCAACCACGTATTTCATAGCCGCATAATGCATTTTCCTTGACATCTCCATTGTGTGATGAAATGATTGAGAATGTCGTTTCTTTCATGAAGTGCAAGTGTAAATGGTATTGTTTCCATACGTGTACCCATGGAGCAGCGATCTCGATTTACCTGGAGCTTGTGTTCTTTGGGCATTTGAGAGCTTGCGTTGCATACCGTGAAAGGTCATGGTAACTCGAGGTCGCAGTTCTCGAGAGCCCCATGCCAATTAGACGTTGTGGATGTTATGGACCGCTCTACCCATCAGAACGGCCAGAATCATATGTCAGGCCGTCATGAATTGTCATTGGAACATTATTGATACCGGTTCTTTCTCGGGAATTACAATCATTGGAGTGGGAGTACAATTATATGAGATTATGTATAAGGGACGGAACGTTGCTTTGAAACCTCGGTTGGCATGAGAGGTTTATCTAACTGGCTCACCCATGGCGCTACCGCATGGCGTTTAGAAGTTCAAGAAGGGGTCTATAGTGGTGACATTATGTAACGCATACCTTGTCCATATCTACGTATATGGGATCTGAAGCGGGAGCAAACTTACGTTGTGGACGCAGTTGACAGTCAGAGTACGTTTCCCGTAGTAGTTGGACGATAAGACAGCACCAGGCTTGCGTTATTGATAATACAGGATGACTTTCGTTCTAATTTGGTCTGTCTAGAGCAGATTAATGTTGTGGGCGTCGTTGAACTTGTGAAACTAGTGTCGGTGAGCCTAGTTACCATAACTGGGGTCTCACTGTAATGATCACCAAAGGTTACACGATGATGCTAGTGGCGCAAACCTTGTGCAAGGTTTGCACGGGACGTCGTCGAAAGAATCCGAATCGTGCCCTGTGATGTGATGTGATGAGCGATCATTTTATAAGCTGGATGGTGTACTAAAGATATTCCCTTGGTTATCGCGAGAGGTCGCTTGAAAAAGGGGTCACTGGTCGCTTACATAAGCCAATTTTTCGTGAACTCGGAGAAGTGCAAGTCTGCTTACAGTTCTCTGGCATGTCTTCACAGCAATTTCTCGTACGTCGCGTTATTCGTTCAGCACACCAAGTAAAGGGATACCCCCCTTTTAATATTGCGCATAGAAATGTACGCGTGATTTCATCATCGTTGACGCGCTCAGCTGCGGCTGCACCAAAATTGAAACCGACTTCAACGTCTTCTCCTCCATCTTCCGAGTCTGTGCCACAGCGGGAGCAGTCATGGCTGACCACGAAAGTCAAATCTTCTCCACTCCTTTTCTCAATATTCATCTCCGTAGCACGCGTCCTTGGCTATGGCTCACCGCAACAGTTTGCTAACCGGCGTGCTCTACACTTGTACAACACCTTATGTGCCACGCATGCTGATCAGCAGTCTGCATTTTGGAGAGAAGGTGTGTGCAGCAACTCCTCGTGACTTGTAGCTAGCTTAATTAATTCCCACCCAAGCATGCGCTCTTCCGCCAACTTTCCAGTCCTGGTTTACAATCACAAACCTGCATGTTTGGCTGCTCACTGTCCGACTACGTGCCCTTCCTGCACCACATGGGACAAAGCACATCCAAGGGCTCATTGACCACTTCTTCCAGGACGTCGAAGAACGCTTGCGTGCTGTCCTCCAGCCAGGCCTCCTACCCCCTCGTTCTTCTTCGCCATACTCACCAAGCCTACCTAGCAGTGCTGAAGATGGTTCTTATCTCTCTCCCTATCCACACAGCTCCTTTTACACCACCCCCACCCCTCTTGCGTCCAAAAGCACTTTTCCTTCAACCAAAGCCTACAAAGAGGCCGTGAAACTCGAGAAACGTTCCCGTGCACCCGAAAAATTGATCACCAGGCAGATGAAAATTCTAAAAGAACAATGGGCAGGGATGGGAATGAGTCTCGACCTTGGCCTTGTGAGGGGCGATGCCGAGATGGCTGCAGCAGTTTGGAGGAATTTACTTGGTGCGCGGGGTGCAAGCGGAATCGGGTTGGGTCAGGAGGGTGACGGGAGCAGTTACAGGAGAGCGGTTAATCTAGTCGGTGGACTTGTTGAGGACGTGAGCAAGGTGGATGTGGATAAGGAAGAGTTGAAGGACGACAATAGCGGTGTCCACGATTTTACTCCTTCGGAGAACGACCGGTGCGTATATTCTTCCTTCATGGCGCTTCCTTAGAACATGTCGACAATATTACCTGTCGCGCAATACTCATGGTGCTTGTGTTATAACGCATTAATGGTATCTCCCATCTACGTTATTCCATGCTAATAACCATTTATCCTAGGTACATCACCTATCCTGAACTTATGGTCACACTTGTCTCCTACATCCGCCGTGAAAGTTTACGACTGGAGCGTCTCGATGACGGTGCCATCATGGGACCACATCGCGTCGGACGAGAGGGTGAAGGCGTCCAGAACTTGGTATGGGGAGATATTGAAAACGCTGTGCGGAGGTGAGTCAGCATCAGAACCATTTCTAGATGGCGGACTTAAATGTTTGTCTCCTAGATAGCACGTCAGACAGTCTGATTCGCAGCCGTAGCACCTAGAGAGTATATTACATCACACATGCCTGAATTCTGATGCTTCATGCTTGTACGGTAATTCTGATCCTCCGCCCCATCTTAGCTCCATCTTATCTTTTTATGTTTTCGCATTTATGGTCGTGAAATTTAGATTCGCGTGTTCGGTGAGTTCATTGGTTCATGTCCCGGTTAACAAAGACCCTAAGTTGTCTGGTTCTACCCCACACATTGATGTGCGTGAGATTGTTCTGGTCTGCGGCCACTGAATCAGCGCGGAAAAACCTATATCGTCTATTAGGTCAGCCACTGGAGAGTTCATAAGTAGTTCACCGCACTTCACTTATACAAGACATACTGGCACTACTCCTCATTTGTGGTATTTGTGAAAGCCGATGCGTTCCCAGGCGGCAGTCCCACAAATATCGTGATACTCAAATCCTGTTGGTATATGCGGTGCTCTAAAAACCTGTTACTGATTGACTTGTCATTTCGGGTGCAGGTTTTCTAGAGTGTTTCCACAGGTTTTCGACGTGAAGCTTCTGTTTGCAAGTGTCCAGTTGTGATGGTGGCTATTTTCAGACGCTGGTGCATCATGGTGGTACTCCAAACGATTGGTCTCATCAAATCACTGCACCCCATGATGCGGCAGGACCGGCGATGCAGTCTCTCAAGCTGAATATGCATTCGCGCTCAGTGTACGTTTTGCATCCGCCAGAACTTCTACGCGCTGGCATCGTGGGAGTCGGGGATAGGTTTAAAATGGGCTCGAAGCTTCGCGGCGATCGGCGCAACGATCAATATAGTACAACCAGCTTCCGAAGATCAAACAATGGCATCCAGAACACATCCAACATCTTGATAGATCGGCGGCCTGGTGCATCAAGATCTATGAGCGATCAGTTGCTGACGCGCTCTACCCTCAACAGGAAATACATGTATCCTCATCCCGAAGACGGGCTCAGCGCTAGGCTTAGAGAGTTGGACCATGACACAACACCCAGCAGCATGCCACCCTTACAAGGGGCTCTGTCTTCTTCATAACCTGGGGAATTCCGAGATGAAACTTCTTTGATTGAGTCACTTCGCTAAACCCGCCGCATTTTCGGCGGGAACAAGCATACGAAAGCGTGCAAGCTGGTCTGACGGGCCGGTAGCTTCAGGCGGCCGTCGATCCCTGGCTCCATTCATAACTCGAAGTACATCAAATTTGTTGTCTACGCTGCCTCACTTTGCGATTCATTGACATTTATTCATAGTATGTGATCATCGCATCAACTGAAAATAATTTTTTTGTCGTTTTGTCGTCCGCGGCCGCATTCACTGGCACACAGGCTGCTGACGCGGTTCTTTGGTTTTCTGTAAGTGATTTTCGGATCGCCTGAATCCGTAGCAAATCACTGAGTGATAGTTTTGCCAGCAGTTTAGCCTGACTGCCCATGTGGTAGGGAGCTACTTGAGAGCTCCACATATGCCATTACGTCTGCTGCCTTCCATTCTGATTGAGTCGGACATAACTGCATGTGCGTCATGGCCTCTCGTGATTCCCATAAGGCGATTACTTGGCGTGATTAACATGGTACGTCTTCAGCGCACAATTTGCGCTCCTTACGAACCGCTTGGTGATGTGACTATTAAAAATCATTGTCAGGTAATCAGATTTATCTGACCGGCCGGCACAAGGACTCGGATGACACCGCATCTAGAAGGGTCTACGAGCAGAGCTGATAGCCGGCGCCTGAGGTGATTTTCGGACCCTGAGTATCAGGCTTGACATGTCCGGCCTCTATATATGCCACTGCAACCGAGCACATCTGGGTCGATGCTCGATGCTCGACCGTTAGATCGAGGTTCAGCAGGTTTCAGCTTGAAACATTGATAGACAACGAGTATCATATACACGAGATGCGGCCTCATTGGTTCAACATTTACCGACGCGCCGATCTTCTCAAGTAACGACACAGTTCACACGGCGTGATCCGCACAAGCGCGTTACGGCATACACTGTCGTCCGATCGGCGAGTACTAGTACCTCGGGTAGACTGTTCAATTGCTGAGGTAGTATCTGATTGGCCTTTTATCTAATTTCAGGGTGGCTGATCCACGATGCTAAACAGGTGGTTGATTGAAACGAGTCGGGAACAATATTAATCGTAGGACGGCATCGTTCGCCTCGAGCAACATTCGACGTAATTTATGGCGCACGTAAATACAACAAGACCCAGAACTTGCCCAAAACGCTCGACTCCACTGAATGCGACATACTGAATGATGCCAATCATGGGCGAAATTACGCGGATGGCATGTTCATGCTCATAACGTACTCGAGGGCTTCTAGTTCAAACACAAATGTTCTTTGATTATTTTCGGGTCCCAAACTATGGATCGTGTTCGCCTGCACAATGTTGTTCTGTTTGGATCACGAATAATCTCCACGACCTCAGTGTTGGGTATAAAATCAGTGATCTTGGTCAGTCTGTTCTCCAGTCGTTCTTTGCCTCCCGACTTCAACTGTTTAGCTTCCTCCCCCCTGTTCACTCACGCAATGCAGTTCGCTCTCTTCGCATCCCTCGCTATTCTCTGCAGCACTGCCCTTGCTGCCCCTTCTCAGCGCCGTGGTGACGACTCTCTGGTCGACGTGGGTGTCTGTGGGTATTAGACCTTGTGTTGTAGATATGTTAGCTGACTCTGCATAGTCGTGGATAATGTCTTGAACGGTGCGGATCTCAACGTCATCACTCAGCACAAGCGGGGAGGCTCGGACGCTAGTTTGGCTGACGTCGACGTTTGTATGTCATTTCCATGATCTTGCATGTCGTTGCTGACTGTTTTTCAAGTGGTCACCAATGTGGCCAACGACGCTGACCTCGACGTTCTCACTCGGCGTGATGGTTCTTTGGCCGACGTCGCTGCTTGTATGTACATGTTCGCCAAGCATGTTGGCCGTTTCTAACATAACCCTACAGTAGTCACCAATGTGGCCAACGGCATTGACCTCGACGTTCTCACTCGGCGTGATGGTTCTTTGGCCGACGTCGCTGCTTGTATGTACATGTTCGCCAAGCATGTTGGCCGTTTCTAACATAACCCTACAGTAGTCACCAATGTGGCCAACGGCATTGACCTCGACGTTCTCACTCGGCGTGATGGTTCTTTGGCCGACGTCGCTGTTGGTATGTGCACATTCTCAAAGCATGTGGGCCGTATTTAACAAAGCCCTGCAGTGGTCACAGATGTAGCAAACAAGCTTGACCTGGACGTGCTTGACCAGTAAATCTGCCTGCGGCATGGTGCCCCATATTGCCCGTCGGAACTGTGGGAATGGATGTCTGCCTCTGCTTCTGCATATACATGCCAGTATACCCCTTACGAATAGCCTTGGTGGCCGCCCGATCTCTCATCGGCCATCCTAACGCATAATACTTCCAACAATACAATCATTTTTCTGAGACTTCGATGTGATTGATATTTCGCAAAAGAACAGTCTGAAGTAAATTTCGTCTTTACAGTGCTTCGATAGTCATCATTGAGAAATATTCTCTTGTTGGCCTTATTCATGCGGTAGTTTGACAGGCCGCTTATAAGGTATTTGGCTTGCTCTAGCCGCAGTTTGGTCGGCCCGTGTTCAACCATGATGCGTCGCTGACCAGTTGTCTAATTTATTTAGCGTCCACACCCTATATACGATGTAGAGCAAGGGGGAGCCCCAATCATTTATGCCGCCTTCCATCCTGAATCCTGATTGCGCCGGACATAAAACCATAGTGCGCTATGACCTTCCGTGAGTCCATTCAGGTGATTGCTTGGCATCATTAACCTGGAAGTCTTCAGCGCACAATTGCCTACTAGTTGCGCTCCTCACGAGCCGCTCGATAATTTATTGACAAATAACACAGAACACGATTGAACGCACATGTTTCTGGCCATCTGGCGCACAGGGTGTTTGCTTATATGAATGCGATGACACTGCATCTAGAAAAACAAGCAGAGCTGACTGATAGTTCTTCAGCCGATCCCCGGACCTTCGAGTCGCCGGCTCATACATTATGTCCAGCCAATTGAGCACTGGACGGGATCCCAATGCTCGACTGTTATGGAAACATTGATGGACACCGGAAATTCCTTACACGAGATGCTCTTTCAGTGATATGGCCTCATTCAATACCGACTCTGATACTTATATACACCAACGTCAATAAGTACTCACTTCCTCGGGCATTGGTGAGGCATCTGATTGATGTATTTCGTTCGATTTAAAGGTAATTAATCCAAGATGTAAACAGTGCTGTCCACGCTGATTGGAACGAGTCAGGAGAATGCGTTCGCCTCCAGCAAAACTGACGTAATTTTATGGCGCATCGAAATACAAGACCCAGAACGTTCGCCAGTCCGACGCACTGAATGATGCAATCATTGTGCGGAATTACGCGAATCGTACCTTGTGGCACATATGTTCATGCACATAACGTACCACCGAGGCTTCCTTCGAAGACAAAGATTCTTCGATTATTTGGGGGTCCCAAACTATGGACCGTGGTCGCCGTTCATGATGTTCTGTTTAGATCACAAATAATCTCCACAGCCTCAATACTGGGTATAAAATCAGTCATCTTGCTCACTCTATTCTTCAGTCGTTCTTTACCCTCGACTTCAACTGTTTAACTCCCCCCCTGTTCATTATGCAGTTCGCTCTCTTCGCATCCCTCGCTATTCTCTACAGCACTGCTCTCGCTGCCCCTTCTGAGCGCCGTGATGATGACTCGCTCATCGATGTCCTCGTCGGTTCGTATCAGACCTGGTGTTGTAGAAATATGAGCTGACTCTCCCTAGGCCTGACCAATGTCTTGAACGGTGCGGATGTCAACGTTCTCAGTCAACACAAGCGGGGCGACCCGGATAGTTTGGTCGGCGTCGGCGTTTGTATGGCATTTCCTTGAGCTCGCAGGTCCCCGCTGACAGCTTTTCAAGTGCTCACGAATGTTTTGAATGGCCTTGATGTCAATGTTCTCAGCCAGCGTGATGCCTTGTCCGATGTCGAAGCCGGCATGTACCATCCATAAAATATTTTGGCTGTCTTTAACACAACCCCACAGATGTTAAAGATGCTCTCGATAAGCTTGGTGTCGACACGCTTACCCAGTAAATCTGCTTGCTTCTAGGCGCACCATATCCGTCTCGAAATCTATGGTGATGGGTTTCAATTCTTGCAAGTATACCCCTTACGAATAATTTCTTCTCGGTGTTCCGTGGTCGGCCATATGATAGACTTCGACCGGTTTCATGCAGTACATTTAACAATAGACCTTTGTATTTGGCAAGGATGAGCGTGACGTCGTACTGCGAAGAAATTTGCCTTGCCCCAATGCACACGGCCATGTTTTTGGTGAGAAAAAGAAGACACGGGGCATTCACAGTTGCAGTGCTACCAAGAACTGCCCTTCTTTGTTCTTTTTTTTTTTTGCGGAAGATGGGAGAAGTATATCACGGCGACGTCTGGTGCGAACGTGCCCAATTTGACCATATTCGAGTTCTTTTGGTGATGGCCTTGCTATCGCAGGAACACCAGTGCGTTGTGCGGCCAAATGGATAGGGTTCGCCATGTTCCATCCACCAGGAGCCGCTGTTGTACCGTTCATCACTTCGATTATGATAATCAGGGTTTCTGCGAAAAGATCGGAAGAGAAGCTTCGTGTAAAAAAATAGTGGTAGGCTAGGCAAGAAGCTCAAGGGTCAACAGGGCGGGCTTTGGGCGAGACAGTGATGGCGGTGGTATTCTAGATTTCCTAGTAATTTAATATCAACCATACAGACGATGAACGTTGCAAGAGACGAGTTCCGAGGCAGTCGTGTTGTAAGATGTGTTATGCACTATCTTTGAGGCCACGAGCCATCATTTCAGAGCGAAAGAATCTCGTGAGCGATGATATCAGCAAGACCATTGAGACAACACACCAAGCGCAGAAATGGAGTAATAACCGTCTTTTCTACCGAAGTAAAAATCCACCAACACAGCAGCACGTTAATCGACACAGAACCAATACACTGCTTACTTTTTAATGGAGCTGCGAGGGCAGGTGCGAGCCCACCAGAAAGCCAGTAAGCCAAAACCATTCAAGTTGCACGTTAAGGACTGGAATTTAAAAAGGAACGACTTTGATACCTGCGACGATAAAACTGGAGAGAAGTTGGCGGGAGGACCAGGGCCGCAGGCTGGATTGGTGTTGCCAGATTATCAACCCGGACAAAGCAACATTGTTTCTTGCGCGGTCGCGGTGCAGACAGACCATAGCGAAACCCGAAGAAGATAGTGGTCGTTCCTAATTATTTATGATGGCCAGATTCTGACTCGAGCTATCTCCACGAAATAAGGTCAAGTTGGCAGAAAAATGCTCACTGGTGGCTCTCTTTGACAAGTCCTAGGCTAGTCTGTGCGGAAAGCAATGCTGAGCACCAGTTCGAAGGACTCACTGCAGTTGGACGTTGGACCGTGACATGAAACTTGCCATCATAGGTGTATATGGCGCAGCCAAATACTGTGACGCAAAGCTGATTGCTGAAGAATCTTCCTGTTACACAAGAACGAGTCAGACTCGGAGGACCTGGGGTGTGTTTGCACGTGGTTGATAACAAAGAAGGAGCAACTATCGTTTGGTCTGCCCAGACATAGCAGGAGAACCTGCCACGTCCTTGTATCTGCGGTGGGCTTCCGAGTCAACAAGTAAAACCACCATTGCAATACTTGGTGCCACAATTAGGAATATTCCAGGACCTCACAGAAGTCGAACAGCGCTACTTACTTACATAATCATTTCGAAGTTACTGCATAGGTGACAGCGCAGTTGGTACCATACCTCTACGATAATGGAGGTGGAAAGTATCCAGCGTCACGGTATCAGAATCATTGCATGTCTGAGGTAGATAGTCACAAGTCGCTACTAACACAACGTCAAAGCATCGTACGCGCTTTGTCTAAGCTTTGTCTGACAATAGATTCTCCCGATATCAACTTTCAACTCACACCAAAATGGGGTGTGGACGGTGGACAAACGCACATCCACTGTAGTTATACCCACCGATAACAGCGTATAAAAGTAAGGTGAAGTCAAAAGAATTAGATCAACACACCGAGACGTTACAATCAGTTCTCTACTCCTCCTAGTCTCGTCAATCGCATCATGCAACATGTATCGGACAACGCTTTTCTTCGAGGCTCCGAAGACCACCGAAATACTCCTCACGTTGATGCTCTCGTGACCCTCGTGCTTCAGAAATGCTCCCACCAGCGTTCCGATAGTCTAGTGGCTATAGCACCGTCAGTGATGGACGACTCCAACTCAGCAGTGCTCGCTGAACTAGATCCAGCCACCATTGAAGAGCTGCCGATGGAAGATAGCCAAGAAGTCGCAGGAGAGGTACTTAATGATGAACCTCAAACAGACGCGCAGCGGCTAGCAGCGCTCGTGAGGTCCAGGATGAGCAAAGACCAGCCTCTTCGAGGGAGTCAGGCGCCACACACAGAGGACACTGTAGATAAATCACCCTCTTCCAATCGCTCAAGCAGCCCAGACCTCTCGATACATCCATCCGACCTTATATATATCGACTCAATCCTTGCCCATGACAAGGCCGTCGAGATGGAAGACGCGGCGCAGTTGCGGGAACGTCGCACATTGAGATCAAGAATGCACAAGTTGAGCATTCTCAATTTGTGTAGGAAGGTGGCGGAGAAAGGGCAGGGGTGCTGAGGATCGTGAACCACAGCATGTGGACTACTTAATGAAAGCACGCAGCCTACCGGGGATTGTGTCAAGACAATGTCGGACAATGTACTTACATTCAACTGTTTACATGTGGCTTGCCCTGTATGCCGTGTCTGTTGACACAGGGATGAGAGAAAGGCCATCTCGAATGCTGAGAGACGTAGCCTAATTAGCCAAGCCCTAAAAGAGACGTGCTAGTGTTAAAGCCGCATCACGGTCGATTCTAGCCCATCAAAATGAATTAACCTCCATTTGAACTCACTCACACATTTTGAAGCGGACTAGCATGTAGGCTAACCAACCATACTCCGTTTTCTCCCTCGTAGTCGCACTAGCAAACAAGTGAGTACGCAGATCTGGTCATGCACTGAGTTCAGCTTACCGTCATCTAATCTCTTTCTAATTGGCAGCCAATATTTGCCCATGCGCTTCTCATATGCGCCCAGCACACCCGCAAACAGTGGCTCCGAGTCAGGATGAGTTGAGGCAAAGGCACGTTCCAGGACATAAAGATCCACAGCCTTATCCTCTACCAGTGTTGAATGATAGGCGAGCCCAAAATCTATAAGGACCTGAAAATAACATTGAAAAGACGATTGTATTCTCTAGTACTGTCACGTACCAAATCACTCGTCTTTTTCCTCAACATCATATTCGAGGTCGTCAAATCACCATGTATTACGTCTGCCAAATGCATTTTCGCGATCTCAGCACCGATCATATCCATCAGGGCATCTGTAAAAACTTGAGTATAATCCAATCAGCAAGTGGCACAGCCCTACCTTGAGAAACACCATAATCAGCGATTGGGTCTGCGGCATCATTTTCATCCATTTCACCCATATCTTCAGGTTCGCTGATGCCCTCAAGTTCAGCCCCTCCGGGTAAAAGTTGACGCACACACTCCCCGTCTATCCACTCGATACCCAGTACACCTTCGTTCACATCCATCATCCTGATTCCGGGTACAGTCACGCCGGACCTGCCAAGGTCCCACGTCAACTTAGCTCTGCCTTGTCACAAGACAGTAATTACACGTACCGCATACATCTCATTAACGCGCGAGCTTCTCCGGCTATACGTTGCCGGGTGAGTGATGCATCGAGCGTCGGGTGGCGGTAGTGCTTGTGGAACCGGTACTTCAGGAGAACCGGCTCCAACGCCTCAAAAGCTGCACCGTCAACTCCTGCATTTTTCGCCTGACCCGATGCCGGAAAGTGACGCAAATATGCTTTGTAGACTCTCTGCGTGGAGCAATACAAAGGGTGATCGGGGGTTCAAGTGAGCATGGGGCGAAGCAATGATTAGTTAAGAGTAGGACTTGCAGCTTCAGCGCCCTGAGAGACGAGATCCGCCGACTGTAGTAGTTGCTGCGTTGGTGACTTGGAAGACGATAAAGCAAGATGCATGATTATGATATCGCTCTCAGAGAGATAAGATTTTCAACTAGCATAATCTGGCAATTCCCGATTGCTGTGACTCTTGATCAGGGTGGCGCCTTATGTCCGAGGTCACCGTTCATCATGTTGTTTCAAACAATATTGTTCTTCTCTGCGAGTCTCGGGTGACCAAAATATGAGGTGGTATTATAACGTCGTTCGGACGATTACGGAAGGTTTCAGATGTTGAGTGCATGTTCTCAAGACGATCATTAACACCAGGATCAAAAATTATTCTCTTTGGACTTCGTACAGGCTCACATCATAACAACCGTCTTGCAGAGGTCTTGCAAAGGACCCCATCTGTAAATCCACGCAGTCACTGTCAGTGACTGGTGCATTCTGACAAGTGACGGAACTTGCCCTCAAGAGGCACACCAAGCCGCCCAAGCCTCATCGACTGATCTGTATTTCGAACCAATTATAACAGCCTGGGGTTCGGTCGGGGCTAATCATCCTCCGACTTTTAGCCACGAGTACTAGTCCCAATTTCAATCGTTCTAAGCCCTGAGTCCGTAACAAGTGTAGCCTATTATGGTGCAAGGGGACCTAGAAGGTAAGTCTTGTTAATTTATATATACACATATCGGAGGATGACAATCCCCGTCCTACGCAGGCTCGTTTAGTGTTGTTGATGGCTGGGTGACCCCCAAAACAATATGCCAGGTCTGAGGCGTCGCTTACAACTCGACAACGACGATCACAAAGTAAATTCTCAGAGATCGCTTACAGCCCTGAAATTGGCATCCGCCTTGACCATTGATCCACGGATTTGCATCATTGTTAGCACGACACAAGCACATATCCAGGAATTCTGTTGTGTGAAATCTCGTGCACACCCTACAAGTTCAACACGCTATCTTCAGAAGCCAGATTTTAATAAGTGAGTTATTTTGTGATATCCACACAAGTACCTACCACCAGAAGATTCACCTACAGGTGTGCTAACTTACTGTAGAGGCGCAGAACCGCTGGATAACCCTTTCTTGGACGCGTCAAAAGCTTGCTAATATCCTCGGTCGATTGTCCTGGCCGTCTGTTAATTCCCGAGTCTTCGGAACATATAGCAAGTAGGCGTCACCTTCTCTCACATCGAAAACATGTTGATCGTACATACGTTAGCTTATCCTATAGTATCCAGTCCTTGCGTGATATTCTTGGCTGACTGGGTTTTCAGCCCAGAATCATCCCCGTGAAAGATATACAGTGAAATTTGGCTATCAGGATTGCAATATATTTCATTCGACTATGCAACATTTTCATCCCTATGTCCAATATCCATCGGTCCAACAATATCCATTTGTCCAACAGCCCAACCAAACCACAGTATCCCGATACATGGTTTCGATGTTTGACCCCGTTGAAATACTCAGGCAGCCTCTTACTTTTCCATTTAGCGGACGAACCGCAAAAAATAGGTTTTTGAAGAGCGCAATGTCAGAACGCCTGGCCACGTTCTCGACTTTTGATCCATGTGGTCGGGGGCAACCAACGAAAGAACTAGTACGACTGTACGAAACCTGGGCAAAAGGAGACATCGGTAACTTGCATCCCATCCTTGATAACGCTTTAATCAAATCCTCAAAGGGATCATCATCACTGGTAACATACAAATAAAGAAAGACCATCTCGAAGCGACAGGTAGTCATATTTTTTTGCGAAAAGAAAATCGCGAGGTTGATGTCAGTATAGGTAATACAATCATCGACAGAGACCTCCCCTCGCATTATCTCCAGGAGTGGACAGATGTGGCACGAGCCGCCAAGTCAGAAGGGAGTTTGGTCATTGGACAACTCAACCATCCGGGGCGTCAGGTGTCTATTAACATACAGCCATATCCAGAGGCACCATCTGACGTTGAGCAACCCTCGACTGGAGGTGTTCTCTTCGGGCGGCCCACGCCTCTGACTAGAGAGGGCATCAAGGACATCGTACATCGTTTTGCATATGCAGCCTCCGTCCTGCACAAGGCTGGATTCGATGGCGTCCAGGTACAGTTCTTTTGTCAACATCGGGCCAGCATATCGGTTAATTAGACTCAGCTCCACGTCGCTCACGGCTACCTTCTGTCACAATTTTTAGCAAGAAGGACAAATAGGCGAAACGACGAATATGGCGGATCACTCGTCAACAGAGCTCGGATTCTTCTCGAGATTATCGCTGCAATCAGACAAGCGGTGCAAAATCTATCATTCATCATCTCGGTCAAACTCAACTCACAGGATTCGGTTCCCGAGGGGCTCAGTATCGAGGAATCGATAACAGTCGCCAAACTGCTCGAAAGTGCACGAGTGGACTTCATTGAAGTCAGTGGGGGGACGTATGAGCAAACCACCCGCAGCCCTCAGGACAAGGTAACGCTCTCCTTTATATATATATACCTCGTAGTCAATCCAGAGTTGATGTCGAGCGATTTCAAGCCGTATACTGTCGAAACCCGAGAAGGGTATTTCGTCCAATATGCAGAGTTCCTCAGACCCCATCTGAACCTCTCGAAGATAGTCGTCACGGGCGGATTTCAGACAGCGCAGGGCATGGCTGATGCTGTCTCTCGAGGAGCCGCAGACAGTAAGTGATATCTCGTCGGTTGTACATGTTTACTCAGCGGTTGGCATAACTCAGTTATAGGATTAGCAAGGCCATTAACCGCGGAACCGCTTCTGGTCAGAGACATCCTACGAGGGGAGAAGAAGAAAGCCAAAGGAGACAAATTTCCTGAAAGTCCGATGCTCCGAGTACGCGTGATCATTCACTGGTTCAATGCATAGCCTGATATCCGATTGCACAGTTCGCAGCCTCTGCGGCGCAGATTGCTGAGATTGGAAATGGTCAGGATATCACTGACTTCGACAACGCTTTCCACGTTGCAAGATTCATCGCCAAAATGCAGAAGGAAATTCCTGCTGCCATATCGGAAGCACTATTCTCGCGGCCGTCATGAACTTCAGTCTCGGTTTAATATTGCCTCTTTCACCAGCTTTTTCCTTGATCAAATTCTGATGCTTTTGCATCAGTTGAAATAACTGAGACTACGTAGTCGCTCTGCTATGGTACACACTGATTTCGTTCGTGATTGTAATTTTAGTCTTGCCCGGAACATAGCGCCATCATGCTGAAGTTGACGCTCTTGCTTTCCTTGATATAGTGATCTTTCACGTATTTGGCCACGTCCTGCAGATCCGGAACTGAGATGAACCTAGAATCATGAAAGCGATCAAAGCCGCCTACCTGAAGCAAGTTAGTGCATTCGCCCCTGTCAATCGGGCCATTGCGACCTCCGTCCAACTCTATGACGCGCCACCCATGGGCTTGGGTTTCCGTTTCCCTTGCAGTAGCATCGGGGGCCCTCACAAAGCAAGTGAAATGGAGATCCGTGTCCAGATCTTGTGGCACGGCGGTTTGTCCCGAGGTCGCTGCGGATGTATGGATCCGTTCAAATAGCAGCGTTTCCTCGAGAATTTTGGCACGCTCCAAAGGCGATTTGTCTATCTTTGTGATCAAGACGTGTCAGATGCTTGATAGGAAGTAGTTGTACCTTTGCACTCCTCGATGAATCTAGCCAATGGACTTTCAGGGGCAAAAGTGACATCTGACTGGAGTAATATCAGTGTGAGATAAAGTTGAAAGGGAAGGTTTGCGAGTTACGTTTATTAAAGCATGCAGAAGGCCCATGGTTCCGCAAGCGTTTGAGATCTACTAGTCCTCATTAGTATGAAAGACTGGGGGTGGATGGAACATACCGTCTGCTTCATCCAGAAAATAGTGGAATCGATCGGAGGCTGCCCTTGAGCCGCAATCTTTTCATCTTCCTCTTTGCGCTTTGTCGCGATAGTCCCTGAGCAGGGAAAGAGCAATGTAACCGCTTTTACACCTGCCGACACCATTCCCAGAAGCTGTATCGTCATGAGTTTATGAGCATGGTGAACCGAGTAGACGAACCTCTGGATCAAGGCCATATATGTCCTCGAAATGCGCCTGGGATTTTACTAGTCCGGCGGTTGTGGCCCACTATACGAGAGCATGTGTGTCACGTAACATGCAAACTAAAGTTGCGCTCCTAGGAGTCTTTATCTCACCTCGTTAAAGACCTACTCGCTGTCGTATGAGAACGATAATGTTAGAGACATAGAGAGCTTACATCTGGGTTGCTTTCGAGCGGGATCCAGCGGGGTTCTGACATGGTGATGAGCAATCTCTACTTTACTGTCACTACCGGCGGCAGCAGCTTACTGACGTCTTCGGCGCCAAAGCTCTTGCCTTGTATGGCAAGTTCACGACCCCATGCACCCGGGCCTGATCGACCCAAGACTTACTAATTTGTATGTGACTCCTGGCCTGAAGAGCCTCCTCGCTCGGTTTGTTTCTCAGACGGTACCGATGATCTAGATCTGTGCTATGACTCCAAGGAGCGCTGACCCAAGCTATTGGTTCGAGATAGAAGGGATCATCCATCGCTCACTGTATGTAGGACACTCGACCAAACGTGACGTATGCATGTGTTATCCTCAAGAATCTTGAAGGAAGGCCGACGTCTCCGCGGCCTATCACAGGTATGCCCTTGCATTCTTGATTTTTTGGTGTATTATTAGCTTCACAGGTCTCACCATTTTATTGCACGATGTCTAGATGCGGCCAGGTGCTTGCAAAAAATTGGTGACTTGATGCTTCGAGTGAACGCAGTTGGCAAGCCTTCACAGTGCTTAACCTTTTAGCAATCTGCAGCAAGTTCGTCAAAGCATCTTGACCAAGAAGTACTACGACATCGTTTCCCGGTTTGCAGGTACGGTAAGCCGCGAGATGTTCTCCGTTTACTCAGTGTGCCTATTTTGAGCCTTAATTTATGGTGTGCAGCTTCCATCTACTTATTTGATTCTTGAAACGTTGACTTTATCCGCCCTCTTGTCATATTGTTTCATAGTTGTGGGTACTTCTATTAATGTTGTGCTACACCAGGCGCTCAGAGTCACAACCCTTTAGAACCTCTCACACGAACCTGTGGCCATATGTCCGGGGAAATTTTGTCAACAACCCCAGATCTGAGAGTACGTGGCCGCATTTCCTCCCTGGTCAGGTTGAAGCCAGTCAACAAAATCGATAGGAACTTGTAAGTTGTCGCAGATTATGCTTCCGTACTGTTTCCGTATTTTATATCAAACACTCCTTGCCACATCAAAGCACGACCGCACAAAACTTTCTAGCGCTCCATGCACACTTCAGATTGCTAATACGCATAAAAGTTCACCGGCGCCGGTTGGGCGCCGGGCACTGCATAAGCGCGGTATCTCAGTTGTCAGTGGCCGTACTGCCCTTCGGAGCTCGGACCGTGAGAAGTATATTATTATGAAGTTGGGATTGTCAAAGGGTACCTGGGGTCCTCCATCCGTCAGTCGGATTCATTCCGCTATCATAAGTTCACCGACATTCAATCTCATTCATGATTCGACAGTACCAGTGTCGCTGCATACGGTCTTAAGATTTTTCCATCGCGGTGCGGATCGAGAAATTTCACATGCGTAATCGATTGCGTGGAGTTAATGTTGCTTCAGGTTGCTTCTCGACAATCTTTCGTTCATCCGCTGAAGTGCTGACGAGAACCATCATGTTGACAATTTCCCAAATGCACATAAAGGGCTCAAGTTTGAGTCATCAACAGTAGTTATCTCCCCCACAATCTCACTCGTTTGCCTATCCACTAGATATGACTCTCGCCGGCCATGCCAACTTTCGCTTGCGTATCTTGAAGGACATCTTTCATGCACTAGTCGTACCCCCCGTGCTGGTTTCGTTGTGCTATAAGACGTTAAACCTTCAGTTTGGATGGTGGTCGATACCAGCCTGTCTTCTGGCCGTTGCACTTGCGGCATTTATCAGAGTGCAGTATTCTGACTTTGTTCAAGCACGGGAAGCACGGCAGCTTGGTGCTAGACCGATTCCCCGAGTTGTGGGGAAATGGCCAGGGAATATTGACGTGATGCTCAAACTCAAGAAAGCGCTTGCCTCTCAGTACATCTATGAGCCTTACCTGGAATTATTTGAAGAATATCAGTGCACAACACTCAACACACGCTTTCTTTGGGTTGACAATGTAAGTAGTTTTATCCAGATATTAACTCTACCAAGTAAGTGCTGACGAGCACATTGACTATGTCGCAAGATTATTTCCATGGATCAAGAGCACTCTAAATATGCACTGGCCACAGGGTTTGGTCAGTTCTGGAGAGGCCCTGCCCAAAGAGAGCGATTGTAAGCGACTTTGGACCTGAAAAACTTTCTTTTCTAACGCTATCCCAGAGAAAGTTTCCTAGGCGATGGAATTTTCAATCGGGATGACGAGGTGAGAAATGAGACTTGCTTTACTACCTGGTCACTTTGCTCACAACCATACAGAAATGGAAATATGTGCGACAAGCTAACCACCTGACACAGTTGTTGATGGCTGATGTATCGCTATAGCACCGTTCACTCGCACGACCTTTTTTCACCCGCGATCGCATATCTGATTTCGAGTTGTTCGAAAAATACACCAGCCTCACGATAACCATGTTATCAGATATCGCCTCGCGCGATGAGCCCTGTGATCTCCAAGACCTTTTTGCTAGGTTCACCATCGACGCCGCCTCGGACTCCCTGTTTGGGCAAAACTTGGACACATTGTCCAAGAAGCTTCCTGCTCCTATTTCCGGCTGCCAGAGTGATAGAGGCTCTGCGACAGATGACTCGTGGGGAACATTTACCCAAGCATTCGAAGCGGTGCAACGCATAATCACCATGAGAGGTCGCACTGGCTCCATTTGGCCCGTATTTGAGCTTTTCGAAGATAAAACTGCCCCACACGTCGAGATCATCAAACGATGGTTGGATCCATTGGTAAAACAAACATTGGACAATAAGGCGGCTGCCCAGAAAATCGGTCTGCGGAGTCCAACAGAAGAAAAGACTTTCTTAGAGCACCTAGCGGACAGTACCGAAGGTCTGTGTTCTTTCTCAGTCCTCGCACGAATTCTGCGTCTCATTCGCCGATAATCCATAGACGCTGGAATGATTCGTGATCAGCTGCTTAATGTTCTCTTGGCCGCTAGGGACACCGTGTGTACCTATTCTGACTTCAGCGCTCAGGTTTCTGATGCGACCGTTCCGCTTGACAGACTGCGTGCCTTTTGACCTATGTGATATATTTCATGTCATTGTATCCGAAGATCGCGGCCAAGATGCGGCAAGAGGTAATCGACGTGTGTGGCAACAATATTCCTACCCACGAAGATATTCGAAAACTGAAATATGGTGAGTTTTTATTTGCTGTGGTGGGGATCTATCTAATGACCTTTCGTCAGTTAAAGCGGTTATTGATGAAACTCTCCGTCTTTACCCGCCCGTCCCGTTGAATCAGCGACAGAGCAGACCTCAGCCTTGCACGCTCCCTCCGCCAGATTGTACCTATCCCACTGAATCTCGGCAACCATTATATTTACCGAAGTCGACGACATTCTGGTACTCGACACTCTTGACACAGCGTAACAAAGCACTCTGGGGACCTGATGCGGACGAGTTCGATCCTGAGCGATGGATTGATCCTCAGAGAGTGGCGCGGTTCACGTCGAATCCGACGATGTTCACTCCATTTAGCGCAGGACCTCGCATTGTATGTTCTCCCTCCACGACACCGTTTCATCAAAAACCTGACCCCTTAGCTCTTTTAGTGCATTGGCCAGAATTATGCATACAATGAGGCATCATTCTTCCTTGTGCGACTACTTCAGCACTTCGACACTTTTACACTCGCAATGGACGCACAACCCGCTTTTTCCTTGCCACCTGCTGAGTGGAAGCTGGGTCGGGGCAGACAGGCGGTGGAGACGATTCGTCCCGAAGCCACAATGACGCTTTTCATCAAGGTGCGTTATCCCATCTTCGGTGTTTTAGCTGTGTCATTTACCTTTCATAGGGTGGCTTATGGATAAGAATGAAATCCGTGCACTCACCCTGATCTATGGACTTATGGGTTCTTTAAGGACCGTTTGGCACATGGAAATTCATTTGTATTGTCATTGTTGCATATTTCATACTCACTGGATCATTTGTACATGGATCAAAGACACTCTAGATATATCTGGCGGCACCTCCCCGTATTACCATCATGTTTCAGGATGTGAATTTTTCTTTTCCCGTTACTTAAGAGCGATAAGTCTCATCATACTATTAGTCTACGTTACTACGTGTGTTTGGAAGTACACGGAGCCATTACGGTTTCCATCAGAGCAGATGAGGGCATGTGTATAAAGCTACGAGGATCAAGACATCATCCATTCATATTGTGACGTTACAGGATAACGGAAGAATCAAGCAAGACTCCCACTACTACTAGTTGTGTCGGATGCTACAAGCTATGATGAATGCCAAAAATAAAGCGCCCACTTCCATCGTATGAGTCTGTCACGCCCGCTGCGCAAAGGAAGGATTCCCACTACCCCCTACTAATATGGGATCAAATGTGTGTCCTGTTTTGCATCGACTGGTCGCAGTTAATAAAGTTGCTTGTCGATGTTGAACGATTGCATGCATCAGATCGAATCCGACATCCCGCTCTTCTCGTGGGTGTTCCTTGAAAAAGCGTGTAACCATTACATAGCATGTAAAGCCGCATCGGTGATAAAAGATACTGTAGGAATCGATTCAATTCGACCGTCACATGTCACAGGCGGTGGTGTCAGTGTCGAAAACAGGTAGTTGTCACGCATAACATTAATAGGTGGTGTCGGGTGTCGAAATAACATTCAATATCACAACAGAAATTTGGATTTTTTTTGCTTCCGTGGGCATGTACTATCCCTTCCGGTGCTCCCACAGAAGTCGGCAGGTCAAACATTTGGCGGGAAAACGTGACAAATCGGTCACAGGAAGTCACACAAAACCCTGCGAAAAAGCGTGACTGCCGACGTCTGTGGGATGCCGATTGCACCGGAAGGGATAGCAGGGACTCCAAATTCGTGCAGCGGTCGATTTTACACCAAATTTGCGCGCTAGTATCTGACACGACACACTGAGAAGCACTTACAGGTATTGTCGTCCAACACGTCGAAATTTTTGGTGTGTCACAAGCCACGAGCCCCAAGTGTCGGAATGTCGAATCACGTTAAGGCGTCAGTCACATGGGGGCGTCAAATTGAATTGATTCATACAGATCATCTCAGCTGTGTAGGATGGGCAGAGCAGAGCTGACCCGCGAGCCAACTGCGGTGGAGCTTTGAAGACCGACAAAGTAGCTAAGCCCAAAGAATTGGAAGAAGAGATCGTCAATGATGTCACGCCTTGCTGGTCAGGCACTTCAGACATGCAAATACTTGAAAGGGACTATGTCCGATTAGTCTGCCCTTACCAGCCCTATAGACGAAGGGAGATGATCGTTCCTTCGAACAAAGTCCGATACCCGCAACAATCGATAGAACTAGTTCTGCTTCATGGCACGGTTACATTGTTGAGAGAAAGATATGTTCTAAAGATGTCACTTACCATGACATGCGAGCAGAATATCGGTGGTTGAAAACAGGAAAAACATATGTGCACCCTTCATCATTTGAAAGCCTCGAGCAAGGGAAAAGCGCATCACCATCGAATATGATGGCTGCTCTGGACCAGCTAGTGATCTGATCCGAGTGATAATCCGATGGAGGAACTATGTTGGAAAGTGTTGTCTTGTGCTTGACCGAAGTCAGGATCGACAGGTGAAACTATTCAAATCAAGTAATGAAATAATGTAGGCATCCATCTAACACGGGCCAAGGTAGACTGCTGCACAGCCCGTCTATGAGGCAAGCCGTCGATGGATGCTACGCTAGACCATTATGATTGCACGAGAGAGATTGAGCAAATAACTCCCTGCGGACCCATCTTTATAACATTATGGGCAAGGAAACAAAGATTCCGCGCAGCGGGCCAGCGGCAGTGTGATTGTCACTCCACCCTCGTACGTGACAGAGAGTCGAAGTCCAAGCTAGATCGTTACATCTGGAATGGAGGTCGGCAAATCAGAAACAAGTGCTTAGCGCACTGTGTGCAGTGCCAAAATCGATTTCGCGGCGTGAGGGTCGTCGACCTGCAAGTGACGGCGGCCAAAAGGAACGACTATCTTCATCCCATCAATGTTGTCTGACTACGGGAAACTAACGGCGGCCATGTATTGGTTATCCTCACTGAAATGTCCCAGCGGAGCCTTTATGCCTGCGTCAGGACAGATGGATTCCTGCCGCATGCAGCGGAATACACACTCTACCCCTGCTTTAATCCGCAAGGCTCCCGTTAAAGGCTGTGAGCTCTTTGGCAGGCAATCAATCATCCATGGCGAAAAGATTGGACAAGTCTAAATGAGAGGTTATGTAAAAGTAAATATTGGGTTCGCAGCATCTGGTTATTTCGGAGAGATACTTCTTTTGGATATGTTGTCGGAGCCCCCGTGAGACATGCTCAAATTGCATTCAATCAACACAGAATTTAGAACTTCAGCTACCTTAAGGATCTCGAACTCAGCCTCGAGCCCCGCATGCTAGCAAACTGTCTCTTCTTCATCCGGATCAATACAACCTACGTGCAGATTGTACTCCACCGTTTTCTGTTATCCTTGAAATTTTCACTTACCCAGAGAACCGTGACATTCTGGGACTATAATGATATCGAGAAGAAACTGGGCTACTCTACTGCGGCGACGACGACTCCTTGACACAGGCATAAGCTCGTCCACAAGACTACTCTCGTGTCCTGCCCGAGAAGCACGTATTCGGGCCCTACACACCACGACTTCTAACTCAATTCTAGATACCTACGACGGTTCGCAGTGTGCTATCAAGTTGTGTTTCAGCTGACGTTCTCGGCAGTATGTATTATCGGTGGAGGACATGCGGGCTGTGAAGCGGCGACAGGTGCCGCACGTACAGGCGCTCGAACAGTACTGCTAACCCAGCGGATTGAGACTGTAGGCGAGCTCTCATGCAATCCTTCTATTGGTGGCGTTGGAAAGGGTACACTAGTGAGGGAAGTCGATGCTCTTGATGGCATTATGGGAAGGATCGCGGGTACGTTGCTTCCGGGTGGGCGTAAACGTAAATACTTGAGACTTGTCGTACAGATAAAGCTGGCATACAGTTTCGTATGCTCAATGCGTCAAAGGGTGCAGCTGTTTGGGTGAGTAGTAGTCGATGATCCTTGCCTTGTCTCACCACATCTGAGAAACAGGGCCCTAGAGCGCAGGTGGACCGTAAGATCTACAAGCGTCATATGCAAAACATCATTTTTGGCTACCCTAACCTGGACGTACGTGCTGCAAGTGTATTTGACCTTTTATTTGACAATAGTCCCTCCACATCCGCATCCTCTTCAACGTGGGGGACGGTAACGGGCGTCCGGCTAGGTGCGTGCGCTATACCCTCATACAATACAAGGCCTCACCGGTCTATTTTTCAGAGACAGGAGATGTGATCAAATGTTCTAAGGTCGTTATTTGCACTGGGACATTTCTTGGTGGTGAAATCCATATTGGTACGTTGTGGCTCCAGCTTTGCATCATGCATAACTTACGTTTTCATGTCAAATTTATCTTCAACTCCTTATACATCCATAACTACATGGTAGGGATGCGTCGTATACCTGCGGGACGCATCGGAGAGGTACCCTCGACAGGTCTCTCTGTATCTCTCTGCGCGGCGGGGTTCAAACTCGGACGCCTGCAAACTGGCACACCTGCAAGGCTAGACAAGCACAGCATTGACTTTAGTCGGATGGAACGACAAGATGGGGATGAAAAACCTCAGCCGTTTTCGTTTATTCATAGGGAAGTAGACCATGCTGTAAGTCTCCGCTGTCCAGGAACTACACATGAAGACTGAATTTGGAACAGAACAATCAGATTCCGTGTTTTCAAACTCACACCACGTCGGAAACGCATCGCCTCATCAAGGAGAGTATGCATCTCAGCGTGCATATTCAGGAGACCAAGAAAGGTTTCTAGTTCATAGCTATTATCTACTGCTCTGCTGGTGCTACCATCATCTTACAGGTCCGCGATACTGCCCCTCACTTGAAGCCAAAATTACTCGGTTTGGACACAAGGGCAGTCATACCATCTGGCTCGAGCCAGAAGGATTTGATTCAGGTGTGCACTAGTGTAGAATCCAAACTGCACATCATAATTTGCCATGCAGACCTGATATATCCAAATGGACTATCATGTTCGATGCCCGAGGAGTTGCAAGAACCAATGATGAGAACAATACCAGGCCTTGAAAAAGTCAAGATGTTGCGGCCGGCATATGGCGTCGAGTATGATCATGTCGATCCCCGCGAGTTGACCTGTAAGTTGCACAAGAATGTAACATCATGCCTGGCTCATGATCTTCGAAGCGACATTGGAGACAAAACGCATCCAGGTGACTCTCATGTCTGCACTTCGTCAATACCGCCTGACAGGAAACTCGTAGGGTCTCTACCTCGCTGGCCAAATAAACGGCACAACGGGTTACGAAGAAGCCGCTGCGCAAGGTTGCCTTGCAGGAATCAACGCAGGTCTTTCAGCCCGTGGTCGTCCCTCAATGGTGCTCACCCGAGCGGATGGATTCTTGGGAGTCATGGTAGATGATCTAATAGGAAAGGGAGCGGAAGAACCATGTACGTGTGACATCTGATTGGCTCGTCTCTGACGCGAGGCTGATCTTGGTCGGTTATGGAGACCGGATGTTCACTTCTCGTTCGGAATATCGGATGACGCTGAGGAGTGACAACGCCGACATGCGGCTAACTGAGATTGGTATGCTCCGCAGATCCCATTTCCATTTACTTACGATCTGATGGTTTGTTGATATAGGGCATTCTGCTGGAATTGTCTCTCCTGACAGATGGTTAGCCTTTTTGAGTGACCGGGATGCCATACAGCGCGGCACTGAGCTCCTCACAAGCGTTGTGCTCAGCCCGCAGGTAAGGTCGTGTCGAGCTTGCCTGAATTCTTCCATTGATATTTGCTCAGGGTTGGGGGAGATACGGATTTGATATTCGTCGAGATGGAATCCTGAGGAGGTTCGTGGTTGCGTATTTATGATGTAACTCCAGCTGGAATTCTGCAATAGTGCGTACGACATGCTGAAGATTCCCGGTGTCACCGCTGCCGATCTCGTACGTTCCGGAGCTGTTCCAGGTCTCGATCTTGTAGAATCACATATTAGAGCACGAATCGACATCGAAGGTGAATAATCTCACATTTCCTTGATTCAACATGCTAAATGCGCTGCGAAATAGCATCCTACGCTCCTCACATCCCGCGACAGCTGGCCGATCTTGCATTATTTCATGCCGACGAGTCTATGCTACTGGATCCTGATATGAACTACACCCAAGTGCAAGGATTGAGCGATGAGGTGAGGGAACGCTTACAGAAGGTCAGACCCACGACTTTGGTAAGCCCTTCGTTTTGACTATGTAGTATGATGCGCGATTGACCGTGCGTCAGGGTGCCGCCAAGCGCATGGAAGGCATGACTCCGACTTCAGTAATCTACCTGCTGAAACATGCCAGGAAGACATGGCGGGCAGCCGATGCACGAGAACCTACTAGTAAAGAGAAAGTTGAAGCGGTGCATTCGGCTGATCACCAACCTCTCTTGAAGGCTGCAACTGCATGACCGTCTTCGCGGAGCATTAATACTATCCACGGCTGGCATCGACATCTACATAATCCCCACTTATCATTTCGTCTTCAGTTTGCACCAGGAGAGCTCAGATTACGTGACACGGAGGTTCGCGATCGACGTGCGTTGCACTGCGTTTGAAAATTCAGAAATCGTGGGCCGTCAGTGCGAGTTGGGGTTTTGCTTGTTCCTCACGATCGAAATATAGAAGACTTAGCACGCCATGAATGTCTCTACGTTTCAGGCTATAGCATGCAGTGCATGAATTCTGACGAACATAGAACAATGAGTGCATAGTATACAATATGAGGAATCTAGGCACTGTGGCTTCCAATAATGTAAGTAACAAGGAAAGCAAATAGAGCGTTAGTATTGAAGATGCAGATTATGTCGGTTGAGCGTGACAGGCTCCTCATGTTTAAATTGTTCCCTATCCTGATTCCTAGAGCACGTTTCAAACAACGGCGTAACAATCCACACAAAGAGTCCCATCACTGCAACGAGAAAAGGACTCAATCACCGCTCAACGTAGTACTAGTCATCGAAAGCTTACTTCTGAACACTTTCCACGCAGCACGTTCTGCAAATAGGTCGTCCACATCCAGGAACAAGGACTGCTCCATCGTCTAGCCCTAGAAGCGAGCCCCGAGATTTCGAAGGATGGTCTACATCGACGTCATCCTTTTCTGAGGGCTTTTTCCTCTTAGAAGAGGGGGTGAGGTGTATATCGCAGTTCATTGTAGAGATGCTTAGGCTCAATGCGACTCGTCTGGGAGATCCTGAAGGTGACGGTGATGGTGACGCAGTCAGAGAAGGACTGCGTGTTAATGCCGGCGTTGGCGGGAACGATGATGGTCGTATCATCGAGGAGCATGTACGGGCACAGACAGCACATACAGTTGATCCACATCTGAAAATGTATGAAACTGAGATGAACATTTAGAAGAAAGGTGGCCACCCACCTTGCGCAAGTCACACCTGCACCTGCGCCTGCACCATACCTCATCGATGCAGATAACAAACGGTGGCATGAGGAGCATGATGAGGTCGAAGCTTTATGTGCATTTGGTGTCGTAGAATATTGTTCTGCCCTCGAGGGACATGAGCCTGTGTCGTGGCGTGTGGATGACTGGGAATGGCTGAGCTTTCTTTTCTTGAACGAAGGTTTCCTGCTCGAAGGTACAGAGGATATAAGAGATAATTGTGGGGTTGGTGCACGCATTGCTGAGGCTTTCGACCAAGGGGGGCTCGAGGTGGGTACCGGTCAAAGGGTAACCTGACCACGGCGTTGTCCAGTTTGAAGTACTACGTTTGAAAGCTTTGATTTTTGAAACACGTGACTATGACGCGAGGCAGTTTGAAGTCACTCCGTGACTTATAAGTTGATTCGCCACCGTTCCATCACCGAATATTCATCACATCCTTACTCAACCCAGGGGAACATGGATGCCCTTTTCATCTTTCTGATGAAGCGCCTTCTGTTGTTTCTCGCTCTACGACAGCGCAAGGCTAAGGGCAACCTCAATACCATCATGACTCGGATTCGTCGCGTCCTCGGGTGGTTCCCATAGCAGTTTGTGGCAGCGAAAAGTATGAGGTTTAGTCAAGGCTCATAGTGACTACGGAGAGTTTGGTTGAAGGAGGGCACAACTGGACAGACGTGCTGAGCCTACACAGCTTGTGACCTTCGGCTCGTTGGTGCATGCAACCTTTGTGTTCTTCATTTAAAAGCAGAAACTGAAGATGAGGACATACTTGAGCGATTTTTGTCAGGGCGTTATGGTCGAGCGTGATGGAAAAGAGTGTCATTTATGATGTGAAAGTGGCTGAGGTAAGTTAACATGATTGATATCTGAGAGGGTGTTGGTGTTGGAGTAGCACACATAATTACGTTGTGGAGATGCTCGGTTGTTCCTCTTGCACGGAGAGAGCTGCTAAGTGCTTCCACCTGGTTGGATCGCACGGGCCCTCAGCTTGAGGTGGATTTGCTCCCATGGCACTGTGCAGGAGTTTTGAGATCTTTGTCAGCACCGCAAGTGTTCTGGAAGAGGAAGTGTCGCAGGAAAAAGATTGAATTTTCAAAATCCTTCATTGTGCGGAAAAACGAAGACGAGAGTTCCCAAGAGTGAATCAGACTCAACAGTGATGTGGGGGTGAATTACTCTTCTGCAACTTGCAAATCGGGTTCGGCGACAGTGCCATCACTCACTGCTGTGGCAGTAAAATAACATACGTGTGTTGCATTTTTTCCAATTTTTGAGGACCGAGTGCTCATCATGGTGAAGCCAGATAACTAAAGGAACAAGATGCATCGCAGTGACCCCCATGCGGATCACGAACTACGGATACTAAATTTGGATTTCTTATGTAATCCGCACTACCACAGTGGCACCGAAGACGCGTACTGATTGCGCAGGTCCATAGATCCGTATCATTGATTTGAACAATGTCAGGCGGACAATCTCTTGGAGGAAATCAGAACAGCGAGCCTCTACCTGCGGGATGGGGCAGACCATCAGCGCCTCGCGTGGGTCGGGTTGGAGACTGGAACACCAGCAACTCTCAGCCTGGCAGGAACTCCTCATCCTCGTCCCGGTGCGCTTCCAGCACCTTTATCTTTGACAACTATCTGAGCATCAGATATTAATAGAGGTGGCTTTGGAAGTCTTTCGAACCTCCCCACATCTGGTGGTGCTAGGATGCCTGGAGGACCACAGGTTGGCGACGATGACGACGACGACGATGTCGAGAATAAAGAGGGCGAAACCTGGTTTGCGGGTGGCGAGCGGAGGTGTGTAGGGGCTTGATCTTTACCTGATAGTATTTGAGCTCATCAGCTGGGTAGTGGCATTTCGGTGCAGAACCCTAACTCTGCCCGACCTGGTGGGCGTCTTGTCAGGGAAATTTTGAAGCAGGCTGCAGAGTACGCCGTTCAGTCAATATTTTAATCCTGACTAAGACTTCTATGTCTTGAAGGGCAGGGATGGCACCTCCACCTGAAGCCCGCAGAGCTGGACCTTTCAGTGGTGCTGGGCATACCCTTGGAAGTGATGAAGTGGAGAGCGCATACGTGCCGGATCCGAATGCAGAAGATAGTAAGTCCCAGATGCTACTTCATCACCTTTCTGTGCAGCTCGCCGTCCCAGTGGCTATTATTCATGGCTGACTTGCTACTTTATATGAAGACGAAGATGAGGTCGTTGTCCGGCACCTGCATCTTTGGAGTGACGGGTTCAGCATTGAAGATGGACCGCTGATGCGATATGAGGAGCCCGGCAATCAAGAGCTTTTGAGATCCATTCAGCGAGGGTATGTTAAATCCTGGCATTTTCACGTCTCATTGTCATAATTCTTCACAGTGCTGCGCCCCTGTCCCTGATGAATGTATTACCCTGGCAACGTGTCGACCTCAACGTGTCGACCCGGCTTAGTGAGGCGTACGTACCCCCTAAGAGAGGTAACTTTTCAGGAGATGGACAGAGGCTTGGTGCACCAATTCCTGTTGTCAACCCTGGTGCAGCATCTTCTGGCAGTTCGATGCCAGGATCGTTTCCAACTGGCGCCGGTAGTAGTAGTGCTAGTCCCAGTGCTCCCGTCGAGAGGCAGAGTATCAATACGCGCTTTGAGGTCGACCAGACGCAGCCTACTACGAGCGTGCAAATCCGTCTGGCAGATGGCACGCGGATGCCATGCAGGATGAACCTCACGCACACAGTTGGTGATATTCGCGCGTTTATCAATGCGTACGTTGTGTTTAGCCCTTGTAAATCTGTTTGAGGCACTGAAGATCATTATAGCTCTCGTCCTGAGAATCTGTCGCGCCCGTATACGATTGGAACGACGTTCCCTAATCGTACTCTGGAAGATGACACCCAAACAATCGAGGGTGCTGGATTAGCCAACAATGTCATTGTTCAACGTTGGATTTGAAGTGAAAACTAGGCAGATGGGGATGGGTCCAATAGATGTATTCAGTAACCTTGTAAAATACGCCATCCACAGGGGGACCGGGGGTTGTACGACGCATTGAAAGTGTTGATGAGGAGGTTATAACATTGTCCCCGCATGATCATTGATCATTAAATGAAAAGCCTGAAAAGTATAAGATTACCCACGGGTTACAGAACTTAGTTTTTTTCGTTGTCATTAACGGGACCGACATCGAGTCGCAGGCAAGGCCCATTAACCCGTTGAACTAACAGCGAGCTCAAAGAGCTGCACAAGACCACTCGAGCGAAAAATCCAACGCTCGAAATTTACTTGAACAGTGCGTACGATGGTCCGCTCGTTGACCTAGTACTAACAAACCCACAGCCCAATCATGGCGCCGTTCACAAAACCCGAGGCCGTCCTCAAGCAGGCAGAGGGCCTCGTCTCTGTTGGCCAGTCTCATGCAGCTCTTCAGTCGCTCGTAGAGATGTTCTCCTCAAAACGCTTTCGCTCGACACCACTCACTACGCTCGAGCCAATCGTGATCCGTTTCGTCGAGCTTTGCGTCGACATGCGCAAAGGTCGCACTGCCAAAGAGGGTCTTATGCAATATAAAAATATCGCTCAGAATACGAGCGTTGGAAGCATCGAGGTTGTCATCAACCGTTTTATTCAGCTCTCAGATGCGAAGGTCCACGAGGCACAAGAGAAAGCAGACAAGGTCACTGGACCTGTTGATGTCGACGATCTTGAGGCAAGTGAAACACCTGAGAGCATTCTGCTGGGCGCAGTTAGTGGAGACCAGAGCAAGGACCGCACGGATCGTGCACTCGTCACACCCTGGCTCAAATTCCTGTGGGAGAGTTATCGTACATCACTCGAAACTCTCAAGAACAATGCTCGGCTGGAAGCCATCTATCAGGTGAGTTCATTTTGCTCCTGGCTACTCGCATACGCCTTTGGAGACCACTTCCATTCCTTCTCCAATTTTCGGTCCTCATATACTTCCTGACGGGAAGGCTACCGTTTTAGGCAGGTATCAGCGCCTCATGATCTTTGTCTCGGGACGACCCTGATTCTGTTTTCTCTAACACGAATTCTTTAGCAAGTTGCGCAGCAAGCTTTCCGCTTCTGCTTAAAGCACCAACGGAAAGTCGAGTTTCGGAGACTTTGTGAAACTCTCCGATTGCACCTTTCTAATGTCGCAAAATATGCGCATCAAACGCACGCGATCAACTTATCGGATCCGGAGACTCTGCAACATCATCTTGACACGCGGTTCGCCCAGCTAAACACTTCTGTCGAGCTCGAGCTTTGGCAGGAGGCGTTCCGCAGTGTCGAGGATGTGCACAATCTGCTCACAATGGCAAAAAAGGCTCCCCGCCCAGCGATGATGGCAAACTATTATGAGAAGTTGACCAAGATTTTCTTGATGAGCGGAAACGCTCTCTATCACGCCGCTGCATGGGGTCGATATCATGCGATTGTTACCAGCATCGGGGGAAAGAGCGAGGAGGAGATGGCAAAGCTCGCGAGCCAGGTACTTGTCAGTACCTTGGCTGTTCCCGTTGGCCTGCAGGGTGATGATGAGGATGGCAAAGGCAAATCATCGCGCCTCACTGCTCTTCTTGGTCTCACCAAAGCGCCCACTCGCGCTGGGCTGCTCAAGGATGCCGTATGTATATTTGTGATCTGTCGAACTGAACACATACTCACTCATTTTCAGCTTTCCCGTGACGTTCTCCGTCTTTCCCCAGCACCTATCAAGTCCCTGTACACGCTCCTCGAAGCATCATTTGACCCCTTGACGCTTTGCTCCTCTACTGCCCCGCTTCTCGCAGAGCTGTGTGCGCCAGATACACCATACTCAGGCTACCGCCCCCTTCTGGAACGTGCACTACTCTCCCGCTTGCTCGCACAACTCTCTCAAATTTATTCCACTCTCACTATCTCCTCGCTCCTCGACCTCGTCGCACCCCTTGAGGACCTCGGCCCAGAGCAGGTAGAGGCGTTCCTCATGGGCTGTGCACGCCGTGGCGAGCGCAGCGTACATGTTGACCACGCCACCGGCACAATCACCTTCATTGATGAGGGCTTTGTACTCAGCTCCGAGGACCCCGTTTCGTCTACGAGCACCAGCACAGAGACGAGCATCCAGCCCAGCGCCGCAGACCTGGTACGCACACGGCTGAGCACGCTTGCGGTCACACTGCACAATTCCCTTGCGGTGCTGTACCCCCCGCCTAAACTCTCCCCCGAGGAAGAAGAAGCTGCGCAGCAGGCCAAGTTTGCGGAGCTGGTCGCGGCTGCGAACGCTGAACGACATGCGTTGTCGCTTCGCCGTGCACTTGTTGCGCGCCGTCGTGAGCTCCTCTCTGAGCTCTCCGCTCGCAAGGAGAAGGAGGAAGCTAGCCGGCGTGCTGAGACAACACGGCGCGAGAAGGATGAGGAGGTACGGCGGGCGAAGATTGATATGGCGAAGAAGGAGCGCGAGCGTGCACAGAAGGAGGTAGAGAGCATTCGTGCGGAGGAAGCGAAGAAGCTCGCCCAGACGCTGATCAAGAAGGGCAACTTAAAGGTGTCGGTGGGCGTGCGTGTCTTTTTTTTTTTTCAAAATACTTGGACTTAAGCGTTACTAATATGACTGACCACAGGAAATGGAAGATATGTCGACGGACTCACTCATGCGCATGCAAGTTGAACAGCTCGAGCGCGAGAAGAAGGAGCTCAATCAACGCTTACGCACTGCTGCAAAGCGGATCGACCACATCGAGCGTGCATACCGCAAGGAAGAGCAGCCGCTGCATACGCAGGACTATACGGAGCAGCAAGCCACCGACCGTGCAATATTCGAAACCCTTCAACGTTCGCGCATTGAGGGCGCTCGTCAGGCATTCCAGGAGGACATCACGACCAAGAAGCGCCTGAGTCGCATGATACAGGATTATCAACGGAGGAAGGAGCTCATTATTGCGCAACGGAGTGAAGAGCACACGGCTAAGCTTGCGGAGTCGCGCAAGAGGATCGAAGAGGAGAAAGAGAAGAGGAGGGCTGCACATCAGAAACAGAAAGATGAAGAGGAACGAGAGCGTCTGGAGGCTGAGAGAATCCGCAGAGAACAGGAGGAAGAAGAGGTTCGACTGGAAGCTGGTGAGTATGCTTCGTCGCATGACACCCTCGTTTTCTCAAGTTTCTTCAGAGCGGCGCGCAGCCGAGGAAGAGGCCGCAGCCAAGGAACAGGAAGAGAAAGAGAAAGCTGCCGAAGCACGCAGACAACGGGATGAAGAGCGTGCCAAGATTCAAGAAGAAGTTAGGAAACGTGCTGAGCGCGAAGCTGAAGCTGAAGCACATGCTGCTCAACGCCGCGCAGAGCAGCGTAACCCACCAGCACAACCAGCGCCGTCCCAAACTTGGCGGCGTGGAGGAGCGCCATCTGCGCCCGCACGTGCTACCGCTCTAGCCACTCCACCACGGGCTGAAAGCCCTTTGCCAGCTGCTGCTGCTGCTCCTGCCGCGGGCGCCTACCGACCTGGTGCATTCGGTGGCACCGGAGGAGGCTGGAGAGACCGCCAAGCGGTGAGACCTACTACTGGTACCGCACCTGTTCAGACTGCATCTCCCGTCCCTCCTGCCCCTCCTGCATCCCGTAATCCTGCGCCGCCTGAATCAAGAAATAATGATGATGGATTCGAAATTGTTCCGGCGAAGGGGACAGGAGTGTGGAAACCTCGGAGACTTCAAGGCCAGGCGTAGATACGGATATGTTTCATGTCACACCATGTTGTTCTACCATTATATGCATCTATTTCTATCCAATACCGTACAAGTGAGTGTTGATTTATTGGGAGTATACATGCAATGTAGTTAGTGTCCACGAAATGTCTCATGATGTCCATCATTAGTTGATATATTAAGATCGAGTTAAGCAGACTCCTCTTCCGCAGCTTGCTGCATGATTTCTGGGGGCGGGAGTCAGGCAATCGAAAAGGCTAGAAGACCGATAACATACCACCCCATATAGAACGCTGCATGGACGACATTATGTCTGCTTGATCACCGATGTCTAACGAACTATCCCTCCTACGTTAAAATCTATCAATAAACGTTTGTTATGAACGACGATCCAGACGAACCAGTAGCTATGACCCATGTCAGCAGAAAGCATGCTGACATCGCTTATTCTGCGGGAACGCTGAAGACTACTTCGGAAGGAATGATCTAAGACACCAAGCTCTGGGGAAGGGCAAAGAGTTTTGGGAGCTGGAGTTGGGCTAGAAGGGGTTTGGTCTGAACGGCCATGATCGCTACGAGGAGAAGTGATATCCCGAGTGAATGGGGGTGGAGTGGACGGCGCAGAGTCCACGTGAATAGCAGGAATGTCTACGATACCGATTGGATCATCTACTGATCCGATGACGCAGCAAAGCAGCTTACCTCTCAGCCTCTCGGCCAAAAATCTTCGTCGCAGTGATATCATTTTCAACAAAGAACGAACACGGTCCAGGTTCACCAGATCTGAGACAAGTTTGTTTGTCTCTTGCCGCACGATAAGGTCCTTCAGCCTGCCTAGTAGTCAGAACTGTACTAGCACCACAAGCCGATCAACAAACTTACACTAGTGCGTCGCAGTCCACAATCAGCTTATGGTGAGCCAGAAGGAAAAGCATGTCAGTGAATGAGATCCCTTTGCGATGACGGTCGATAATGCTGGCTTCGTGAAATAGCCGACAGTAAACTGCTCTTCGCTGTCTTATAACATCGAAGTCAATCTTGCGCAGCGTCCTGTTCACTTTCCGTGTATTCAACTTCAACTCTTGCGTCCCAAGCTTCTGGGTATCGTCATCTTTGCAAGCCGAAACAATGGCCGGAACGGAGTATTCCACTGGGTATATGCGGACCTCGAAGATCCCGTTCAATTTCTAAAAAAGAACTCAATTAAGTTTCGTGAACATTATATCGCACATAACTTACCCCCAGGAAGGGAACCAGTCGACTTTGTTCGAGCAGCCCAGTCTTTGAATTGGAATACTCCGCCCACGTTTTCTTGAACGAACGAATTTCTTCGCGAGTGATGGCCTTCGCTCCGCCAGTGGACTGGAAAACATAGGAGAAATTCTGCACCACGACTCCAGTAAACATGTTCAGGAAGATATACTGTTCGAGATAGTATCAGGAAGTAGATACTGAATGATTAATGTCGACGCACCATGCTCAGGAGGTTCCAGGCGATGAAAAGGGAGAACGCCCAAGGAGTGCTACCGCAATCCGTTTCCACCAGTCTGTTAGATGTGATAGTGCACCGCGGATACGCCAGAGTACTAGACCAGAGTCAACTTCATAACAAAAAGGGCTCTCAGGTCACGTACAAGTCATGCATGTATTGATTCCAGCCCTCGCTGCGAGTAGATATTTTAGAAAACATCATAGAAGCACTGATAATGCATACCCCGTGCTCATGAAGGCGAGCATGACGAGCGCCGAACCCATGGTTTGGTAGTTCTGAGTGTGAGTTTCTGCAGAATACCATTTTGTGAGGCCGAAGACTTCCATGTACATGATGGCGAAGAAGATAAAAAGGATGAACCACAGGCCCAAGAGGTTCAAGATGACGGGCAAGCTCGCACTGCAAAGAAATCAGCATTTCATATAAACATAACCTCTCCACTTACATCACAGTCTTAAAGAGCTGATTAAGGTTGTTGGTCCTCTGGACGAGCTTGAACGCGATACTCACGAGGAACAGCTTCTGCAGCTGCTCAACGACGAAACCCATGTACCCAAACCGGACAATCAGAGTCGTGATGAAACTGCCGCCAGCCACCACAATATCAAACATATTCCACCCGTTGGCTCGGAAACTCCTCCACCCAAGTCCGTAGAACCTCACACCAATATCAACAACATACATCATTGTGATGATCAACGAGAAGTCATCTGAGGGGAGCCATATTGAGAGGCATCGAAAGGGAACACAATCAAGCCAACTACCGACCTTGAAATTTCGCAATAGCTTCGCGGACTTCGAACGTTTGCGTCCTGAAAAAGATGAGTCTAGATAGCTACCCAGTAAATGAAGAAATACAAACATGAGTACAATGATTTGTACGACAAAGAAGAATGTCATCATTCGCGACCACCAGCCGTGCTTGTGAATGGCGCGGTCGTAACACCACGCTCGCAATAGCTGAGTAGGTCGACTCTTAGGACGCTTCGATGGCTTTTGGCGTTTGATCAGTTTTTGCAGGTCGATCCATTCTCGCTGAGGATGGGTCAGGAATGCAGAGCCAGTCTTAGATGAGAAGTTGCCGATAATAATACTAAGCAAGTTATAAGTCAATAGGTTGTCGATCCCCAAAGGACAAGACTCACCTGACAAAAAGCGTCAGAATGACAACTCCCCCGAGCAAATTGTAGATGACGAAGAAAATAGCGTTGATCTGCGAGTTATTGGACTGTGGTTGTTGGTCCTTCCCGGTAATGCTCATCGCAACTGACATGACGTCGATCCACCCTTCCAACGATACAATCTCGAAAAGAATGAGCATCGAGGACCGGAAGTTGTCGAAGGAGAACGTCGTGGAAGGCGAAGGATTGCCCCAAGCACGAGGGACTAAAAATCCGAAAGAATTGCCGTGGATTGTATTGACATACTCGTTGGTACAATCGTTGATGCCGTTGACACTGGTATCGGTGCACTCGTTCATTAATCCTGCAAAGATGTTGACGCCCCAAACGCTAAAGGGAATCAGATACAGGATGGCCAAAACAGCAGCATCCAAGATACGAGTCGCCCCGGAAATAATGAGGGATTCGAACGTGTTTCGCATCTTGTCGATCAATGTCACGAGGCGGAGAGCTCGAAGGGCCTTGAGTGCATGGATAGAACGGGTCAATCCGCTGACGAAGATCAGCGTGAACGACAAATTCACAAGGACACCGATGAGTATGATGAAGTCCAGGATGTTCCATATGCTCTTGACGTAGGCGTTCGGAGTGAACAGGAACCCATCAGCGATGACCTTGATAATGAATTCGGCTAGGAAAGGAAGGCCGAACGCTGCCTCGGCAAAGTTGAACCAAGTGCCACGCATCAAACCGTGCTGCATGTAGTAATCGCGCCGGTACAAAGGGGTGGCTACGCCCTCCGTGATGATACCGCCAAGTACAGTCAAGAAAATCAGGAGCTGGAACAACGTATGCGCGACGTCGGATGATGGGGCTCCGAAGAGGCGCTCTCCACCAGCAGGTTTAACAATCTTCTGGCACATAGTCCGGAGACGGTTTTCCTGCGAGAAGAGCCAAAAGGTCTTATCATACGTCGGGTGGTCTATGATGAAGTCCGCCTTCTGCGCCTTCCGCTCGGAGTGCTCATCGTGGTCGTCCTCAGTCGTGTCGGCACCATTGGTCGCCTTGGCAATAATGTCGCTAAAAGCCCGCATGAGCAAAGCTGCCACTCTAGATACCAGAAAACTCACAGATAACGCTCCGTCTCTTCGTCTTCTACGGCTGTCGACTCACGCCGTCCCTGTCGTAGGGCCACCAACGGCACATCATTCGAATTCGTATTCCCAGAAAACAGGTGTTGAAGCATCGTCAACGATTTCGAAGGGAGATGTCTCGCACCCTTCGACGATATGGGTTTCTATCCCACAAACATATCAGCAGCCCGTCATCTCAGACATTCAGAAATACATACAGTTCCGTTTCGGTTGTCCTGCCCAATGACCCCATAATCTTGCACAAGCGTTTTCTGCATCGGTAAGACCAGGTTCGACGGGAGGTTCTCGACCTTGACGCGAACAGGATCCGCCTTCATCCATCGATACGGATTCAGCTTGCGAGTCCAACTGTTATGCATGACCCGTTGCGGGTGATGTTGGGCCCAGTAGTCTGACGCTTGTTTACTCTTCTTCGTTTCTTCTGCAACGCTGAAGTTCTCGTTTATGACAGCGATAAACATCTGCATCACGATAACTAAAGAAAACAACAGCAAGTCAACGAAGGGAGGCGATAATCCTGAGCACTGCTGATCACTTACAATTTGCAAATACAAACCACGAGGATAGGAACACAGCCACAATCGCAGCCTGCCCCATGGGAATCTCAGCGTCTGTTGCCCCGTACAAAACGACAGTCCAATTCTCAGAAGAGAATATCTGGTACACAGCAAGGAACGAATTCCATAACTGTCCGAAATTTATCGTAGTCCCGTCGGGCATATCACCGCGAATGAGCTCCACGCAGACCAACGCAGCAAGGAGGTTGACAAGCAGCAAGAAAAGCGTCATGTTAGCTAGACCGTACAGATTCCCGAAGACCGTAAGCTGATGTGGTTCAGTCGTCTGCCAGAAATTGAGGTATTGACTAGACTCACCATGAGCGGCCTCATTCTCGGGAACTCTAGAATCACCCTGTAGAACCTCCCTAACTGGAATATCGTCAACCAGGGGTACAGCTCCGAGTTGTGGATGGCCGGAATCTGAATAACGCTGGACCCCACAGCCAGCACAAGATCCAGCCAATTGTTCCCATGCTGGAAAAACCTTCGCCACGCCGGGAGCTCTGCTGCGATGCGGATGATGATCTCGATATCAAAGGCCACTGTAAGCGCGAGCTCTGATTTGTCAAGGATCAGTCGATGCATAACACTCATGTCAGAACTGGCGGTGGCTTGTACGACGAGTGACGCGAGAGCCAAGAACACCCAGCACCAGCGCGTGTGGGTGTAGAACGCCTTGAGCGGGTTGTTCTGAGAAACATGTTTCCCGTCCACCCAACCCTCTTCTCGCTCTTCGACGCCAGGTCCTAGCCTGGAAAAATGGGAAACGACGTTAGCACTAGCATATGCAAAGGTCAAGAAACGTACGGTGCGGCACCAAAGGCACTCTTCTGCGTATCAGAACGTATAGCGGAGAACGTGTTCGTGATAACAGCGACAAATAAATTGATAAGCCAAATGTTTAGTACAAGGATGCAGATGATGAAAAAGAAGCAGGAGACAAAGAACTCGGCGTCGATGATCGAATACATGATGGGGGACCACTTAAAGAAAGAAAAAATTGAGCGCGACGTAAATATGGATAAGGAACACATACGCCGTTGGCTGAGGTTACGATCACAACTTGAAGTGCGGCGTAGTAAATATTGTCGAAGCTCTGGACGCCACTATATGGATTTGTTCCCTCCTGATCCAGCGAATTTGTGAGATGAGATCATCGAGGAAACACCAAGCAACAAACCTGACAAACCTGCCCCAAAGGGCAGATATAACCCTTGGCCGCAGAACTTGGCGTACCATCTAGCTGTAGGTAAGGGAATACGTCCAAGGTATTCGGATCGATGTGGCCACCGCAAAATTGGGTGGGTATTTGGGTTTGGGTTTCACCCAATGTAGGTTGAAGATAGCAATTCCGACGAAAAGAACCCTTGAAAGATTGGATTCCGATTATCCTTTGAGAATGATCCATGTTCGATTAGCATTCGCAGAGAGACCAGATAGACTCACGAGAATACTACCGCAGCGAAGACAACAAAGTATGCCACGTTAGTAAGCAGCGGCCGAGCAATCTTCAGTGAGTGCATGATTGTCTGTTGATACAAGCATTAAGCGCAGCATAGTTAATGCTGCGCGCTAACTCACAGTAGTACCAGACGTGATAGCCAGAAGCCTTGCTATTCGGAGCACACTCATCGCTCTGAATGCGGCAATATGATGAGACCCGCGCTCCACGCCTGCCATCGAGAGTGCAAAGCTTATCCAGAAACTGAGGATGGCAATGAAGTCGATTCTTCCCCAGCTTTGGCGTAAGTAGGGCATGTTGCGATGAACCTTGTCGCGTGCGTTCTCGATGTTCAGTCGGAATGGCAGCGAGATTGCGTCCGTAGGCGTTTGGTCTGACCGGAGGGCACGGGAGAAAAACGTTGGTTGCGAAGGACTTCGGAGGTGCGTGCGTGAAGTCTCTTCTGCATCGACCCGCTGGAATTTTTCCTTGCGCGAAGCGTCGAGAGGCAGATTGCTTGAACCAGGTACTATGTCGGGCATCGAACGTGAAAGGGTAGCCGCGGAGAGTTTGAAGGGTCGCGATAGGCGGTCATAAAAGGGCCTCAAGGACAGGCCGCGTGACAAGGAACCTGACGCGGAAGAACCTCTCCTCGAAGTCGACGTGGATGTCATTGGTGATGTTGAAGATACAAACAAAGCTGACATTGGAACTTCAGGATCTAGTAGAAATCCAGAAACACATATTCGTGCAACTGCTTCAAGCCTAAAACGAGGCATCAGGGTCAGAGCATGGTGTGACTAGTATGAAACCCACGTGAATAGGATAAACAACCCGAAAAGAACATAATCCTCCCAAACATGAAAGAAACCCTTTTGTGGGGTCGGCATGGCCTGGTCCGAGGGAAGAAGGACCGTGCGAGACGCTTGAGATATCAATACACAGGCATTAAGAATTATAAAACAAAGTATTAGAGGTTCTGTCCATCTGGAGGAGGAATAGTTAACACTGTCGGATGGGAGCACACCAGAAGAATCTTACGGGTGGGAAAGGGTGTGATAAAGGCGAAGACGGAATGTGCTTGAGGACTCTAAGAAACCGAGAGTGCGCCCTCGTAAGGGAGTCAGCTTTCTGGTGACGAAGACTTGGTCTTCGTTCCATTGTTCTTCAAAGGGTTCCTTGACCTCCTGCGCGGGAAAATAGTCGCCATCGTTGAGGTCCTCATCCGGTATGCGAATAGAAGCATAACCAGTAAGATTAACGACGCGGAGAGACGCTCGTCGAAGATGATGTGACACCGCCTTGAACGCTGAGCCCGTTCGCTTAAGAGGAGAAGGTGAGGTACTGTAGCGTAGCGTCCTCTGCCTGGTGGGGGCCGTGGCACCTCCCGTGCGCTCGGAGTCGATGGATAAATCATTAGCACTAGCCCAATTCTCATTTGCACTCGATTTCCATCGAGAGTTGGTGCCAGTGAGATGAATATCGTCTCCGTCCTTGGACGAGTCAAGGTCGGAATCTGGATTCGACATTAACGAAGAGGAAGATGGGCCAGTTTGCGCAGAGGTGTAGAGCAATTCGTCATAAACCGAGTTGTCATTGTACGCCGGTGTATTTGCAAAGAAGGGTTTGTCAGGAGAATAGAAAGGATTCTCATCTGAAGTAAATGACCGAGGTGAACTTCTTCTGAAGGATGAGGGACCCGCCTCCATAGTTGAATTATTCGGACGTAAGGGATCCTGCCCTACATCTAACTTGGCCCAGCTTGTTCGTCTGCGAGCAAAAGAACGACCACTATCTAAAGGGTGAAGTGTCGGCGAAGGAGGAGCTGAAGTGGCAAGGCCAGTGATAGTCCCAGTGAAGTCGATAGCCGAAGAAGAAGAACTTTGGGTTGAATGACTGAGAGATGATTGATGCTGACCATCCAAGTGCTGGCCATCCATATCATAAGAATCCGCGTTCAATGCTACGTGTGTTGTAAAGTCTTGTACCAACTTTATCCATTCACCCAATGAGTCCAAATTGTCCTGGGAAATAGTTCCTCGATATGGATCATTGAAACACCAGATCAAGATCGGGTCCTTTACTTGCACTCCTCCGCAAAATGCAAGACAGTCAAGAGGATGATGATCTATCTCTGGGCGACGTTTTCACGGTTTGTTATCTAGTTGCAAGTAAAATATCCCAAAATATTTATATATTTCTACTCCAGGAACCTCCCCGTCCACCAACACCTCCGCCAACCTTTGCAACATACACCCGAAACACCCTTCCCGATCTCAAAATCCGCCTCGTTGGCTCGCATCCGCTATGGGCCCATCACCTGTACTGATTTCCGGAGTCTGCGCTCATTTAACGCTACTGATTTCTTACGTTCGATCCAGATGGAACGCGGCATTAGCATTTGCATCATATATAGATTCAAATCCAGAGATAGCTCGTAATCGCTGCATCCTCGAACTCGGAGCTGGCGGAGGCCTTCCAGGACTCGTCGCAGCACAGAATGGCGCTAAAAAGGTCTCCACATTCACGACATCTCCATCGCCTTACCTCACTCATCGAACAGGTCGTATTGACAGATTACCCGGAAGCAGTTCTTATCGATAACTTAGAAGTCAACGTAAGACAGAATCTATCTCTTGATGAACAGAATCGAATCGAAACCCAGGTATTCTTTCGGCAACACTGGCTTACCTGATCGCTCATTTTTTCAGGGATATATTTGGGGTCATCCCGTAGACAACATAATGCGGGCACTTCCAAAGGATGCCGCAACTGGATTTCACTTAATCATATTATCAGACCTAATATTTAACCATTCGCAGGTAAGACTGCTACGTGCTATTAGATTATCGGTGTCTCAACCTACGTAGCATGACGCCCTGTTGAAAACTTGCGATATGTGCTTGGTTTCTCACTCCTCAAGCGATGACGCCTCCATTGCACCATGCGTGCTGGTTTTCTACTCCCATCATCGGCCGCATTTGGCCGATCGAGATCTCGATTTTTTCCGCAAGGCTCAGCGAGCAGGCTGGGTTTGCGAGGAGATAGTGACACGAAAATATCCGGTTTGCTTGATCCACACATTGATGTATTCTTTTCTGATGGCACGATGTTACACAGCCTATGTTCCCGGAAGATCCGGGCGAAGAGGAAGTTCGTGCAACAGTACATGGTTGGAGGATGACCCGGGGCTAAACTATGGTCCAGAAAACCGATAGTCTTCTTTTTTTGATCTCAGATAGGTGCTACAGCAGCACCTCTCATCACTTGTAAGACTTTCGATGAGTGCCGCATGATATGGTCACCCTCCTGAGATCAAGTAAGTCACAATCCGGTGATTCATACAAATCGATGGGTAAATAATAAACTATGTCCGACGTTACTCTACGGCTCATAGTACAGTCAAACTGGCCGGGGAACATCATTAAACTTCGATCCACCACCACGCGTGTTCATATGATACTGTTCTTTAAACCTTACCGGCCGGAGGGGCGTCACCCTGATACATAGCCCCATATCCAGTCGGCGGCGGGGCGCTTGGCTTGTACGTAGCCGCAGTCGGTTGCGGATCACATAGCTGAGGCGGTGGAGCGGCTTCCGTGCTGCCAGTGTCTGCACGGGCAAGTTATATCAAATGACACACGCAAGATTCCACGGTACTCACATCGATAGCTACCTGCAGCACGTCGCTCCTGAACATCGACACGCTTGAATACGAGCCACAGGGCGTGCTACAAATTTATCCAAGACGAGATGTCAGCTATAGTAATCATACAGACGAACATGCGCACGATGAGTCCAGGGAGGTACCCGAGTCTGACAGTAACAGTTCGTGAGCGAGATTCGTGAATTGCAAGGCCGTAGTACTCACAAAGTCAACAAGATGTTCACGAAGAGGTCGCAGCCACAGCCTGAGACGAAAGCAGCTGCGGCGGGAGGAAAGATGATCGCAACCTATTGATTTTCTGTGAGCATGCCAAGTGGACTTGCTGGAGCGCGAAGCAACCTACAAATATAAGTACGCAACTAGTGCCACTTGAATCCATGATATCGCAGTCTGGATGAGCTGGGGGTTGTAAACTTGTGTGAGACGGTAAGATGGTGAGTGCTCTAATTAATGGTCTCAGGACCCAAAGTGACGTCATCACTCCAATATAATTCTCAACAACAAGTGAAAACGACTTATGCTGACAAACGGAACTGATATGATCAGTCCCACCAAGGCAATGGCAATCCTACAAATGAGGACAAGTTATCCCTTTTGTCATCAACTGTACGATGTACAAACGTCTCAGTGTGTGGGGTCGGTTGAGCACGAATTCGTGGTATGGTTTAATACGAGGAAGGACGTTATTGTCATTCTAGATTTCCTTCGAGTAAACGCATATCTGAATGTAAAGTGTCAGCCAGATGTTTCATGACATCGTACTGGCGACTTCATCTACTGCGGCTCTTGGAACTGGAAGGAGAAAGAAGATATTACAGCTACTTTCATATCGATAGACCAGAATCCATTTTTGCTTACTTGTGGAGCTGGACAAACAAAAGGGTCCCGCCTATACGATACTTGGTCGGGCGAAATACCCCCAAATGGCGCTGGACTGCGCAACTTTCTCACTCGACACTCTCTTCAGACACTATCCTCACTATGGTTGGAAACCGCCGTCACATTCCAGCAACCGTAAAGCAACAATGGGTCACTAGTGGAGCATGTTGAAACCTGCGAGTACTAATGCAGAACTCATGCTGGCATGATCAGTAACAGAGACAATATGTTAAACATACCATGATGAGTTGGTGATAAATAGTCATACCAACAGTGAGCTCAGAAGGGTGTCAGATTCAGTGTCAAACGAGCAGTATACTGTATCATAGAAATTGCGCAGTCCAGTACCATTCTGGGGTATTTCGTCCGACCAAGTATCGTAATAGGTGGGACCCTTTTGTTTGTCCAGCTCCACAAGTAAACAAAAGCGGTGGTCTATCGATATGAAAGTAGCTGTAAATACGGTAGGTTGCAAATCAGTGCGTGCATCCAGTAGTATGCGGTATGCATTAGTCACGATCTATTTACTACGAGTTAACTTCTGCTTGAGAGGAGCAAATATGCTGACGGTGCGATTGCGCATGAAGTATGTGAACCAGAATGTAGCAATAATCTACAGATCTCACGTGAACACGAGTTCCAAGCAACATTCGGCCATGACTCACATTGAACGCGACAAATCCGAAGACGATGCCTAGGTCACGCCAATGATCGCTGAATTTAATGTTGAACCTCGAGAACATGTACTGGTCAGCAGTCGTATAAGGGCAGTACTGGCAACCCTCTGCGGCTTCGGGATTGGTGAGGTAGCCGCCGGCGAATTCCATGAAGGGAGTCATGTAGTCGCTGCACGTTAAACTGTCCGGCGGGTTGACGGAGACTAGTTCCATGGACGAGCAGCTAATAGCTGTCCCACCGATAGCTGCGAGGACTACAGTGGATAAAATCATCTAGCAAGAAATCATTCACGAACCTTGACCTAGGAGGCCCTGGATGATGTATGTAAAAGGAGAAGCCCAGTACATCCATTTCCACCAATTAAGCTCGACAAACGGCTGGATCACGCCATCGCTGGTGGATCATTAGCGTGGGTTACCGTGGATAAAAGGGTGAATCTCACAAAATCATGATAAAGACAATAAGAGTTGTATAGTACAGAGATGCAACTGGAGCGGTTGGTGCCATGGACGCGATGCCATGTCCAAGCGTGGTATAGTACAACGGGAAGGCTATGGAGAAGACGAGGAATGTGTAGCCTGCCCGGTCTGTCGGGTACCCAACGGTCCAGTACCAGCAGAAAAAGAACATCGCGGAACTTGTCATGTTCCAAGGAAGTTCAGCAACAAGCTGTGACATGACGAGAGCAGTCCAGTGATACATCCTGCTAGAACGTTCACGGATTTCGTACACCGTCCGAATATCGATGTAGACGGCCATCAGCTGATGGACGAGGGGAACGCAAAGCACAAGGGCGAGAAAGGTTGACTAAAGAGGTGTGAGAATGGTATTAAACTAAAAATCTTGATAGATATACTTACGAACAGCTTGTCTTGAGTACCCTGCAAAGAGTCATTTGCCTGGAAGAATGTAAAGCCCACAAGGAGACCGCCGGCGATGTTAAGCACAAACTTGGAGCAGATGTATATGGGATTGCGCCAGTATGATCGGAAGTTCCGATGGGCTAGGGCAACGAACTGGTGCGACCATGAAGTGGCGAAGGTAGACAACCGGATGCTAAACTGGTGTGGGCGAGTGCGACCATGTTCTTGCATCGTCTCGATCTGAACTTGAAGTTGCGCCGCTTCTGACGAACGCATCCAGACCTCGTACCAATCGGTGGTCGAGACTGCCGTTGCTCCAGCACCTATTACGTCAAGCATGTATTCCGCCCTTAAACGCCCCGGTAAGTACAAGACCTAATATGACCGCACCTTACTCACGGGTTGGCGTCGAGGCCGCAGCGTGGAGCACCATTGCGCTCAAAGTAGTTCAGCATGGTAGACGAGTTCTCGCCAATGTCGCCGAAGTAGACGGTCTGTCCACCCTTGCAAAGGAGCAGCAATCTGTCAAAGACCTGAAAGAGCTCCGCTGAAGGTTGATGTATTCTTTGCAGCTCATAAGCAGTTGGAAACCCAAGCGTAGAAACGGTACGCACGTGCAGAGAATGGCCTGTCCATTGTCAGCAAGCTCACGCAGGAACTGCACGATAGCCCAGGCAGATTGCGAGTCGAGACCAGACGTAGGTTCGTCCAAGAAAAGTAGAAGTTTCGGCTGTTATGTGCCTTAGCACAACTTCCACATAAGGGATTATATTCTAACCTTGGCAGCGAGCTCCACCGCGATGGTGGTGCGTTTACGGTGCTCAACCCCGAGAGAGCCGACAATAGCATCGGCGTATTCCTCTAGACCACACATTCGAAGGCACTTTTCAACACTGCACAGTAAAGTTAAGTGGGGGTTGATCATGGGCATAAATCGTACGCACTATGCTTCCTTTTCAGCGAGAGGAACTGACTGGGGCTGGCGAAGATTGGCAGAGAAAAGGAGCGCTTCACGAACAGTTGCCTCGGGAAGGTGAGTGTCGAGTTGTTGGCAATAACCACTAAGCATGACAGTCAGGTAAGTTCGGCACAGATTGGGACGGTACTCGCATTTGAGCCTGGAAGTCTACAGACAGCGGCCGTCCGTTAACGAAGCAGTCACCACTCACCACACCAGCACCGACGCGTTGTGCAAGAACATTCAAAAGTGTGGTCTGCAAGCATTGAATTCAACAGCATGCTCAACTGGTATCATAGGAAGTTATACCTTTCCAGCGCCAGATTCACCCATCAACGCAGTGAGCTTCCCAGGGGCGACAAAGCCCGTGATGTCTTCAAGAAGGCGTTTCATCCCTCCCCCAATGGGGACTTCATACTGCAGGTGCTGCCAAGTGAAGAGGTCCGTAACCGTGGTTTCCTTCTCGACATTGTCGAAAGTCGAGGAATCGCCTGCCTTGGATCGGCATCCAGAATGAATCTCTGCATCTACCTTCTCCTCGTCAAGGGCCTTAGCATTCTCGTTGATAGCACTGGAGCCATGCTTGAATAGAACGACGGCGCTGTCGAAAGCAAACGAGGTATTGCATTCTGTGGCAACTAGGAGAACGGCCAAGAACCCAAGGTAGAAGCCACACATGACGGCAAAGTTCTGGGGGGGGTATCATGAGCTATTCACAAAGTATTGCGACCGGCCTACCCTCCAAAGATGACCATACCAAAAGTCGAACGTCAATCCAACATAGATGTTGCCATCCACAAGTAGCTGCCCGGGTTGCGACCCGACCGTTGTGCACACCTGGTTTGCAAGCGAGACATTTGCGTAGCCAGGACCCTGAGGAACAAGAGTAGAGCAGACTCCGTCAAGCGTATGGAACTCGTTCACTACAAGTCCACCGAGCCCCCACCACAAAGGCTAAGACAGCGATATTGTCACTAAGCAAAAGAAGTCAACAAGGGATGACGTACGTTCAACCACATGATCCACCGCAAGCCCGTCGGAGCGGTTGGCCAAGGAACTGTGTATCCACTATAGAGCGACATTAACAGAACGAAGATACCGCTAGCAGCCAATGCGCTGGCACGAGTTTTAAAACTTGCGGCAACTGCTCTGAAGAATGACTTCATGGTTTGCGACATTAAGAAGATAAAAAGGTAAAATGTACTGTTGTGCAGCAGCGTAAGTATGAAATCCAAGACCGAACGACTTGAAAAACTCACAAGAACTGTGCGATAGAACGTTGCAACCCAACCAGCAGGTAAAGTATCAGAGCGAAAACCAGTTGAACAATCAACGTGATCGGAATATCGATGACAGTATGCGCGATGCTCTGGATGAAAGGGTAATGTAACGCGGCTTTCTGGTGGCGAAGTATGATTGGACGCTGGAAGAAGAGCGCGGTGACTTCTGCAATAGATGTGATGGCACTGAAGAACAGCGAGCTGAAAGTCGTGAGACACAATTTGGATCAAGACAGGGGAATATAATTACAAGAACAGAACACATCCGCGGGAGAAATAGGCTGACGTGTCATTTGGAACGTTCAGAAAGACGGTGCCGATAATTATCGCTTGGAAGACCTGAGCTCTATTATCCAGTGTCATTTAGTGTTGGACAAAAAGATAATGTCACCTACGCCAGTTGTACACAGAGCAGGAAGAAATTACCAAGAATAACTTGCAGGCGGCGTTTCATGACCGCTTTGACTTGTTGGGGGATAGAGGCCATGTACGCAGTGGTTGTGCTGGCATATTCAGCGGCCACGCTGGACAGATACGCCTGCTTGTGTTCGTTGTTTCCGATGCAGTGCTCGCGATAATGTTCCACTGTTTGCTTATTCTGACGGCCGATGTCAGAAGTCACAAAACGGCTAGCAAACTCCTCCGACGTCCGGGGGACAGAGCCTCCATATCCAGGGCGAATTTTCCTCGCGTTCGGGTCCGTCACTGACAACGATGATCATAAGATGATATAGGAAAACTGGTATGGCCTACCTGCAACCAGGAAATCGGGGGTGGTCTGCCTGTTTTGAGGTTCGAAGCCCATATCAATAAAATAATCTTTGGCTGACTTTGCCGAACCAAAGTAGGCCATCTTCCCCCCATCGATGACACAGACCTTGTCGAACAAATCGTACAATTGCTCGCCCGCCTGGTAGAGGGAGGCGATCGTCGTTGTGCGTTGGACATCTGTGATGGCACGCAATGTGCGGACAAACTCAAGGGCAGTTGAGGAGTCTAGTCCGCGGGTGGAACTGGATGAGAAACAGGTCAGAAGAATACCATCTTAAATGACGACACCTTACTTATCCCATGCGCCAAGTGAGCCTGCAGAGCCCAAAGTTTCTGCGATAGAGACTCGCTTTCTCTCACCACCTGACGCACCTTGAATTTCAGCATCACCGACCAATGTATTTTTCGAACGGTAGAGGCCAAGGACCTTCATTAGCATCGTGGTGGTATCATCAACATAGTCCTCGCGTGTCTGACCGAGAACACGTGTTGCAGGAGTACGGTTCCTGACGGCGAAAGAGAGCGTCTGGTTGACGGTCAGGGTAGGAAAGTGGATGTCATCCTCCGGACAATAAGTGACATCGCCACGGAAAGAGTCATAAATCTCCTTCGGGGTGAATGAATCATAGAAGACTTGTCCCTCGACGGCATGATAATCCCCACGTCGATTAGCAAGCGTCTTGAGGAAGGTCGAACACCCAGAGCCGGGACGGCCAAGGACCACTGTATGGAAGGTCAAAAGTGGAGGTTGAGGAAGGATTTGTGCCTACAAAGCATTTCGCCAGGAGTGACCACACCCTCGAATCCGGACAAGATGTCTTTAGTTAAGGGATGACGACTTTGCCTGATCTTGCGCAGAACAGTTGACGGTTGGAAAAAATCGCCCACAGTGGGCTGCAGGGAAGCACGAGAACCTGCACCAACGACACGCAAGTCCTTAAACATGACACCAAGCTGGCGGTCCTTGATTCCTTCATCTTGACGGCTGAGTGGGAAATAATAAAATGTCGAATTAGACAGTTTATACAGGTCACCACAAAACACTTGCCATTTCATGAGGTCTTTGAGTACCTGCTCAAAATCGAAGGCTTGTTCATTTTTTTCGGAGGTAGATATATCTGACAAGTTCCTAGAGGGTGAGGGAGGGGATGTGTCAGAACCGAGATTGTGGACTGGAGCGGCAGCCTGGGTAGCTGAGGAGTCTATTGGTTTACTAGGCAGGACATGCCGTGCTTGATGGAGAACCATAGCAATTTAAGAACAGGTGAACTTGGAGGCGTGAAAATTACACACATGGATACTTATATGTGGCCCAGAGTGCATGTAATGAACCTACTCAAGTACTGATGTTAGAAGCATGCATTGAACGTGACAACGTGCTTGGTGTTGCCACGCGATGAACAGATCGGCAATATGCGAAAAGAGTAGATGAAATCACCCAGCAATCACCCAATAACTGTGTTAGGACAAGGAAGAAGCAGCTTAGACAGTACGCACCATAAATGTACTGGCGGCACACCATAGTTCATTTATTGTTGTCAACGAAAAAAGAGACGCACCGTGTAGGTCTGTGAACTCCTCGCCGCTGCGACTTCATGAGGCGAATACACCATCTCCATTCATTTGAGAGTGAGATAGGTTTCGCATGCGAGGAATGGATGAACGAGGAAAGGAGCAAGTCTAGGGCACAACGTGGGGGCTCATCGATCACTGAGCAGCACCCCCTACCCTGATGAGCTGCCACGATCCATCCGACAATTCAGCCACAGAAAAACCCGTAAGCGGGCTTAAAAGCATCTTGTTGATTATATGACCACAATACTGCTAGCCAACATGGCCCCAGAAATCATAACCCTGTACATATCAATATCGTCAGTACTAGCGCCCTCCACGTTTTATCCGTACGAAGTGCTTTGTATGGTAAAGCTTGTTGTGTTAGACCGTCGGAACCTCGCAGTAGCTCCGAATCCTGAAATCCGCTTCGTCAGGGATGTGCTTGCCAAGCTTGTCCTTATGAAAAGATATCACATCGAGTCTTGGGCGCAGTGGGATCAACTCACAGGCTCTCTTTGTCTCAAAACAAAAGGGAATGAAATCAGCGCGCCACCGTCTCAGCATAGAAACATCGCCAGGTGATCAAGAATCACTATCAGCGGGTATTAAATATTAACCTGCAAAGCTAAAGATACGAAAACAAGCACACCTAGCGACTGGACACGCCGCAAGTCAAATTATTACTGCTGACTTCGTCTACACCCAGACTCTCCCACGCATGAAGGTCAATCACATACAAAATAGATATAAACGCATTGGCATATGCAATCTAGTCAACAACGGATTCCATGCTGACGGTTGCAGTAGCAGTTGCTGGACCCTCTGTGATACGTTTTGTGGTGATGCTTTCAGACTCGTCTCAGAGATATTTGCGATCTTCTAGAACCCGAGTGCGGACTCTTCAGAGTCTGTGCCGCACAGCCGTGCAATACCTTCATAGCTGATGAAGGTTCTATTTGGGTGGTATGAAGGGGTACTATGCAGTGATGAAATTGAAGAGAGAAAAAAACTTGTTTCAAAAGCTTGGGCAGCCTCCGAGCTCCGCCGCGAAGTTTTCCAAGGGGTCGACATTTGAGGGTCGCAAAATCGCGTCTTCTCAGTACTCTTGGCTCCATATGGTACAACTTCAATTTTCCCGGTGCTATGGCACTGGCTCCCTGATGCAGTAGTCTTGAAATCGATCCCTAGCGTATTTCGAAGAACTGGCAATATTGCAAATTAGACAATGAACAAATGGTGTGCTATGTACACATCCAATTGAAGAGTACTTCCGTTGAAAGGCAAGAAGCGTAAAATTTGGTATCGGGCGATTTCACATGAAGTAAAGAAGAGAGGTCGTAGTGTATGCAACAGCAGAAAACCGAGACCCGCAGGGAAAACAGAAAAAAGAAATTACAATCCAAGTCATCGCGATAAATCAACATCACATAACCTCCACCCGTATCTCCTCTCAGATAGAGAAAAACGGCTGGTCTGCATTCTGACCCTGGTGCTGCTGCTGCACCGATTGGAAGGGGTTGTTTTTTGCCCCAAATCCTGTCTTCTGTGCCGCCAGTTGACCCGCTTGTGTTTGCCCGTAGCGCAGCGCGCCAACATTTCCGAATGTATCTTGACCATCGTCACGGTTCGCAAACAGATTGGCAAGATGCGAATGCTCTTGATCGGCGCGAGTAGAACCACCACGACCCGCCCCTGTACCCGTGGACGCGCTGATGCCTGGGGAAGGTGTTGATGCTGATACTTGTGAGGGCGCAGGTGAAGAGCTGTAAGAAGGTGCAGTCGAATTGGAGTACGTTCCTTGGAGATTGAACGATGGTCCAGAGATGCCGTTGACTGGTGTCCCGGATGCTGTTGAGATGGGCGAAGCAGCAGCAGGAGCGAAGGGATTATTAGAACTAGAGGAGTGAAATTTTTGGTCACCATGACGAGCAATGCATATAAAGCGACGACATACCCGAATCCAGTTGGCTGCGCAAATAAGGATTGCTGCTGCTGCTGTTGTTGTTGTTGTTGTTGTTGTTGTTGTTGAGCTTGGAGTTGTTGCTGTCGGAGCCACTCCTCTTGCGCTGCTTGCTGGGCCAACTGTTGAGCTTGGGCTTCTTGCTGTTGACGAAGCCATTCTTGTTGTTGCCTCAAATACTCTGCCTATTGATGGAACATTGGATCAATCGATAACAAGATCGGATCTTAACATACCTGCATTGCTTCCTGCTGTGCTTGCTGCTGGTATGGGTTAAATGATGTAAACTGTGGCTGCATCGTGTATTGAGGCTGCATAGTGTACTGTGGTTGCATCTGGGCTTGAGGTTGCAAGCCTACTGCATATGGGGTGGGGTCGATAAAGGGGAAGGGATTGTTGCTGCTAGAACCGTTTGGTGAGGATCTGAAATGCACGATGCCATCAGCTTAGATCAGATGCGTATGAACTAACTTACATTTGCGCTTGGTCATCAAATAATGCATCAGCATTCGAGTCCTCGACGGCCTTGTGTCTCTTCGCCTCCTCTTCCTCACTTAATCGTATTGCTGTAGCAAGGTCACGTTCTTCAGCCTTCCGACCCTGTTCCTCCGCAAGGGTCTTTTTTGATGCTTCAATTGCCTTACGGAGCTCGTCTTCATCGCGATCAGCGCCACGGTTGTTCTTTCGTGGGGGTGTTCCAGGAGGAGGTGCAAAGCTCCTCCTTCCACCTTCTTCGTCGTCTTCTCCGGGACCATTGCTTTGCCCTCTGATCATTCGATCGCGCATGCTTGCCCGAGTCCGGCGCTCCTCCTGTAGACGTGCTGGATCACTGAGAAGGTTGGAGATATCCTTGGCCTTCTGCCGGACATTAGCACCACAATCTTTCCCATCTTCATCTACATATTGGAATTCTTTGAGCGTTTTGATGATGTATAAATTGTCACGGAAATATAGGACGACATTTTCGGAACCAGCGTGTAGGAGGTAGTCCAGCACGGTGAGGGACTGGGAGGGAGTTTGAATGGGGGTCCTCCATCGGAAGCACGGCAGCTAACCTTGAATACATGTCGCCAATTCTTGCCTTTATCATTCAACCTTTTATCGAGCATTTCCATGATCTCGACGAAGTCATTCCTGTGAACCACGGCGCATCAGCGCTGCTGGCGAACCACGACCACCAGGCAAGTTGCCCAACGATCACGCACTGATTGTATGACAGCTGAGCGACCTCGTTCATCTGGGTTCCAGATGGTCCCCATGGATCATTAGATGTTGCATCCCGGACTTTTGCCTGTGTGTCTGAGTAACCCTTGGTATAATTTTTAGCGACACGGAGGGCACCCTTGCCAAAGTGCTGGAGCGACATTGTACCGTATCGTGATTTGCAGAATCTAGATTATCAGACTTTGTTTTAGTTGGATAGCGAAGTGGATCGTGTGGTCGGTGTGGGATGCTGAACGGAATGGAAGGATGGATAACTGCGGAAGTCGCCGAATAGGGTTGACATATGTTGACAAGTAAACCATTACATCACACGCCGATGGTGAAGCGGTTATCATGCTTGCCTTCCAAGCAAGCGGCAGGGGTTCGACTCCCCTTCGGCGTACTTGGTTTTTTGTTCACCGTCGCATGCAAGTGCAATAAGACAGTCATTCTTTTGTATTACAGACGAACCTCCTTCAAAGACACACTAGCAACTCTTGAACATTCTTTGGGCGTACTCTTCTTTTCACAAGCGGTCTCTTCTGGCCGGACCAATCGAAGGAAGACATTCGTTCCTTTGTGACGAACCCTTATAAAACGAACCCCTTCAAAGTCACTCTTGAATGTTCAAGGTCTGACTATAGGAGACTACTACTAATCATTCAGGCTACCCGAACCTCCGTGTTCACAATGTCTGCGGTCAACAAAATTCCTCGCGCTTTCTTTATTTCTGAAATCCTTTCCAACGTCATACGCTTCTACCGCGATGGCACGATGTCCGAGTCAAGAAGGAACTTATTCGCCCTTGCACTGACGTGTCGCTCATTCTCAGAGCAGGCATTAGATGCTCTCTGGTAATCCATTGATGGTCTTCATCCCTTTTTGAAATGTGCTGGGATCGCATTACCGGACATACGGGAGAGTGGCAGCGAATCAGAAGACTGCTGCACTGTTTGTTTTCTTGCTTTTCAGCACAAAATACAATTTAATCCTATATCTACGGATGCTTAAATCCCAACAGAGTCACAGCTGGCCATTATTGATTGGTATGCACATCGTGTCTGGTTTTTTTTTTATTACGATGCCAGTGTCTTTTTGGTCGCGTCCTGTCCGATCCTTTCTACAAACCCTTGCCTACTCGAAGGTCCTGATGCCGAGTTTCGTGGTTCTGTGCCATCGGATATGTTCCATCTGCTGCCCCCCCTTCTTGGCCCGCATCTGCAGAGTATTTTTATCAACACCACATGTGGGAAGCAGGATTTTTCACAGAGGACTGCATTGCATGTGGTTTTATGTTCTTTGTATTCAACCTGTCCATCCCTTGAAAATTTTGCGATTTTCTTTCGCACCTATGGCGGCGCGCAATGGGACCCGCCCACCACTTTGACAATGTCGCACTCCATTCAAAAATTGCACAAGCTGCGTGCAGTCGATATACCAGCTCTCACTACGGATGCCCTGGTACATTTAGGTAACCTCTCGTGTATGACCAGCCTTAAGACGCATCTGCCTATTGGCAGTGATCTCGAAGATATTTTCAGGTCGTCCCGCACCGTTCCCTTCGAAAATCTCAGGAGTGTTGATTGGGAGATCGAAGACTGGGCAGATGTCGAAGATTTCGCACGTCTATGCCCTATAAACTCACCAAGTTGTCACTTCGATCTAAGGTTCACCTCAATTCAGACCTACTTCAAATACTTTTTGACTCATTCCCTACATGCGAGGCTTTCAAGCACCTGCAGTCCATCTACTGACGCGAACACACCGAACGTCGAGTCGAACCCACCATAATTATGACGATCAACACCATACTACGGCCGCTCTTGCACCTCAGTCACCTCCGGGTTGTGGAGTTCGATACGAGAGCCTCTATCTGGATTGACAACAAGGATCTGAAGACAATGGCGAGAGCCTGGCCTTCACTTAAACAGTTGTCGTTCAACGAATTTTATGGGTGCCACAATCCCACGTTACGCTACGTGACATCGTCGAATTCATCGAGCTGTGCTCTCGTTTGACGGACCTTGGCATTGGTGATATTACACTCGCTGACATACCCCCATGCTCAGGAACGCGAGGGCATGTGGAGAGAGCGTATGTAAAAGCTTTTTAGACATGATTTCCCCTTCGGCTATGACTTCGACGGGGATACGCTTCATCCGTGATATCGATGACAGGGATTTATGAGTAAGGCGAATGGTATTATTGACTCCTTCAGCCGAATCACTCACTTAACCACTTTACGGTGTATCACTCAATTCTGTCTCGATCAGTAAACAGCCCTTGCTTGCTATGTACAGTAGTGATTGATGGAGAACCTGAGCTCAAGTTGGCATCACTTCTCTTCTGCAGGTCTAAAGATCAACTAGTTTCGATTTGTCCAAGCCAGGCTGGAGATGGAAGTGGCTGCGTTGGTGGAGGAGCTACATGTTGTATGCTGATATTCCGGGGAGAGGGGATTGAGGATGAACGGGCGGGAGTCGTAGTATGGGGGGATATTTTGAAGGGGTGTACTGGGGGATGGTGCGCGAGATATTGGCGTAGGTGGAAGAGCGAGAGCAAGCGTGGATTGACGCAGGCGGTCTTTTCTTGAATCCAAGACAGAACTTGAAGCTCGGGTTGAGGGTGCTGCGGTAAGATGCTTCAGTGACCTTGGACTCGAAGGAACTGGCATCGGAGGACTGGTGGAATATAGTTGCCATCTCTGTCGTCGCTGGCTTGTTGCGACTTCTTTGGCTTCAAGGCCATTGCCCTATAGCTAGATTGACGGGAATTCCACTTCCACTGCAGAACCGCACTAGTTGGTGTACATTACGGTGTGAGAGATGGGAGTATGAGAGTACGTAGGCGTGAATGCGATGAAAACGAACGGGACAAATGCGATCGTTCTTGCCAGCTAGTGAGAGGCATAGAGCTCCGACTCGATGTTTGCCTGTCCCGTTGGCATTGGAGGTTTTACAATGCCAACGAGACAGGCAAACGTCGGGTCCTTAGTAGGATGGCTTTCTTTAGGAATACTTAGTACTAGTCGATCGTGACTACGTGGTAAACGGTCATGATGAGGAGGACGCCGAGATTACTGTAAGTGCTAATAGCCGATATGAAAAATATTTGCTCGGCCCCTTTCTGTACAGCAGATAAGATTTATCACAACCCCACTGACTCGGATCTCCTTCTATGAAAGACTCCTAGTTGAAAGTACATAGTACTGGTCTTGAACGCACATGGTCATGCCGAACTTCGTGCAGTGCGTTGCTCCCGGACCTTGGGGTACATAGAGGCTGACTGGATCCTAGCTGAGGGCCCCGGATGCAGTTCCGTCGCCGATTGAGAATGTCACTTCTCTCACTGGCAGTGGTTTGTGCTCTTTATAACCGCCTAAGACATGACCCTGCAGTGTCCTCGACTAGAGATTTCTTCAGAGGTAGTATGTGACTTGTTGCCTCAGTCCACCACTACTCTGTCAAATTTATGGCTGGCTAGACGACGTGAAAATTTTATAGGCAATCTATGGGGTATATTGTCCTATTGAATCAGTACTCTCATTTCCGCTGACCACAACTCAAGATCACCATGATATAAACAACTGAGCATCACTGAGGGCTGATAACGGTCAATCCATGCGAAAGTTCCTATCCGTTGTCTTCGGATCGTATCGAGCACGCGCAAGACAACACGCATTCGGGAAGGCAGCTACTTGTCTATGTAGTGCAACGAACAATAATTTGAAAGATATGTTGTGAACGACATCCAGCCCAGATATAATTCGCCACATATTGTTCAATCATTTACGTCGTTGACTTGCACAAAGCTCGATGGAGGTCAGGTTTAGCGGACAGGCACACTGGCAGGAGTGAGTGTGAAGTGCCTCGTCGCATGTCAACGGTGCTAACGAGGTTTCGTTTTAAACCAACTTGAATAACTTCTCGCACTTATAATATTGTGAGCTCGGAGTCGCTTGATAATGGAATAGCTCATGTTGATCACCGATGACCCAGGAAATCTAGTTCAGTTCTACGTTTCTCCATGGTATGTGGATAAACGGATGCACTCGGGTGGCCAAGTGCAAAACTTCGCATGCGATAGTGACTGGTTTAAACGACGTGGAATCGCCGTCGATAATGTTATGTGCTGGCTGCAATATTTGCTGGTGTCCCGAGTCACCGCATCGCATTCTTAGCTAGTGTTCATGGCAGATATGCGTCCATCAACTTAGAGTCATAAAATTTGTTCAGGTTTTGCTGCTCTCATCTCGCCAACCTTCCGCACTTGCACTGCCCACCATCCCTTCCTGCGATCTCAGGGTATGCGAGCATCGTGATAATCAAGGGAGTAATAACATATTTCCTGCCCGAAAACTATTGACCGGACCTCTCAAGTGTTTCGAGCTTCTCAAGCCTCTCGTATGCTACAGCCATCAAATCTCTCACAACAACGGCAACATCCTCCCTCTGCTTTGAACGCCACGCCAGCAAACGATTCGCATGTTTGATGAGCTGCTCGACATCGGATTTCGGAGCGATCTCTATATGCTTCTTTGTCCCTTCTACAAGGACAGGAAGGAACTCGAAACAGTGCATGTCGCCAGTTGTGCGGTAAGCGGAGTCCCATGCCCATCTTATCACCTCCCACCACTGCTGCTCTGTGATAGAAGCGAGGGGTGTAACTGATGCCTGTTCAGATGCGATTCGGAGGAAGATTCCAGCTAGATAAAATGCATGCTCTGACCCGGATGATTCGCAGCACTCTGCAATCATGCTAATGCACCGCTTTATATGGCCATCCCGAGACAAATGGGAGCGCCAGTTGGTGTTCCTCGCGAGGGAAAAGACTAGTTGGAGATAGCACAATTCACGGGCGGAATCAAAGCGGAGGTCGGGACTGTGTTTAGTGGGTGTTGCACCCGGTCGCGGACAAACCGCGGTTAGGATAGCAGGGGAGAACTTGGTGAAAACCATGTCCCGTAGCATCGCATTATCAATGGCATCGATCGAGGCAAAGACTTCCCGGGCACTGTGAGCAGCACGAAGGGCAGCATGACGTAAACGGTGAGACATGCTGCTGTCTATGCAAGCCATGAGCCTCTCGATGAACAGATGTTGTTTAGCGGGGCTGCAGGTCACTCCCATGCTACCCAGTAGCAAAGGATATTACCTGCCGTCTCATTTTCGTCGGAATAAATGTACTTGAGGTAATCAACCAGCCAGTCGAAGTCTTCTGGCGAGTGGGAATCATCTTCGGACAGCGAAAACTGAGGGTACGACAAGGCAGGGTCCCGGGGTACCTTGGCAGCGGTGAATGTGAAGCGCAGTGCATTCCGCAGAGCTGCCCGTGAACCCGATGGATCATCTTGTTTGGATGACCTCGGTCGCTCGTGAATCCTCTTGCACACGTTCAGGTTCCGCATCGTGTGGAATGAAGGGTCACGGAATGGAACAAGCTCGAGCATGCGACAGATGACATCGAGGAGTTTCCATGCTCGGCGTGCGACTCCTGTGCTGTCGCTATCGAGATCACCTACATCGCATCCCCAGAGAGCCTGTTGGAACTGCTGCAAGAGACGCTCCCCGAGTCGAGGCAGAGCAGAACTACATAATATCTTCGTTAAACATAGTGGAAGAGACCAAATGAGCCAATAGCACCTTTTATCAATCCGAACTATGTCCTTCTTGTCAAACTGAACCCCGATCATGAGGCAAGCCAGAAGAGCGCAATTGGCTACGATTCGAGTCGGCGGAGATGGAGAGGATAGTAGTTTTGATATCACTACTATGGCGAGTGTTTCTATGTCTTTGTCCACTTGCCCAGTGAAAAAGTGGTAAGGTAGAGCATGGGATAACCACTCAGGGACAGAGTCGGAACCAGCTTGCAGTCGGCCGAACCCCCAGAATGGATCACCGTCCGGAACAGACAGCTTGGCAGCCGTGGTAAGCACCACCGTAGGCACCGCCTGATCTGCGATCGCACACTGACGCCACATCTGTACCAACACCCCATAGTCTCTGCTCCCCTGGACCAGAAATTCACTACGGCTGGGATGTTCCTGAAGAACTCGTCCGCAGTATAGATGACTCAGAGCCATTGTACATGCCGATGCCTTCTCTTGCAACAATGGTACAATGTGCCGCTGAACATCCAAGCAGTTTGTATAGCTATCATACAGCTCATGCAGCGTGTCTGAGACATCAAGATCCAGGGGCCATTCGACCTGCGGAACAAAGCTAGCAGCGGCTAGAAATACTTCAGGATCAGTGGATGTCTCGAGCAGCCACTTGATGCTGGGTGCTTCGAGAGAGCTGGTGAGTGTGTCTGGGAGGTTCAGCTTAAGGTAGTATTGATTCTCGGCTGAAACGCTCAGGTTCTGGTCCGGTGGTGGTGCTTCGAGGTCCCCATCCATTGTCGGAGAGCGCAGAACCAAAGAACGCAGGGAGGATACAAGGTTATGAAGTGCGCCGAAAAATGGCTGGAGACAGCACAGTGCGAATGAGCCGACAGCATGCACAGGGTCTGTAGAGTGAAATGAGCACTGAGTATCCTATGCAATAGTAGCTAGGAGCATCACCTTCAGACATTTGGGTCCAACCAGATTTCAGGGCATCAAGTAGCCGTCGCAGCACACCTAGCAAGAAATGATCAAAGTCTGTTCATGCACAAGAAAACATAACTCACTGGGTACCGACGTCGTCAGCTGCTGGAAAGATCTGTGGGCTAATTTGACCATTGGGCGTAGAACTCCTGCATGTTGACTCAGACTGGAAATAACTACCAGAACTCACAGGAAGATCTTACTGTCGATGCGCAGTATGCGCAAAATCGTCGATATCGGCGTCTGAAATGGACACGCGGGTGATATCAATGATGCCATTACAGTCAAGGAATAGAACAAAAATCCGAAGACCGTTGTTGAAATGACGACCCAGGCAATAGTAGGCTGCTCGTGCCAAATGTTGGCGCTGAGGGCGATCCCAAAGAGCAGAAGGGAGATCTGAAGTAAAATCGGAAAGGATTGCACGACGGCATCAAAATACCACGTGATGATGCCGTCGAACTTCTCTTGTCTGCGCTTCCCTCGTTCCTCCTGCGAGCCACGGCCATATCTGTTCGATTTGTAGTACCCGAGCCACTGCTTGCCTAGTACGGCCCCGAACGCAGCGAGCAAACTCATGCACAAGCTTGCGTATGCAATAGATTGGATCCTTATATCCGATGTTGTCGGCGAAAACGTAGATGCTGGTGCTACGGGCGTAGAGCCTGCTGCAGCAAGGTTGCCAAGTCCGATTTGAACGAGCTGTGTGAGAAGGGCGTTCGTGGTGTCGCTGGGGTCGGGACTGAGCTTATACTCCATGGCTACGATAAAAGACGTGGTGACAGCAGAGAAAAGACCGGACTGATAAAACATCAATCTCAAAACGGGTTAAAGATGAGCATGTGAAACCTACGAAGACCAACATGATATCCATGTCGCCGTTGTATCGCTCGAGGAACTCGCCGTCGTGTTCCTCTGCGATTCTTTTGTATATCCCCCAGAAACGAGAGCGGTCGTCCTTGCCACCCTTGAAGGCAATTGTTGAGTCCTGGAGAACACCCAACACCCGCTCCATGACATTTACTCTGCGAGTATATCGTCAGTTGTGATCGCTTGTCTCATATTTTTCGCTCACACATCACTTAGATTTGGCTGTTCCGTCTGCCCTACGACCTTTTCCGCCTCGCTGAAATAATTCGTGAGTTTATTTGATATAATCGACAAGTGGAACTTACAGAGCTAGCAGGTCACCATCAGGTGAAACCTTGGAAGTGCTTTCCTGTTGAGGTTCTGATGGCCGGGAGGGGGTGTTCGAGCTGAAGTTCTGCTAAGGAGGACCCAGAATCGTCAGGGCAGAAATACTCACATCCCTGGTGGCTCCTTTACTGCCGAAGCTTCACAATTTTCCTTCTCCCTGTCCCGCTGTCAAATGAGGGATAGATTCTAGGATGTCTTAACTTACTCCTTGGTGGGCCCTGCGGCATCATTCTCAGGCGGAGCCTGCTCGTCGCTATTGGCGCTTTGAAGCGGGGCGCTGTCAACGCTAGCCTCTTTTAATGACCTTGGGCTATGTGTGGAAAAGCTTGATGCTCCTGACATGAGGACCGAGTCGGAAGATGTGAGTATCGACTGAAAAGCCAAGCTGAGTTAATAGGATGGAACAACGGAGGCAGAAAAGTCTGAGGCAATGGGACAGAGATAAGTGGTGGCAAAAACTTTATAGAACTAGCTCGGCCCAAGACGCCTGCAAACGCGTGTTGATACTGAGTGGTTCGCGGGCGCTCCCTGTACTGCAGCGGAAATGAACTGCCTACGCCCAAGTCGCATAGCCTCTTTGCATGCACTGGCGCTAGGGATAAGTACTGCAGCTTGAGATGTACATTCTTGCCAGTGCCAGGTATGTGACCTGCTTATTGTATTGACCCAGCTACGTCACTTTGTCGAATTCATGGCTGGCTAGAAGATGTGAAAGGTTTATAGACAATCTAAAGGGTACGTTGTCTATTGATCTAACCAGGTGAGACTACATAGGATGCAGATCCAACCAAGGTCCGCCAAACAACCGTCCACAATCAAGTGCACCCAGTCCTCGTTCCAACCTCATTCTATTGATGTCTCGCGTTCTCTTTGTTCCCGAAATTCTCTCCAACGTCATGATATATTAACACTGATAGCGCCCAATTGTATCGGCCTGGAAGGAACTTGCTCCCCCTTACGCTCAGAACGTGTCACTTATTCTCGGAGCAAGTGTTAGATGCTCTCTGGGAAGCCGTCAACGACCTTCATCTATTCATAGAATGTGCTGGGATCGTATTACCGGCCATACTGGACAGTGACAAGAACTCAGAAGGCTGTCACATATTGATCGCTATGCGCATCGTATCCGGTTTTTGATATTGCTCAATTTTTCGCGTCCTGTCCGATCCTTTTTACAAGCCCTTGTCTACTCCTGGAAGGTCATCATGCCAAACTTACGAGATCTTCGTGGATATTTCCCATTTGATGTGTTCCATCTGCTGCCTCCCGCGTCTGCAGGACATTTCCATCAACATCAGTCACTTCAGATATGAGCAGCAAGATTTTTCACAGAGGACTGCATTGCACGTAGTTTTACGTTCTTTGTATTCCACTTGTCCCTCACTTGAAGATTTCGTGTTTTGCTTTATCACCTACGGCGGTGCACAATGGGACCTGCCCACCAGTTTTCGCGTCAGATTGCATACACTTCTCCGAATTCTCCGTATGTCAAATCGCACGCACCATAATTATTACGATCAACACCATACAGCTGCTCTTGCACTTCAGTCACCTTCAGATGGTGGGCTTCGAAACGAGATCTTCTATTTGGATTGACAACGACGATCTGAAGAAAATGGCGAAAGCCTGGCCTTGTCTTGAGGAATTATACTTGAACGAGTTCCATGGATGCCATAATCTCACACCAGGGGTTACAATACCTGGCCTCATCGAATTTGTTGAGCTGCCCTCGCTTGACGACACTAGTTGCATTGGTACTATTACACTCGCTGGTGTGACCTTGGACTTTAACTATGACGAGGACTTTAACATGGGTTCCCTCAAGCCTTGCCGCTCGGAGCTCTCTCGTTGACATACCCCCCCATGCTCAGAGATCCCGTCGTGAGATGTGGGGTGACTGTTTGGAGCGGGTTTTAGAAATGGACTTTCCTTCATCGCGCCTATGCATCAGCTCTGACATTCGTGAATGAGCATAGCAAATGGTATTTCGCTCACTCAGCCACTTTAGATTTTTATCGAAGTATCACTTATATCTTTGACATATTATCTAGTTGGATTATTCATGGGGTGATACTTTTCGTCTAATAATTGATGGATCCGCCGAAGCTGAACATGATCTCATGTGCATTCCGCGCTTCCAAACTCAAGACTGTTACAACCAACGACAGCGGGTAAATACTAATAGTACTATGTAGTAAGCGTAAAATCCAATCCAACGCAAATATCAAAACACAATCAATCAACTACGACTCCTCCCCCGCCTCTCATACTCAACAAGCATGTCAACCGCCCGATCCCGCGCATCCTCCAACTCATCCCGATCCTCGCTCTGCTCCTCAAACACGCTCGACCCCAACGCTCTCCTCAACTGCATCACCACCTCCTTTTGCGGTCCTCTCGCAGGCGGACTAGGCGGGGGTGATAATATGAACGAAACTTCGTTGTTGTCGGTATCGCAACATAGAATTCGAGATGGGAAGATTCGTCGGAATAAGACGATGGTGCTGAGGACGGTTTTGATGTCTTCGTCGTCTACGATTAGGTCTTTTACGTTCAAGACGCCACTTTCCCATACTTTGGCGAAGGAGTCGGAGATGGCGCTGACGGGGCCGCTTAGGCTACGACCTGCGCTGACGGTCTCGTGCCATTGGGCTTCTTGGTCTGCGTCTTGGGATTGGGAGAGTGCGCTGGCGTGTGAGCGGGTGACGGTTTGCACGAAGAGGTCTGAGGTGTGAGAGCGGAGGCGTTGGCAGAGGAGGGTTGTGGCGAGGGTACCAAGAGGCGTTAGGGATGTTGTGGGAGACGTCGATGCGAGTGTCCGGGCGGCGTCTTCGAGGGAGAGCGTCTTCAGCACTAACCGCTCGTAGGGGCGCACCACCCCGACACGAGCACGGTTCCATAACCTCTGCGAACGATCCTGTATGTAAATGATAGGGAGGGAATGGGCAAGGAGTGCTAGTGTCGCGAGGTCACATGCTTGATGTGTCGTTTTGCCAGATGCGCCTATCAAGGAAGAGAGACGCAAATATACCCGAAGACGAAGAAGGGCGGGAGCCGAGGAGGGGTGAAGAGTAACGAGCTCTGCTAGGCGAACCCATGCCCTGCGCTCAAGTTCAGAATCGGAGCCCTCGTTCACCTTACGCCTAGTGAAAATGCTTCGTACTGCTCCAAGTGCACCGGTGCTCAATCCGAGTGCGTTAATGAGAGCTTCATATTCGTCCTGAGAACCCCTCTGAGCAAGCGCATCCGACAATGGACTTTTGGACTGCTCCTGGCGGGTGGTTCTCTCCGTGGACGTCGAATCCCCGTCTGACTCAGAGTCACTGACATCGGGGGAAAGGGGGGGAGAAGGGGGCTCGATCAATTCGTGAGTTGCCAGTGCTGCTTGACTATAGATCAGGTGGCTAAAGGGTATGAGGCGCATGATCTTGTCACGTTGAATATACCCTGGTAGAGGCACCCACGGGACGAGGATTGTGACAAGGACCAGAACAGATGCGAGGAGGTGGATAGCTTGTACAGCGCTGCTCCATGACCACGACGTAGCAGCGGCGACAGGCGTAGGATCTGCAGAAAGAACCGACCCTTGATGCGTATGAGGATGTGAAGCACCCGTAGAGGTAAAGGGCGAGTTGAAGAACGAGAACAGCGCAAATACGGCAAGAAGGTACTGCTGGGGCTGTGCCTGCATAGTAACATCGCCCTGTATGGGTGCGGCAACAGGACTGCTAAGCACGACGGGTGCGGCAACGACAATTGGGGCTGGGGCGCCAGGTTGGACCTTGCGGGGTCGACCTCGCTTGCGCTTCTCCGGTACTACACCAGGGAGGCCCTCGATGATGGGCGCGGGTGCGGCAGCGGCAACAGGAACGATGGGATGTTTTTCCTTCTTTGCTGCAGGTGCTTTTGTCACTTTGGGCTTCTTGCGGGCACGCTCAGAGTCATCACCCTCGTCTTCGCCATCACCGTCTTCTTCGTCGCTGCCTTCGTAGGCTTCGACTTCGTTGTCGATCTCATCACGCTCTGGGCCACCAAATTTCTTGGCCCATTCGTGATCCCATTCAGCAAGAAGAGGCTCGGCACCGTGAATGCCAAGGATGAGGGTACGCAATCCTTCTTGCTCACGTCTCAGTCTGATCTCACGCCTTTTCAGGACTCTGTTATGATATGATCAGCGCAAGCGTGATTATGGGATTAGGATTTTTCTCACCGAATATACTCGACAGCCTTGCCGAGTACGTTGGCCTTGCTTCCTTTCCTTGCGACTTTGACACCGTCAATGTACCCACGTTCATCTACGACATCGCCTTCCTGGGTAGTATTCTGATCTAAAACACGAAGAGCAGGGACGGCAGCCTTGAGGCTCTGAATGCGTGCGTTGAGGTTTGTACGGTAACGGCGCTCGATGGTGGTGTGACTGGTCTTTGGGCGACTAATGACAGTAGCGCCTACAATCTGGGGATTATGCGTAGATGATCCAGAGTCAGAAGTGGGAGTAGTTGGACCAGGAGATGGAGAGGAAGACGCGGAAGAGGATAGATAAGACTGAGGGGCGGGCTTGTGTTTTGTTAGTTTGGAGGCAGGGATTGCAGCAATAGATGATATAAGGCGGGGTATTGGCAATTTTGCCTGCATAACCACTCCAGAGAAGGGGTCTGTGATATTCCATGAAGAACTCGGTTGGGAAGCGAGAAATAGATATGCATACCTGTGCCCGTGCCCGTGCTAATCGGTACCATGACCGGAGACACGGATGTACCGGATGAGACGCTCATCCGGGGTGATTTCTCATCAGCAGAGCTGGTGGAAGCTGAGGCAGAACTGAGAGTAGGGGAAGAGAAGGTGAACGGAAAAGAGGACAGTAAATCCTGGGGCTGGACATGAATAGAGTTCATGTCGAAGACATTCTGAGATGTGCCATTATAGTGCAATGTACTTGGGTCTACTGCCATAGACAATGCAGCATTGAGGTCTAGGTCCATAGGGAACGAGAAGTCGAAAGAACCGCCAAGATCAAGCTTTGAGTTCTGGTCGTCCAAGGACTGCTGCGGCCAGAGGGATGAAAACTGGGACCAGTCTGATGGAGATGGCGCTTGGGATGAAGACGTTTCTGAATCTGATAGATTATTTAAGAGCATAGCGAGCGGGTCATTTGGATCCAGGCCGAGCTCATCGTTTGTAACATCCTCGACGTGTAGTTCACCGTCCATGTTCATTTGCGAGAGAAAACCAGTAGCCGGGCAATGCAAAGTAGTTACTTATAAGTTCTTGCATCGTGCCACTTTCATGATCGCACCACTTCCAATTTATTCATAGCTTCAAATAAGGAAGATTATTCTCACGACCACAAACCTTGTCTAAAGTATGCCACGGCCCGGAAGAGCAACTTACTGTTACATGATAACCGTAGGTACAGTTATTTGTGACGGCCCCCCAACGCACGACGGTATCACAAAAATATTGCAGAGGATGGAATCGATAGTTTGGGCTGATAGGCAGTCCGAACTCATCTAATTCCCTGAGAGGTGAGTGATCCTGCGCAGGAGCATCGAAGCTTTGGCTGTGATGTTCTTCACGACTGCAGTTCTGTCGAAAAACTTCGTGTCAGATCGTTACCTCCCTCAAATTCACTGGAGTTTGACCAGTGCGTCAGCTACAATTCGTATAAACCCCCCTCCACGAGTAAGTGGAATGGTGATACAGTGACTATCACGAACAGCAACTCTTCGTGCATGAAGGTCATGTTGGTCTTTCTCGGTGCACCTTCAACAATCATCATTTTTCCCAGTTGCCCCATGTCATCATGCCCAAGCTCATAGCCAAGGGCCACTTCGTCATGAAGTTCCCGGTTGCATTGCTAAAGGCGATGATCAGCAGCCGGAGGGAGGTTGCGGAGCTGGAGAACCTGGAGAAGAACGAGGAGGAGTTGGATAGTATGGACTCTGAAATATTCCGTTGAATCAAGGTGTTTCATGTGCATGGGGGACCAGCTCTGTCGCCCAAGAACAGGACGTGGTTCGAGGAACACTGTGCGGGACTTATCAACTCTACTTCGTGTGGGATTGCAAGAAGATGCGAAGGAGTAGTTTAATCGGTTCAGGGAAACGTACGCGTGTTAGTGAATTGGGCAACATCTTCACGGTTTTCGTCATGTGTCTCGGTTTTATTCTACGGATGAGCAAAGGTCCTGACTGCATGGGATGTTCAGTTTCTGGAGTAATTACTTGCTACTTGAGAGGCTCGTCTCTGCAAATCCCTCACCTAATGATTCACTTTTACACATCGAACGCCAACCTGATGGCATCTGTCGCATTTGATTGCGTTCTCTTCCATCGACGATGTCATAGCGCTCACCTTGGGCATATTTTTCTAGCTCTCTCCGGGTGGTATCTTGGCCTGTAGTAATGATGCGACCCAGTGCGGAATTGTGGATTCTATATACCAACCTTAAGTTCTCTGTAGTTTCGTTGAAACTACGATGGGTAAGGTAAGTGGTTATTGCGGCTAAGAGAACAACCTCGCCGACCAGTTACGACAAAGAGAGTACAAAATGCCTCTCATTTCCCGTACCCTTGATCGTATCAGGTTATCTTAACCTATCCGCGGCCACGTTGCGATCGTCGCTGTCAAAATGCAACCAAAGCCAGTATATCATATCAAGCAAGCGCGTTACCGCGTCTAACTTGACCTTATCACATCACGATTGTATGGTAAGGGATAGTAGAATGAAGAAGAAAGGCAGAGATTCAGAAGTGACTAGTGAAGCCCGGAATGCACCTCAGTCTCTTTATTGAGATACCTTGTCTTTTCAAGGAAGAACGGCACAATCGAACTGGGTAACGCATGCCGGTTTTTGGGCTACAAGTCAAAGGATATCGATAAAGATTATTGGTCGAGACAGAATTGAGTAACATATCGCAAAGTAGGTGGCGCTGAGTGAATGATCTAGCCGAACGAGTCGACAACACCATCTACCATGCTCATTCAGGGTTGGAGTATACGCGCGATGGAAAAACGGTTTCTAAAAGCTGCCTTATACGGACCATCCACATGTCATCATCACATCCCTGAGCATGGGGGGTGTGTCAACGAAAGGTGTCCTAGAGTGCCCGAGCGGCAGGGCTTGAGGGCATCCATGTCAACGTCTGTGTCCAAGTCCAAGTCCAAGTCCAAGTCCACATCAGCGAGTGTAACACTGCCAATGCAAAGCGTCGTCAAGCGAGGGCACAGGTCGACGAATTCGACAAGGCCAAGTATTGTAGCCCCTGGCGTCGGATTGTGACACCCATGCGACTGGTTGAACCACAACTTCTCATGAGAAGGCCAGGCTTTCACCAATTTCTTCAGGACATCGTTATCAATCCAAAGGGAAGATCTCGTTTCGAATTCCACGATGCGAAGGTGGTTGAGGTGCAAGAGTGGCCGTATGATGTTGATCGCGATAATGATGGTGGAAGTAATTTGACACTTAGGAGATTCGTAGAGGCGTATAGAGTGCAGGTACATGAAGACCTCGCGTGTATGGAGCGAGTCAAAAAGTATCTGCAGTAGGTTTGGATCGAAGTGATAACTGGGTGAGTCTATGAGGCCATAGACGTGTGAAAACTTCGACACCGGCCCAGTCTGTCGCAGTCGATGGGCAGGTGCGTCCCCAGGCTGTTCAGGCACGGGAGGCTACCCAGATGTGCCAGGGTATCCTTGGTAATACCCGGTACAGTGACTGTACGCAGCTCCTGTAATTTTTGAAAGAAGTGCAATGCTGCCCAAACGGTGGGCGGGTCCCATTACACGCCGTCATGGATGCAAAACGCAAAATTTTCAAGGGATGGACAGGTTGAATACAAAGAACGTAAAACCACATGCAACGCAGTCCTCTGTAAAAAAAAATCCTGCTGCTCATATGTGAAGTGACTGGTGGTGATGCATATGTAAATGTTCTGCAGGCGTGGACCAAATAGGTGGCGCAGCAGATGGAACGCATCCAATGGGAAATAACCACTAAGATCTCGTAAGTTTGGCATGAGGACCTTCGAGGAGTAGGCAAGGGCTTGTAAAAAGCATCGAATAGGACGCTGCCAACAAGACATTGGTACCATAAAAACCCGGACACGATGTGCATAGCGATCAATAATGGCCAGCTGGGACTCTGTTGGGATCTAAGCGTCCGTAGATATAAGATTAAATTGTATTGTGTTGAGAAGCAAAAAAGAAAAACCAACAACCCGGCAGTCTTCTGAATCCTTGCCATTGTCCGGTAATAAAATCCTAGCACATTCTATGAATGGATCAAGGCCGTTAACGGTTTCCCAGAGAGCATCCAATGCTTGCTCCGAGAATGAGCGACACGTTAACGCAAGGGCGAACAAATTTGTTCCTGACCGATACGTTGGGAGCCTAGTGCTGTTGATGTGGCTTATGACATTGGAGAGAATTTCAAAGAGAGCGCGAGACAAATATTGAGAGCAAGAACTGAGATGAGCACGTGACGCGCGTGATTGTGTGGTGATATTCATTGTGGACGGTTGTTTGGCGGGAGCCTTGGAAATGAACAAAGCGTCGCGTCCGGAGACAGTGAATTCTTCTATTAAGCCATCATCTAGGCTCGTGACCAGCCTGGCTTGAACAAATCAAAACCAGCACTCCGATTCTGAGAGGGAGAACTTGGACGGCACTCACTGGGATACTAGATAAAAGGGAAATGCACATGCATAGCATAATCAAACTGGAAATTTTAGGTTTATAGGTCAATGCAGAGCCGTTTGGTGTTTTAGCTCACCCGCGTCTCAGTACCAACCATTAGTTCGTACCTCGAGCGCCCACCTGCGATTATGCCACAGTATTTGATTGCGCAGTTTGTCATGTCCTAGCGGGCACCTCGGGCACCTTTCCCGCAATGTTGGTGACATGATGCGGGTGAGTGGTTGGTCTCTGTTAAGAATAACAACCTCGCTGCACACCCTCGGATGAAACAGTTATTCTCAATATACCTGGACACAGAGGGGTAATGATTGCAGAATGCCTCTCATTTCCGTTCTTGAAAGTTTGATGCGCTTCCTAATGTGCACAAACCTACCTTCGCCGGAGTAGGTGATCGGGACTGATTGAGAGTCCTCTTCACTCCGCGGTGTTCTCTTGTGTCCCTCCGAGACTTGATTGGTTCTATTTTTGGGCAAGCATCGACTCTTCCCGGAGGTTATACTTACATTCAGACGAGGTTTGTTCTTCTAGTGATAATACATGTCACTTATTTGACAACCACCACTGACCAATGGCGCGAAAGAGAGAAAGATGTGCTATCCAGTTACTTCCCGCAGAGACGTTGTGCAGCATCTTCAAGACTTGTGCTGGAAGCCGAGCATCGTACGCTGGAGGGAAGCCTGCCGTTCCCTCACACCATGGCATTGGTGTTCAGACATTAGCGAGGCGTCGTGTCTTCTGCACCTGAGCTGTGGACTCGGATGTTTTGTGCGCTGCCCCGGAAGAAGGCCCAGCGGACGTTAAGTTCACAGCTGGAGAAGACGAACTGCTATCTAGTCCATTCGACCATAACGACCAGCATTATTGCCCAAGTGAAGTTCGTGCGATTTTACGCTGCATTGCACCGCATATTGGACGACTCAGGAGTTTTTGAATATCTGACTTCTACGGGGCATACAATCATCACCTCAACATGCTAAAAGGATGTGCGCCCCGACTCGAGTGTTCACAACTCATAGACACCACCGCCTACTTGACCGATAACCCGCAAGGGTTTTTCAATTTTGATTGTCCCGTCCTTAAGATCTTTGATGTCGACTAGCTCGTGGTATTAACCACTAGTGGCTGAAGGACACATCCAGTTCGTGACGACTTCATGCAAACCCAACATTGAACATTGGGCGTCAATTTATTTTTTTGCATGTTGCACGCAGTACCACGACGAATACCTTGCCTCATTCTCGACAGCGTGTGCTTGGCACAGCATGATATCACACATAACAACATGAAAATCGGGACACAGAAAGTGATCCTGCGTCGAAGTTTTGGCTGCGATCGATGACAATTGCCGGGCCATTGTTCTTCACGACTGCAGTTCTTTCGTGTCATACCGTTACCTCCCTCAAAATCACTGGAGTTTGATGAATGCGCCAGCAAGAATCCGCACATATCTTCCTCCGTGGGCAAGTGGAATGATGATACAGTGACTACCACGAACAGCGATTCTTCGTGTATGAAGGTCATCTTGGTCTTTCTCGGCGTACCATCCAACGGCCATAATTTTTGCCAGTGGCCCCGTGTCACCATGCTCAAGCTCATAGCCAAGGGCGACTTCGTCATGAAGTTCCCGGTTGCATTGCTGAAGGCGATGATCAGCAGCCGGAAGGAGGTTGCGGGGCTGGAGAACTTGGAGAAGAACGACGAGGAGTCGGATACCATGGACTCCAAAAGCTTCCGTCCGATCAAGGTGCTTCATGTGCATGGGGGACCAGCTCTGTCGCGCAAGGAGAGAGCATGGTTCGAGGAACACGTACGGGACTTCGTGTACAACTACAAGAGAATGTGAAGGGGTAGTTGAATTGGTTCAGGGAAACGTACGCGTGTTGGTGAATTGGGCAGATTTCGATGACGTGTATATCGGTCTTTCTTCTACGTATGCATAAAAGGTCCTGGATGTTTAAAATCTGGAGTAATCGCTTGGGTGCGTCCCAGGTCAACCTGATGGCATCTGCGATTCTGTCACATTTGATGGTACAGCTTCTCTTCGATCGACGATGTCATCATAACGCTCACCTTGGGCGTACGCCGCTTGTTTTCTAGCTGTCTTGCGTGCAGCCGACGCCTCGTGTAATCTTGGATTCTGTGTGCCAACCTCAATTCCTCTGCAGCTTCGTTGAAGCTACAATTAGGTACGGTAACGACCGCGCTGCGCAGATTATCTTAAAGAAAGGACATATAGTGCCTCCCATTTCCCATACTGGCGTACCCTTGATCATATCGGGGTATCTTGACCTGCCGGTGGCCACGGAGCGATCGTCGCTGTCAAAACGCATATACTGAAGCAAGCGCGTTGACGGGTCTAACTTGTCCTGATGTTGTCGGTGTCTGAACATACAGTAACATAGTTTTTCGGGAGCCTTTCGGGACCTACATAGCACCGATGACGTTAATGATTGTGACCGGTCCCTGTTATTGAATTTGCAGGGACGAACCTGCTGAGGGTCCTAGGCAGGCGTGTCGTTCGAGGTCTTTTTATTGGCTGTGCCCTGGGAATCCGCCCTAGTTGTCTATCGATAGCTTGGAGAAAAGGGCGAACGTCATGTGACTTTGACAATGAAATGGAAAGTCTCAAAGCAGGGTTCCCTAAAAGGAAATGGATTGACTGTCAAAGAAATCGCTGTTTCGTCGGTTCTTGCTCAGCTTCGTATTTTTCTTCTTGCTCGACGTTATCGCTTGGGTTCGTCGCACAGTACTGCAGTAGTCAGTTACTTTCGTTTCAAGGTCGATCTGATTGTTGCAAGTACTAGCACTTTCAATCATCCCAGGTACCGCTTTCTCTAGATTATTTACCGCATTCAAGTCGTACTCACAGATATCCAAGTTTCATATCTGTTGCTTCCAAAGGCCAACAGCGCATGGCCTTTGTCTGGTCCAAAGGCTAGATTTTCAACTCACTGCAGGAATTCAGTGACATTTTGACCCTTTTCGCATTAACGCACATCGTCCTCATTCATTTACCAAGGACGCTCATTTTCATTAATATGTCATACACAATCCCACAAGTGCGCAGACGTCCCACGAAGCTCACTCCGTCCGGAGTAAGGCCAAATTCTAATGTCGTTCGTGCATCTGTTCTCGAGACTGCTCTCGAGCTAGGTATCGCTCACAGCTCTACCGTCGCGAATTGGATATTCAATAGTCCCTTGCCTGAGGAGCTAGAAGAATTGGAGGATATTCCTCCTGAAATGGAGGCAGAAGAGGTACGTTGTCATTATCTCAGATATGATGTGACATTCAACGTCGCACTTCATTACTACTGCGTTCACCACACCAGACTTTGACGCCTGCCCTTACTTTTGGCTCACATACTGCGAGTGATGACTCGTCATCGATCCCCTCCCCGCAACACAACGTTGCATCCGCAAGGCAGATACACACGCACAAACCGAGCGTGTTCGATCCTGTCCACGTGCACTTCAATGATTTCGCTTCCGCGCAACTGACGCTATCTTTGCCTCCGCTGAGCACGCCTGCCCAAGGAAGAGAGACGTCCGGAAGCATATCATCTGGGAAGCCGTCGAATGATGTGGCACACCAATCGAGTGAAGATGTCACACGTCAGACTGATCGCAAATGCGCTACACCGAGTTCTGCCAAGTCTGAAGCGGGCTATGGGAGCGATGGTCAATACCTCTCTGATAGCGCTGGTCTCAAAAAGTCCGGCAAAGCAAAAGGCAAAATCAAGAAAGCAAAGCCTCCAGCCTTGGACTTGCATTCCGGATATGGAGGAGAGCCCGGGTATACTTCGGATGGGGGATATCTCTCTGCGTCGTCAAGCAAGTCACAAGGAAAGTCTAGTAAGGGGAAATCTCGGGCAATGGCCTTCTTTCGGAGGAAACCAAAGAAGTCGCAGCAACCCAGCGACGACGAAGATGACAACTATATCCCACCAGTCCCCGCGATACCTCCGATGCCAGTTCCTTCGAGTCCAAGGCCACTGAAGCATCTCACCGCAGCACCCTCATCCCCTACGCGATCTGGCTTCACCCCCCTCACTTTGAACTTTAACACCTCAACCCGAGCGGCGAGTCCTGTCTTACATTCAAGAAAAGACCGCACTAGTCCCCCGCCTGCTCGGGTAGTGTCACCTTCCCCCACACCTTCTCCTCGGCCATCCGAGCAGACAGTAAATTCTATACTGTCGCCTTCACCTTCGCCTCCGCCTCCATCCATGCCTGCTCTCGCTCTTCCGCTGGCGCCGATATCTCGCGCACCATCTCCTAGTACACCCCTTCGTGCAGTATCACCCCCTACCTCGAAATCTCCCGTCCGTTCATCCCCACTCCCCGCTCCCCGGCATATCAGCATACGACCCGCAGCTCCTCCACCAACGCAGCCATTACCGCAGCCACCTCCATTTCCTATGCAATCCACACCGTCACGAAGGGCCCCTGGACCGCCTCCCATGCAAGCACTACCTCCGGTACCAGTGCGTTCGGTTCCCATTCCGCCATCTACGCCTACGACGCCTTCTCGGAGACTGCCACCTTTCCGACCGGTTGCAGTTCCTGGCCCTACAGCTCCACTGGTCCCTCGCAGGAATCCACAAGGTCAGCCCCGTGTGGTATTTGCCCCTCGGCCGCAGCCCCCGCATACCGCATCTGATTCGGTCATCCCGCAATACATGCATGCAAACGCTGATGCTTCACCGAAGAGGTACCAGACCCACAGCGCCGCACCCAGCGATGAAAGCTTTGAGTCCCCATCAGCTAGCGCAGTACGGAGACAGCATTCGGACATGCCATCACCTCTGTTCCTACAACGGCGCATGCATGGCGTGCAGAGCTCCCCACGTCATCCACCACCGGATTCACCTCTGCCACAGGTTCCGAACGCACGCCCTATACATCCTTCAGCGTTTCCGTCGAAGTTCCACGAACATTTTTCGTCTGTGTCGTCGATGGGCCATACTTCAGCTGGCCTGCTGACCCCGCGCAGTGCGAGTGGGTCAGGTTCGTCGTCCGACCCGTCTGTTCGCTCCACACGCTCCTCCAACGCTCCGTCATTATCGACTTCTGATAGTCATGGCCGGTCGAGTCGCCATTCGGGGGGCGTCGTAGATACTGGTCCGGAGATGAGGTCCTCTTTCCGGTCAGAAACCAGTTACGGGAAGAGCACAGCCTCCATCTCTAGAGCGCATTCGCACTCGTCTATGCTCGATACTCGGAGTGATGTCAGTGCCAGCGTCTACGACGAGCGTTTGAGCACGTACGACGAGGAGGGGGGAAATGACCCCAAGGGCGCACAGGCTGACGACGAGGATGACGACGACGACGCATCGTTTTATCCCTCAGATGAGAAGACAGCTGGGAGGCTTACAATGTACCTCATCGAAAACGGCCGGGCTCTTGAGGAAGAGGAAGGAGATGTTTTCCCACCCCCATTACCGCCTCCGGTAGGAAGATACTTTTAAGTGTCGATGAGACGTCGGTATAGACATTCGCTTTAATTTATCTGCTGTTTATAGCTTTTTTTTGAGGGTCGCTCATTCGCTCGTTTTCTGTTTTTGTCTTCTTTTTGGCTTTTTTGATGATTTTAAATAATGGCACAAGACTCGAGAGACGTATGTGGTACGCTAGTGGCTGCTCGATGTAGCTGTGGTACTTACTGGTAGATACGATCTTGATAATAGCTTAATGGCTTGAATCTGGATGTGCCTGCAGCTCGTGTCATTGAACTTGATATCAGTGGGCACGTGTTGTTTGGCGTTTGTCTTCATCCCTTTCATTGAAACTCCGTCGATCTGGCACTGGAATTTGGAACGTTTCTAAATAGTCCTGTTCTCCTATTCGCAATAGAAGGAAGATATGGATAGATCACAAGTCTGGCTACCACCGGAGGCTAGGATCACGCACCAAAATGTAAGTAATCATCAATCATTGAAATATTGATCCAGAGTCTGGATTCTACTCCACCACGGGTGTGTCACAGTTTGATCGTGAATACTAAGCATCCCACAGTGTAGCTAGCCCTGGCAAGAATGTCAATCTCGAGCTGCAGTACCGTTATCACTAGCGCCAGTGCATGCAGACAGTCTATGCTACTCGGCTGTAGGTGGTTCACTTCGGCTGCAGTGCAGGGAGCGCCCATGAACCAGTCGGTATCAACACGTGGTTGTCATGATAGCAGATATCTTGGGCGGAACTAGCTGGCTCTCTCAGGGATCAATCGATCACCTCAGACTTTCCTGCCTCCGTTGTTCCGTTCCACTAGCTTTACTCTGCAGCTAATATCTTCCTCATGTCAAGAGCATCAAGCCCTTCCATACATAGCCCGGGGCCATCAAAGGAGACTAGCGTTGACAGCGCCAATAGCGATGAGCAGGCTTCGCCTGAGAATGATACCGCAGAGCCCACCAAGGAGTAAGTTAAGACATCCTGGAATATATCCCTCATTTGATAGCGGGACAGGGAGAAGGAAAGTTGTGAATCTTTGGCGGTAAAGGAGCCACCAGGGATGTGAGTATTTGTGCCCTGATGATTCTGGGTCCTCCTTAGCAGAACTTCAGCTCAAACACCCCTTCCCAGCCATCGGAACCTCACGTACAGGAAAGTACTTTCAAGATTTCACCTGACGGTGGCCTAGCTCTGTAAGTGCCACTCAATGATGATGTCAAACAAGCTCACGAAGTATGTCAGCGAGGCGGAAATGGGCGAAGTGCAGACGGAAAAGCCAACTTTAAGTGATGTGTGAGTGAAAAATATAAGACAAGCAATCGCAGCTGACGATATAGCCGCAGAGTAAATGTCATGGAGCGGGTGTTGGGTGTTCTCCAGGACTCGACAATTGCCTTGAAAGGTGGTAAGGATGACCGCTCTCGTTTCTGGGGAGTATACAAAAGAATCGCGGAGGAACACGACAGCGAATTCCTTGAGCGATACAACGGCGACATGGATATCGTGTTGGTCTTCGTAGGTTTCACATGCTCATCTATAACCCGTTTGAGACTGATGTTCGATAGTCCGGTCTTTTCTCTGCTGTCAGCACGTCTTTTATCGTAGCCATGGAGTATAAGCTCAGTCCTGACCCTACCGACACCACCAATGCCCTTCTCACGCAGCTCGTCCAAATCGGACTTGGCAACATCGCTGCAGCGGGCTCTACCCCCGCAACGCCAGCATCTACGTTTTCGCTGGCACTCTCGGATATAAGAATCCAAATGATCGCATATGCAAGCTTGTGCATGAGTTTACTTGCTGCGTTCGGGGCCGTACTAGGCAAACAGTGGCTCGGGTACTACAAGTCGAACAGATATGGCCGCGGGTTGCAGGAGGAATGAGGGAAGCGCAGACAAGAAAAATTTGACGGCATCATCACATGGTACTTTGATGCTGTCGTGCAATCGTTTCCGATCCTACTTCAGATCTCCCTTCTTCTCTTTGGGATCGCCCTCAGCGCCAACACGTGGTATAAGCAGCACAGCATCGCATGGGTCATCATTTCGACAACGGTCTTCGGATTTCTATTCTATTCCTTGACTGTGATGGCATCGTTGATATCACCCGCGTGTCCATTTCAGACGCCCGTATCGACGATTTTGCGCGTGTTTCGCATCGACAGTGAGCGCTCTTGTGATTTCTGGTGGTCGTTTCCAGTCTAAATGACATCGCAGGAGTACTACGGCTGGTGTTCAAACTAGCATCCAGGTATTTCCAACAGTTCACGACCTCGGTTTACGGCAAGTTACATTTTCTTACGCATGCACGCATTTTGGCCGTTGTTGTTAGGTGTGCTGCAGCGGCTGCGTAGTACCCTCAGGTCCAATTGGGCTCGATTATCTTGGGCACTGGCAGGTGATGTTCTTTGCTACGATCGCATAGGACACCCAGCGCTCATTTCGCTCCACAGACACTGCGTTTGCGGTCGGCTCATTCGCACAGGGCTGTCTCCACCCATTATTCGGTGCACTTCGTCACCTGATATCCTCCCTGGGTTCTTTGATTCTGCCCTCCCGGACAAAGGTCATAGACTCTGAAGCACAACCGCTGGACCAGAGCGTGTCAGTCAATAATCAATCTCCCCTTAACCTCAACCTCCCGGACATACCCACCAGCTGTCTCGAAGCACCTAGCATCCTGTGGCTGCTCGAGACATCCACTGATCCTGAAGTATTTCTCGCCGCTGCTAGCCTTGTTCCGCAGGTCGAATGGCCCCTGGATCTTGACATCTCAGACACGCTGCATCAACTGTATGATATTTATACAAACTGCTTGGATGTTCAGCGGCACATTGTACCGTCGTTGAAGGAGAAGGCATCGGCATGTATAATGGCTCTGAGTCATCTATACTGCGGACGAGTTCTTCGGGAACATCCCGGCCATGGTGAATTTCTTGTCCAGGGGAGCAGAGACTATCTGGTTTTGGAACGGATGTGGCGTCAGTGTGCGTCCACAGATAAGGCGGTGCTTATGACGGCTACCCAGCTGTCTGCTCCGGACGGTCATTCAATCTTGTGGTACCCTTTACAACACCTACTGCCGGCCGGTTCCGACTCTGTCGCTGAGCGGTTATCACATGCTCTGCCTTACCACTTTTTCACTGGAAAAGCGGACGAAGACATAGAAACACTCGCCATAGCAGTGATATCAAAACTGCTATCCTCTCCATCTCCGCCGACTCAGATCATAGCCAATTGCGCACTTCTTGCTTGCATCATGGTCGGGGTTCAGTTTGACAAGAAGGACATAGTTCGGATTGATAAAAGGTGCTATTGGCTCATTCGGTCTCTTCCACTATATTTAACGAAGATATTATGTAGTTCTGCTCTGCCTCGACTCACGGAGCCTCTCTTGCAGCAGTTCCAACAGGCTCTCTGGGAATGCGATCTAGGCGATCTCGACAGCGACAGCACAGGAGTTGCACGTCGACCATGGCAACTCCTCGATGTCATCTGTCGCATGCTCAAGCTTGTTCCATCTTATGACCGTTCACTCCACACGATGCAGAACCTGAACGTGTGCAAGAGGATTTATTCACGAGTGAGGTCATCCGAACAAGATGATCCATCGGGTTCATGGGCAGCTCTGCGAAATGCACTCCACTTCACGTTCACCGCTGCCAAGGTATCCCGGGACCCTGCCGTGTGGTATCCTCGGGTTTCGCTGTCCGAAGACGATTCCCACTCGCCAGAAGACTTCGACTGGCTGGTTGATTACCTCGACTACATTTATTTCGACGACCACGAGACGGCAGGTGACATCCTTTTGCTACTGGGTAGGATGGGAGTGACCTGCAGCCCTCCTAAACAATATATGTTTACCGAGAGGCTCATTGCCTGCATGGGCAGTAGCATGCCTCGCCGTTTACATCATGCTGCCCTTTGCACTGCTCACAGTGCCCGGGAAGTCTTTGCCTCGATCAATGCCATTGATGATGCGATGCTATGGGACATGGTTTTGACCAAGTTCTCCCCTGCTGTTCTGACCGTGGTTTCTCCGCGACTGGGTGCAACACCTGCCGATGGTCCTGACCGCACCTTTGATTATAACTCCGACCGGTGCTATCTCCAACTGGTCTTTGCCCTCGCGAGGAATGCCAACTGGCACCTCCGTTTGTCTGGGGATGGCCATATAGATCGATGCATTAGCATGATTATAGTGTGCTGTGGGCCGTACACGTTTGAGGATGCATTTTACCTAGCTGGTATCTTCCTCCGAATCGCATCTGAACAGGCGTCAGTTACATCGCTCGAGTCTCACATATTGCAGTAACATATCTCCGTATTATATGAGTGAATGGATGTGCATAATATCCCATATGATACGGGCCAGCGGACCATGGGCCGAAGGTAGATATATCCTCGACTATGACGGATGGGCCGGGAGTGTTATTATTCCTGATGGAGACGGGTGGGTCCATGTAGGGAATATGTAGAGTAGATGAGTGGGCCGATGGACATGAATATTCAATAGACGGATGGGCCGAGGTAGTTGGATATTATGTAGATGGGTTTACCAAGGTAGATGTGTATCAAATAGCTGGGTATGTCAAGGGTGCTTGTTATCACATAGACGGGTGGGCCCAGATATATATCATGTTAGACGGGTGGGCCGACGAATTAAGATTATTTTGTAGATGGGTGGGCTGACATATTGGTATTATTTTGTAGACGGGTGGGCCGAGGGAGTGGTGAAATATTTATTATATATACGGGTGGGCCGAGGGAGCGGTAAAATATTTATTATATATACGGGTGATCCGAAGGTAGTCGTATATTGCGTAGACGGGTAGGCCAACGTGGGGGTATATAATATAGACGGGTGGGCCGAGAGAGCAATTTATTAGATATTATATAGATGGGTGGGCCGAGGTAGTTGGATATCACATATACGGGTGGGCCCAGATACATATCATATAGACATATGGGCCGAGGTGGTAGTATATTATATAGACATATGGGCCGAGGTAGTAGTATATTATATAGATGGGTGGGCTGAGATGGTTGATATCATATCCACAGGCCGGGTAACATCTATCGAGTTCCAGGTAACATCTATCGAGTTCTGGGTAACATCAATTGATGTCCAGGTAACTAATATCGAGTTCCAGGTAACTAATATCGACTTCCGGGTAACATCTATTGATGTCCGGGTAACTAATATTGAGTTCCAGGTAACTAATATTGACTTCTGGGTATTTCATAAATTGAACAAATCACCAAGTACCGAGTACTGAGTTCCGGGCATCGAGTGCTGGGCATCAAGCACCGAAACACGAAACTAAAATACAACATTTTGTAAATTGAACAAATCACCAAGAACCTAGTACCGAGCTCCGGGCACTGAGTTCTGGGCATCGAGTTCTGGGCATTGAGCACCGAAACACAAAACTAAAATACAACATTTCATAAATTGAACAAATCACCAAGTACCAAGCACCAAGTTCCGGGCACCGAGTGCTGAGTACCGAGTTCCGGGCATCGAGTACCGAGTGCCGAAACCCAGCACTCGGCACTCGGTACTCGATACCCGGAACTCGGTACTCGTGCTGAATATATTGGTAGATCTTAACCTATTGATGTCATGAGACTATGGATAGACTCCCCTAGACAAGGGCTACAACTTTAGTTTTCATCGAAAAAGTTCCCATGGTCTACAATATCGAGTACCGAGCACCGAGCACCGAGTACCAAGCACCAAGCACCAAGCACCAAGCACCAAGCACAGAATACTCGGTACTCAGTACTTAGTACTCAGTTCCCGGTACTTGATACACAATGCTGAATATCTTGGTACTCAACTGAGCACCAAGCACCAAGCACCAAGCACCACACACCAAGCACCAAGCACTGGGCACTGGGCACCAAGCACCAAGCACCAGGCACCAAGCACCGGGCACTGGGCACTGGGCACCAAGCACCAAGCACTGAATACTCAGTACTCGGCACTCGGTACTTAGTACTCAGTTCCCGGTACTTGATACTCAATGCTCAATATCTTGGTAGATCTTAACCTATTGGTGTCATGAGACTATGGATAGACTCCCCTTGACAAGGGCTACAATTTTGATTTTTATCTACATAGTTCCCACAGTCAAAGTGCTTTCTTGAACCCTCCATTTGCAAGTATTTTGCTTATATCCTACCGGGATCTTAACCTATTGATGTCACGAGACCATGGATAGACTCCCCTAGACAAGGGCTACAACTTTAGTTTTCATCGAAAAAGTTCCCATGGTCTACAATATTGAGTCCCAAGCACCGGGCACCAGGCACCAGGCACCGGGCACCAAGTACCGAGCACCAAGCACTGAATACTCGGTACTCGGTACTTGGTACTCAACTGAGCACCGAGCACCGAGCACCGAGCACCGAGCACTGAGCACTGAGTACCGAGCACCGAGCACCGAGTACCGAGCACCAAGCACCGAGTACTGAGCACCGAGCACCGACTACCGACTACCGAGCACCGAGCACCAGGCAGATATTTATCTAAGGCAGATATTCATCTAAAAAGTTCCTATGGTCAAAGTGCTTTCTTGAACACTCCATTTGCAAGTATTTTGCTTATATCTTACTAGGATCTTAACCTATTGATGTCATGAGACTATAGATAGACTCCCCTAGACAAGGGCTACAACTTTGGTTTTCATCGAAAAAGTTCCCACGGTCTACAATATTGAGTACCGAGCACCGAACACCGACTACCGAGCACCGAGCACCGACTACCGAGCACCAAGCACTGAGCACCAAGCACCGGGCAGATATTTATCTACAAAGTTCCCATGGTCAAAGTGCTTTCTTGAACACTCCATTTGCAAGTATTTTGTTTATATCTTACTAGGATCTTAACCTATTGATGTCATGAGACTATGGATAGACTCCCCTAGACAAGGGCTACAACTTTGGTTTTCATCGAAAAAGTTCCCACGGTCTACAATATTGAGTACCGAGCACCGAGTACCGAGCACCGAGCACTGACTACCGAGCACCGAGCACCGGGCAGATATTTATCTAAAAAGTTCCCATGGTCAAAGTGCTTTCTTGAACACTCCATTTGCAAGTATTTTGCTTATATCTTACTAGGATCTTAACCTATTGATGTCATGAGACTATGGATAGACTCCCCTAGACAAGGGCTACAACTTTGGTTTTCATCGAAAAAGTTCCCACGGTCTACAATATCAAGTACCGAGCACCGAGCTCTGAATACTTGGTACTTGGTACCTACTTGATACTCAGACCTCGGTACTCAGTATACAATGCTGAATCTCTTGGTACTCAACTGAGCACTGAGTACTGACTACCGAGCATTTAGTATATTGAGTATTGAGTATTGAGTACCAAACATTAAGTACTGAATATTGAGTACCAAGCACCGAGCACTGAATACTCAGTACTCGGTACCTAGGGAACTGCATGGGTAAACCCGCGGGTATGGAGAGTCATACCTGTACCCGTACCCGGAGATATACCCATACCCGTGGTGCGGGTACGGGTTTTACTATGGGTATCGACATAACGGACCCGGGGTATTACCCGCAAGGGGTATACCTGTGGGTCACTATGAAGAGCATTGTAATGAATAGTACTACTAGGATACTAACAACAAATGTAATACTATTCTACCTGGATTCTGTCCCAACCCTCATCCATTGCTTCCTCTTCGCCAATGACATCTGGGAGCTTAGAGGCACGAATGATATCCTCAGATTCGACAAGGCCCAACTCGCTCCATAAGCCAACACAAAGCAGTGCGCGCATTGACTGCGCTGATAAACGATTTCTGACGTGTGACAGGACAAGACGCCCGTGACTGAAGAGACGTTCAACGTCTACAGAAGTTGCTATAGGCAATATAAGCTTACAAGGTATTAAAAATAATAATGCCACATACCAGGGATAGTTAGATAGTCAATGGCCATGTGCGACAGGCAGGGGAATGATTTGTGATGTTCGCGCCACCAAGCAATAGGGTTGGTGACATGTTCCACGTCCGTACTAAGGTAATGGTCGAGTTCGGAGCCTGAGTTAGTAGGTTTGGGGGCTACAAGTGCTGGGAGATTGTCAAAAATGTTGTCGCTCTAAGATTGAGTCAGTACAAACACTAAGTAAAAAGCAAATAGAAAAACACCATCAATATATCACCATTTGACTCCAAGATGTCCTCCTCACACCCGAAATCAGAGTCGTCATCGAGTGACAGGTACGAACGTTTGAATTCTTCACGCACAAGTTGCTCCGCAGTTTGGATCCAGTCGTCTTCCCAGTGTGCTGCCTTGAAGTATGATAGTTTATGTTTGGGATGTAACACTAGTATAATAATATTAACTGTCAGTAGAAACTAGAAAAAAAAGAATAGAACTTACCCATTGCGATTTGATATGTGTGAGACCTGTCTGTGAGCTGATAGTACCGGTTGAGTGTCTTTTTGCGAGCCGAACTGCCGAATGAATTGAGGGCAGATATTTCTTGTTGCGTGAATAGGAGGTGAGCATCTTGTCGACGTGATCCATTGCTGGGATCACTGTCGCAAGGTTAGGTGTTGCACGCGAGAAGTAAAGTGTGGCGTCCTTTAGAATCTAACAAGAGCAAACAATGTAGCATAAGCATGTGTGACATCGGAAAAGGAGCACGCACCTTAAGTACATCCCTCAATTGTCCTAGTATCGCCCACTCATCATCCTCCAACTCATACTTCCGTAAACCTAAGTCCCGCCGTTGTGTAACGGCATTCACGGCTTCACGATGGTCCAGCGCATAGTCCAACATATCGAACGTCGAATTCCAGCGTGTGGCCACATCACGTGGCATGAGGGTTTGGGGTTCCGACAAGTCCCTCAGGATGCCATGCCACGCAGGAAGGACAATAGTAGTCGAGTGTATGATCTTGTATGCGAGCTTGCGCACCTGGGGAATAAGCTGAGTTCAATGGCGAGTTTTCTTTTGTTGCATGCACTTACCTTGACAAGCGCTAACTTAATCGGTTGAATCTCTTTGTTCAGTGCGACCCGCTCACCCTCATCCAACAACTCAACCTCATCGACAAATCCGTCATCATTATCTACATCATCTGTCATCCGTCATCCCTGGATCCTCTTCGACCTCCGCGCTGAGTTCTTCCAGCTCCAGCTCCATGTCAGTACTATCAACTTGGTCGGCTCCTTGTTTCTTCACATCGAACTTGCGGATCAATGATTTTGCTACCAGGTTTACCGTGTGGAGGAAGCACCTCGTGTGTGTCACTGCTCCGCCAAACTCCAGCACTTTATCACTCAGTTCGCGAATCATCGTGTCATTGTTGGACGCATTATCGCAAGTAATACTCAGGATCTGTGCGCCATAGATTTAGTTGCATGTAAGTGTGTTTTGTTTTTGTGAACATACCTTTTCTGATATGCTGAATTCTTCTAGCGTCTTTGCAAACGTCTCCGCAAGCTCTTCGCCAGTGTGGGACTATGAACCTCTTAGCTCACACACACCTACTAGATAGGTAAGTTTTTACCTTCGTGACTTCAACCACGTCTAATGGTATGCTTAGCAGCTCCCCCTCATGCTCGAAATGGGCCGAAAACGCGACCAATGCACGATGGTTGGGCGATGACCAACCATCAGTGGTAAAATTAATTTTGCCGTCATATTCCTGGTATGTCTTGATTATCTGTCTTTAAATTAATGAAAAATCACTCACCTGTAGCATTGTAGCAACACGCTGTCGAGTTCGCACAAAGACTTGCCGCACATCACGCGAAACAGTGGATGGGGAAGGTATGTAGTATTCGGGCCTCCCCGTCTTCATCAGTGACTGAAATGCACGGTCCTTGACAATGTCAAATGGACGCAGGCTCTCGGACACCCAGCGCACAATTTCGGCCCTGAAGCCAGATGCTTTCTCAGATTCCCAAGACTCTGATGAGACTTTGTTCATACCTCGTTTCTGCACGTGTATGTTGACGGTGCGAGTATGTAACTTTCCCTTTCCCTTTGCATTCGAATGATGCAGTGATTGATCCGTTTTGCAGGAAACTACCAACAATCTCTTGGCGCACCTCATTGGCATCCTTGGCCTGATCAGCAGCTTTCAACACTTCGTCACCCCAGCACGAACGCACGTGCTTCCGCATGTTACCAGTCGAGCGGGCATCACCTTTGTCAAGGTACCGCCGCACTTTGGTCTTGCACCTGTTGGCTTGGCACTTGAAATCATGAGCGCGGCGGCCATTAATTTTGATAATCTGCGGTGTCGGATCAAAAAATGCGTAAACTGGTGAGTTCCAATCTTTCATTAGGCGTTCTGTTTTGTACTCGATTAATATAATATTCATATCAAGGTTATTGCACATATGGAGCTCGTCTTCTGCCATCTCATCAGCTTCGTTGTCGGCCTCTGATACTGTGGTAATGGTCTCAGTTCTGTTGTTGTCGTCTTCGTACAATGCATTCTCTTCCTCCTCGGTACGCACAACAGCACGCCGACTCAAAACCGACTCTGGACGTGGAGACAATGATGCTGTTAATGAAGCTGTGACAGGCCTATTTTTGTCAACTGGCTCGTCTTCGTCTGCAGATCCTGCACCATTGGTGGGAGTGTTACCAGGCAGTAGGGTTTTTTTTGCCTTCTTCAGGTTCATGTTCTGACTATCTCCACTGCCATCATTTGCCCGCTTCTTCAACGAAGTTCTGATAGTCTTCTCTTCTAGAGCGGCTTTGGCCTTCCCAGTCATTTTGATAACTTGTTTGGCTGTGGCTGAGGTGAGCTGCATGATGGGCAGTACTAGTAGGTGATGAAGGTTTGCGAGTGTCACGCAGGACATTTATATTCGTCTTTAGAGTTTGACAGTTTCTTTAGAGTTTGACAGTTTTTGACTTGTTTAGGTAGTCAAAATTTATTTAGATGCCGCACCAATTTTTATTGACACCCGTGGCAGGGGTACGGGTAGGGGTATGGGTACCATGACCCCAGACCCATACCCGTACCCCAGTGATACCCGTACCCGTGACCCGTGCAGGTTACCCGTACCCGTGCAGTACCCTATCAGTACCTACTCAATACTCAATACTTGGTACTCGGTACTTGATACTCAATGCTCAGTACCTACTCAATACTCAATACTTGGTACTTGGTACTTGATACTCAATGCTGAATATCTTGGTACTCACCTGAGCACTAAGCACTGAGTACTGACTACCAAGTATTTAGTATTTAGTATCAAGTACCGAGTATTGAGTACCAAGCACCAAGCACTGAATACTTGGCACTCAGTACCTACCTGATACTCAACACTCAGTACTCAGTAATTGGTACCTACTCAATACTCAATACTCTGTACTCAGCACTGAGCACTGAGCACTGAGCACTGAGCACTGAGTTCTGACTACCAAGTATTGAGTACTGAGTATCAAGTACTGAGCACTGAGCACTGAATACTTGGTACTCGGTACCTACTTGATACTCAAGTACCTGTATAGTGTACCCTCCCTCAGATACATCATATCACTGGACCAGGACACCTACACGATCCTTCTACAGCAACAAAAATTGATAAATCATGTGTTTCACATTTCTCATGTTTCTGACTGCTCTATCCTTGCATAAATAATCCAATATATTCATATATCATTAGCATAGCATATATACTTGCTTTTCATGACCAGGATCAGCTCAAAATATGCTGTTGCTTTGAGATGGTGTATATACTTGATATTTCTACTGATAAAATGCCCATATCTCTGAATTATTGAACTTTAATGATCAGACACCTAGAGTATATTTCACATATATTCAGTATGATGGATCTAAAATTACAGAAAGATCCACCAGGAATTGAGAGCTGGGGAAGTGAAATAGATAAGAAATCGAGTGTGGGAAACGTCAAAGCTCAAATGCCCCAAACATCGAAAATGGTCAGTTGGTGTATCCTTGGCTATGGGCAACCAATTCAAACACTTCTATGCCACATCCCTCCCACCAACACTCTACCCTCAGGGCAGTATGCAGTATAGGTTCCTTAGGTAGTCCACCATGTATCCTACACATTTTTAATGAAATCTTCAACCTGTATCATATATAAATGTGACTTTGTGTGAACAGATGTCAATTGTCACTTTTCACACATATATTGTTTTGCTTGTCATTCACTCAATCCTGGATGGATCTTTCTAAGCCTTTAAGGCTATCATTTACCATGTGGGCTTTTGATCAGTAGAAATATCCCCTTTACATCAGATCTCAAATTTCCGGCCTAAATATCACTGATCCTTAGCATAATGAATGTAATAATGACAGTCTATGAGTGACTTGGATAATCTGTGTAAGGGTAGGGTGGTAAAACATATCAAAATGTCACAATTGTAATTTGTCAAGTGTTGTTCCTATGGAAGGATCATGTAGGTGTCCTGGTCTATCTATATGATGTATCTACTACCAATATACATAGAAATAGACCCCATACCTGGGTGCTTGGTGCTCAGTAGTGGGTACTCAGTGTGCTCAGTGCTTAGTTGAGTACCAAGATATTCAGCATTGAGTATCAAGTACTGGGAACTGAGTACCAAGTACCAAGTTTTGAGTATCGAGTAGGTACTGAGTACCGAGTATTCGGTGCTTGGTGCGCGGTATTCAATTTTATAGACCGTGGGAACTTTTTCGATGAAAATCAAAGTTGTAGCCCATGTCAAGGGGAGTCTATCCATGATCTCATGACATCAATAGGTTAATATCCTAGTGAGGTATAAGCAAAATACTCGAAAATGAAGGGTTCAAAAGTGTTAAGGTACATATTGAGTAGTGAGTAGGTACCAAGATATTCAGCATCGAGTATCAAGTACTGAGTACCAAGTATTGAGTATTGAGTAGGTACCAAGCATCGAGTATCAAGTACCGAGTCCCAAGTATTCAGTGCTCGGTGCCTGGTGCCTGGTGCTCGGTGCTCGGTACTCAACATTGTAGACCGTGGGAACTTTTTCGATGAAAACCAAAGTTGTAGCCCTTGTCTAGGGGAGTCTATCCATGGTCTCATGACATCAATAGGTTAAGATCCTGGTAGGATATAAGCAAAATACTTGCAAATGGAGGGTTCAAGAAAGCACTTTGACTGTGGGAACTATGTAGATAAAAATCAAAATTGTAGCCCTTGTCAAGGGGAGTCTATCCATAGTCTCATGACATCAATAGGTTAAGATCTACCAAGATATTCAGCATTAAGTATTAAGTACTGGGAACTGAGTATATTAAGCACCGGGAACTGAGTACTAAGTACTGAGTACCGAGTATTCAGTGCTCGGTGCTTGGTGCTCGATGCTCAGTGCCCGGTGCTCAGTGCTTGGTGCTCGGTAGTTGGTACTCAGTGCTCAGTGCTCAGTTGAGTACCAAGATATTCAGCATTGAGTATCAAGTACTGGGAACTTAGTACCGAGTACCAAGTTTTGAGTATTGAGTACTGAGTATTCAGTGCTCAGAGCTTGGTACTCGATATTCTAGACCGTGGGAACTTTTTTGATGAAAACCACAGTTGTAGCCCTTGTCTAGGGGAGTCTATCCGTAGTCTCATGACATCAATAGGTTAAGATCTACCAATATATTCAGCATCAAGTATCAAGTACTAGGAACTGAGTGCCAAGTACCGAGTACTAAGTTTTGAGTATCAAGTAGGTACCGAGTACCAAGTATTCAGTGCTTGGAGCTTTCGATGGCAGGGATGGAGCCCACACCCTTAAAAATTGTGGATCCCTCTGACATTGAGGGTCTCATATTTGAGCTGAGCCAAGTTCAACTAGCCCTGGACCCATCACCTACTCCCCCAACTGCTGGAGACATTGTGGTGCCGGATGATCCATGGAACCTTTTCCCATAATACAATTCTGCTGATGACATGGATGTTGAGGTCAAGGTTGAAGTTGAAGGTGGTGATGAGGGTCATCTGGGTGAGGTTGAAATGTCTACATAATTTGGAAATCATTGAGTTCTGGGTAACATCTATTGACGTCCGGGTAACTAATATTGAGTTCCAGGTATTTCATAAATTGAACGAATCACCAAGTACTGAGTACCAAGTTCCAGACACCGAGTTCTGGGCATTGAGTTCCAAGCATTGAGCACTGAAACACGAAACTAAAATAAAACATTTCATAAATTGAACAAATCACCAAGTACCGAGTGCTGAGTGCCGGGTTTCGGCACTCGGTACTCGATGCCCGGAACTTGGAACTCAGCACTCGGTGCCCAGAACTCGGCACTCGCTACTTGGTGATTTGTTCAATTTACGAAATACCCGGAACTCAATATTAGTTACCCGGATGTCAATAGTTGTTACCCAGAACTCGATAGACGTTACCTGGAACTCGATAGATGTTACCCAGAACTCAGTACTCGGTATTTATACCAATACCTAGGCCTATCTGTCTATATGATACGTATCTGGGCCCACCCGTCTGGCTAATATTACCCGACATCGGCCCACCCGTCTAGGTAAAATTCCCCACTTCGGCCCACCCGTCTATGTAATATTTCCCTACGTCGGCCCACCCGTCTATGTAATAAATAATTCACCTCACCCTTGGCCCACCCGTCTATCTAATATTAACCCACATCGGCCCACCCATCTATATAATAAATATTTCACCTCACCCTCGGCCCACCCGTCTATCTAATATACCCCTATGTCGGCCCACCCGTCTATGTAATAAATAATTCGCCTCACCCTCGGCCCACCTGTCTACCTAATAATACCCCACGTTGGCCCACCCGTCTAAGTAAAATACCCCACATCGGCCCACCCATCTATCTAATATTTCCCTATGTCGGCCCACCCATCTATGTAATAAATATTCCACCGCTCCCTTGGCCCATCCGTCTACAAAATAATACTAATACGTCGGCCCACCCATCTATATAATAATATTTGCTATACATCTCTCCTCAGGTCTATAATATTTGTCAATCCTACTCTACATATTACCCACATGGGCCCACCCATCAACATCAGAAATAATATTTCTCCCGGCCCACCCGTCAACATCGGGAATATACATAACATCGGCCCATAATCTGCTGGCCCGTATTACACGGGATATTATGTAGGTCGGGTGACCCGTATAGTACGGGATTTGTCACTGAAGGGGCTCCGAGTCTATCACAGAGCAGCAGTGGTGGGAGGTGATAAGATGGGCATGGCACTTTGCTTACGGCACAGCTCGCGACATGCACTGCTTCGAGTTCCTTCCCGTCCTTGTGGAAGGGACAATGAAGCATATAGAGATCGCTTCGAAATCCGATCTTGAGATGCTCATCAACAATGTGAATTTTTTTTTTTACAAGAGTATCATTCAGAGCAGAGGGAGGGTGTCCTCGTTGTTGTGAGAGAGTTGAGGGCTGAAGCACATGAGAGGCTTGAGAAGCTTGGGAAGCTTGAGAGGTCCGGTCAATAGTTTTTGGGCAGGAAATATGTTATTAGTCCCCCGATTATCACGATGCTCGCATATTTTGGGATCGCAGGAAGGGATGGTGAGTAGTGCAAGTGCAGAAGGCAGAGAAGCAGTAAGACCTCAACAATTTTGACGACTCTAAATTGATGAACACACGTCTGCTATGAACACTAAGAGGAATGCGATGCAAAGACTAGCATTGCAGCCAGCATATGACATTACCTTCCACATCGTTGAAACTGGACACTATCACCTGCGAAGTTGTTGCGCTTGGCTACCTGAGTCATCCATGTATCGGACATGATCCTCATGCCATACCATGGAGAAACGTAGAACTACACTAGATTTTCTCGAGCCATCAGTGACGAGTATCAGCCGTTCTACACATTATCAATCAACTCCGAGCTTACAATGTTGTAGGTGCGAAAAGTTATTGTGTAGTCAGTATTTAATGAAACATCATCAGCACCGTTGACATGCAACAAGTCACCTCACTCTGTGGCGTTTAAGGTAAACGTTCACACTGAATAGAGTTGTTTTCTTTTGAAGGACTTAAGATTCAGACAGAGAAAACTGGCCGAACTAAGCTTCGTGTTTTGGTGGGGGTGAAAGATCAACTAACTATCTTCTACTATGAGTTCTACTTTATATACCGTAGTAATGAGCCAATAGAATGTCAAGGAATAGGGTACTGCACAGGTAAACCCGCGGGTATGGACAGTCCAACCTGTACCCGTACCCGGAGATATACCCATACCCGTGGTGCGGGTACAGGTTTTTTTACGGGTATCGAAAAACGGACCCAGGGTATCACCCATGAGGGGTATACCCGCGGGTCACTATGATAAGCATTGTAAAGAATGATACAGATGTAACTATTCGACCTGGATGCTGTCCCAACCCTCATCCAATGCTTCCTCTTCACCAATGACATCCAGGAGCTTAGACGCGTGAATGATATCCTTGGAATTAACCAGGCCCAACTCACTCCATAAGCCAACACAAAGCAAAGCGCGCGTCAATTGTGCTGATAAACAATTTCGGACGTGTGACAGGACGAGACGCCCGCGACTGAAGAGATGTTCAACATCTACAGAAGTTGCTATAGCCAAAGTAAGTTTACAAGGTATTTTAAAAAAATGCCATGCACCAGGGATAGTTAGATAGTCAATGGCCATGCGTGACAGGCAGGGGAATGATTTGTGACGTTCGAGCCACCAAGCGATAGGATTGGTGACATGTTCCATGTCCATACTAAGGTAGCGGTCAAGTTCAGAGGCCGAGTTAGTAGGTTTGGGGGCTGCGAGTGCTGGGAGATTGTCAAAAATGTTGTCACTCTAAGATTGAGTCAGTACAAATGCTAAATAAAAAGCAAATAGAAAAATACCATCGGTATATCACCATTTGACTCCAAGACGTCCTCCTCACACCCAAAATCAGAGTTGTCATCAAGCGTCATGTACGAACGTTCGAATTCTTCGCAGACAAGTAGGTCCGCAGTTTGGATCCAGTCGTCTGGCCAGTGTGCTGCCTTGAAGTATGATAGCTTGTGTTGGGGATGTAACACTAGTATAATAATATTAACCGTCAGTAAAAACCAAAAAAAAAAACTAGATTGAATAGAACTTACCCATTGCGATTCGATATGTGTGAGACTTGTCTGTAAGTTGATAGTACCGGTTGAGTGTCTTGTTAGCGAGCCGAACCGCCGAACGAATCAAGGGCAAGTATTTCTTGTTGCGTGAATAGGACGTGAGTGTCTTGTAAATGTGATCCATTGCTGGGATCACTGTTGCAAGATTAGGTGTTGCGCGTGAGAAGTAAAGGGTGGCGTCCTTTAGAATCTAACAAGAGCAAACAATGCAGTGCATGTGTGACATTGGAAAAGGAACATGCACCTTAAGTATATCCCACAATTGTTGCAGTATCACCCACTCGTTATCCTCCAATTCATACTTCCGTAAACCTAAGTCCCACCGTTGTGTAACGGCATCCACGGCCTCTCGATGCTCCAGTGCATAGTCCAACATATCGAACGTGGAATTCCATCGTGTGGCCACATCACATGGCATGAGGGTTTGGGGTTCTGACAAGTCCCTCTGGATGCCATGCCACGCAGGAAGGACAATAGTAGTCGAGTGTATGATCTTGTATGCGAGCTTGCGCACCTGGGGAATAAGCTGAGTTCAATGGTGAGTTTTCTTTTGTTGCATGCGCTTACCTTGACAAGCGCTAACTTGACTGGTTGAATCTCTTTGTTCAGTGCGACCCGCTCACCCTCATCCAACAACTCAACCTCATCGACAAATCCGTCATCATTATCAACCTCATCCGTCATCCCTGGATCCTCTTCCACCTCTGTGTTCAGTTCTTCCAGCTCCACATCAGTACTATCTACTTGGTCGGCTCCTTGTTTTGTTGTGTCGAACTCGCGGATCAACAATTTCGCTACCAGGTTGACCATGTGGAGGAAGCACCTCATGTGCGTCGTTGCTCCGCTGAACTCCAGCACTTTACCACTCAATTCACGAATCATCACGTCGTTATTGGATGCATTATCGCAAGTAATACTCAGGATCTGTGCGCCATGTTTTTAGTTGCATGTAAGTGACTTTTACTGTTATGAACCATACCTTTTCTGATATCCCGAATTCTTCTAGCATTTTCGCAAATGTCTCTGCAAGTTCTTCGCCAGTATGGGACTATGAACCTCTTAGTGCACATCTACCTACTAGATAGGTAAGCCTTTACCTTCCCGACTTCAACCACGTCTAATGGTATGCTTAGTGGCTCCCCCTTATGCTCGAAATGTGCCGAAAAAGCAACCAATGCACGATGGTTGGGCTACGACCAACCGTCAGTGGTAAAATTTACTTTACCATCATATTCCTGGTACGTCTTGATTATCTTTCTTTAAATTAAAAAAAAATCACTTACCTGTAGCATTGTAGCAACACGCCATCGAGTTCGCACAAAGACTTGCCACACATCACGCGAAACAGTGGATGGGGAAGGTATGTGGTATTCTGGCCTCCCCGTCTTCATCAGTGACTGAAATGCGCGGTCCTTGACAATGTCAAATGGATGCAGACTCTCAGACACCCAGCACACAATCTCGGCCCTGGAGGCAAATGCTTTTTCAGGTTCCCAACTCTCTGATGAGACTTCAATCATACCTTGTTTCTGCATGCGTATGTTGATGATGCGAGTGTGTCACTTTCCCTTTCCCTTTGCGCTCAAATGATGCAGTGATTGATCCATTTCGCAGGAAACTACCAACAATCTTTTCGCGCACCTCATTGGCATCCTTGGCCTGATCAGCAGCTTTCAACACTTCGTCACCCCAGCACGAACGCATGTGCTTCCGCATGTTGCCAGTCGAGCGCACATCACCTTTGTCAAGGTACCGTCTCACTTTATTCTTGCACCTTTTGGCTTGGCACTTGAAGTCGTGTGCACGGCGGCCATCAATTTCGACAATCTGCAGTGTTGGATCAAAAAACGCATAGACTGGTGAGTTCTATTCTGTCATTAGGCGTCCTGTTTTGTACTCAATTAGTATAATATATATATCAAGGTTATTGCACTTACGGAGCTCGTCCTCTGCCGTCTCATCAGCTTCATTGTCAGCCGATAATACTGTGTTGTTGTCGGCGTCATTGTCATCATTGTCTTCGTACAATGCATTCTCTTCGTCCTCAGTACGCACAACAGCACGCTGGCTTGAAATCGACTCTGGACGCGGAGACAATGATGCTGTCAATGACGCTATGACAGGCCTATTTTTGTCAACTGGCTCGTCTTCGTCTGCAGATCCTGCATCACTGGTGGGAGTGTTACCAGGCGGTAGGCTTTTCTTTGCCTTCTTCGGGTTCGTGTCCCCACTATCTCCATTGCCGTCGGTTTTCCGCTTCTTTGAAGAAGTTCTCATAGTCTTTTCTTCTAGAGCAGCTTTGGCCTTCCCGGTCATTTTGATAACTTGTTTCGCTGTGGCTGCAAATGTGAGCTGCATGATGGGCAGTACTAGTAGGTGATGAAGGTTTGCAAGTGTCACATGATGTTTTATAGTTTGACATTTTTTAAGTTAGAGTTTTCAACTTGTTTAGGTAGTCGAAATTTATTTCATTTGTCCCCCATTTTTGTATCGACACCCGTGGCAGGGGTACGGGTAGGGGTGCGGGTGCCATGACCTCAGACCCGTACCTGTACCCCAGGATACCCTTACCCGTGACCTGTGCGGGTTACCCGTACCCGTGCTGTACCCTATCAAGGAATACTGAGGAAAGAATAGAGAGAATGTGCCTGATACATATATGATTCGTTGTTTAGGTGACGAATCAATAACTAGGCTTTTATGAGTGTTACATATGCCCTCCAGATCAACTCAACGGGGGGGATTTTTTGGGGTTTTTTGGGGAGAGAGTGAAAGCCTCCCCATGGTTCTAAGCGCTAGGCGCTGGAGAAGCAAGCCTGGTAGGTATGGGAGCCGCGGCAGTGCCAGTATGCGGTACAGGTCCCCACGCAGCTAAGATCGTGGCGAAGGTAAGTACCAGGATAATGAGATATATGAGCACAAGAGCTTTACCAAAGAATTCAGCCTGGAAGCGTGCTGCATTATTGATGTCCATCTGCTCAGTGGCAGAGATGATTTCGGCTACGTCAGGACCCTTGTCTGGGGTCGGAGAGGTGGATGACGCTGCCGTAGGTGCGGGGTGAGGTACTGATGCGGCTGACACAGCTGCAATGACTTGGGCAACCATGGAAGGGCCTGAAGGAGGGGAGAATTGAACTGCAGGAGCAGGGCGAGTTTGGGAAGGAACCCGAAGAGGTCGATCATGATGGTGACCGCAATTGTCAAGCGTTAGGTTGGGGTTTTTACGAGAGTGGGAGTGGTGCGAGTGTTCGCGTCTGCATTCGCGATCGCGCTCAGCATGGACCTCGAGGTCAAAGGCATGAGCCTCTTTGCGTGTAGCAAGTTCTTTGGCTTGGGCTTCAGCCCTAAAGAATTGCGTGAACACGTTCAGGGCGTCAGAGTTGGAGTCATCACGGTGAGTGGGGTTCGCAAACCCGCGATGACGAGGGGGATTAGACCAGCCTCATCTACGGCTCGAGCGGCGATGGTTCCCAGAGTTAGGGGGATTGGAGGAGCGGTGAGGGATCTCACCTGGCTCCTGACCAGAGTCTACAACCATGGGCTCAGGAGGGGAAACGGAGGGCATGAGTAGAGTCGTTGGGGACTCTGCAGGTGCGTAACATGGGTCTGACCCGACTCTTAAGTAGGTATTCTGAGATGCGAAGAGGCTAGCTTCATTAGGGAGTTCGTGGATTAGCCGATCAATGAGGTCTTCTGCCGCATAAGGGTTTTCTAGTGAGGAGCTAGTGCTGGATACGCTAATTTTGGGTGACGTTTGTGAAACTTTTCTAGGGAGATGTTGGATACTGGGAACCCCAAGAGCTTCAAGGTATTGCCCGACGGCTTTGAGCCGAGATACTTCATAGTAAGGTAACCAGACTTTATCACCTGCAGTATATTCAATTTCGAATAGTGAGTCGGTTCCCTGGCCGTTATGATTGACCACGCGAGCTACAGACCACTCTTTGAGACTTCCCAGGTCAGAGATCTGGCTAGGCTGTCTCCTGGGGAATCGACGGTCATCATTGGGGACGTGTAGTCTGAGGAGGTGAGCGTGGAATGCGGGGTGCAGGCCGCGTTGTTTGAGGTTGGCTGGCAGATCCAGCAGGTAGGAGTTGTTCCGATAATCTTCAAGGATCTTGAATGGCCCAATGAATTTAGGGGCAAGTTTGCACGCTCGGCCCTTCAGTAGGGAGAGGTTCTCGGTAGACAAGTATACAAGATCGCCCTTTACAAAAGGGGCTTCCTTGTGTTTGCGGTTAGATAAGGCGGTACTTTTGACTCGCGTGGCTATAATGGTATCATGAGCTCCCATTATGGCGTCTTTCATGCATTGGGCAAATATACGCATGCCAGGGTATTTGGACTGTGCGTTCCAGATCATTGATGGAGGCTGACGGCCATAAATGAGGACGAACGGGGGCTCCTTTCTCGAGGCAGAACTCGCTGAGTTAATCGCGAACTTGATTGCAGGAAGTTTCATAGCCCAGTCTCGTTGGTTTGGGGCGACGCACTGATGCAGCATTTGAGTTATGGTGCGATTGGCACGCTCGGTTGTCCCGTCGGTTTGCGGATGGAAGGATGTCGACATTTGCAGTTCGGTACCAGTCAGTTTGTTGAGTTTTTGCCAGAAGGTGCTGGTGAATAGGGTGTCTCGGTCGCTGACAATTTGGGACGGCATACTGTGCAACTTATATACTAGGTTGAACATTACTTCAACAATGTCTTTTGCTCGGTATGTCTGCTTGGTGGGAGCTAGGTGTACCATGGCCGTTAGGTGGTCGATTGCTATGAGGATCATGTCAAATGCGCCATGCAGCGTTTTGGATTCGGGGAGCGGTCCAATGAAGTCTACTCCGACCATTTCCCATGGTCTAGTGGGTACCTCAAGCGTCTCTAGCAAGCCATACAGTTGATGGTTCGTTGGTTTAGAGACCTGACATGTTGGGCAGGATTCACAAAAGGCCTTGATGTCCGCTGCAATCTCTTTCCACCAAACATTCTTGCAGAGGTAAGTTAGGGTTTTTGAGGGACCTAAGTGGGCTAGGATCGAGTGTGCATGTGATATGAGTAGTTCTCGGACTCTTCGGTTGCCGATTAGTATGTCTGGGATACAAAGGGTGCGTTTGCTATTATCTTTGAGGAACAAGCAGCCGTTACTCAGTTCAAAGTTCTTAAACACATGCGGTTGCTCTAGGACTTGTGAGAAGAATTTATCTTCAGCATAGCGGTTGGTGATCTTCTCGTGTATGTCTATCGTTGGGTCTCCCATTGAGATCACATCGGTGAGGAGAGGGGGTGATTCCGATAGGATTTCCTCAGTGATGTTCGGTACATTGTTTGAATTGGGGCGTGTGTCGCATGGTTCGTCCGCGGTTCGTGCGGTGCTTGAAGCTGGTAAATGTGGGTCCTTGTTTGTGCGTGGTTCGTCACTTGTATCTGTTTGGACGTCTGTTTTACTGTGTGTCTGATTGTTTTTGTTCGTACTCCTGCCCTCCAGTGATTGTGGGGGAGTTTTACCGACCTTCAGAATTACTCGTCTGACTTTAGTCTTTTCAGTGGACCCAGGACCCGTAGGTCTGCCCGTTTCCTGCAAGGCAGTGTGTGGTGCGACGTCTGTAAGGGGCACGCGGTTGGCATCTTGATCGCTTGGGTGCTTGTGATGAGTGCTGGTAGTTTCGCTTGCCTGGGCGTCGGGTTCACGCGCACCCGCGATACTGGCCTTTGGTGCTCTGCTGGTAGTGTGGGGCGGTTTGTCAAGGTTTCAGCGGCCGACATGTTTCAAGGCGAGGTGGGACGAGCGTCTTGCTTCAGTAGCCCCCAGAAACAGGGGTGAACCAGTATACACCGGGGCAGTCACAAAGTTGAGGAGGAGGGAGTGTGGTGAGTCGTCTTCGGTGGTGCTGACGTACTCACTTGCAGCTCTAACGGTCCCCTTAGGTTCATCG